GAAAGCATGGGGGCACACAGGGAGATGAGGGGAAATTCCATTGTGCAACAATTAAGGCAAGAGTGGACTGCACTCAGTTAAAGTATATTTTAAAAATGGCTACTATGCCTATTGAGCACTTTCCTGTGCTGTGCTATATGGAACTGGGCGATAACTCAATGTGTTCTTACCAGTGCTTGGTCAGCTTCAGAGCGAGCCCTGCGCCACCGGTGCTCATCTTCGTCCAGCCTGTTTCATAGTCCAGAGCTCCTCAGAGTACCAAGGAGGTGCTTGAGCTCCAAAACGCCAGAGAGGATGCTCAGGAGCAATAATTGTCAGTTTGCATTTCTTAGTACAGAAAGTATTGATCTGATGTGTAGACATCGTTCCTATTCTACTTAATTCAAGAAGGTTCTGGAAGCTTCTCTGTGTGAAAGAAACAAGCAGGTTTGTGATGTTTGGGTTATTCATTCAGAGAAGCTGAGTACAACTGGCTTAAACTGGTTCTGTTATCTCTTCTGTCAAGGTCAGGCCGACTATAATAATAGGCTATTCCTTCTGGTATGGTATTCTGTACATAGTGGGATGTGGGTGGCATTGTGGACTAAACCAGAGCCTCTTGGGCTTGCCGATTGCAAGGGCGGCAGTTCGAGTCCCCACGACGGGGTGAGCTCCCGTTGCTCTGTCCCAGCTCCTGCCAACCTAGCAGTTCGAAAGCACGCCAGTACAAGTAGATAAACAGATACCACTGTGGTGAGAAGGTTAAAAGGCATTTTCATGCGCTCGGGTTTCTGTCAAGGTGTTCTGTTGCACCAGAAGCGGTTTAGTCATGCTGACCACATGACCCGGAAAGGCAAACACTGGCTCCTTCGGCCTGAAAGTGAAATGAGCACCACCACCCCAGTCACCTTTGACTGGACTTAACGATCTAGGGGTTATTTGCCTTTACCTTTGTAGATAGAATGCTTAGTGTTGAGGTTTTAGACTTATTGAAAGTTCAGTCTGCTGCAACTGGATTTATTATGGACAGTGCCAATCCTGAATGTATTGGATTTGTGATCATTATGCTCATTTGCCTTCAGTAGCAGTAAAGCTCAGCTGGACGAAATACAATTGCCTCTGGTATATTTTTGGGGAATATTACAACGTGCTTAAGTTTTTACTCCACTAACTATACATTGGAATCTGCTCCAGATCAATATTGAGTAGAATTCCATGACAATAATATCAACCACTTGTTTCATCTTGCCATTCCATAGCGAGACCAGGGCTTCAATAGCGTTTTATGTTGGATCTTTTGCTTCTGGGATAGTGGGTGTTTTAATTCAGCCATGGATTTTAGTTAATAGGGGCTTTTTATTTTGCAAGCATTTAAATGAACTCACAGGATTTAAAGGAACAGTAGGCCATCTTATTTGCATCTTCTCAACAAGAGCAATTTGCTCTCTATACTCAATTTGAAAGACAATTAGAACTTTGTACTTGCTTACAAATTCATTATTCCACATCCTTCCTCAATGCTCTAACAAGCAAACGTGTGAGGAACTGCACAATGAGTGTGATCTCACTTAAGAATGTGCAAAGCAGTACCTTATTCCATAACCTTCCAATGTCACTGCATGCCACAGCATCACATCTGCTTTTTCTAATGACTTTAATAAAGCCATTAATTAAAGCAGAAAACTAGTCAGGTTGGTATTTGCATGCAATTTGCAGACTGAAATGAAAACCCCACTTCCTGTAATATAATCTGAAGATCACTAGCCAATCAAAATAAAAGTACGTACTCCCAAATAACAGAACTGTGTTCCATCTAGAAACATTATAGTGCATTATTCTGGCCCCATATGCACTATAAATTGAAATCAGTATCATGCCACTTTAAACAGTGAATTCTGAGAACCGTACTTTGTTAAGGGTTTTAAAAGCTTGTTGGAGACCCCCTATTCCCCTCACAGGGCTACAATTCCCATTTCCCCAGGAATAAAGGTAAAGGTAAAGGTACCCCTGCCCGTACGGGCCAGTCATGACCGACTCTAGGGTTGTGCACTCATCTCACTCAAGAGGCCGGGAGCCGGCGCCGTCCAAGGACACTTCCAGGTCACGTGGCCAGCGTGACGAAGCTGCACTGGTGAGCCAGCACCCGTGCCGCACACGGAAACGCCGTTTACCTTCCCGCTATAAAGCGATACCTATTTATCTACTTGCACTTAGGGGTGCTTTCGAACTGCTAGGTGGGCAGGAGCTGGGACCGAACGACGGGAGCTCACCCCGCCGCGAGGATTCGAACCGCCGACCTTACGATCAGCAAGTCCTAGGCACTGAGGTTTTACCCATAGCGCCACCCGCGTCCCCAGGAATACGGATTGTTAAACATCAGGCAGGTGCCTTCTCTATACTCTCTTTGGCACCTGCTTAAAACGTTTTTGTTTAGGGAATCCTGGATGTTGACATGTTTTAATCTCTTTAGTCTAGTGTTAACTTTAATTATCTTTTAATTACAGTACTTGTTTTTACCTTTTTTAAATTGATAATTTTAATATTTCTTGTAAACGGCTTGGGGGCTTTATTGCCATCAAGTGGTATATAGACTGTTAAATAATGATTTTTATTTTTGCTGTAATGACGTAGGGGGGAAAGGTGCTAAATTAGATTAAGGATTTAATGTAAATCTGGGCTTGCCCTTTACCATGGAAGGTTCCCATTCCCCAACTCATATTGCTCCTGTGCATGTAACCTTCTACAGACACATAGGGTCATCTATCTCAGGAACAGGGTAAGTAGCAAGGGCACAGCCTTGCGCCCCATTCTACATGTGCAAGGAACTAATGTCACTTGAGAGTAGAAGATAATGCTCACTTAATGAAGACATGATGATACTACCCATTGAGATTTTGTTATCTAACATTACCATATGCTACTTTTATTTATAGATCACCCTGCATTCTCTGCATGGCTCATCAGCTCAAAGATATTTAAATCAGATTTTGAGAAATATACTGCAAAATCAAACACTGCTACATATGTCAGACTTCAGTCACAGCCAGGCTTCAACCTTATTTACTTAGAACATCCATGCATACATTTCAACAGGACACGTAGAAGAAAGGATACTGCTGGCTTGTACCTACTAGTGGCATATTTGAAAGAGATGTATATTTATCGAGTTTCTTATCTGCATTTTAGAAGTATATTCATATATTCTAAAACATTACAGCTCTACAGTACAATCCTCTATATGTCTATTAGCAAGTAAGTCCCACTCGTGTTCAATAAATCAGTCCTAATAGTCCATATTAAAAAGCTGTATCAAGATGCCAAATGTAGTGAAAGATCAGCAATGGCAGCCCAGTTTTCAGCTTTCATTTGGGTGAATGGAAAGCTGTTATTTCAAAATTTGTTTTGAGATTGCAATAAAAAATTGTGTTTTACATTTGCATCTGAGAAACCAGCTACCCTTGTTATCTGATCCAAATCAGCATCTTCTTACATTGAAGAAAATATCCGATGGTCATAAACATGATCAGGAAAACTTACAAGCATCTGGACTACATGTTAGTGGTACAAAGAACAGTAACAGGCACAGCAATGAGTTGTGGTAGGAGGGGAGAAATCACCCAAAACTAGGCTGAGTTCTTGCCAAGTCCTGCCCCCCATCTCCTACACCCAATCCCAAATTGTTCAGAAGGGTTCCTCCCGGATTGTCTGGTTATACTTTTTGAGAAGAGGTGATTACAGGAGAGGTAAGGGACAGGAAACTCTCAATCTGCAAATTTCCAATGATGCCAATTACCTTCAGTTTTATTCACATGCCAAGATAGAAATCCTACCAAATTAACTTGAAAAGAAATGGCAATGTTTGCTTGAGCTTCCAGCTTCATTACAGCTAGAATTACTACTATATATAAGCATCTATTTTATAAAAGCCTTTTCTTGGTGAACAGTGCCTGTTTTCCATTTTTTTAAAGAAAGAGAAAATAAGGATGAAACAGCATGATGTGCTGCAATTAGATGTGAACAGAATGTGCTGCAGCATAATGAAAACTCTGTGATGACTAATGGCACCTAGGTTATTTGGAATATGAAAGGCATTCAAGTTTGGCAAACGGCATGAAGCTTCAATTTGGAGGACGAGGTGATTAAGAATGAGCACAAAGACTTGCAATAAAACACTTTTACTGAACAGTTTTAAATTCCAGTTCAGCTGTAGAAATTTTTTAATGAAACGTTTACAGCACTATTTACATGTATTCAAGTGTCACAGTACTAGGAATCAAATCTCTCTAAATAACTTGTACACAATACAGTTATAAAACTGAAGCGGAGTTCTATCATATTTTATTATTTTATTTACAAAAAAGACAATACAGTCAAAGTATCACTTGCTCCTTTTTAACTTTTGAAATTCTCATCAGGCCACTGCTAGCATCTTCTGTGAAATTTAAACCTAATTCTTGGAAGGCAGGAATATAAACATTAACAATTAAATCATTTAAACAAGCCAACAAGTTCCACAGATGTAGGCTCAGCCAACACTGCTCATTATATCAGTACCCACAACTAATAGAAGACTAAACAGCTGCTACTATAAATGAAAGTGTTATTCCATTGATCTATTAAGCAGCTAACACACTACTGCTGCCATTCTTCTTCAGAAAAAGCAGGTTAGCCACACTTGCTCCTAATCTGCCAAAAGCAATGTGAAAAATCATAAAAGAAATATAAATCAAAATATAAAACCAAAAAAGGTACAAGAGAATATTGAGAACAATATTTGCATTTCAGTGGTTTAGAAAAGATGAGAATAAAAAAAGATATTTTTTTTTAAAAAAAACAACATTCATGACCAGAATTTCCAAAGGATGTCTGGCTTTCCAGAAGTATTCTCCTTCCTCAGGTGTCTGCATTTTCAACCTCTAGGACACTGGGAAACACTTCTTTTTAACCAGACAACTCCAGCAGTGATTCAACATACTTCAAACTCAAGTGTCAATATTATTAGTAATATCAATAATAATTATTCAGCCAATGTTGTGAAGAGATGCAAAACTTGATTCAACTACAGATAATCGTTGCTCCAATGCCTTCAAAATCGTTTCTGCCTGTTAAGTAAGGGGGGGCGGGGCGAGAAACATTTTAGTTTACATTATATGTTAATTATAAGTTGTGTCCCAAATTCATGGGCCCACAATAGAATTACAAGCCAGTATACCTGACACTCATCCTGCCTCCTCAATATGTCATCGAGTAGGATCACAGAAGACAGGAATGGATGTCACCTTCCCCCATATGGTAGAGATCATAGAATCGTAGAGCTGGAACGGACTGCAAGAGTCATCTAGTCCAACCCTTTGCAATGCAGGAATCCTGCCCACAGCCATCCCTGGGTGGACTTGAACCACCAACCTTCTGGTTGACTGGCATGATCAGAGGATGACAGCATGCTCTGTCTGTTTGGGGCTGCATTTGCACATTGATCTCCAGCCATTGAACTACATGGGGAACTCAGCAGCTGCATGCATATTTCAAGATAACTGCATCCCCAGTTGCAAATAGCCATTATTTTCTCATATAGGAGTACAGAAAGAATCTCATGTCTCCTTTCTCCCCCGTTTCCCTTAACAAGTTCTACTGACATGATTACTGTGTTTCTTAAGAAGAGGGATTTTAAGAAGGAACCATCATCAAACCATCTTTCACATCTGAAAAAAGTAAAACATAAAATAAACATCTTACCCTTCCTAGTGACTCTTCTAAACTAGCTCGACTTTCAAGCGTTAGAGGCTCTTCATCAATTTCAGCTTTTTGTTCCGAGGACCCTAGGGTATAACTTGGACATTGTACAGTTATAAGTAACATCACAATCACCCAATAAAAGTGTGAGCATTTATTAACTGAAGAATAATTTACCAGTGACAGCAGTCATGACTGTAATACTCAGTACAGTGGTACCTCTGGTTACGTACTTAATTCGTTCTGAAGGTCCATTCTTAACCTGAAACTGTTCTTAACCTGAAGCACCACTTTAATTAATGGGGCCTCCCGCTGCTGCTGCACAATTTCTGTTCTCATCCTGAAGCAAAGTTCTTAACCCGAGGTACTATTTCTGGGTTAGCAGAGTCTGTAACCTGAAGCGTATGTAACCCGAAGTACCACTGTAATTAAAATGCACACATTATTTACAGACGGGTTGGCCCCTCCCCACTATTTTGTTTTAAGTAATGAGAGCCTGCATTATAAGTAGAGCCTGCCAGGTTACCTGGGTGAAGGTCCACCTGAGAATGTAGGGCTATGTACGTAAGGCAGGTGATGAAATTCCAGGTAGATGTATGACAAGTGATGATCTGCAGCAACATGTTCTGGTGCATCCCCAATCCCTAACAGGAATGTTCCTCTTCAGCCTCAAGGTCAAGCCAGCTCAGAACAGACGTCTTACAGAATGTATGAGGGGCAGGTTTCAGGAGGGGGATGAAGAGTGAAATGACATCTTTCTCAACCTTATGCAACTCTATGGCCCTGTACAGGCCCTGAGATAGGCCTCAGAGCCTTTGCTCCCTGATCCCTGATTACGGACCATCAGATTAGTAGGTACCAGGAGCAGGGCATTTTTAGTGGTACCTCTGTATCTTTGAACACCTCTCCTCACATGGCACTTTCATAGGTGATTTTAAATAGGATATTAAGAACATTTCTGTTCTCCTTGATATTTCCTTGATAGTTTTATGCTAGATTCATGTTTTAATCCTTACTTTACTGGTATAATTTGTTAATACTGGTATTTGGTGTACAGTTAACTCACAACTTGTGTGCACATTTAACTTGCATGATTGCAGCTTTATGCGCTTGGCAGATGGCCAGTGGCAATCACACTAAATGCTCGCAAGGCAGAAAGCTTAAAAATTATTTCCAGGCTCTGGTCTGGGAGGCTCTCACAAGATCTTGGATGTCCCTATGAGATCTTGCAAGAGCCTCCAGAGCCCGCACAACAGCCTGCCAGAACCCAATAACCATGTGGGGGCAATGACCCATTTGGCGCACCAGCTTCTGGAAAGGTAGGGACGCTTGTGTGGGATATTCCGGGGTCGCTCTGACTAGGTGTCATTTTGCCTTTACATACAATCCATGAAATGTAACCCCCACACACCTTGCAAGTCATCTATATTTATTTTATTGACTTTTCTTAGCAGCCTTAGGAAGACTTCACCCTAAAGATATTACCCTTAAGATATCAATGCATTAAATAATTAATTTAAAAAGGATAGCAATTAGAACTTTACAAGTGCAATGCCTAAAATTAATACCAATTGAACAAAATGGTCAGTTCTTGAAAAACACCAAAATAACTTAATGATGCACTGCAATACTTATTACATAATACTTGAATTTTGAGCAATGCAGATTATTTATTTACAAATTTATAATCTGCACTTTCATTAAAAAATAGCAACGTGGAACACAACATACCAAAAATAGTAACAAAGAGATCAATAAATCCTGATGGATTTAAAAAGAAAATGCATGTTGTAAAGACAAGCCTAAATGAAAAAATTTTCAAAATACATCTGAATGAAGAGATGAGATCACAATCCTCTATCACAGTTAGATCACAATCCTCTATCTGTAGTTACCCAAGCACGCATTCAAGGATAATTTTTCAATGGTTGCTAAGGAAAGTATGGTAATTGGATATGTTTCAGAGAACACAATGCGCACTATTACCTCTGTGTTAGAAAATGCTACTTGCAAGCAATTGTCAATGAAGTCTCATCTGTGGAAATGGCAGGTATTTATTGCACAGAATAATGGTTAAACTTAAAGGATTGGGGGGGGGGTAGTGGGGAAATAGAGGAAGAATTCGATGTTTTCCTCATTGTTACCTAGCTGAATGCAAACAAAAACAAAGGCCAGTTTTGATTCATTTTTTCCTTCCATGGAGTAACAGAAAAATATTTGCGCTACTGTTCCTCCCCTCCCCGCAAAAAACTTTACGCACATCAGAAATAACCTGGAGTATTGAGGAAGTTGTCCCGTTTTAAGAGTATTTAAATAATCAATTATCATCAGAAGAAAGGCGAACAGAACTATTGCTTTGCTTACCTTTCAAGAGCATCAACATTTAAGCAAAATAAATCTCGTTTATAATCCAGATGTCTCGGAGTGCATCTGTAAATGCTTCCAAGGGTCATGTTGCACCCAGTGCAAAACAAGGTTTCAAGCATGCTGTAAAGCAAAGCATCACTTAGAAAATTGTAACATCATTTTAACATGTTCATGTTGTAATTCGGAACACAGCAATGTACCACTTCCAGTACAAATTAAACAAATGGCATAAAACAATTAGTGGAAAGTTGTTTTTTACATATATTTTAAATAAAAAGGATTTATCCTGTCCTCCTTCTGAGGAGCTTCTAGCAGCATACCTGGCTTTCCTGCCCACTCCTAGTTATCGTCACTAAACATCAGGAAGAACTTTCTGACAGTAAGAGCTGTTCCAACAGTGGAACGGTCTCCCTCAGGAGGTTGCAGACTCTCCTTCATTGGAAGTTTTAAAGCAGAAGTTGGAAGGCTATCTGTCATGGATGCTTTAGTTGAGATTCCTACATTGCAGAGGGTTGGAGTAAATGAACCTCAGGGTCCCTTTCCAACTCTACAATTCTATGATTCACAACACTCCTCTAGGTTGGTCTGTGTCTTAATGCCTGGCTCCAAAATCACCAACTGGTATTCACAGCCAAGTAGGGATTTTGTGGCAATGCAGTCAAGATATGAATTTATTCTGAAAGTTATTCAGACAGAATTATTTTATATACTTTGTTGTATTAATCTGGTTTGAAAAACCTAATACCCTTTTTCCGGTTCTCCCCTTTGCTCTTCAACTTAATTAGATCATAAATCAAAGACAGCCTAGAGTGTGACTGTGCATGGGTGACCTTCCTTTACAGGGAAGGCCAAGAGATTACCACAGGTGTCAGAAGCAGCTGTGCATGTGAAGGCAACTTCATGATAAAGAAGACACAACAACCAAACAAGTCTGGGAAAAGGCAGTCAGGCAAAATGTAACACTATGTGATGCTTTGAAATACAATGCCAGGCACCCTGGAGACAGCCAGCTTGGGGCCTATTTGAGAGATAAGAGATAAGGTGGAAGCTGAGATGTCTTGGTTTGTACAGGGGCCCCTTGTTTATGGTCTCCAGAGGGATAAACAAGGCCAGGCATCCATGTTAGACAGGACAGCCAAAGGTGTCAGAGGGATCAACCTGAAGCGGGTTGGAAACCCACTCCTATCAGAACCTTCTTGTGCTTCTTGGGTGCAAGTTGTGTATGTTTAGCTGACTGAAAGCAATATTTAAAAAATGGTTTTCCCAGGACTTTTTTAAGGACTTGGTCAAAAAGGTGCAAATTCCCATGTACTGCATTCATGCAAGTGCGCAAAAAACAAAACAACTATTCAGAGTGATGGTTAGCAGATGTGAACCAAACTCTTAAACCAGTTTTAGTCTTAGTCAGTAAGCACAAACAGTGTAGCTTGAATGTTCAAACAGATTCAAAACTGTGTGGAAATAACTTTTCTTGGAACACTTGTAAATATTTTAAGAAGTGACAACTCAGTAGCAAGCACTGAAGATCATTAACCGATGTATTTTTATTATGTATGCACACACTTCCCAAGGAATGTCTCCTAAAAAATCTTGAAAACACTAACATAATAAGATATACATCCCACACGTCCTCAAAGATTCAGCATGAGTAACAGGCTTAAACCAGATGGCTTCAAAAAACAAAACAAAAAAAACCCTGCTCTAAAGTGGCTTCCTATTCCCCTTCCTAATAAAAAGGAGTCCAAACATATTGTCTATTAGCCCATATGGATACTTTTAGGGCAAACCTTTATTTTGACTTTCTTCTTTACATAAAGCTCTATTGTGAGACACATCTGTTTCACTTTGGGATTTTCACCGCTTACCAGCCATATTCGCCTGCTCGGCTTGAAAGTTTTTGTTCCTTGTCCACTGAAACATTGAGCGTAACATCTGAAAATCAAAAGATGTAAGATCAGTAGAAAAGTAGTCTCCCATAAGTACTCCCAGCCCAATTATGCTATTTATCGCCAACACAGAATGGGAAAACACTGAAGTGGGTTGGCAAAAACCTCTGTCCCAACTAAGGGGCACAATAATGTCCACATGCTTTGGTCAACCAAGTGGCAAGGAGTAGGGTATAATGCATATTCCAAAACACTTTGGAAATTAAAAAGTGGCATATACGTCACTAGCACTAGAACTGAGTCCCATGAATTATCTTTGGCTGCAAGTTTAAGCACATTTACCTGGGCGAAAACCCCACTGAAAATAACTGGACACACACACAAATATAGGATGGCAACGTTAGCACTGCAGAATCTTTCCCCCGTTCTCTCTTTTCAAGTGTTTTGCTGTTCCTTCTGCAACTTCACCATATTCACTTTCTTTTATTGCAATGCCTTTGCTTTAATGCCCTCTCAAGTCGCCCAGATAATTTCAAGTGATGGCGCAGCCTAAAACCGCCTCAAGAAGGGAGACTTGGGTCCTCAGACCTACGTAAAGCACACGAGAAGGGCGCGAACAAAGCCAAGAGAGGAGCCACTGAATGCTGGTTTATGGGGGGGGGGGAGGACGAGCGCGCGAATATTTGCGCGCGCGAGGGAAGGAAGCGCGCGAGGGAAAGCCGCGGTGCGGGCGGGCGCAGAGCGTTTCCCAGGTGATTAGCCGCGCGGGCGGGCGGGCGCCTCGTCGCTCACTCTTCAACAAGATGCAGTTGGTGTCCTCGTCGTTGAACTCCCAGCCGAGCGTGTCTCCTACGGGCCGCTTGCAGCCAGCGCACAGGAACACCATGGGCAGCTCCTCGGACCCCGCTTCCTCTCCGGGCCCCGGGCTGCCAGGGGACGCCTCCGTCAACGGGAGAGAGCTGTCTTCCCCCGGGTGCGCCGCCATTCTCTTTCAAAGCCGCCCGCGCCGCGCCCCCTCCCCTCCGCGCCAGCGCCGGAAATAACAGATGCAACGCGGTGCCGCTCTAGCGCGCAAACCGAGCCCTTCTCTTTTGCCTCTCCCAGGAGAAGGGGCGGAGTCGGCGGCGCTCGAGAGCGGGTGGGAGCATGCGCTGTGGCGCTGGGTGATTCAGCACCAGGGAAGGGCATCGGTCGGGCAGGTTGCGGAGTTCACCATAGCAACGCGGGGGAAGCAGCCGCCTTGAGCGGTCTAAGGGTCTTTGCGAGGTTGCATGGTAGTGATTTCTGAGAGAAGTAGTTATAAAAGAATAAACCCTCCAAAATACAGATTCTGAAGATTATTTTTTTTAAAAAAAAGGGGGGGTCGCGTGATTCTTACAATCTTTTCGGCAGACACGATTCTCAGTACCACCAACCAACCCCGAGAGATGCAGCTGCTAATGATAACAGCAAGAATATGCACACTGTGCAGGTTTTGCTCAAAAACCTGCTTGAGGTGGTAGTAGGAAGCACATCACACGTAGCAGGGGCATCATTGCGCCTGCAAAACAACTGACTCCAGTGTGGTGGAAAAGACTTCTTTGAGGAGTCTCCACGTGCCACCCATTTCCCACATTCGTGTTCGTTTCGTGGTCAGTTGTGGGAAAGGGGGGTGCATTGGAGAGGATTGAAAGGTGGAGTTGTTCATTTCCTGCAGTGATCACTCTGTTGAAACGGGGAGTAAGTGGGCAGTGCTGTAGGTGAAAAATGGGGTGTCAGCTGTTGCTAACGCCATTTGCTTTATTTTAGTGGGCCGGGTGTCATGTTTGTTTATCTTGGTAATGTGTTGGTTGTCCTCCCTGCATTTAGCTTTGTTTTATGACAGGGTTCTTATTTATTTCACTTTTTAATTAGTCCTTAATTTTTGTATATTGCCATTTTCCCTACTGTGGGGTCGAAATATTAAATGAAGAACAGGTTATGAATAAAATGATGATGATAGCCTGTCACCTGCTGGCATGGTTTTCTTTACCAACTTGACTATGTGTCTTTTCTTATTACTTGGTTCTGTATTAGTGAAAACATAAAAGAGTTAACGACATCTTGTACTTCCCGCAAGGAATGTTCACATTTGTCATTCTGGCACCAGAGACCATCGCCATACACTGACCTTCATTTCTGCTGATTGGGTCTGGTATCTTGGCATTCCTCAAGGATGTCTGCTCAAATGAAAAACTGCACAACTACAGAATCTCTTTATAGGAACACTTAAGTACAACTCATCATAACTGTTGGTTGGGGTTAGAGCTGGCTAGGAGGTTGTACTGAGATGGCTAACAAGACAAATTCATCCAGTTTTACTTACGATTTTGAATATTACATGGATTATTTAGATCTACTTCCAGTTGATGCAAGAAAGCTGAAGGCAAACAGATGTAAGTATTGCATTATGTGACCAACTAAAGCAAAAACAACAAAAAAGAAAACATCCTTTGAAAAGTTTAATGTTTTTGTAAACACACTTTCTGCATGTAAATTGCTTATTTAGATTGGAGTTTTTGACTACTGCATAGTAATTTGTTGACTACCAAATTCAGTACCAGTCTTGTGCAGGTTGACTACTAAGACAGTCCACCTACTTCATTGAAACTCTTTTTCAAGTGTGTATACATTAAAATTGGATGGAATATATATTTTTGTTTTCAAATGACTTAACTGCCGGAATACATTAATATGTTTTGAACATTGTAGTAAATGACAGCTTCCCTCTTACTGTTACATAAAACTGAGAATATAAGTCATGCACTTCAAATGCTATACTAATGAAAGCAATGTTTTGCTATTAATTTTTTTAGTATTTGGAGTTTCAGGAGGGTGTCCTCACTTAAAGCACTACAGCCCCTATTCCTTGGGAAAGAAGCCTTCCTTGAGTGGACGTAATATTGCTTAGTAATCTATAATAAATCTATAATAAATGCCTTAAGGATTTGTAAGGTGTTATAAATACTGTATTTCTTTCCACAGATTCAATTGTCATAGCCCTTTGGATTGGGCTTGCTTCTTTTGTGGCATTTCTTTTCCTTATTTTGTTCTATATATCTCGGACTGGTTCTACACCCGTGAAGTAAGTACAATGCTTTGTGTTCTGTAGATGAAAGGAAATGTAAGGTCGTATGCCCTTATGAAAGACAGGACTTGGATGCAAGGCAAGCATCCTAGATTTATATCCTTAAGCATCTAATTAATGAACACCTGGGCTACGTTGCTTCTAAAATTCTAAAATACTGTATCATACATTCCCTGCTTCCATTAGGCTCACAATGTCCTGGTTTGGATTACTACTGTGTCACTTCATTGCTGCTTGTATTATTTCTGAATCAGGGAACTAGGGCTAACAAGCCAGAATCATGATGACTTATTAGCTGACATTAAATCTTAGTTCCCCAGATCAGATGTAATACAAGCCAGAAATCACTGTCTGAATTGAGTGCATGTCTTGCCTGCTATAACCCATCACACTATTTCTCTGAGGGGGTCCAAATAGGAATTGCATGTTAGTGTTCCCAAAAATATCTTCCTACTGGCCCTGGTGTCTATGAAGCCCTAATTCTGCATGAGTCTTTTAAAGAAGTAAAGTGAATGTAGAAAATCGATGTAGGGTGATGACTTGAATTTTTTTTTCTTGTCACCTATTCAGTTTGTTTTTGAGTCAACCAACCATTCTAACTGTGAGTCAGGTGTTTTGGTTTTAGTAGGCAGGCATCTTAAAACATAATACATCAAAAACCTTGAAAATCAGCTTTCAAAACTTCTGAAAAAAATAGCAGTAAATATTTATTCAATATCCAGCTTAAAAGTACACCGTATCTTTCGTGATACATAATTACAAATAAGTTATGAGTTCCAAAATAGTTCTCTTTATGGCAGCCTCCCCCCCATCGAGATCTGAAAGCATGACACACACTTTACATTTAAGATTGAAAGACAGGGTGATGAATTAAGAATGGGTAAATGTCTTTGCAGAGAGAAGCTATAGCTTCTTCAGGTTCCCGTGTTCTTTGATCATCATTCTTTTGTTTACCATTTGCTGTTCCATGTATCAGTTTAACATGGGTTATAAATGTGTCTGGTTGCTTTGCTCCCAGCCAAAGATCTCCAATGTAAACAGAAGTGAGGAATATGCTTGCCCCTAGGAAATAAGAAAATAATTGTCACAATCAAGATCTTTTCTTAAAAGTTGATCTATAGTCATCATTTACTCTGCTTATTTTAAATGGCAGAGTTTCCAATACATTTTAAAAAATGGAACATTTGATACTTCGTTAAGCGAACATGGGTTACTGATGTTAAACAACACTTTATCCCTTAGAATATCCCTTACCATACTCAGGCTTATTTAATTTCTCAATCAATTTTAATGTTACCAGAATATCCTACTCTACATTACTAGTTAATCTCTTAGTATCTTCTGGAATTACCATATTATAGCAAAAGGCAAAATTTCAAGAAGTTTTATGGGGGAGAAAGATTATATGCTTAGTTTCTCCTCAACTTCCTTGCTGAAAATAACATTACCTTTCTTCGTTCTTTCTTCCTCTGTTACTGCCGAGAGGCAGAACCTTTCCACAGTCTCATGAAAAGCATTTTTGGTCAGGTTCTGGGAATCTAGTAGGTGCAGCATGATTCCATTAAGCAAGGAGAGATCACTCAGTTCCATGGCCTTCTCTTCACAGGCATTGTAGACAGTACTGTAAAGCTTAAATATACCACTTCTGAGAGTTGAATCTTTAAGAATCTCATCTACCACAGTGCTGTTTTGCAAAGCACTCTTTTCAAACCACTTGAAAGTCAAAAGTACATTTTGCACGTTGAAGCTGCTGTCGAGAAGAGACTTCACTAGCCATCTGAATACTAAGTAAGCAATCTTACACGTAAGACCAGGATTGTCATCTTCATTGTGCTCTTTTGAATGCTTTGCTGGCCTATCCAGGAATACAGGTTCCCAGTGGAAAAGCACAGATCTCAGGACAGATCTGCATTCCTCGAAATATTTCTCCCCCCGCTCAGATGCTGTTTCTGGCTCTGTTTCAATTTCATTCTTCTTCCGAACAAGTCGGGATGATGTTCGAAATGGTGCTTGTGCTTTGTTTTTGTCTTTAATGTTTTCTGTAGTAGAAGAAAACAAACAAAATACTTACAATAATTTAAAGAAAAATGAGAAAATTTTAACTTTCTGAAAAGTATTTGTTGGTCTTATTGTGAAAAATGTTTCTCAGTGGGTACTTGGATGTCTCCAAGTTGCAGCAAGCAGATGTCTTCACATTGGTACAGGAGAGGTTTCAAAAGGTGTAAACTGATTTTTTCACGACTCTGCACAACCATCATCTTGCACCTGTCTTAACCTCTCCTGCACTGCTGCGAAGACATATTCACACCTAAGGGAGAATGGTAATAAATTAATCAATTCAGTATTTATTTAAAAGCGAGACAGAAGGACAGATAGAACCTCTTGCTGAATTATGCTTTTAAAGTTGGAAAGTAACAGGTTAAAAGTTCAACCAAATCCCAACAAAACAAATAGCTCAGTTGCAGGAAGCCCAGACCTGAACATTTATCTTGAGATTATCATCACTCCATAGATTTTGCATGAATGCTGCCAAAAATATTTTCTCTAAACAAACATTATTATAAGCCCTCTCTTTTAAATCTACATTAACAAAAGCAATTTCCCACTATCTTAAAAATGAGAACTCTTTCTTTTATTTACCCATCTCAGTGGTGTTTTATGTGTGGGATCACACAAACTAAAATGGTTTCGGCTTCCACACAGGTCTCTGCTCCTTAATTATCCACCCCTACAAAGGCTCAGGAAAGGGAAAAGTGTTTGGGTAAGGCCTCGACTGTCCTAAGCAGATCCTGGCAAACTGACATGATGAAAGTCACTTATACTCAGAGCTTCATTTTATATAAAGAGCATATGGTGATGGTCTATGAAGTTTACCACTAGACAAAAAAAAAACCAAGGGAGATATGAAATCCTTTTTCTTGGATTATATCTGATGTTATTAATGAAGTACACATATATTTTAATGATTTCTACTCCCTTTTCAAACTTCCCGAGGAAGCCTGCCTGGGGCCAACAATAATATCTTTTTAGTGTGTGGTTAAGGGCTTCCTCTTCTTCCATGCATTTGATGAAATATGATGAGCTGGCTGTTGTGTTCAGTACTTTCAGAATTCAGCAGAAAATAGCTGACCTTATTTAAAACACATGATATATTTAGAACTTACTAAGCAATTCTTTTATTTGGTACTGTTGAGCAAATATCTGAAGAACATCTTGAAGTTCCACGTCTTTGCCAATTATGCTCCACTTGTGCAAGAGCAGCAGAACATCTTTGTTTGAAAGGACATGCTCATTCACAGTGAATCTTCCCATTTGTCTGAAGGCCTCAAAAACCACAACGCGGTATTCCAATACAGAATGCAACGTGCTGAAAAACTGAATCAATGTGGCAGAATCCAAGTTGGTCCTATTTGGCAGGAGATGGAGAAAACAAAGGTTACAATGCTCAACCCAAATGGTAACTAAACTCAAAATTTGCTTTTGTTTGGAAACAAGTGACGGTTTATTTAATTTTTGTCTAACACAAAATAAGAGTCTGAGGCAGATAAGATTGCAGCAAAAAGACAGCAGTGAAACATGAAGGCTACTGATTTGAGTTATCGTTTGTTATCAGGTTGCATAATTTGCTCTGGCTTGCATGCAATATTAAACTGTAGTTTAAATAAACTATGGTTTAGTATACATGAGCGCTTCTTTTCTCTTCCACTGTTACTATGCCCTGCAGGGGAGGATACAAGACAGAGCCTGGCTTGTCATGATGTGCAAACCTGGGAGGAAACAAACCTCAAGGCTGGCTACACAGTTCACATCAAGCCAGACTCTGGCTTGTTTCCTCTCCCATACCGTACAGTCAGGAGTGAGGTAGGAGCAACGTGCTTACGGGCATTAAACCATAGCTTATTTTAAATGATGCTTTAATGTCGCAGATGAACCAAGCCATAGTAGGAATAACACTTCCAAACAACAATACATGTGCTGGTTGGGTTCAAATAGCCAATTCATTTTCACAGGTTTTGAATCTATTTCTTCCTTCCAAGCATACATACACTTTTCAGGCAGGGCTACTCAAGTGCTTGATGTACATAGCTTTTAGGGTATGTCTTTCCTGAAAATGCTGGTACACAGTAAACAGAAATAAAAAGCTAAATTTGTAGTGAACTCAAGTAGTGAGTGCATTGTAGTGAACTCAAGTAGCAAAAATTACACAGTATAAGGGTTAGGTCAAATGGAAAACTGGTAATTGAAAAGAGACAAAATCAGGCATAACATCTTGTTAGGGGTGAAAATGACTCTAAGGGTCAAGAACTGCCAAAATTCACTGATAACTAAGGCTCTGAAGAATTGCAGTGGCTGAAAAATACCATATGCAATAGTTTTGAGAAGGCTTAGACTACTGAATGCTAAGCAGACTTCAGCAGTGCTTCTCCATGGCCCCCGCTCACAGCCTTGATTACAATTCAGAAAGGTGAGAAAGATATTCTGGAAAATAAATAAAAGCACAATGTATTGAAGACAGGCTCCCACTGAGCAGAAATGACGAGTGGACCACTTAGACATTAGCAAGTACCAACCAATGCATTTCAGATCTCTGCAGAAAAGCTAATCTTTAAAAAAATGATTGTTGCCATTTAAAATTAAAAATAAAAGGTGAATTTTGAGATATTACAAAAACTCAAGGCTCAATGAAATTTAATTCCAGATACATTAAACAGAAGGAAATACATACCGAATGTGTTTAAGAAGCATTAATAAAATGTGAAGAAATTCACTGACAAGCTGGAGAGGAAGGAATCTCTGATTCTCTAGTAGCTCCTTCGTATCAGGTGTTCCAAGTGACTTTTGTTTATCTCCTAAATTGGTTACCCAAAGAGTATGGACTAAAGAGATGACACTGCTTAGCATCTTGGATTCCAGAAACCTAGAATGAAGGAAGGAAGGGAGGAAAAAAATAAGTTAAAATAATAAAAAATGTTCCATGTTTATTTTATAGCAAACCAGATTACAATAGTGCACCAAAATAACATTTAAAAAATAATATTTCTCAACCATTATCCACCAGTCCCATGAGCTGGGTACACAAAATGTTACCTTTAATATTGTCTTTCACCTGAGGGGAAAAAATTAAATGGAAGGGAAAAATCCAACACTGAATCCAGAGTGTACGTTCCTGTTGATGTATATTTAAAAGAGTCACTGTAGGATCTAAACCTTGAGTAGACTTTGAACATTCATTTAGGTAATTTACATTTCCCACATCAAACACTACTGTGTGTGTGTGTGTGTGTGTGTGTGTGTGTACTGAGAAATTGTGTGAAAAAAGAAACTTAGTTCAACAGTTTTTTGGCTGCAAGCCAAAAATGGGATCCCATTTCTTTTAATCCATACCAGTTTAATATGGGACCTAAGCTGAAGAGTGCTGAAGTTGTTAAAAGCAAAGCACAGTAGCAGCAACCATGGGCAGAACAACCCAGTGTCATTTTCCCACTAACAGCATAACAATCCTCAGAACCTCTTCATTAGTCCCTGGACAATTTAAGTTGAGTTTCAGGAACAGGAGATTCAGCTTTTAAATAAAACATTGCTAAAGCCAGTTTTCTGACTATTATTCAGTTACATTACATTTCAGAAACATATTTAGAGGCCAAGTTTTCTTCAACAAACAAGGACGACAGAGTATTAATAAAATGTTTTCCCCAGAGAAGCAATAGAACACTCTGTTAAATTCCAGTTAATGAACTCAAGTCTTTGCAGGCACATGGAGTACAGCTTCAGACTACATGGCAACTATAGTTAATAATCCTTAACTAAGTTGATAATTATATGTACAGGCTGACACTTTAACAGAATCAAAGTTTTTAAAGTATCTCTAAGTAAAAGGATTTAAAGGGCTTAAGCTGTTTGCACGTTTACTCAAAAGTAAGTCTGTTCACTGAAGCTGGCATCCTTGTAAATGTTCTTAGGATAGCTGCCTTAGTGGCATACCATGACCTCTACGAGCAAAAACTGCTTGTCTTAATTTCTTGCTCTGTCGCATATGCACATTTAAAAAGGTGAAAGAAAGAAAATATTTAGCAATCAATCATGAATACTCTTCTATGCACCTTTTATCTAGTACAGATATTATCCAAGTTAATAGGCTGTGATCTCTTATTAGCTGATAGGCAGCTTTGGTGATGTATGCAGCATTTTGAAGTATTTCCAGAATCTGATGCTGAAAGACAAAAAAAAATATTATTTACGGTAGTTATATAAGATGTCCTTAATAACTTTCACAGCTGCAATTTTAAGCCTTTGGGAATGAAACAAGGGGAAAACAACTAGATCTAATTATCTGCAAACACAATAAGAGTTCTGTGGCACCTTCGAGATCAACAGTCTTTTGGAGCGAATATATCAAAGATGGCGTCACTCTGGATATTATCTGGCTATTATCTTGAGTGTGGGCAGGATCTACAGTATCCATCTGAACATTGTCTTCAATATCTCGCCTTAAAATGCATGCAAAATGGTACCATGACTCTTCCAGAATGCAGACAGACATTCTAAGGGTACTTGGTGACCTATATCTTGCTTCCATGTGCTAATATAAAAAGTACCCCAATATTTTTGGTTCTAGTGTTTTCAACAATTTTACAATACTTTCCCCTCCCTTTTTAGCACACTCCTTGGTCTTAGGAGACAGCTTGTTATTTTCAAATTTTGTCTCAAGCTTTCTATTCATACATAATGACTAAGTTTTATAAAACCTTACTAGCAAATATTGGGGTGAGGTGGGGGAGAGAAACAGTAATGAGATATAAATTAACATACAGGCAGTGACTGATTAATGCACAATCACACATGCACACCAAACCCAGAAGTGACCTGAAAACATCACTAAAAGGTTGGAACGAGGGAGGAAATGCTTTATGCAGGTCTCACAGACAAGCGTGGGAGTCTGGAATGTAACCCCTGCACAAAACAAGGATTGCTTGTATCTTCATAAATTACGAGTAATTCTATGCACATTCACTCAGAAGTCAGTATTGTGTCCAAGCTTATTCTCAAGTAAGCAAGCATGGATCGCAGCCTTAGAATATTATTACTACAGACTATGTTGAGATCTAAAGATAGCCACAGATGTTAAAATTCTTGACACATTAAAGACTTAACTGGATGTTTTTCTTTTAATATATGACTGAATGAGAGTAGTTCTTAGAGAAAAAGTCTTCAATGTTTTCTTTTTGCTTTAAGTTAAAAGCTTTTAGGAGTATCTGTATGTGTTTCAGTTGCATTTTACCTGGGAGGATTCATCACACAGTGGACTATGGAAGAAAGACAGAATGACATGGAAAATTCTCTGATAATCATATAGTTCATAGCAGTGTTTGTCTTTGAGTCCTTCCCCAATAATTGCAAGAATCCATTCACGCTCCATTTTGTGCTGGAAAATAAAGAGGGAGCATAAATTACTATTGTAACTTTTCCACTCTATTTCCACTCTATAGGAATGTCTCCAACAGACTGGATAAAAATGAAGAAAGAAGGAAAAAAACCACATGATGCTGCAAACAGACACACAAAAACCTAAATTCCAGATATGCCAGTAATTTGTGATGTTGTTAATATAATACACATTTCTTATTTTAAACGGCTTAAACAATTTTTTTCATTTTTCTGCATTCAGAATGTGCCTTCTTATACAGTCACAAGAAGTCACATACTGAATGTAGGAAAAAAGATGCTCCACTTGCCTGTCTGTATCTTATCGCAAACACACGGATAACCAGCTTCACCATTTTTTCTTGTGAATGTAACATCCCATGCCTGCCGTGGTTTGGTTTAGTTTTTATGTGTTTTGTTTGCTGTATTTTGTTATTTGGGTTATATGGATAACATTTAATAAAAATACTTTTTAAAAAAAAATGCAAATATGAAATTTGGAATGTGTTTCAAAAATGTGAATGGCAGAAGGAAAAAATAAAGAGGCCATGCATGAACAGAATTGCATAACAGGAAGAGGTGGCTGCCACATGGACACTAATCTCAGTGTCTGAACAATGACTCTTTTACCATGCTCAGAGTTTAGAAATGAAGATCCTGGGTGCTGCAACCAACTATAAAGACTATTTACATAGTGATTTGGTTGCAACAGACAGGAAAAGAAAATTACTTGACAGGTACCAGATTTTTGTGTACAGAGAACAGAAAGCAAACAATTGTGCTATTCATGAATGACAGTTTAAACTACACAGATTTCTATTACCTCTGGATCAAAACTGTAGAAAAGCTGAAAAAATCCAGGCACCTTCTTCAAATCCAAATACTGATGAGATAGAAGGAACTTGTTCAGCTTTGTGTACATGTGCTCCTCTGGGAAGAAAACATAATGGTTACTGTAGCATGAAAAACGCCCTTATCATTTCCATTATTAAACTCTAGAAATTTCTATGCTCATCTTAAAAATCTCTCATTTTACAGCATGACAAGTCCGACACACACATTTCATGATCACAGGGATATCTAAAATGGAAGTAACAATTTGACTAAAAGCCATTGTTTTTCATTCTGAAACAAAACAAACCGAAATTTAACAGAAACAAAATGGTTATCTTATGAATTAAGAAAGATTAGAGAGCAGGTGTAACTTGTTCTAGAATACCTGGCTTTAGCATTTGGTGGGCTACTCTTGAAACATACAGTGCCAAAGGGAAAGTAAATCTGAGATTTGGTTGTCTGATTCCATTCTGCACAACATCCATAAGGTAAACCAACTGAAGCACAAGACAAAAAGAGAGAAATAATTAGGAAATTGGTTATATAATCCTATCAGTAACTGCTCAATTGTACACACAGTCCTCATATGACAACACAGTATGATTTTCATCAGGAACTGCAGAAAGTATATGTTAATCATAGTACAGAAATTATACTCAATTGAATTAGAATACCTATCCTAATATAACTGAATGGAAGTGATGAGGAAATGATTACTAATACAAATGAATGAGAAATATTAAGTTCTGTATTTCACTCGTGGGTTGAGTCCTTTACACAATTTGGAAATCTGGGAGGTGGGCAAGGAAGTTACATAGTACCCTGAAAATCAGAAGCCTATTGACATCTTTGGCAGTTAGCAATACAGTTATCCTAGGAGATGCTTTCAGAGCTAGTTTAGTCTTAGGCATGTTTTCAAACCACTGCATACTTTAGGAAAGCTAAAGTTAACTCCTTACCTGCTTCTGCTCTCTAAACCGAGCCCCTTCCAGGTGAGAGCGGAAAGAGCTCAGGACATAGTATGCTGCCGCTCGCATGTTACTGTCATAGCTGCTAAGGGCTGCTACTGCCAGACCCAAGGCATTGACGTCAACAAACTTATGATATGCTACAACACATTCTACATAGGAAAAAAGGAAGGGGAAGGAATGTTTTAAAATGTAAAAAGGAAACTCTCAAAATCTTCTACAAGGTAATTTTTTAAAGGAAGACTAAATTATAGGTATGCACATTAAATCATAGCAATTTCTAGAAGAGTGAATGAATGCCTGATTAGAAAATTGTCCTCTCCTATTCTTCTGCAACAAAGAATTCAAGATAGAATCTCTCTGAATTGCCTCTGCTTAAGCAAATAAAGACACAAACCCTCTTGCACCTGAGTTTCTAAGGAGCCTTCCATTCTGGCACCACCCAAACCATCTCTCTTTGTAGCCCTCCTTCCCCTACACCGAGGTGCACACACAGGGTCAATTAAAACAGATCTAATTACTCTTTACCATGCTTTTGTTTGTACCATGTGGTGTTTGATACAGCTTGGTAATAAGGATCTCTATTTCTGTTTCATCAGTGCATGTATATTTGTGGAGCAGTGATTCTACTTCAAGCTAGTGATTGAGAGTTTGGAACTAGAAGGCAGAGCAATTACAGCTGAATCTTTTCCCCATGAGCCACCCCTCTTCCCTTACTAAAAGAGAGATTCTGTCAACAAGGAATCTTGTTCTGTATTTTTGGGGCTAGCCCTAAATTTATGGAGTGACATCAATGCTGGACCCGGCCTTGGCAAAATGAAACTTGACAGCAAGTTTAATTTATGTTGGACATACAGTTTTGTTTACAAAACCTTGGAAAAATCAAGGGGAAACGGCTGCTGAGATAATGATCAGTTCTAGAGGTGTCTTTTTTCCCTTTTGTATTTCATTTGGGGCTTTTACGCCTAGTGAGAAGCAATTATGGAACATTTCTTCACAGGAGACTGTTATAAACACATGTAGGAAGCAAAAAATATAACAAAGACCCTTTCGGCCACCTGCTGTAATGGCCCAGCATGTTTGGGGTTGTTCCACAGAGCATGTTCGGAATGAACGGCTGTCAAAAGATTCCATGGAGACAGCAGGTTCTTAAAAGATTATTTGAAGGATAAAAAGAAGGATTGTGTGATGCAGTAAGTGGGAGAAAGCCTCAGGGAACTGAGGCAGCAAGAGAGGCAAAGAGGAACCAAAGCAAGTTCTGCAGCTTGGATGGTGTTAGTGAGAAAGACAAAAATGATACAGGAATCATAATGGGGAAAATATCTGGTTTTGACTGTAGTGGGTGGACAGACTTTAGCTGGATGCTCCCATGTCCTAAGCCAGGCATGGCCAAACATGGTCCTCCAGCTGTTTTGGGACTACAATCCCATCATCCCTAGCTAACAGGACCAGTGGTCAGGGATAATGGGAATTGTAGTCCTCAAACAGCTGGAGGGCCAAGTTTGGCCATGCCTGTGACCTAAGCAAATGCTTTCACACATTCACAGAATGCCCTGCTGCCACTGACCAGAAAAGATTTTCTTTCTGTGGTAACGCAAAGTCTGCAAGGTAAGAGAAGCTATGGCAATGAAGGCACAAGGAAAAGGAAACAAGAGTCGGTGGACAGGTGAGGTAACTAATCATCCACAAAAACAGAAAATCAAAGCAAGCAGTGCTTTTCAAAACAATATTTTTTCTGGTGGTGGGGAGAGCTTCCCAGCCACTTGAATTCTCCCCGCTCCACCCAGATTTCACATAATCAATCCAGCAGCAACCAATATTCCTCATAGCACTGACAAATCTAATGATTCCAAACTCCTGCAAAACAACATAACAAAATACAGGACAGGAGATGCTGTGGGGGAAAACACACACACACACACACACACACACACACACACACCCCTTCACTATTAAAAAGAAGCATTGAGTCTTTTTTTCAATTGTTGAGTGAAAAATTTTGGTTGGGAAAATGGAGACGGGTAAGTGGCAGGTACCAAGACGATGCATGCAAACCAAAAACGGTGACTGCCAAGTGCACTGGCGGCCCTTCCAAGCCTGCTCACGATGCAGAATCACAAAACTGTGTGTGCTGCAGTGTCAGATGATGTTCTTCCTCCATCTCAAAACCCCTTCTTGTTTTCTTTAAAAAGTATAATTAAAGCCTTTGGGGTCAATTTGATATCTGATGTCTGCTCTGAATGAAGAGTAAATAGTTTAATGAGCAATTACATTATCAACTAGCCACCTGTTTCAGAAGATGCCATGGCTCCTGGGCAAACGCAAACCAGATGCCACAATGCAAATGAGCTCCGGATTTTGAAGCATTTTATAAACAGATAAGACAGACATATAAAGTGTACTATGTTAGTTCAGCAGATGTGCATAAAGAGCTTGCGTCCAATTACACAGGCCTCAGACTAAACCATGAACACAAATAAAAAGCAAAGGAAACAGCAAGAAATATTCCAAAATCCACAGTTGGCCAACATATTTGTTAGAACCAACCAAAATGTTGTGTGCTTTGGGTTTTGTCAAAACTTTTGACTGGGCTGGAGGAGATATATAAAGCAAGGACGGGGGGAGGAAGAAAACTAACAAAATAACCAACAAAAAATGGTTCAGTGTAATAGCCTGCCTTGTCAATATAAAAACTGCCATCTCTTTTTATTTGTGCTCTCTACGTTATTGTTTTGCTTAAGGCTGCAGAAAGATCTGGGTAACAGACTTAATATTCTCAAAAATGGAGATCAGCCATTGCCTTTTTTTAAAATCACACAAGCTTAGCTGCAATCTCAGACCTGCATAGCAAATCTTTGATACAGTTTTCAAGCCATAACTTTTTGGGGGTGGGGTCTATGTTTACAGTTTCACACTAAATGCTTCCTAAAATACAAGAAAACCATTTCCTATACCTGGTCTCAACAATTCACTGAAGAGATGAAGGAGAAAACAGGGGTCATAGAGATCTTGAAGAGCCACTTCGCTTTTGCCTTTGCTTAGGAGCATCTGTTCTTCCTAAATACAGGACATAAATTAAGGTATGACTGAATTTTAATTGACATGCTTTTTAGCTGCGTGATAGCTGTGTTACTGCTTTGGGTTGTTTTTTTTTACAGCTTTCCCTGACCTCAATGACTGCTGTGCAATAAGAAACTAAGAAGAGCCTGCTAGATGAGGCCAGTGGTCCATCTTGTTCTCACAGTCACCAACCAGATACCTAGGGAAGCCTGCAAGCGGGGCTTGAGCACAACAGAGCTCCCCCTTCCTGCAGTTTTCATCTACTGGTTTTCAGAAGCATGCTGCCTCCAACGGTGGAGGTAAGACCATAGCCTACTAAAGGATTATGATCCTATGCATGTCAACGCAGAAGTAAGCCCCACTGATTTCAGTTTCCAGGTAAGCGTGTCTAGGATCTGCAGCCTGACTGCTTCTCTCTTTTGCAAGAAAAACCTTTATGCTTCCTCAATAGCTGCTACAATTTTGGCCCAAGGGTTTGGTGGTTAATCCCTAGATCATAATTAGCACCCAACTCTGAAACCTCGCTGAACTGAAAGGATTGCAGTTTCGCAGCTTTCAGGCAGACTATGCAGCCGTTACATTAAAAAAAAAAAAAGAATAAGACCCTTTAATATAAATCAACCACTGTGAATATGCCACTTTCAAGATAAATGACCTAAGACTAAAATAGTTCTACTGTACGTATGTTTTTAAAAGGACAGAAATCTGCAGTCAGATTAAGGCACCTCTGTGGACAGAAGATGCCGATGCTGTGGGAAATGGAGAATGGTCCTCATCATCATTTCTCGGTCTAGCAGACACAGAATTTCTTCCATGCTTGGCTGCTGCCACAGGGACCTTCCCAGACTCTTGCATGTCTTATGGTGCTCCACAGCAGCTGGACCCCAAAGCAGGATTCTGGAATCATATTAAGATGCTATGTGTTTTCCAACTTTGTATATGAAGAGAAGATAGCAATTACACAAAGCAATTTGACTTGTAAATGGTAGAACAATGTTTTCCTTTTCTCTTCACTTCTTTATTTATTACCAGAGAAACCAAAGGTAGGATGTGTTTCCTTGACAACCTTAGTTTTCCTTCCAAAGCACTTTGAAACAAAATTAAACTATGAAGCAACAGTCACTCTGCTGTGTTCCTTTTTAGCCATCTTGGCTCTTAGAGAAAGGCTGCAATACTGCCTCCTACACAGTATCACAGTATCAGCAATAAACAACACAGTTGTTTTTGGTAGCCGCCACAATATCACTCAATGAAAGAAAATGCTTTTTTCTATTAAAAAAAATATTAGAACTCATTTCCAAGGGTTCCACCACTGAAGAAGGTGGGATAAACCTCAGGAGGTGGGTGGGTTCACAGAGGAAAGAATAGATACCTTTTAAAAAGAATGTACAGTATGATGTGAAAAGAGAGGCAGATTCTTGGAATAACCCATAAATGATTCAGGGTGAGTTGAAAGAATCTGTCAATGTTCAGATTCTAAAATGGATCAGGTGAGTCAACTTTGGAACTGTAGTCTATCAGATTCCATTCCCATCCCTACCACTAGTTTTAAGGAATAACTGTTCCTCTGCACAGGTTTAAACTCCACTCAACATGCCCTTTGTATATGCAAATACCTGAGGCACGTAATCCACAGGAAGGCAAACCTGACACACACTGTACACACTATATACCCGATACACTGACCAACATGGCAGTCAACTAACCTGAAGTTTACAAGGCTTAGACCATTCTTTTCATACAATTTAAGCAGCTGCAATATCTTCTGGTCTAAAAATAAAAAAGAGAAAAATTAAATAGATGATAGTTAGTTAGATAGATAGATAGATAGATAGAGTGCCAACCTTTGGGCACATGCAACTATTGATTTCTGCAACATTGAGTAAGAACTTTAATCTTAATCAAGAGAGGTTTTTCACCTGACATCATTTTGAACACAATACTTTGCAATGAAGGCAGTGCACATGTTCTGCTGCAAGTTATCATCTAAAGGCACAACAGATGACATATGAATGCCTGTCAGTATTAAGTATTAAGGATCAGTATTAAGAGCCACATACTGAAGTCTTGGTGGCATTCTGTTGTACAAAACACACAACACCCTACTCAGTTTCCCTCAGGCTACTGCTCTGTACTTCCTTTCCCTAAGCCACAACCCTCAGACCAACCAGTCTCTGAACCTCCAAATACAATTCCCTTCCAGCTACCACTCCTGCTACTTCTTGATCACTATCCCTGTCTCTGAAGACACTGTTTCTTTCTCTCCTTTTATCTTTGTTTAGTCCCATTTCAAATAGTTCCCTTTGGACAATGGGAACAAAAAGAGGATAGGAAAATTACTTCACTTAAACTCCTTAGTATGCATGCATGCACTTATTTATTTGGTCATTTTCCCGAACCACCCAGGAACAGCAGGATTTGTCTGAGCTACTACGTATGACACACATGATAGTTTGGCTGCTGCATTTTAAGAAGTCTCATTTTTTTAAAAAAAAATTACGTCATGCATCTCTTTCAACTGCAAATACACTTACCTGTAATGCTCAGTGTTGCACCGTAGGCTCCAAGCAACACAGCAAAATGGTTGCTCTCACAAACCGCAGGGCAGAGTTTCACTAGAGTCAGCAGGATGTCCACTAATGCCTCTAAAGCAAAAAGTAAAAATATTTTTCTCCCTCTTCCAAATGACTTAGCCTCTTGTCAAGCAATTTGAAAATACTACGGTTGCTCCAGCGCTTCCTTGCAACAATGGTGCTGGTCACTCACACAGCTAGGATATTCTCTGGGGCAAGACCTGCTGAGATGAATGGAGCACCATGAGAGCTTTCATAAAGCTCCCATTCATTTTAGCCACGCAGGAGAACTTCCCAGTGGACAGTGACTGTTGCCAACAAAATGGAAAACACATTATGATATAACTGTGAAATGTTCATCACTTTCACATAGGGCTTTTTGTTTTTGAAGAAAATTAAGACCTTTTTCAATTCAGAAAACATGTGTTCCAATATGAAGGGGGCCTTGAAAAGTATTATTTTATCACCAGGAACGGACAGTGTGGTGAGGCAGCGCTGCCTTTCTGACACCAATGTCCCTGCCTCTTACCAAGACAAAGGTAAGGGGGAAGAACAAAGTTTAAAGGGAGCACCAGATTGGCTCTAATGGTGCACCCATGGAGCCCTGATCTCACTTCTGGTTTGCCTCCTCACTGCGTAGCCCAGGTAAGCGGCAGTTCTGCAGCACTGATCCACACGGTTCCAGCTACTCAAACTTCTCACACATTCATTCAAGTTTTGTGCGGAAATTAATTGGGCCATCCTTCCTTTCTCCTCTAATCCCCATCCAGTGTAACATGGGAAGTTCTGCCCTTGTGCTAACTAATGGGTCTCGGGGTTAATTAAACAACTTTTGCATAGGTTTTTCCAGGGTTCCTTTTTGTAAGCTCTTAAATGATGCTGTGTAGCCCAGATCCTTTCAGTTTGCATTACTCCACCTATTCCTTGCATCTAGGATAAATTCCACTATGCCACTTCCTAAGAAAAAGGGACAAAGCTGAGATTCTGAGGATTTCAACTAGCACTGTCAATACCCCAGTAAGACCAGGTAACACAAAACAAGTGGGCTATTTTTTAGCATGCTTAATTACAAAACAGACAAAGCTGTATACAATACTGCAATAACTGTTTCAGAAATATATAGCCAAAGAGTAAAAAATAAAGTAAGAAATGCTAAGTTCAATGATAAATAAATGCAATCCAAATGCAAACAAATAGTAAGAAAAGGCACTGGAGCTGAAAAAATATACAGAAAAGGGACAACACAATGATAATGGAGAAGAGTTAGTAATATGTTAAAAGGTAAATGCTAAAATAATTATGTTCTAGATAGAGCAGCTCTGAAAACATCTAGGTGGGCTGGCAAGTGGAAGGATGAAAAACAACACGTGAAAGACACTTGGGTTATATATAGATGCACAAGGAAACAAATGAGAAGGTGATACCTCTTTCATGAATGTTTGTGTCATCACCTTCTTGCGACCTCAGCATAGTTGACAAAAATAAGGAGTGCTGCGTGATCATCATATAAAGCACCGACAGCTTCACTAATCTCTGAGCAGCAGGGACTCCTTTCTGGTACAGCAAATTGATAGCTGCATTCAGAGTTTTCAGAAAGCCCTGGTCTGTATAACGGTACCTACATGACAGAGATTTAAAGAGACGTTGAGATAAAAATAATGCACTCTGCCTGCAAAGTGAATGAAAGAAAGAATTATATCCCAGGTGTTGGTTTGGTCTGTGAAGCAGCTTGCCACACCGTTTTAAAAGTACTGTATATGATATCAATTGGTAAACATCTATTAACAGAAGCAAAACTACTGCCTAGTGAGCCATAAGCAACCCTAAGCTCAGTGTTGTATGTCATTGTAGCAGCAAAAAATACTCTTATAAACCTAAACATGCTTACTTGAGTCCCATCTTCACAAAACTGTGCCAGTCTTCTGGAGCCACTTCAGTTATTGCGTTCTAGGTAGGTAGGAAACAGCAAAACAACACTTAAAACATAAGACAGTGGGCATGTGGTGGTGCAGGGATAACGCTTCGTGGGAATGCAAATTGCAATATTAGAAATCACAAGGGGGAAAAGCAGCAAAAATCCCCATAAATAAAAATAATACAGTATCTAGCACAGCACATTACAATGGCTACAACAGGCTGAAAAATCATTAAGCTGCCTGTCAAGGCCATCAGCAATTTTCAGGTGGTCCGTGGGAGGTGGGGAACCACTGAACTAAAATCATAAACCAAAATACTAGCATGAGGAGCCAAGACCACAAAAAATGTCCAGGCAGCAGTCAGCATTAAAACATCAAAATACAACAGAGAGGAAATGCTCAGCCAAAAGCCGTCTTGATGCAGCATGTTTAGCAATGTGTTCCATAGGGTGGGTTCCCTGCAGAAGAGGCCCTGGTCACTGCCAAGCATTCTTCATGGGATCTGGAGGAAGGCCTCAGATGATGATTCGTGTATGGAGGGAAGCTCATATGGAATAAACTATGCAGCTCTTAAGCTGCTTATGCCTTTAAAAGTTAAACAGAACACCTTAAATTGAGCACAGAAGGAAACCTGCCATCAATCAGATCACACAAAACGGGCATGATAAAGCCAAAGTGCCTAGCTGAATCTTGCCCCGGCTGACATTTGTGAACACTTTTCAATGGTGGCCCTATGCAGAGCATGTTGCAGTAATCTAGCCTGCAAGTCATTGGACTATGGGTGTCTGTGGCAAGGTTTGGTTTTGTCAGGAGGGTCACAGCTGAAGCTGGAAAAAGGTAGAGAAAGTAGATAGAGCAAGGAATAATTTTCTAAAGAAATTTGCACTTTCATGTACAACAGCCTGTGCATATGCACCCTCCAGTGGTCACATTACTCTGCTGCGGTTGTTGCTTAATACGCCTCCACCCTGCTTAGAATAATGTCCAACAACTTGGGGGGGGGGGAATCCCCTAATTCTCACCAGTAGTTTCTCTAGCCTCAACAGCAAGGCACTCTCAATTTCCGAGCGGGCTTCTTGTTCTCTGTTACTGCTGTACGTGAGGATCAACCACTTCATGCAGGCAACTAGCAGGCGTTTCCTCCATGAATGCAACTTCTCTGCAGAGCTCTCCAGGGCTCTGGATATAGCGTCAGCAATCACCCAGCTAGAGAGGTTTGAAAAGAGTAATGAAATGGTAGCTTTTGTGTTCATGTCAACTACTGCCCCCCAACCTTAAGCTTGAAATGCTGGGAAATGGAGCGTTTATTAGTTGCTTTCTAGACCTGGAAGGTCTGCTAAATCAGAAGAGGATGTAAGCAGTGCCCTGAGTCCCCCTATTGAGGATAGTCCCCCTATTGAAAATACACAGCCACTGATTGGTCTAGACTAGTGACTTCTTAGGCATTATGGAGGGTTGCAGAAGTCTTATGCATGTTTTGCTAGACCGTTAAACACAATGGGATGGAATACTTTGCAGATCAGGAGAGTAATTGTACAGTGAGTCATCATGATCACCACATATGGTTTCTCTCTTTGTGATAAAATGTCCATCGCTATCCTGGTGCAAAAGAAGCTTCATTTCTTTGGCCCAGTTCACACAAAATGCCAAACTTAGTTTGATCGTACATGGATGAGCCTTTTGCTCCCTCTCCTTCCCTGCTCTGGTTTCCTCCTTCAGTTCAGATTCAGCAGCAGACAATAGTTTGTCATAACATCTGAATCAGGCGAACAATGGTTGGCACAAACCAATACTTTGCCTAAAAATCAGGATTGCAAAACAGGTCAAAACCATGGTTTGCAAACCTTGTTTGCAAGCAAATGACAATATCAGCACATTTCAGATCTAATGGTGAACTATGGATTAATGCTGAAGAAATGATCCAGAGAACTGGCAACTGGCTGATCATGGCAGGGGATGATGGCGGAGTGTATGGGCAGACTTCGTTCAAATAGCGTCAAACAGGTTTGGCATCATACTTGAAGCAACTCTTTCTCTTCTGATAACAGACACAGATCAGTGTTAAAAAAAGAAAAATGCAACAGGCATTCTGATCTAGCCAAGCTGCAGTAGTGAAGCTTACTACATTTTTATTAAAGTTTATCACATTTTTATTTTATCTCGTGTAAGTTTCCAAAGCGTAGCAGTCATCACATTTGCCCAACATTTTTATCTTATCTTATTATTAAATTTTACCATATTTCATTAATTCTGATTATTAACATTAAACATACCCCCCCAACATTGATGTTCCGTCTGGTATTTACCTCCACTGATGGGACTCAGCAAAAGATGATATACTTTAGATGATTTCCATCTATCTGAAGTATTGAAATACTACCTCACATTGACAGCAGGTACGTGAGAATGGAGGGCATGTGCTTGTGTTTATTGTAATCGACTGGTCAATATGGAGAACTGGAACTAATAAGCAAAAAATAAGTAGACTTACTGTTCATGATTTCCCGCCGTCTCAAGAGATAAAAGTAATTTCTCTGTTAAATTAGTGAATGGCTCGGTTTCTGGAGGTGGCAGTAACTTGGAAAGAACTTGACACTGCTCAGCAAATGGCTGAGATGAACCACTATTCAGAAGAATGCCCAGCAGTTGTGGCCACAAAGTTTCTCTCAAGATGGACGTAACAGCTGAAGAGACTGTAGGAAAGGACAACGCAACAGTCACAAAGGTGGATCCGTCAGCATTTCACAGGCCCATACTCTAATGCATGTACCAGAGGCCACTGCACAGTCTCAAGTCCTTGGAATGACATACTAGAACTACTAGCCTAAAGAGAAATCACAAACTCTGATATCTTGGAAAGGGACAGCCAAGCAAGGTTTATACCAGGCTGCTCTAAAACTGGGTCCTGGTTAAGAGTTTCTCACATAATTTTGGTTACATAATTTTAAAAAATAGAACCATGGAAGCAAGCTAAGATCGGCAGGAGAACTTGGAAACAAAATTTAAAGGTAGAAAAAAAACCAAATTCCCTGGTAATAAAGTTGCAGGGAAACTAACATCTGAACCATTAACTGGCCCACTTAACAAACAAGGTTTGAAGTTTTCAGTGTGAAAACCTCCAAACACTGTACCACTGGCATTTACAACTTTATTTTTCAAAATCATACTCTTCATCCAATGGCAAAAAATAATAATTGCAATCCCTTTTTTAAAAAAAAGCTGATCAAGAGTGTTATATAGGTTTACCATGGTTACCTTCTGACAGGTGGCTCAATGTGTGCTGCTCTCGACAGTCCAAGTATGCATTGACAAGTGGCAGAAAGAGGTCCACATCTTTTCTCAGAAGCTTGCCAGTGCCCGGCTTCAGACACCAAAGCTCAAACTGCAGCAAGTGAGTCCGACTGTACCGAATCAGCACAGCCACAATGGAAAGGGACGTTTTTGTTGAATGCTTAAGGCAAGAAAGCTGCACATCCACTCCAACTGCCTGGGCAAAGACAGGCTCCTTCTGTATTGCGTGCAGGAAGACCTTTTCCAGCTCTTCTGTGACTGCAGTGGACAAGAGAGTCCCCATCCCTTGAATGTGCTCTCTTGAGAGGAAGAGGTCTCCCTTCAGGGATCCCCTTTGGTAGCTGTCTGTGAGCAGCTGCACCAAAGTCTCCCCGTAAGTGCTCAAACATGTCTCTTTTCCAGAAATGCTTTCAGCTGTCTTGGAGGCCAGCATCACCTTGGGAAGCTGCAGCATAGCCAAAGTCACTTCCTTCAGTTGTTGGGTATCCATGTACAGTTGCAGTTCTTGCAGTGCCTCCACCTGCTGTGACCTTTTGGGATGTAACCTGCAGACATCGTTTCTCCCAGCATGCAGTTCTTCCAAGACAGTTTTAGTGACGGCTTCGAAATATCTAGAGAGTGTGTCTAGCTGGTTCCTGGCTTGCAACATTGGGCAGCCCACCTTCAGCAACTCAAGAATGCCACGGTTTAGGTGAGCAGCAAGCAGCTTCACTTTAACTGGGCTTAAACTATGGGGAGGGAGAGAACGTTGTTCTACAGCCAGGAACCAATTCTCCAGCGTAGGGTGTTTGAAGACCAAAGGAAGCGCTTCTCCCAGTATCTGCAATGGAGATGGTTACAATTAAAGACATCACCCAACTGATTTAAGGTCCCTGTTAAGCTGCCCAGAGACCCAGGACCTGTCAGAAGCAGGGGAAGCTCAGAATCCGTCATGTGATAGGCAATCAGGACTATGGCTGATTAATATTCTATGGCCTTTTAAAAGTGTTTGTGGGAGGGAGATTATTGTTGTGTTTTTGCTCTTTGTGCTTTTATCCTGTATTTTTATCTTGTGAACCACCCTGGTATATACATATTATTTTTATTAATGCCCAATTGAGGCCGGAGAACTGCATCAGCTCCAGTGATCCCTCTGGCCCTTGTTCCTGCAAGGATGCCGTGGCCCTGCCCTCTCATAACCCCCCACCCTAAGCTTGTCAGCTGGCTCCCTAAGAGAGCTGCCCTTGTTATTTTACTGGTCAAGGAAGTCATGGTCTGGAATGAACTGAGCCAGCTCCCAGACAAATGGCCAGTGAATGGAAGTGAAGGTGCATGATTAAGAAACACTGCAGGACTAGGATTTTATCTTTATTCCGTCTAAAAATACCTAAGTAACAGAAGAATCGAGTCATTCTCCCCTTGCATGGCTTTCCACTTCACTGAGGAAACGTAATTTGAACAGAATTTTTTGTCTCACAACAATTGCCTGCACCTGTAAGCGTTTATGCATAATTGCCAGAAGGTTCCACCCCCCTCTCCAAGGGCCGATTAACTAGGATGACATTCATAAACACTAACACCGAGAAAAGTTATTACCTTGTCGTTTCCAGTCTCTGCTGCCATCAGACACTCTGCATCCACAAAGAGATCAGATTCGGTTTGTGTATTTTTCTCTTTCTGCTGACCACACAGTTCTATGGCGTCCCCCCTGTGCAACAAGCTCTTCAGCAGATCCACAAACAGGGTGAGAAGCGAGAGACCCAAATTTTTGCCAAACTGTTAGAAAATTATGATAAATTTCAGAAAAGGGAAAACTTGGGGAAAGGACCAAGCAGAGAAACTACATCATTGCACTGCACTGCAGAGCATGTCAGCACATACACAAAAGTCTGTGATTTTTCTCTTTGTAACACTTGAAAATGTGTTTTTTTAAAAGCTAGATGCATGCAACATATTTTGTGAATATTCTTAAAACTGTGACATTTCAATAGAGCGAAAGGTTCATTTCTGCAGTGCCCATCATGCAGGCCTAGGAGCCGAAACTTGATACACTTCTCAGGTATATGCACCTGTGGCAGCCAAGCACTTATTTACTGCCACATAATCTGTAAAAGAGCTCTTGGTGTGGGAATAAAAAAGGAAGCGATTATAACCAATAATCTTAGAAAAGGGTGAAGGAGAGAAAACATCTCTTACACTGTTGAAATTCTCCACGGTTGTTTTTAGGCAAAGAAGGACGTGCTTTGAAGCTAACAGGAACTGCTGAGGCTGGAGTTGGGAAATAGCCTCCCTTAGCTTCTCTTCAAACCCCTCTTCCAACAGAATTGCAACACCTTTCTGATAGGCATTCTTCAGCAGGGAGGAAAAGGAGGAATCTGGCAAGAGGCAATCGTCTACGTACTCACTTCTGCCTTGCTGGAAATGTTTAAAATGTATTTCATGTTTTCAGAAAGCGGGGTTGGGGGGAAGAAAGAAACATCATTACAGACATGTGTATAGAAACCTCTGCCTTTCTGTGGCTGGAATGTAGCCTATTGTACAAAGTTAACAGTTGCACCCATTGCCCCACCTACTTCTGCCTCTGGCGCCACCCACCGTTACCAATGGCCACTGGAATATTATTGCCCTGTAAGGCACATAGCCATCAGCCTGAAACAAGTTTCCCCACCCTGCGCTAAACCACAATTTATGTGACAAGAACACACTGCAGCAAGCCTTGAACTCACACATTACCCTCCCACTCTATTGTGACAGGAAGGAAGGGGTTTTGTCTAATCATAGCTTGTTGTGCTATTCAAACTAACAGGCCATGTTAATGTTAACCAGGCATCCCCAACCTGCGGCCCTCCAGATGTTTCGGCCTACAACTCCCATGATCCCTAGCTAACAGGACCAGTGTTCAGGGATGATGGGAATTGTAGTCCAAAACATCTGGAGGACCGAAGGTTGGGGGTGCCTGATGTTAACCATGGATTCTGAGACTGGTTAATCTACCTTAACCACAGTTTAGGATTCAAGCAACATGCTAAACTGTGGTTAGTGGAAATCAGCACAATCTTCTGAACTCTTTCTTGCTACTGCACCAAAAGCACCTGGGTTGGGGTTGCCATCATGAGGCTTGCAGAGGCTCACTGTCAACACATCAAACAGTGGTTTAGTGTGACATCCAAATGCAGTCAGTGTGAGCTCATCATCAAATTAAGCAGCTGAAAATACTTGTTGCCTTGCTTACCAGAGTTTCCTTAGCTTGCTCTGGTATCCAAAGACTGTAGTAGTGGTTGAATTGACGGAGTTGAGGAGAGACAGTCTGGAGTTCTTTATCATAGAGCTGAAACAGCAAACAAAGGGCTAAGGGGTCTCTCTGAGAATGCAGGAGGTCAGTGAAAACGGTGATGAGATACTCCACTATGCCTTCTCCTAAAGACACAAAACAAAACACAGATTGAATTGTACGGCTTCTTAACTTGAAAAGTCAGTCCTCTAAATTATTGGTTAGCACCCTGATATACTTATGAGCATTTTAAAAAGCACATGTAGTCATTAAAAAATGGGTAGGCAAGAAACTCAAATCAACAAGAACCCCTGTTGCTTAAAAACCTTTTCCATGACAGCAACAACTAATATTATTATTTTGTCAGAACTCAGAGGGAAGCTTTGCCGATATTATTAAGAATTAAAGCATGCAAAAGAAATATAGGAAGGAAATACCTCTTGCATTCCCATCAGCCTCAAGAAGCAACTTGTTCCTGGCTTCCAAAGCAGCAGGAACGACAGCACTAAATGGGAAAGTGCTGACAATCATGTCTTCATTTAAAGTAGATCCAATTTCTTCATTTAGGCCTTCATTGCCTTCCACAATGACATCGATCATATCCAGAACATCTAGTTTGAAAGGGGGAAAAGCTTAGTTTAGATGAAGGTTGTTTCTAGAACCCAAACAAATGGGTCAACAGTCAACAGAAGCCGAATAACAGGATCTCAAGTACATTACTCAAAACAAAACATTCAGTAAAAATAGCAAAACACAATCCTGCATAGATCTTAACAGAAAACAGTAAATTCTGCTTGAATGATTTTCGAATATTTTGTGTGTAGCACACCATTTAGGCTTTTTGGTTCATCCCAAGAAATCTGCTATATCAAATGCTGGGATGGGGGACCTAGAAACTCAAAAGAGATGCCAAATTTCGGGTCTATTAACATTAAATGTGTTCAGTGAGAATTCAGTGATGATGGTCTATTGTTTCTAAATGATTTGAGCTAGCAACTGCTCAGTGGCTTTATTCAGCCACCATGTCAAAATTATGACGGCTTGGTGTAGTATGTGAACTGACAAACCATGTGTTGCAATCAGCCAGCCTATCAGTATCAGAAACCATGGTCAATGTTAACTCTGATTTGGTGGAGTACCTAGATTGACAAACTGTAGTAATAACTGACAAACCATCTGTAGTATGAACTTCTGTGTGTATGAACAACAACAGAAGGGTATAGAAACTGTGATATAGAAACCTGACCTTAGTCCTGTAATTCGGAAGCAAACCCAAATCCAATTAACTCTCTGGACTGGCCTAGGATCCTGAAGATAAGCAAAGATGCAAAATCCCATTTGCATTTAGAAAAAGCTGCAAATCTATGTCAGCAACTGCAGTGTAGCTTGAGAAGGCAACCAAAGCTGCAATCCTACACACACTATACTCAAAGGTCTTGCTTCCAAGTAGACATGCACAGGATTGCATTGTTGTTGTCATTTAAATTTGTATACCGTCCTTCATACGAAGATCTTAGGGCAGTTCACAGCATAAAAATACAGAATAAAACCACAAATACAGAATAAAACCACATAATAAAAACAAGAACAAAACAAAACAGTATTGCCCCCCTCCCGAGTTAAAAATTTCTGCCTGTTTCTAAAATGCTGGCTACATGTAATTTTCCAGCAAAATTGTGGAAGATTTGCATAATGACACCCCCCCCCCCCAAAGTGAACATACCGTCAATGTGAGAGATGGGTATGCTGGCGTTATCAACATCTTGCTTAAACAAGTTGACCTGGAGAATGCTGGCCTCCTGGACAAGGTCTGCTGCTTTATCTGTGTATGGATAGGGGTTGGTCACCAGTTTTACCAAGATCTGCAATGGAAAGTGAGCTTTCATTAGAAACGTTTAATCATAAAGATAGTAAGGGAGCAATGCTATTAACTGTAAGCATAAAGCAGGTCTGGGGAATCTTTAGCCCTGCAGATGTTGTTGGACTCAAATTTGCACCAGCCCCAGTGAGCAATGTAACATTTCACGGCAGCCTACAAGATTTTGTGAAGAACTTGCATACATTTAAACATACCCCTGAAAAATATTTTGAGAAATCTAGCAGTGAGTATGTACTTTAGATGCCAAAACACATTTCCACACATAATGGCACAGGTGTCAGCCAAAGATATAATGTGGTGTCCTGGAGCCTAAACATTTCATCTTCTTGTACAATTGAACAAAAGTCAACCATCACAGTGGCTGAAAAACAGATGCTTTATCATTGCATACATAAAACCAGCAGACTTGCATGTATTTTGGTACCTGAGCTCATTAAAACATATACAAAACGTGAATGAAACAACTGATGACTTTTTTGGGGGTGGGTATAATATGGATTCATTTTGATTCTATAATAAAATTGCATTCCTAGAACCAAGTATTACTTTTATTATGCAGTGTACTGCCTGTGATCTTTCTAGTCCACACCATGTTTTTCCTGCATGCTACTAACAGCTTCCACACACAAAAAGGATAGCATCGTTGGTAGGATTAAATCATGGTTTACATAACTTTGCTGCATTTCCTTCCCATGTTCTTTGTTCACTCTGCTATAACAGCAGATGCTGATATAAAACTGATGGTGAAAAACAATCTTTTGTCAATGCCACCCACTGTAGTGGAAATCTCTAACAAAAGCCTTTTCCTATCACTCATCTCCTTTGTTCCCTTCCATGTCTAGGAGATGTGAGTTCTCAGAATCCATTCATGATTTTTCAAAACACTTTCCTCTTCAAAACAACAAAAGGTAATAAGTCCCCACATATGCTATTCTTGGCATTGTTAATCTGGTTAATTTGCACATTTATTACCCTTTCCAAAAACTGAATCACTGCTTCCTTTTTGCCTTCTGCTGTGTTATCCAAGTGTTCAAGCCACAGTTCAAGTTCTTTCCAGGTATACTCAAATACTCCACTGTCGTGCAGAACCTGTTAAAAAAACAATTATCATGCAAAGCTTTCAGTTCTATTTTTGTATGTCAGCTCAGTGGCGTAGCGTGGGGGGTGCAGGGGGGGCCGGCCGCACCGGGTGCAACATCTGGGGGTTAGGGTTAGGGGGCGCAAATCCACGGGTTAGGGGGCGCAAATTACTTGCCTTGCCCCAGGTGCTGACAACCCACGCTACGCCACTGTGTCAGCTCTCATTTTGGTTGTTTGATTTAAAGAAAGAACAGCAGCAGATGGCAGAGTCATTTTTACCTTGACCCCTATTTAAAAACATACCACAATTAATGGAAAAACAGGTTATTTAAAAGTATATAAGCCTCATGTGTTGCTCCCTCCTCAACCACTTTCCTTTATCTATGCCGGCACAAAAGCCCCATCTTGCAAGAGCCTTCCATTCCAATTCCATAGCATACACCAATAGCGCTCACGTTAGTGTTTAAAGGCCATGTAAATAAAATACTGTCTCTATTCCTACTGATCTTCTTGGGTGTGATGATCTGTAGAGGGAGCCCTTTCAGCAGTACTGCCCTGCCCTCAGAAGTGGAAACCTGAGAGTGGGCTTTCTTTCTTTATTTATGGCTGTCTATAAATTCTGGAATTCCTACCCCATAGAGAAGTGTTCAGTATCTTCTAAGGTCAGCTTCTGCTGTATGCTGGCAACACACCTGTTTACACCCTGGCCTTTGACAGCTATAGTAGAGTGGTACCTCGGGTTACATATGCTTCAGGTTACATACGCTTCAGGTTACAGACTCCGCTAACCCAGAAATAGTACCTCGGGTTAAGAACTTTGCTTCAGGATGAGAGCAGAAATCATGCTCTGGCGGTGCAGCAGCAGCAGGAGGCCCCATTAGCTAAAGTGGTGCTTCAGGTTAAGAACAGTTTCAGGTTAAGAACAGACTTCTGGAGGTGGATAACATATGGAGAATTGGTAACAAGAGAGGGGGGGAAATGGAAAATGAAAACTTATGAAGAGGTGAAAGAATTTGTTTACGACTGGTTACACTACTTTCAGATTAATGAAATGTTTAAAAAAGATTGTAAAATGTGTGGGTATGAAGATAAAGAATCAAAATTCCAAGTGGAGGTATTGAATAATGAGTATAAAAACCTGTCTAAAATGTATAAAGTGTTGCTGGAGTGGCATACAAAAGATGAAGAGGTAAAAGTAGTAATGATACACTGGGCAAGAGACTTTGGTTACAATATACAGTATGATGATTGGATGAAATTATGGAATGAAAGGCTAAAATTTACGGCATGTACTGCGTTGAAAGAAAATGTAATGAAAATGTTTTACAGATGGTATATAACGCCAGTTAAACTGGCCAAAATGTATAAAACATGCAATAAGTGCTGGAAATGTAAAGAAAAAGAAGGTACTTTCTATCATATGTGGTGGGAGTGTAAAAAGGTGAAAGACTTCTGGGAAATGATATGCAATGAATTGAAAAAGATGTTGAAATATACGTTCGTTAAAAAACCAGAAGCCTTTCTATTAGGAATGGTAGGAAACGAAATCAATAAGAGAGACTGTAAACTGTTTCAATATGCAGTGACTGCTGCAAGGATACTTTTGGCCCAAAGATGGAAACAGGAAGAAATTCCAACAGTGGAAGAACGGAGAAGGAAATTGACCGAATATGCAGAATTGGACAAATTGACTGGGAAGATTCGATACCAGAAAGACCAAAAGTTTATCGAGGACTGGGGGGAAATTTACAGAATATCTGAAAAATATATGTGATGTACAGACAACGCTTGTTGGTTTTGAAGAGACTCTGTGAAATAGTAAGAAATACTGCAAAAAGAGAGTAAGAGGAAAAGGAGTGGGGAAAGGCAATATCATGTTTAGAAATGCGTCAATAAATAGAAATTTTTTGAAAGATTGACAGAGAAACTGAGGGAAGTCAAAAATTGAAGCATGAGTGTAAAATAATTTGTTGACTGTATAAAACTTGTTTGGAAAATGAATAAAAATTATTTTTAAAAAAAGAAAAAAAGAACAGACCTCTGGAACGAATTAAGTACTTAACCCGAGGTACCACTGTATTTTGTTTCATGGGACCCACCTCTTGTGCTGAATTTATACTGTTCTGTTCCATTTGGAATGATTTCATATGCTTTGAAATTATGTTTCTTTCCTGTTTTTATAATATAAATATATTATATTTTTTTCTTATTTCTGAAAAAAGATGGAACTATTAGTCCAGAGAACATTTTGTAAGGATTCCTTTAGGTAAGGATCATTCAAACTGGCTCTCGGGACCCTGAACGACTCTGCCAAAGGGTAGATCAAACCCTGTCTCTCCTTTATTGTAACGCAGACAGCATGGGAATAGCCTGTCCACGGGTTGCGGTGGAGAGTTTTACTGTCAGCACCAGCTACCAAATTCAAGCCTATGAAAAGAGGCAGGAACCTGTTTGGGGTGCGTCCTGTTTTTATAATTGTACATTTTATCACTGCAATCCATCCTGGGATCTTAGGGTGAAGTGCAGGGAGGAAATTTTGTAACTAACTAAAAGACTAGCACTGTGAATAATTGAATTATAAACATTTATATGGAAACAATTTTATTCACCTCAACCTACAAAGGGACCACACACTTCTCACACACATGAACCCCTAGCTTGAAGGAGAATCACATTCACAGTTTCCCCAGCTCATCCAGCAGCTAGGGCCATGTGTGTGTGGCCCTGTAAAAGCTGTAATCACACCAGTCAGCTGTTCAGAAGGTGAAGTGAGGGGCTGGATTTTACTGCTAAATCACCCAGTTTAGACTTCATTTAAAAAACAACAACACTACTGCATTAAAATGTAGGGTGGAAAGCAAAACTAGGGCAACCCCAAGGGGAGTTGTGTAACTTTTGGCAGTGCTTTTTCCTAACAAAAGTGCTCAAGTAACACACTGGAGGTTGCCTTGCAACCACCTGCATGAAGTCTGAACCTCCCCACACAGAAGATTTCATCAAGTATCAGTCCACTCATAACATCTGAAGGAAAACTTGATTTCCATAAGCAATATATTTTGTGTCCTTGAAGAGCAGCATATGAGTATTCGCAACCTACAACCAAATTCATTGCCATAATACAGACTTGATAACAGAGACTTGAAGAAAAAATTAAAAAGTGAAGTAACTAAACCAATTTCCTGGGAATACAGCAAACAGGCCACAAGAGGTATATTCTATGGAACAGAGGGGCTCTAGCCAGCCCTGCAGCTCCATTTCACTCACACAACAGACTTATGTGTGTGCAACCAATTTTGCTGTCCCCTCCAGCTCCCTGCACACCCTAAAAATCAACTCTGAAAGATTGGGTGTGTGTGACAGTTCTCTTGTGTGAGTGGAATGCCATTCATGCAATGTTGGATACAATCCAGGGTGTGAGTACAGTGTTCATGCTTATTACAAACCCTAACTCCAACTTTCTAAAGCAGGCTTCATCAAACTCGGCCCTCCAGATGTTTTGAGACTACAATTCCCATCATCCCTGACCCCTGGGGTCCTGCTAGCTAGGGATCATGGGAGTTGTAGGCCAAAAACATCTGGAGGGCCAAGTTTGAGGAAGCCTGTTCTAAAGTGTCTTCACTGTGAACAACTTTTCTGTGGGCACAACAAAATTTTGATAACTAGATAAAAAAAAGCTCACCTTAATAATCAATTTCTTTGTTGACGTTTTGAGGTGCAAATGATTGCTTGTTACGAACATTTTCATCAGCAAATAAAATACTGATCTTTCGCCAGAGACCTTCTCGGCTTCATCCTAGGAGGACACACTTTATTGATTACAATTCATAAAATTGTTTTGGGTCTCTCCACAGAGACTGATGCCTATAACCCTGTTACTGGCAACCTGTGCCAAGTGCCAGCTCTGCTTTCATAGAGCTTGGGGGTCAAGGTTGAACAATTCAGAGTTCCCCACTTCCCTTGAACACAAAAAGCGAAATATATCTTGTTGGTCCATAAGAAAAATTAAACATTCACAGTTAAGCAATACATTTATAGGACCAAAGTGCCACAAAATAGTAACCAAGTTTTTAAGTTCTATCAGGTTGGACGTTAAGTCTAACGTTAAGAGACACAGGGGAGAGGAAGAAAAGAAAATTCTCTTGATGTTCAAGCCACAAATACTGCATTTGTTTTTGTATACCCTGGAAGCTCCGATAAATAAAGAAATAAATTCATTAAAAATAAGAGCTCAGTCAAATGTTGTGTTCATATGTAATGGTAAGCCAGATTTTATGGCTTACATGGTTCACCAGGGCAAGTGGTGTGCTTGTGGCATGCATAGCCCAGTTGCATCCACTTTGCTCCTTTCCTGATGTGAGAAAGCCTTGACTTCTCATTACATCCAAGCTGGATGTGCCCTGACATAACCTAAAACTACAACTGCTGATTTGTGACCTGTAATGGAGCAAGAGACCACAATCCTTGGTTTGGATTGTAAAAGGATGCTAAGCCCTGCTGGTTTGTTCATCTAGCTTGCACCAGGGGAGCAGCAGCAAATTGGGAGAGATCAGGTGGTATGTACCAACATGTTTCTCATTCCTAATAAACCACAATAAGACAGAAAGTCTTATTTATCATTATGTGCAAACATGGCCTTTGTCTTAAACCGTAGGTGGGGCTAGGTGCTATAAAGCTTTCAAGCCACACCTAGGATTGCTAGACCAGTAACAGCTAAGCCTCCATTTCTGAAAATATAATCATAATTTTGAAAGCTACATAGCACCTAGGAGAACCTAATGCTATTACCTCTGCAGTCTTTACCTACATTATATGATTAAAAGCAGACTTTGTGGCTTCAAAATCTTAGGAACACAAGAAGGTGTTTTGTGTTGAGTCAGACCATTGGTCCATCTTGCTGCAATGACTGACAGCAGCCCTCCAGCGTACCTGGAGATGTTAGGGTTAAAACTTGGCCTTCTGCATGAAAGGCAGATGTGGTACGCCTGGGCTACAGCCCTTCCCCAAGCCAGCTTTCTCTTTTTTCTCCTCCACCCCTTTGTTCAACTCCAGCCTAATGAAGAATTCTGGAGAATCAAAAGCTCGCTTGCCTTCCTGTGACATACTGGTTGTCCTAATAAAGGTAACTGCCCAAACAGGACTTTTGTAATTTCACTTTGAATAGTCATTTGATCCGTTGTCTGTGCTCCCGTCTTCATTCAGAATCTCACACAACTGAGAAAACAGTCCTCTTTGTGAAATTCTGAGCCTCCCAAACAAGTTGTTTGGCATACCTGCTGAAGGGCAAAGCTTTATCAGTGTTTATCCCGTGCCCCAGACCCAATCCTTTTCCATTTATACAAATGCCACGCCACATGTGTTACAAAAGAGATAAAATAACCACATTCCTAGTTAAAATGCAAAGGGCAGAAGTGGGCACAGACATGGGCACAGTCATTCCTAGCCTCTGCAAAGTCACTTCTTGTTCTAAACACAAACTTTCAAAAGACTTTTCTGTAGTTAAATCAGGGAGAGGCTTTCTTCTTTAGAAAATACCTGTATACAAAGTAAAATCATGCCAGTGGAGAAAATCCTATGTAAGCATTTTGCTTTAAGAGCCAGGGACAGCTCGCAGCAATTCTTCTTCCTGAACTACAGTTTATTCTTACTAGAGGACCTAAAGTACGGATGGTGAATCTGTGGCCCTCCAGATGTTGGTGGACTCAGTTGCTCTCCCAGACTTTGGAACTCCCTCCCTGAAGAAGCCAGACTGGCTCCCTCCTTGGTGTCCTTCTGCCAGAAGGTGCAAACTTTCTTGTTCTAACCGGATTTGGGGACTCACTGCTTTTAACAAAAGGGCTAGTGCGTATATTTCTGGGCATAGGGCGGTATATAAATTCAATCAATAAAATAAAATAAAATCCTGTTTTTATTGCAATTGTTTGTATGGTTTTTAATACATTAGATAGACAGATAGACAGATGATAGATGGTTTTGATTCTATCAATGTTTATTTTTCAAAAAATTATTGATCCCCCCCAATGTATCTAGCTGCTCTTATTCTTATCTGTAATATGCCTTGAATCCCTGTAAGGAAAAAAGGCGGGGTATGAATATATATATATTTATGAATATATATATATATGAATATATGTAGGGACGTGGGTGGCGCTGTGGGTTAAACCACAGAGCCTAGGACTTGCCGATCAGAAGGTTGGCGGTTCAAATCCCCGCGACGGGGTGAGCTCCCGCTGCTCGGTCCCTGCTCCTGCCAACCTAGCAGTTCAAAGGCTCGTCAAAGTGCAAGTAGATAAATAGGTACCACTCCGGCGGGAAGGTAAACAGCGTTTCCATGCGCTGCTCTGGTTCGCCAGAAGCGGCTTAGTCATGCTGGCCACATGACCCGGAAGCTGTACACCGGCCCCCTCAGCCAATAAAGTGAGATGAGCGCCGCAACCCCAGAGTCGGTCATGATTGGACCTAATGGTCAGGGGTCCCTTTACCTTTACCTATGAATATATATATTATAATAATAGTGATTCCTATCAGCCACCAGTGTTGGGATGTTGGGACTTGTAGTCCAGCAATATCTGGAGGGCCAAAGGTTCTCCATCCCTGCCCTACAGCATGTTCAAAGCTTTATTGCTACCTCTGAGAACATCACTACTTGTATAACGTGAATATAACTGCTCACAACACACAGGTCTCTTGACGAAATGGATCTTATGACTGCCTTACAGACAAAGCAGATTAGGAAACCAATGAGTAAGACAGCTGGTCTTAATATAGGAGACAAAAATAACCCTCATGTTCCAACCTGCATTTTGAACCAGGAAAACTTGTTTGCAGGCAATTCTAGAGCCACTTTGATAATGTGATATTGTAGAACAGGTGGGATCTCCTGTCGCAGTCCTTTTTCAGTAATAATGCCTGTGGTTGGAAAATAATAATATTTTATTCCATGCATTATATTTCCAGAGCTTACATGATTTCAATAAAAACATTAAATTACAGAGGAAAAAACTAACTAAAACAACAAAAAGGAACATAATAGATCAAGGAGTATAAAACATTTAAGCACTGCAATACACAACAAATATTTAAAACCCTGGGAAAATGAAGAGGTCTAACAGCAAAATGTTATGTGAGGGCTATAGATCAGTGGCAGAGCTTTGCATGCATACATATCATACAAATGATTTTCAATGTGTGCCTTACTTCAAAATTTGAAGACACTTAAATTACCTTTTATTAATTTGCTAAAGTCAAAGTTGCTCTGTGCTACTAAATGGGGAACAGCTTGCTGATAAAGGCAGATCACGTGGAGTAAGACAGCTTTCAGAAGAGTGGTCTCTGCATCATCTGAGCCTAGAGTAGATATATTAATATAATTTAAAATAATATTATTATCAAAGACATAATACAAGTCTGTGAAATAGCAGTCAGGACCAAGGGTAATTTAAGAAGTAACCAAGTTAAACCATAATCATGGAGTCAGGCTTATGCATTTAACAGTCTAAGCCCAGCTCCCTTGTTTTGGTGCTTGGATCTGGCCCCGCCCCTTGTGCTTCTGCATCAACCACCACAAACACTGTTGCGCTAGTATTGGCTAGCAAAACCCTACACAGTTAAGTACTAATGCACTGAGGGTAGGGGTGGGTGGGTGGATATGGCACTCACAGTCAGAGCTACGAAGAAATTATCATTCTCATCCCTTCTGTGGTAGGAAAGAACTGCAGAATGGAGGGGGAGCGGCCATGGCGAAAAGGGAAATGGTGCACATCCAGACAACTCCTCTTGCCCCCTTGCAAGCCTTTGTTTATGCAGCAAGAGCTTAAGCTGTGCACAGGATAGGAGTGTAACTTAGCTCTGGAAACCATTTCAGCAGAAATGATAGCACTGAATTTTGTATCCAATCTGGCACTTGCGGAGTCTGCATAGGCTGCACCGTGACTACCCCAGGATAACTCAAAGACGTTTCTTGAAAACAGGAGCTCAGATTCTTAGAATAATATTAGATGCCTCTAAAAGCATCTCTCCTAGAAGAGGTCATTAACAGGGGTTGTCAAAGAACAGAACAGAGCCACTGTGACTCATGAGATATGAATCATTGTGCTCCACTGTTCACACGCACATTAGAAAGATGACTAAGGTTTTCCTACCATGCTCTCCATTTGTTTCTTTGCCTGCTGTTATTTCCTCCGAAACAGAAGCATCTTCCCCACTCCCTTTCTGTCCATCTTGTCCCTTCTCTTGCTTTAGAAGCGACTGCCAGACTGCTACTATGGTAGTCATATCTGGCAAGAGCTAGATTTGTTAAAAAGAAGACCAACATTAGCCACTAAATATTGTTATACAATTGTCTTATCACTGCAACATGTCTATAGAGAATTATTTACAAAGCAGGAATGGAGGAGAAAAGGGGAAAGAATATCCTATCCAAATTCATACAAAAATTTACCAGTCATTGGTTTTTGAGAAAGTCTGAATTACAAGATGAGAAGTATTTTAAAACTGAGAACTAGTTTTTGTTGTGCAACTGCTAATTAAACCCATTGATGACTATTCACTTCAGTTGGTCAGAACTAGGCTTAAGTGAATTGGCCTACAGTTTTTAATACTAATTATCACACTAATTATATAGCAGGTCCAAATACATGCATATCACTATGGTCAGTGTAAACAAGCAAGACAATGGTATAGGTTAACCACAGTTTATGGTTTGGATGACATGCTGAACTGCACGTAATCTAAAAACTGAAGCAGAGGTTTCCAATATCCCCCTCCTGGCTGCATTAGAGAAGGAAAGGGGAGAATACAAGCCCAAGAGGAGGATCAACTTATTCTCAGTTTTGCATGACATCCCAACATAGCCAATGAGATGCCTCAGCTGTGAGAATTGGAAAACTATTACCTTAGTTCAGCTATTACCTTAGTACAAATTGACTGTCAGTCTATAACTGTTGCCCCTTATTTTCAATATCTGCTGAAATGATAGGGGGATGATATTCCCCTAACCTGGTACCCTGATATGTGTTCTTCCCAGTCAAGTTTCCACATTCAGAATTCCAGAGTTATTGAAACTCTATTTTACCAACTCTACTAACTGGTGGAACATATCTTGCTATTCTAAGCCCCATGACTTAAAAATTGCAGCTAGTACCTTGTACAGAAATTATTTCAATAAAAGCATATAAGAAGTTTAAAAAATTAGTATCCCAGCATTCAGCAATTAAGCATTAATTAAGAAAGTCTTAAAGCATCAAGAAATAGTTAGCATATAATTTATAAGAGGGGGAAGATGTTAATAATCCATTAGAAATATCTTTGGATATTTTTCACCTTAGCTGTCAGGATACAGAAAGTGGAAGAAGAAATCCTCCCTGAATGGACGTATTTTCTGCTGCACAAAACTGCAATTATGCATCACACAGTTTTATTACTTTTTACCTTGCCAAGTGCTTCTCTGTATTGCTGGACGAATTCTTGCATCATAGATGGTGTATAGATTTCGGACTTCTCCCATAACGTCTCATTTAGACAGTGCTCAATGTTTTTCAGTGCTCTTTTCAAAACAGTTGATATAAGCGAAAAGATTGTATGTTTTACAGTTTTATTGGGTATCTAAAAGAAAAGAGAAACAAACTGTTACTGTGCTTCTGCTTCATCTTTCCAGGAACTGCTGGTGTGACCCACTGGTGGCATCACTTTCAACTGCCAGGAAGCATCAATGTTCCACGTAAGGAGAATGCCTCTCCATGCCTGAACTTTTGCAGGAACTGAGACAAATAGCAGTGACAAGAGCTCCCCACCCCCCAGCGGAAACAAGACACATTTTTCTACCTTTGCCTTTAATCTGCACAGCTCCACATCAATTATCACAGAGCTTCTGCAGAGTCAGACTCACTACTTTGAAGGAAGAGAGGGATAAAGGGCCAGACAGAGCACAAGTAAGTCCCACTGGGTTCAGTGAGACTTGCCCTCAAGTAGGTGTGCACAGAATGAAAGCGAACTGCAGCCCTGTAAAGTGAAGAGCAAACCAAGCAGCAACTCTTGGCCCAAGGAAGCAGGCAGACTGGAAAGGGTCAAAGCGTTATGTGGCCAGACAGAGTTTAATACATTCTGGGTACTTTGGACTGGAAAGGTTCTCCCTGCAAGACCTTGTAGGCATTTACTGAAGAGGGGATGTAAGGAGAGATTGGAAGGGTAACAAAAGGTGCAATAGCTCAACTTGGTGCCCTCCAGGTGTTTCAGACTATAGTTCCTATTATCCCTGATCAATGGCCATGCTGGCTGGGGGTTGATGGGAACTGTAGTCAAAAACATCTGGAGGACCCCAGTCTGTTTTAAGCACTGGAGAACGATCAAAAAGCAGGCAAATAGTTTTGTAAAGTGGGGTTGCCACACACTGCTACAAGACACTGAAAAATCATGATTTACTTCAATTATTTCACATATTTAGGCCACGGTATCAAATGAGCTATGCTAAGTTTACTGGCATTGTACCAAGAACTGTTTCCCTTTGATGGATTCCGTGTTGCTACAGTAATGTCTGAGAGGTGGAATCTACTTGGGTTGCCATTGACACTCCATTTTTTAGTATTTGTGCCAACATTTTTGCCATCCAGACAAGGTGGCAGCATCAGGACAGACCTTTGAGACAAAATAAGGCTCACTTGCTTCCCCTCCTCTTGTACAGCCATAAGGAGAAGGTGGTTGGAAGCTTCCACTTTAATTTTTCATTAACCACAATTTAGGATTCAGTTGTAATACTAGAATTAACAATCATAACGAGCCAGATTCATAAACCACAGACTGAAGTTGCCCTTGTTTTAGCAAACTACAGTTAAGTTTACTAACATAGTCTGTCTGAATGCAGATGCAATGCAAAGGTGTGGTTTGTCAAAATCAAAGCAAAATCTTCCTCACAAGCCCAAGGCTTGCACAGGCTCACTCCTATAGCATGAAAATTCAGCCACTGAGTTCTTGCAACTATTGTAACCTTCCATGGAAGATAAGCTTTGAAAAGTATAGTGCCAGCAAAATTGCTTAGTGGAACCAAAAACCTCCCCATTCGGGATTATAAAGAGAAGTTCTTACATTTAATCCTTGGGTAAACATGACTTTGTTGCAGACAGCTGGAATAGTTGTTACCATCACCATTGAAAGCAATCTTGGAAAAGGAACAAACTCTGTTGTTTTAAAAGCAGTAGAAATCTCTGGTTGAGCCTCATAGATCTGAAAAATTTATATAAAATACATATTGTTAAGACAGTGCTAATGAGGCCATGACCCCTAAAGCCAGTTCAACTGGACATGTACAAAGGACATGTACAAACAGTCTAAAATGCTTAATTCCTCATGAAGAGAAAGGTGTTTGGGGATAAACCAAACTGGTTTCCATTGACTGTTTATTTGATAAAGCATAGCTTTCTACCAGCAGAGAGGGATTTAGGAGAACTTCAGCCGTTTCCTGCTGTAGCCACCTCAAAAATTCGTGGAGGGTAAGGATATCAATGGCTACTAGTCATGATGGCTGTGCATCACCTTCAGTAACAGAGGCAGCAAGTCTCTGAGTATCAGTTGCTGAGAATCCTAAATAGAGAGAGTAATATTGTGCTCACTCTCTCTCTCCTAGCAAGCATTTAGTTTCCATAGCTTATCTGTTGTTGTCAATATTAATTCCTCCTGTTTAAGACACTTTATCCGGATGTTGCTAAGTAACAGAAAAGCTATTCATAAGTGTTCTAATCAAATAAAAAATAGACTGCCATCTAATTTCTCCATCACTGATCTCATTCTCTTAGTTAATATATTCTATTACTTTCAAAAACATTTTTCCCATTCATGAAGGTGATATACCAGGAATAAAGGATATGTATTAATCTCTCTCTAATGCATTTTAGTAAGAAGTTTTAAAAACCCCTCGCCATATTTTCTATAAATAACTAGGAAGACCTAGGGCTAAGTCAACTCACACCAGCTAAATGATCTTTAGCTTGAAGGATGGCCAATATCTTTTTGGCAACTTATAGCTCAGGGTCCCTGGTACAAAACTCAGTAAGCACAGAGGAAGATAATAATATATTGGCTCCTATTTAATCACCCGTTTTGAGTTGATAATGTGCTCTTTCTAAAAGACTTAGAGCAGATAACAGCAATTATGCCCAGAAAAAAGGTACAAGAACAAACTTAGCCCACATATTACCATCTTGCTTCCTGTTTATTGTCAGAGCTGTATACACGCCATAAGTGTTGCAGAAGCATAGAATGTGGTACAAAATCAAAAATTCAGTATCCTGGGAATCTAGGCTTATAACCACTCTGGCTTATAATTGTATTGAAGGTGTAAAGGCAATGCCTGGCAAAGTTCTAGATGTGAGTAGGTGTGAGCTGGTATTCCCATTTCTATCCCAGGGGGTAGAAATGGAGCTTCCTTATACCTTCTTTCATCTTCCACAACTGGCAGAACAAACACTTTAAAACCATTAGGAAATATATGCAGTAATGGACCCCAATATTAATTTGCATATTTGAATCAAATATGATTTTGCATGATTGGTACAGATCTCAGTGCACAAAGTACCATTGAATGTTGATTCTGCACAGATGGCACAAAATGGCAGCCAGTTATGATCAGATGTGGTTAATTCCTGTGCAAAAACATTTCCAAACTCAGGACTTGTTCATATGTTACAATGGCAAAATATCAACCTAGTAAAATCTTGGGCTTTCTGTATCATGCTCTTTTTAAGTAATATCGTTTCAACTGTGTGACTACAATATGTCCCTAGCATTCTTTTCAAGGACAGATCTGGAGGGCAGATAATAGAGAGGTATCATGTTCAGATAAATATAGTTAAGATAGACATTATTTACTCACATGGTGAGGTATGGGAGAAGAGCAACCCAACCCAAAGGTCTAACTGTTGGGATTTCTCCACAGTAAGAAATGCATGAACCAAAATGAGTCTCTTTGCTACTCCCCCATCAAATATAACTACAGGGGGGGAATAAAGATGTTTACTGTGATCCTAACACAGCAAAAAAGTTGCTAAATGTTATTTTCATGTACAAAGGGTATATTTTTCATAAAATTCTTACCTTCCTCAGCAATTTCATATTGTCTAGCCAAGCTGATTTTAGCCTGGGAACAAAAGAATACTGGGACTCCTTAAAGTATCTGTTCAGTAAATCTGGGCACACTTTGAATATGTTCACCGCAAGATCAGCAACCATCTCATCTTCTGCAGCAGTCTTTAAATTCACGAGAAAGCGCAAAAGAACCAAATTCCCTCCTCTAGTAAAGAAAGATTTTGAAAAACAATCACTATGGCAGCATATGCCACCATACAGTTGAAACCAATTCTAACAGTGGCCAGGATCCAAACAGCTGCTCTAGGCATGTGCAAGGGGGTATTGAGCATGCCCAGTGGAATTTGACTCTCCCCTGCCCCCCACTTTGACCTCCTTCTGATTCACAAACTGCTCTTGTAACATTCCTCAGTTTCAAAAGAGGTGTGCCATGGAGCAGAAAAAACTGCTATTCGGCAAACAAAACAATACAGCACCCCTACAAAGCTCCCTTGGGTGTATGGGATTAGTAAAGCGGCTCTTTGGGTGCAGGCAAGATGGTAAATAGGGCTCTAAATTCTGCTCAGTTTACTTTTGACAGAGAGAACCCCAAAAAAATCTGTAAGCTACTGAAATCACAGAATTATAATCTAATTTAGACACTTTAGATAGCACATAATTGGCACATTATTGTTTCAATTTCATTTGCAAGAAACAGTACCAGCTGAGAATTTGAGCAGGAGGTGGGATGGGAGGAATGACAGCCTAGGTACTGCAAAAACTAGCTAAGCGTAGTAAATCAGTCAAGAAATTCTTAGGTGGCTTTTATTTACCTTTTTACCTCACTAGCTGGGCTACATATAAGCCTTTCTCTTCAACAAAAGGGGTCATAGGACTGTTCATAAAGGAAGAAGCTTGTGACAGAGAGGCCATTCTTCCAGACAGCTACTGCCTGCACATGTAGACCAATCTTTTCACAAGCAAAGGCCAATGCTTCACAGAACTTTCAGCTAAGCAGTCTATATCATATGATGGCTCCCTAAGGGAAACCGTATTATATTTTTTAAAGCTCTGTTTAGGCTTCTCACTAAAAATACTTGAAGTATTTTCTTCAGCCTTGTCTTCTGGGAGCTGTGGAGTGTTGGGGCTCCACCCTGTGGCCTTCCTTTAAAAAGGAGATGACATAACAATTGTCAATGTTTCTGCCTCATCCAGAATCACGGTTTGGGACTGGCTGTGGTCCTACACACCAAGTCCACTTCCACCCCTGATGCAATGGACTAGGAAACATTCTGGGGTTTGGGGTAGCTTCCTGGCTGCCCTTCCAATTCTATCTTTCTTCATTTCCTCAGGTTCCTGACAAGTCTCAGTTCCATGGTGGGGAATACCTGCAGTCCACATACACCACAAAGCAATTTTTGTACGTTTGGTTGGTCTTGTTGAAAATGAGAATCTTTGATTTAAACAGAGAATAGCTGACGGGACTATTTTCAACCACCGGAGTAACTGGGATACTTTACCTGCCAGATGTGCCAAGGCTTGGATCATAAAAGTTAATGCCATGTTTCAGAGAACAACAGAGATCCAGTAAAAAATTATGGACGAGTTTCCTCACTAGGATCTTTCCTGCCTCTTCAGGATCCTGGGTAGCCTGCGTAGAGCACAAAGATCAATGTTTACTAGAATTTGTTTATTTGACCATAGCTCAGTGGCAAAGCACATGCTTTCCATGCTTCAGAAGGTCCCAAATGCAGTACCTGGCATATCCAGGATCAGAGAGCAAGGGAGGGGGAGGGCTCTGCCTGAGAAGCTGGACGGCTGCCATCAGTCAGAGCAGATGAGCAATGGGGAATACAAATCAACATTCTCTCTGGCTGGGAAGTCAAATTTGAGGGGCAGAAGGGGGTGGCATTTATGAGTAGGACATGGAAACTGGAGTTCCAAGACCTAGCAGCAACCAGCAGATTCTCAGAGGAGAAAAAGGTGAATGGTGAGACACTGTAAAAAGCTGAAGACACTGTCTGTTAAATGGCCATAAAATGGTTTAGGAAGGATCAGAGAAGACTTTTCTTCCTCACTTCCTTTGCTGTTTTCAGCTGTGCATACTAACCAACCTGGTGCCCTGCAAATGTTTTGAACTCTCAACTCCCATCCAGTTTTGAATTTCTGCCAGCCACCCTCAGACCTGCTGGTGCAGGGTGGGTAAAAATAACAGCAACAACAATCCTTATTCTAGGCAAAATAAATATTGTTTTACTATACGGGACCATATATAGCTTTCCTCTTTTTCTTGGGTTAGTATAAAGGCAAAACCCTTTCTGCTGAGGTTAAACAGAGAAATAGAAAAAGATGAGAAGAAACTGCTGTACCACGACATCTTCTGTGCTGACATCAGTAATTCCATTCCAGCGGTAGAGTGAGGCAATGTGGTTCAATACTTCGACAGTAAAAAAACGCACTTTCTGGGTCTTGCTAATATTTTTATTGTGAACTACCTAGAAAAAAATACAATACATACACAAATTTCAACTACAAGGCTGAAAAAAATAATCTTTTATTTTGATAAATTTATAATTCCGCATTTTCAGGCTAGAGCCTACCTTTGAAATTCCTTTGTTCAAGAATGGTCAGGTTTAAGGTCATTAAGCAAGACTGAAATGTTCTCCCATGCATTTCTAAATATTGCCCTTTCTGATGTCAGATTGTGTACATTTAACCTGTTTGTCCTAGGAAGAGTGCAGAGTGGCATTTCTGGTAGATGATTGCTTATACCACACTGGAAGATGAACAAGTGAATGAACCCTTGATTTTGTTAAGTCTTTAAGATGCCACAATACTGTTGTTTTTGCTTCAGCAAACTGAAACAGCTGCCCTTGCCCCCAGAAATTGAAGTTTCAAAAGGAAGCCAAAAGAATATAGTTATTTTTACAGGATGTACAAAAGATTTAAAACTTCCTAACAGTTGCTTTGAAATACTATTTTCTTGGTTGTTTAAAAGCTCAGCAAATTACAGGCTCCAACTCTTAGGGAATATTTTATGATCAAACAAAAGCTCATAACAGAAATGCTGACAAGATCTAAACTGTAGCCAAACATTAAAGGATTGGTAATTGGAGAGTCTTTGGAAAACCACAACAGAGTTATTTTCAGCAAATAAGATACACAGAGTAAAGTCACGTCAAGGTCATACCTTAGTTGCCAATGTGGAAAGTAGAAGGCTAACTGTAGAAATTCTATCTTCCTTCAAACCAGTTCGAAAAATATCTGGGATGAAATCTACAAACCATTTTAAAATGTTAAAAACATAATTGGAAGTTGGGAAGTGTTTTTAAAATGAAATCAGTTTTATCAAGTGTTGCCACTGGTGTTACCGAATGCTTTGGTCTACAAAGTGAACCAGAAGTGAATGGACTCAGAATAAACAATGAACTTGTACCGTGGAAGAGGGTAGCTGAATTCTGAACTCTACAGCTTCTACAGTAAGGATGGACAACTGTGGGGGAGCAGGTGAAATCTGGCCCATAAAATTGTCCCCAATCCAAAGACTCAAGTTTCTCCAAACAGAGCTAAGAAACTGGCAAAGCACTTTAACTTTCCTTTGCTGGGATAGAACAGTAAGGGAATCTTGCCCTCATTAAACTCAGCCACTTACTCAAAAACATGAGCAAAGGGTTTTTTAAATCTCCGTCTTCCTCGATTGATGCTATGTGAAGAGCACAGAGGTTTTGCTAAGTTCTCCCATTATGTATCTTGACAGCTAAATGCCTTGTGCAATACAACTCACAGGCGAATGAAAGTGAACTGCTCCTTCCTAAAGCTTGTATCCAATGAATTTAGGTACTCATAACATCCAAACACGGACCTCTCACTTCACAAATAAGAGGGAGATATTAATGCCTTTAAGAAACAATATTTATAATATACCTTTTAACTCCAGAACGTGGACAAGGATTGTGTTGTCACCAGCAATTAAAAAAGAAACAGCATACTGGATATATGCCATACGAACATCAGGCTTGCCCTAAATAAATGTTAAGAGACATTCAGCAACTTATAAACCCAAATGCCAACTCACTACAACAGTAATATGAGGGGCTTAATACATATTTAAAAGAGTGACTGCAATTTTAAACAGTTCACAGTCTTTTAACTAGAAGAACCATTTCTATGTTTATCATATTTCATAAGGTGAACTCCATCAGAAACTTAGGCCCTCTTTACCACTGTGGTGTCACTGCTTCCACGGTGGTTTGTAAAAGAGCCTAGATATGTATAACAACAAATGCTGTTGTGGTTTCCTCACATGTTTACATAAAACAAAAGCAGTCAAAATCCCAAGGGCCATAGATTATTTATGCATTAAACATGGGAGGAAGATGAACAATGTGTATCTGAAACAATGTAAGATTAACAGAAGAGGCGGTTCACCAGTCATATGAATGAATGAACCTTCCTATACAGTTGTACCTTGGAAGTCGAACAGAATCCGTTCCGGAAGTCTGTTCAACTTCCAAAGAATTCAACTTCCAAGGTGCAGCTTCCGATTGGCTGCAGGAGCATCCTGCAGCCAACTGGAAGCCATGCCGGACGTTCGGCTTCTGAAAATCATCCGAAAACCGGAACAATCACTTCCGTTTTTTTATTGTTCAGGAGCCAAAGCGTTCGAGTTTACAGGCATTCAGCTTCCAAGGTTCCACTGTACATGGGAAGCTAACACATCATCTTGGTGTCCCTGTTTTTATCAGCAGCTTTCTGGAGTGGAACAGCAGACAAACATGTTGCACTTCCATGCACACCTGCATTTTGCAGTAGCAAAATCCTAGGAAAACTGTACAATGTGCTTTTACTAAACTTTGGAAGGAATCCACAGCTTGAATCACACATTATGGCGTGTGTTTGTGTGCATATGAGCTTGCTTGCTGTGAAATTCTCACAGGATGACTTTGCTACTTCTTTTTTATGCAAGAAGGCATTTGTGTAAGGAGGAGGGGGGGACATAACAGTTACATCCATGTCATACAAAACATAGGTGCCATTTCATACAAAAGCTCCCCCCCCACAGAAAAATGATGTAGTAAAATCACGTATATACACATTTTTTAAAAAGCCTAAGTAAATCAAGAATCAAAAAATGTTTCCCCTGTGGATCAGTGACAGTTTGGAGCAATAAAACAATCCACATCAATGATGTTCTGCGCATGATATAGAAAGAGACTTAGGTATCCCCACCCCCAATTCTAGCTTTACTTTTCACACCACAAAAAACAAATACGGTTAAGCCATCACTTACACTCACTGCATATGTCCTCCTCTTACCTTATAATCTCTCCTCTTCACTAAACTAGGAAGGAATTTATTATTGAAATCAAAGTGGCTGTAGACATCCCTTGCAGCATCCGGCCCCTGTGACACCACTGCAGATAGCAAGATGAGGCACTGGCGAGACAGTCTGTATAAGCAACACAGGAGAAGGAACAGTACATAGGCAAACTAGTCAATGGAAAATTAAGAACTGACACATTTGAAATTAAAATAGGCAAGTTTGAATTATGTCAACTAAGAGAGGCAGATACCTAGCACGTCGGCACTAGACGGCAGATTTGTGGAGGGGAGAGAGGAATTCCCATTGTGAAAGCCAACAACCTTGTGGCAATGGGAAACTTTCCTGGGTACAATGCTCTATATTTTTTGTTTCATCACTTTTAAGACGAATGATTGAAAATTATATAGGCCACTTCTTTATGAATAACTCTACCAGGCTAAACCCTGTTAAATTATGGTCCCAAGGCTGCCCTATCATTAGAAATGCTGAGGCACATCCCAGACTGAAGTGTTTGCCTGAAAACACTTACCAATAAGCATCCAACCCAAATTTCCTCCCCTTTTGTTTTTTGTTTGAAATTCATTGCTGTAGCTTTTTCTTTACTTTTCTGAAGTTTGTAACTGAAAACCATAAAACCTAAAAACTAGCAATTTTGGCTGAGGCAGTCCACCTCAGCAGAAGATTTGAGGGAAAAGATTTCAGTAACTAAAGTGTGCTAGTGTGGTTTTATAATAATAAAACATAATCATATAAATGTTGCACCATTTGAATTTTGTACCTCAGGAAACAAAAATGTCTTGGGCCATCTTTGCCTGGTCTTTCAGTATTTGTAACAGCTCGCTTATTAGAAATATGGTTCCAGATTCCTTGCCAAAGTGCAGGAGAGAATGTCAAGATATGGGAACATATCTCCATTTATGGTGGGAATATCCACAAGTTTAACTGTTTCTGAATACTGTGGTTTGTAAGAATGCACTCAATGTAAAAGGCAAAATAATGCCATCCCTGCAATTAGCCCTCTTTACAGAGGAAGAATCTGTTCCATATAGCAGGGAACTGGTCAGTCACTTACCAGACTAACTATTGCAAGATTCTGGAGAGAGAATTCCGGAATACAAAAGTGTAGGATATTGCATTATTAGAAAAATTGACTCACAGAGTACATAAAAGTGGTAAGTTTATTTTAATTTGGTATTATTTTGTCACTTATAAGTATGGCCAGGCCCTACCAACAGCTTTTAAACACATGCGGTTGATGTGAGTAACTGTTATTTTTATATTTTTCTTCCTGCTGATGAGCCTTTTTTATAGTGGACCCCTGCACTCTGTAATGGATGCTGCACATTATATTTTGAATTTTTAAAAAATGTGCAACCACATTTTTGCTGGTGGAATAGAAGTGTCAAATAAATAAATACTGTATATGAACATGGAAGCAAAAAGAAAGGAGAGGAAGGTCATGGCAAATTAAAGTATTCTCCTAAATCAAGTATAAAGAGTACTTTGTGTACCATTCCAAGATCTGTTCTCAGGATTAGCATGATCCTGATCAATGGAAATATTGTTTCATTCAAGTTTTAGACAATTATATATGTTCTTTGGTTTGCAATGAACTTACCTGTGACTCTCAGAATACAGAGCAGCATAGATTAATCTCATGTAGCTATTGATCAGCTTCTTTACTATGTTCATCCCTACCACACTGAAGTGGGACAAATCACTCGCTGTTCGCAGCAAAATGCTTTCTAGAGCTTGAAAGATTAGCAGCATCTGCAACATTTAAATACTTTATTATACTTTGTTTATTGGGGTGGGTAGGTGGGGAAAGCAGCAAATATTAGTAGAACAACTTGAGAAGTCATCATCCTAAATAAAGTATAACATCTAACAAAAAAGGAAGCTTCCAAATGTAAAAATATAGCAAGTGCTTAGATCCACTGCTTCCTCCTGCAATGGTAATCTCTAAATCAGAATACAAAAAAGAAAGCAAAGAAATATTGCAAATGAATTGTGGACCCTATCTTTGCTAAACAAGGTCTTCAAGGAGACAATTTCTGTAATAGTAAGTCAAAATTTCCAAGCCAATGCTCCAGTCCTACAGTGTAACAAAATGCTTGCAGCCAATGCACAATTTCAAAGGAAGGTGGAACAACAGTGCGCATCACAAATGTGCAGGGCTACAAATCCTACAATATGAAAATATGAAGGAAATATTTCACAGACTTATTGTGAGGACAAATAAGATTATCATTTTAAGTGTTTCGATGTGTGAAATACTTGACAAACAACAAACGTTAATTTACCTGTGTGAAGGTTCCAGTGGAAAGTTTATTCCTTATTTCTTTATGCTACCAATCAGTACTTGTTCACTGTATACACAACTCATCATAGAATGCTAAATGCAACAAACGAAATACTGACCTCACTTTCAGGCCTCCTTTCGCCATCCAGAAGTTTTAAAATTTCTGCACACTCGACAGAAACTTTTATGTATCCCTCTACAACATCATACTGTTCTGCTGATGGTAATGATTTCGCTCTCGATATGAATGTTTCCAAACCTGGAACAAATCAAGGACTTATTCAACACTTGCCCGAAATCCTTGAGTGAGAGATGCTGCCATTCAGTATAGCCAATACTGAGCTAGATCAACCAGCTAAAGAAGGCAGCTTCCTATGTACCTAGAAACCACCACCAGCAAATTGCTGGCCTTAATACCTTGCCAATGCAACGTCTGAGAACAGAACACAGGTGCAGACAGACAAACAAATGGTGCAACAGTAACTAAGTGGAAAATAAATTTGTAATATTGCACCATAACGAAGTTGGAGCAGTGAACTAGGAGTCTATTACCTGGGTAAATCTGAAGATTTAAATATTATAAATAAAATCACTGACTCATAGAATTGCAGAGTTGGAAAGGACCATGAGGACCATCTAGTCCAACCCCATGACACTGAGATTAAGAGTCTCTTTTTTATGTTGACAAGCTTCCCTACCTGGGGACATCTTGCAAACTTTCTATCCCCTCCAACTGCGCACTTCTAGTGCAATATATAAACAATCAGTCCCATTTTGTGCTCTGCATTAATCAATATGCAGATATTTAGCAGTGTTTGTCTGCTAAAATAACATAAAATGTGCAGTTGCTGCCCAATGATTGGAGTTAATTTACACAACAATGTTAAAATTATTTTAGCTGTACTTAAACCAAAATGGGATTGTTACGGGCTGTACTTTTTACACTGCATTGCCATTTAACTCAAACGTTTACATTTCCCATTTTAGACCCTACTGTATATACATACTAACAGAGGATTACATTTCATGCATGTGATGAAGCAGGCACTACTAGACCATCCCATAACAAATGTGCTGAGTCTTTGAGGTGCCACAAAACTCTGTTGCCTTTAATGAATCTACAATCCCTTGTGCAATAAGAACTTGCAACAAGGGAACCACTTGAACTAACTGCGTAAATGGGAGAAAAAACTGTGTTTGAAATAACTACAATAATCCCCTACAACTATGCCGATTGCTGCTCTTTTCTTTCAAAAAGGGTTATTCTGATGGACAAGAGTTGCGGAGGTGGGGGGGAGATCTCTGTGACCTGCATCTTCCTCGATGGAGCAGTTAAAGTTAATTACTGAGCATCCAATTTTGGTGGAAAACTGAGCAATGCAACTCACTGGGGTGGCGAAGCAGTACTCGGCTATATAAATCAGCAACAAAGGGGGCGAAACCCGGGGGGCGGTGGTGGTGGGGAAAGGGTAGGCTACGCTATTGCCCAAGGATAGCTGCTTGGCCCTTGCCCAGACACGGATTCGCAGTGCTTTAACCCCCAGGGGTCGGGGAGAAGCGTTTGGGAAAAGAAGTGGCGGAGGACAAGCAACCGATGTGGCGAACACGTGGGGAAAGCAGCCCTCACCCTTCATGGCGGCGCTGGGGTCGCGCAACGTGGACTTGAACTGGGTCCCGGTGAGCTCCGCTGCCTCGCTGCCGCGGGCCCGCTTAGGCGGCGGCGGCGGCTTCTCCTTCTCCTGCCGCTTGGCCGAAGCCGGGCTTTTGCGCTTGGCGCCCATGACCAGGAGCAACCGCGACCAGAGATGGAAGCACGGCTTTGCCTCGCTGCTCTCCGCGGCAGCCGGAAGCGGTCCGGCCGCTGTTCTTTCCCCGGGAAACGGGCAAGCGAGATGAAGGTTCCGCTTTAGGCCGCTTAGAGAACTTCAGAGGAAGCCGCTGAAAGGAGTCCTTCGCAGCCCAGGAACCAAGGCCGAAGCCGACAGCGGCCCCTTCTGCTTCTTCAGATGCAGCCGCCATCCCAGCTCCCTCTTTGTCCTTCTCCTTGTGTCGTCCCCGCCCGACGTCTTCGGACTCCAGCGGCTGCCAGGGGTGGTGGGTGCAATGGATCTGCCTCGGGAGAAGCGCAACAGGTTCCCCTGTCCTTCCATAGAGGCTTTTTCGCTGGTTGCTGCCATATGAAGTGAGCGGTGCACGAGGGCGCGCACGCTCTAGGGGGCCCACCGAACCTAGAAATCTTAAATTAGGATGCGCAAAAAAATCCATTCTGCACACTAAGTTAGAATAGCATTGGTTTGTTTTTGTTTTTTCTCTGACAAGTGTTTCTACTTCCGAAGCTTATCCGCTGTTACGATCGAAAGAGATTCATAGCGGGGATTTTTTGGAGGCTAGTGGTGTCAGCGTGAATGTCTTATGCCATCTGACTTTCTGCTACTTTTGAAGAATTTTCTTGCTGCTTTTGTCAACTCTGGTCTTCAGTGATATGCTTTCCTGCACCGGTGCCTGTTTTTTCTCTGTCTGGCAACCGTAGTTGTTTATATTTTAAGAACACAGTGGTAACTTAGAGGCTCACCTAGTGCTACTGTGTGCTTTTCGTTTATCATGGTTTCTCAAATGTTTGCCTAAACTCTCCAAAGTGGAGCTTTATATGTTTCTAGAAGCATTAGATTGCCACATATAAATGCTGCTGTTAGCGGAGTGAGGTGGCAAATGAGTTTTCTTTACCCTTATGTGTGCTCTCCTGCCCACATTTGTTTTCCTTGTTGTCTGGGCACATGGTTCTGCATTTAGTACTTCATCACTAGTAGTATTTTGTTATTTTTATCTTGCTGCATTATGTCTCATAAAGTAAAAAACTTCCATGCTAGCAGAAATGTAAAAAAGAAAGTGGAGATTGAGAACCCATGCTCCTTCTGATGTTGCTAAACTACAACTCACACCATCCCTGGCCATTGGCCATGCTTACTGGGGCTGATGGGAGTTGAAGTTCACCATCATCTGGCCAGCCAAAAGCTCCCCAACCCTGGCATAGTGAAATGAATTTGCTAGCAAAAGATGTGATGGCCACCAGTTAGGACATCTTTAAAAGAAGGCTGACAGATTTGTGGAAGATAAGGCTATCAATGACTGCTAGGCATGAAGGTCATATACTTCTTTCAGAATTGGAGGCAGTATGCCTCTGAATACTAGTTGCTGAGAAATAGCAGCAGGAGAGTGCTATTGCCCTTATACCCTGGTTGTGGACTTCTCATAAGCATCTGGTTGGCTGCTGTGAGGAACAAGATGCTGGCTAGATAGGTCTTTGTTTTGATCCAGCTAAGCTCTTATGTTTGGCCCCTTCCAGCCCAATTATTCTCCAGGAGTATACATAGTCACAAAAACGTACCCTTACATTCCATGTTAATTGTTTCAGAATAACTAAGGTTGCAGTCATAAACACAGCTGCCATGGAGTAAGTCCCATTGAACTCAGATAAGTGTTTCTGTTTAGACATGCTTAGGATTGCACTGCACAGCCCTAAGCAGCACTCTTCCACTTCGGCACAAATTCTAAACTGTTTATTGGCTTAAAGTGTTTCCTTGAGATTTATTACAGTTGAAAAGGTTAAATTATCATGCAAGCATGATACTCAAAACACCTTTTGAACTTTTTACTGCTAAGAGAGCAGAATGTAAAATTAATCCTTTAAATGAGAGCCACATATTTCAAGTTTCTCCCCTTTTTATCCATTGTTGGTTATAGTTACTTACACGTATTTACTTCCTTGTGAAACATGTCTGTGAACCTAGCAGTGTTTATATTTTTCCAAGTAGTATTTAAGAGGTGTGGTCTGCTAGTCTGTTTCTTTGTATCCAGGGTCTAGGAGATTTGTGTATTAAATTTGATTCTGAATCAAGTTGATATACAAAGTGAATGTAAATCTTACTCCAGCTAGAATGTATATTCAGTTGTAGTATAATTTACAATGCAGTGGGCATACACTTTACATGTTATTAAAACTAATCAATTCTTCACCCCATCGTTAGTTATGAGGGACTTCTTCACAAGCAATGCCTTCTTGTAAACTTTTTTATTTTGTATTTTTGTTTACTAATATTGGAGTTAGGTTTATTTCCTTGCTGATTGTGCATTCCTATGCTACATAAATCCAGCATGCCTATCCCATACCACCACCACAACAGCAAAGCAATCCTGCATAAAGTCTACTTATAGGAGAGCAATAGATTGTTTTACTGGTCCTGGATAAAAATTGCACAAGCATCATGCTAAGGATAATGTGCACACACATGTTACACACACACACTTTCTAGTAGTGTTTTATTAATGTGTTTTAAAAGGGAGAAAGAGAGGAAAGATTTGACACTGTATTCCCAAAACATCACTGCATGTTAACACAGTACATTCCGGTCAGCAATAAGCACTTTTATTTCTATTGATTTTTGCTTACAGGTCTGCCATTGAATTCAGTAGGACTTAAAACCTTGGTTGGATCATATTCATATAATGCAGTGAAAAAGTGAATAAAATAATAACCTCCAGGAGAAATAGTGAAAATCTTTCATTAACATTGTTGTTGTTGTTTAGTCGTGTCCGACTCTTCGTGACCCCATGGACCAGAGCACGCCAGGCACTTCTGTCCTCCACTGCCTCCCGCAGTTTCATTAACATAGTCTTCATAAAATAAATAAGAGGATTATTTGTACAGCAGGAAATACAATTAAGATGTGATTACTAAGGATCTAATGTTGTAGGAAGCTACATCAGACATAAAATAAAACCTGCCAGCAGGCTAATGTATATCATATTGCTACTTCAATAAAATGAAGAAAGCATCTGGAAACCATAGGGGAAATGTTAGGCTCTAGTAACAGCAGTTGCAAACAGTTAATTTAGGACCCTGAATTATACTGAGTTCATAGAATCACAGAATCATAGAATCATAGAGTTGGAAGAGACCACAAGGGCCATCGAGTCCAACCCCCTGCCAAGCAGGAAACACCATCAGAGCACTCCTGACATATGGTTGTCAAGCCTCTGCTTAAAGACCTCCAAAGAAGGAGACTCCACCACACTCCTTGGCAGCAAATTCCACTGTCGAACAGCTCTTACTGTCAGGAAGTTCTTCCTAATGTTTAGGTGGAATCTTCTTTCTTGTAGTTTGGATCCATTGCTCCGTGTCCGCTTCTCTGGAGCAGCAGCAAACAACCTTTCTCCCTCCTCTATGTGACATCCTTTTATATATTTGAACATGGCTATCATATCACCCCTTAACCTCCTCTTCTCCAAGCTAAACATGCCCAGCTCCCTTAGCCGTTCCTCATAAGGCATCGTTTCCAGGCCTTTGACCATTTTGGTTGCCCTCCTCTGGACACGTTCCAGTTTGTCAGTGTCCTTCTTGAACTGTGGTGCCCAGAACTGGACACAGTACTCCAGGTGAGGTCTGACCAGAGCAGAATACAGTGGCACTATTACTTCCCTTGATCTAGATGCTATACTCCTATTGATGCAGCCCAGAATTGCATTGGCTTTTTAGCAACCGCGTCACACTGTTGGCTCATGTCAAGTTTGTGGTCAACCAAGACTCCTAGATCCTTTTCACATGTACTGCTCTCAAGCCAGGTGTCACCCATCTTGTATTTGTGCCTCTCATTTTTTTGCCCAAGTGCAATACTTTACATTTCTCCCTGTTAAAATTCATCTTGTTTGTTTTGGCCCAGTTCTCTAATCTGTCAAGGTCATTTTGAAGTGGGATCCTGTCCTCTGGGGTGTTAGCCACCCCTCCCAGTTTGGTGTCATCTGCAAATTTGATCAGGATGCCCTTGAGTCCATCATCCAAGTCGTTGATAAAGATGTTGAATAAGACCGGGCCCAAGTTAGAACCATGTGGCACCCCACTAGTCACTCTTCTCCAGGATGAAGAGGAACCATTGATGAGCACCCTTTGGGTTCGGTCAGTCAGCCAGTTACAAATCCACTGAGTGGTAGCATAGTCAAGACCGCATTTTACCAGCTTCTTTACAAGAATATCATGGGGCACCTTGTCAAATGCCTTGCTGAAATCAAGGTAGGCTACATCCACTGCGTTCCCTTCATCTACCAGGCTTGTAATTCTGTCAAAAAACGAGATCAGGTTAGTCTGACATGACTTATTTTTCAGAAATCCATGCTGACTATTGGTGATCACAGCATTCCTTTCTAGGTGCTCACAGACTGTTTGCTTAATGATCTGCTCCAGAATCTTCCCTGGTATTGATGTCAGACTGACTGGGCGGTAATTATTTGGCTCCTCTCTTTTCCCCTTTTTGAAAATAGGGACAACATTTGCCCTCCTCCAGTCTGCCGGGACTTCGCCTGTTCCCCAGGAATTCTCAAAGATGACTGCCAGTGGTTCTGAGATCACATCTGCCAGTTCTTTTAATACTCTTGGATGCAGTTCATCTGGCCCTGGAGACTTGAATACATCTAGACTAGCCAAGTATTCTTGTACTATCTCCTTAGTTATTCTGGGCTGTGTTTCCTCTGCTGAATCATTTGCTCCAAATTCTTCAGGTCGGGCATTGTTTCTTTATCGGAGAAGACTGAGGCAAAGAAGGCATTGAGGAGTTCAGCCCTTTCTGTGTCCCCTGTTTGCATTTCACCATCTTCTCCTCTGAGTGACCCCACTGTTTCTTTGTTCTTCCTTTTGCTATGAACATACCCATAACAGCCTTTTTTGTTGCTTTTAACCTCTCTAGCAAGCCTGAGTTCATTCTGTGCTTTAGCTTTTCTGGCTTTGTGTCTACACGTGCTGGCTATTTGTTTGAATTCCTCTTTGGTGGTTTCCCCCTTTTCCATTTTTGTACACATCCTTTTTAATCTTAACTCAGTTAAAAGTTCTTTAGATAGCCATCCTGGCTTCTTTAGGCACCTTCCATGTTTCCGTCTCATTGGTATTGCCTGAAGTTGTGCTTTTACTATCTCCCTCTTAACAAACTCCCAGCCATCATGAACTCCCTTTCCTTTTAGTATTACTGTCCATGGGATCTCACCCAGCACTTCCCTAAGTTTTATGAAGTCGGCTTTCTTAAAGTCAAGAAATTGAGTCCTAGTATGCTTGGCTGCTCCTTTCCGCTGTATAGTAAACTTCAGAAGAGCATGATCACTCGCGCCTAATGATCCTTCCACTTCTACCCCACTAACCAGGTCATCAACATTGGTTAGGACCAGATCTAAAATGGCTGTTCCTCTTGTTGCTTCTCCCACTTTCTGGACAATGAAGTTGTCTGTAAGGCCAATGAGGAATCTGTTTGACCTTATGCTCTTGGCTGAGTTTGACATCCAACAAATATCCGGGTAATTGAAGTCCCCCATTACTACTATCTCCCTTCCTTTTGCATGCTTGGCCATCTGTTCCAGGAAGGCATCATCTATGTCCTCTGTTTGGCTTGGGGATCTATAGTAAACTCCCACAATGAGGTCACTGTTATTCTTCTCTCTCTTAATTTTGACCCAAATGCTCTCACTTTGGCTTTGAGGTTCTAAATCTTGGATCTCTTCACAGGTATACACATCCCTGACATATAACGCCACTCCTCCTCCTTTCTTGTCTGGTCTGTTTCTCTGAAATAGATTGTATCCCTCCATTATTACATTCCAATCGTGGGACTTATCCCACCAGGTTTCAGTGATGCCTATTATGTCATATTTAGTTTGCTGTACCAAGAGCTCAAGCTCATCTTGTTTATTTCCCATGCTTTGCGCATTAGTGTACAGACATTGAAGTCCATTAATCATTCCCCGTGTCTCTAATTTAAGGCTTTTTTCCTCCCACCACTAGGTCTGCGTGCTGTTTGCTCCATTTGGTCTATGACATTTGGATGATCTTCTTCATCAATTGATAGACTCCTACCTTCAGGCGCACTGTCTCCCTCCCCCACATTAGTCAGTTTAAAGCCCTCCCGATGAGGTTTCTGAGATTTTTGGCAAAAACATTTCTCCGAACCGTTGTGAGGTGCAGCCCATCGCTTGCCAGAAGTCCATCTTCAAGAAACTGCAGTCCAAACCGTTCCTGTTTACACCATTTGCGAAGCCAGCTGTTCACTTCCACTATTTTTCCCTCTCTCCCTGGGCCACGTCGTTCAACTGGGAGGACAGATGAGATGACAGTTTGTGCATTTAATTGCTTCAATTTCCTGCCCAGAGCCTCGTAGTCTCTTTTGATCTTCTGGAGGCTATTGCTTGCAGTGTCATTGGTTCCCACATGAACCAAGAGGAAGGGGTATTTGTCAGTGGGTTTTATGATTCCTTGCATTCGTTCAGTTACATCTTGGATCTTAGCCCCGGGGAGACAGCACACTTCCCGAGACATCTTGTCAGGCCCACAGATCACTGCTTCTGTTCCCCTCAGTAGGAAATCCCCTATCACCACTACACGCCTCCTCTTAGGTTTGGTCAGGGTTCTTCCGTGAGCTGTCCGTTCCAAGGTCGCCTGCACATTCCCTGAGGACTGACTTTGCTGCTCGTCTTCATATACCTGATCGACTGTAATGAGGAGAGATCCTCAAATGGAGTCTGCTCTTTGTCTTCCATGCTAGGGGAGAGGACCTCAAAGCGATTGTGTATTTCTAAACAATCAGAGCGAACCCTGGGCCTCCTACTTCTTTGAGTCACGTTTCTCCATATATCTGGCTCCTGTGTTGGTGAACTAGCCTCCGTCTCCTGTCTCCTCCTTGGTGGAGACGGTGTGCTCTGTTGCTTCCAAGAAGAGCTCCAGCTCTCTAATTCTTTGGAGCGTAGCTACACGTTCCTCCAGTTGCTGGACTTTGTCTTCTAAGAGGGCAATCAACATGCAATTGCTGCAGGTAAAGGTGCCTGCAACCTTTGGCAAGATGGCAAACATTGCGCAGGAACCGCAGGCGACTGCAGCTGTTCCCTCCCCCTCCATCTTGAGAACGTGTCGTTGGGGGTGGCTACAGGGGTCCTCCATCATAAAAAGCGTGAAGACAGGACAAATAACTCCCCCCCCCAAAAAAAACCTAGGTCTCCCAAACGTTTGAGACTAGCTCCCCTAAATCTAAAAGATGGATCAAACTGCGCACGCTGCTAGGCCGCTGCCCTGCAAGCTCTGATAAGCTCCTCCCACAGCTAATCACCTGCCTCAACAGAAACCCTGCCCCCTCTGACCTTTGCACAGGGAGAGCAGCTAATCAGCCACAAAGAAAAAAGTTAAATAAAACCATCCTAGAGTTGAGCTAGGCTGCAGTCCTTTACAGTAGACATGCCTAGGATTGTGCTATTAATTAACGTTTAGAACTAGAATGAACAATCCCCTATCCTTCATTATTAATTCAAAGCTTTAACTAAAGGGAAATCTGTTTTTCCTCATTGAAAGATGCAAGGGCATGAAGATCAGAATCACTGCAATTTTTGAAATTTTAATTTTATACAGTAATGTATACGAAAAATAGAATTTGTGGGACTTTTGTTAATAGTTCTGAAATTTTATATATATATATATATATATATATATGAAAAATTGTCTTGGAATGCTTTGTTTATTCCCATTTCCATAGAAACGGAGACTGAGTCTGCAAACATGGGGTGCCTTGTTTTAAATAACCACCATATAGTGATTATTTTAAACTACTTGCTTTGTTTCAACTAGCCATGACATTCATTTCCATAGAAACAGAGCGAGAAATGGGAGCTGAGTCGTTAAAACTTTTGGGGGGAAGATTTACTTGGTGTCAAAGTGCAGGGAATTAAGTACTTTAAAATGGTCTCACTGGTGAGAAACTTCTGTAATTGGATTCAGACAAACAGAAATTTATCAGGCAAAGGAAGAGACTGAGATGTTTAAGAGAGTTGAAGGCATATCAGCAATCTTAAAAAGGTGGTGATGGACCTCTATAACTTGAAGTACTATTACAGTCATGGTGAGCCTGGCTGTAAATTTATCAATAATCTACTATAATCTACATTCTCAGGTTCCTCTTGTTTTTCTGACTGTTGCCTTAGAAAGAAAAAACCAGACAGGATCAATTTCATTTGTGTTAATATTGAGCAAGCAAAGGTTGGATGGTCGGAAAAGGATTGCAGCCCTAGTTCCATTTCCGCCTGCTTGCTGCTGCACAATGCTGGTACATGTCTCCTCAGAAACAAGCCTCAGTGAGTTCCAAGTGGAGTTACGCCCATCCCTTAGTAGGAAGGCCCTTCCTAAACAAATCCGTCAAGGTAACCTACGGAGCTATCCAGGCTGATAAATCTAAACCAGTTAAGAACAAAATAATAATTATAATAACATTCACACGTGCGCACCAAAACCATGACCTCCCCAGACGTTCGACGCAGAAGGCTTTAATTGGCGGCGTCTTCTGCCTGAAAGTTACCAGATCCTGGCCTTCGCTTTCAAAGCAGCAGCCGCCGTCCTCAGAATGGCTGTGGCGTTTTCCTTTTATTTATTCGCTGCTGTGCTAAGTGCCTTCCGTGCTAATCTTGCAAACTTTTGGGGAAAGGGGGAAAAAGGGAAGTTGAGGGGCGGGAATGGTAAAGCCGTGAGAGAGAGAGAGCGCAGACAGGAATGAGGCTGAGAGGGAGCAGGTGATGTATACTAATCGGGACGAGGGCTGGGAGGTGCTGCGTGGTCGGCACCCAACGACTGACTGGCTGGCTGGCTGGCTGGCGTTGGCTTTGCGACGCCAGTGCCAGCGGCGGCTCTTCCCTTTCGCTGCCACCCCTGCGCTCGCTCTCTCTCTCTCTCTCACACACACACAGACACTCACACACACACTCAGCGCCTCACACGCACTTCACTTTTCCAGCCGGGGGCCAGTCAGTGCTCGCTGAGAGGGACTTCCTCTTCAGGGAAAGAAGCTGCGCGGGGACTTTTTCCCTTTCCCTGTCAGGAGCCTTGCCCTTTCCTTCACTGGCTGAGGCGGCGGCGTCCCCATTCCCAGGAAGGACAGGGACGCGCACTCTTTCTTTCTTTCTCTCTGTCTGTCTCTCTTTCTCGGCTGGGGGCTGGAGCCGTCATGTGACCGGCTTGGGCTGCAGGGACCCCCCGCCTCCCTCCGCGCCATGAGTGAACTGGAGGCTGCTGGGCAGCATCCAAGCCGGCGCCAGGTAGAGCTCAGGCTGCCGCTCAGCCTCCTCTCCTGCCTGCTCCTGGTCTGGACCAAAGAGATCGCGGCGCTGGCGGACTTCTCAGGTAAGGGCAACAACCTCTGCGCCGGGTGGGCGACGGGCCAGCCCCATCTCAGCAGCATCGCCAGGCAGGGCGGCCACCAGGCGGGCAGGACCAGGGAGGGGAGCCTCCCTCTGAAACGGGCTGGCATATAGGCACACGGTAGGGACGGTGGTTTTCCTTTCTCTTCACCTAAGGCAGGAAATTCAACAGGTACCTGATTCCTCCTGCGCAGAATTCAGTACAAAACTTTGCTCCATGGTGCAACTACATAAGGCTCTACTGGGGGGGAAGGGAAGATAGATAAATTCTAATACCAAAGTATTGATATATTTTGCTTAAGCTCAGCTCAGCTTATTTAGTTTTTTGCAATCTCTTTCAGGAGAGAGAGAGAAGGGGTTTTGCCAGGTGAACACAAAACATTTCCAAGAAAAACCAACTTCATTAGAGATCTTGAACTGATAATGCTTTTGAAGTCCATTCCCAAAGCTGCCAGGTGCTGTACATTAGCTAGGGTTGCTATACTCATTACTTGGAGAATCCAATGTCTCTTACCATAGGCAAAGTAATGTTCTGCCCACCATTTAATCCCCACAACCAACACCTATGGAACTGGAAGTGTAGGTGGGTTCCCATTGAACCTGAACCAAGATCCATTTCATTTTATAAAAGGGAGTACTGGATGTGCTTCATTGGTAGACTGCATGCTGTGAATGAAGATGAACTCTCTGGAATGCTTAGCTGCTGTGGTATAGAAAACCCCCATATTGTCAAATATTGCTGCCTACATCATTTTGACAGCTGAGTTGGGGCCCATAGGGATGGGATGCAGTGAATGAATACATGTGACCCTGAAGAAGTGACCAGATACATGGTGTGCAGCTGCTTGCTTAGGCGTGTGTTTGCGAGGCTTTAGGTAGCTCAAGGCCAGGAAGGAAGGCTGCATCCTAGAATAGTATCACTGTAAGTGGGTGCAGGTTCATGGCTAGACTAGAATGGCTCATCAAGGGTAGAGGATGTGCTTTGAAAGATTTGCCATGCATGCTTAAGAAAGCTACATTCATAAGTAAATGTCCTGGAAGATATAATCTGCAGGAACCCAGACCAGAGGCACATATAGACAAGATCATGGTGTATGAATTATTTGCTGCTGAAAACTCTTCAGAACTAAAGTAGTCAGAAAGCTTTAAAAACCAACAAACACACCAGCACAGAACCAAAGAATGCCATTTTAGTACTTGCTGTTGTGTGCAGAATGAAAACTCTAGCCAACTTAAGAAACCTAAACATGAAACAAGGCAGAAATTATTTTGAATTAATTTAGACTGAAATAGCATCATACTGATGATCTTGTATATGTGCTCTATGAATTATAAAACTTTGAAATTGTGAATAGCATTGTTCTAAGCATATGATAGAATTGTTATACTGACATTATTGCCCCAATTTAGATACAGTGATATATGTATGTTCCTCTGAGTTGCTTTCAACTCTACAATTTTATGACTCTTATGATTCTATGTTTAACTGAGTTACCTGTATTGTGGATAAATAGATACAGTACTCAATACTATACATGGTTTGCTCAGAGGTCAGTCACATTGAGTTAAATGAGACTAACACCTAAGTAAGTGTGTGTAGGACTACTGTGTTGATCAGTGAAAGGTTAAGGTGTTTAAACTGGGGTTGGGGTTTCACAGCAACTGGAATACTTAAAACACAGCAGAGGAATAAGGCATTCAGTACTGTTTTGGTGGGACTTGCTGACAAATATTATTATTATTACTATTACACCAAAACAGGCTTCTAGAGAAACCATTAGCACGGCTTAAGTGTACCAAAACTCAGACCTCCACTATGAAGCCAAAGGGCAAATATGAGTCAATGGGAATTCAAAGATTTTCCTCACCCACACACAAGCATTAAAAAAGATCCATGTATTAACCCTGTAGCCTTGAAAAGGAACACATCTTAATCAAGACTGCTAGATCTGCACAAGAAATGGACAATAAGAACATGGTTCTTATTCTTCCCCTCCCCCCTGAAAGTAACATTACAGCACTACAAGGCTTTGGTGATTAATAAGTACCTTAAATAAAATATAAAAGAGAAAGCATAAGAGACAGCCTAGTGCCACTTTTCAAGATTTAGTCTCTGCCTTGCTATGCTGTAGGCAGCTTTTTAAAAAATTACTCCTATGATCGGAGTTTCCTAGCTGGTTGCCAGAATTATATTTATGGCCCGCATTAGCAATCTGGCAAACCCTGAAATGAATAGGATCAAAGTTAATTGCAACTAGCTTGATTTCAATGGGATTTAAGCCTAAATTAAGGGCCAAACTAGATGTGATCCATGCCACATAATTTGGCTTTGTGTAGCTGCTTTTTGTTTAACAAAATTGTCAATAGGAACTTTCCTCCCATTGCAAATAGCAAGCAAAGATGGAGGCTGATTCCTATCATGTCAGGGTTAAAGCCAGCTCCCCTGCCACAATGCCATGGCCCCAATCCAGCTCAGCCTTCACCCTGGGCTATTTGTTAAAAATAAACTGCACCAGGCTACTGCTACATGGCAAATATTACATGTAGTTCTTTTGTACTGAGCTCTGTAAAAGCTGCAGAACTACTTGAGCCAGTAACATAAGGTCTAATGATGGACCAGTGCAAATTTGAATGTGAAATGATCCCTTGCATTGAAAGAAAGGTTATCATCATTTCCTTGAGCTACAACCTCTATACATGCAATACATGTAAGACTGGGTTGTAAGTCTTTAAAAAGGTAAAGGACAAGGACCCCTGACAGTTAAGTCCAGTCGCGGATGACTCTGGGGTTGCAACGCTCATCTCGCTTTACTGGCCGAGGGAGCCGACTTTTGTCCACAGACAGTTTTTCCGGGTCATGTGGCCAGCATGATTAAGCCGCTTCTGGCGAAACCAGAGCAACGCACGGAAACGCCATTTACCTTCCCGCCAGATTTATCCCACCTATTTATCTACTTGCATTTTTGGCGTGCTTTTGAACTGCTAGGTTGGCAAGAGCTGGGACAGAACAATGAGAGCTTACCCTGTTGCGGGGATTCGAACTGCCAACCTTCCTATTGGCAAGTCCTAGGCTCAGTGGTTTAGACCACAGCGCCACCCGCATATTACTTGCATATAATTCCAGGATAGAGAATATTGGATATGATCCAATATTCCAACACCAGGATATGATCATAAACTATGATGCTATGCTGGCATGCATTGCAGGGTATTTTATTTGGCACTGCACATGGATGTACTAGAGTAAATACTCATAAACAATGTGCCAAGTTTTCTTTCTTTCTTTCTTTCCAATAGGACTCTGGTTTTGAAGTGCCTAAGGTTATAGTTCTTGGAAACAATCTCTGTTTAAATTAGTGGAACTTACTGTTCCAGCAAGGCAGTCCTATGGTCCCAGTATGCTGAGTAGCCACTAAACTAGGACTAACATTGACATAACATTGTCATGAGCCTATGCCAAACCAGCAGCAGAGTCAACACCACAACAATAACTTGAGCAACAAACGCTTAATGTAGCAACATTGACCATAGTAACCTTACTATGTAATACCCCCATAGTACCTTAGCAACTCCACAACCAACTACTGATGACATCCTCATGTTATCCATGTGCAAGGGCACCCACCAGAATGCAGCAACCACATCCTCGCCTTATCAAGAATAAACAAAGTGCAGAAGCATGCTCCAAGGAGTAGACAACTGCACAATCTATGGCCTGAATTGCCAGGAGGAATGTGCGTAGAATGCAGAGGCTCCCCAGAAAAAGAGTTCAAGTCCTGCTGGGGTGCCAATGATTTCATACACATGCAATTTTAATGTTGCACAGAGCATGTACATGTGCACACAGACACATGGAGCTGAAGGAAGCCTATAAGTGGGATCTAGGAAGTTGGTCAGAATTAAGAGGGTAAGTCTGAGTCAGTGAAGATTGTAGTAGCCCAGGCAAAGTCCCAGCCTGAGCAGAGAAACCTTACTATTAAGGCAAATCAAAGGCCAGCCTGGATGCTTGGAGCTCATCCAGTACCTGCAATTGCTTTATTGTTGTGACTGGAGGGGGGAAATGGTGGGTATGTGAGGCATTTTTTGTGGGCATAATGCTATGTCATCGGGGCTTTTTTCATCAGTTCCGGCACCTTTCACGTGGATGCCATTGCCATTATAAGAGAACAAGGAAGGTGTTCATGGTGAGTTCTGGCACCTCTTTTCCTATAAAAATAGCAGGGTATGCCATCATAATTGGTAGGATCAACCACTGAATGAATATAGGATTCTGGCTAAGGTTCATTTCTGCCTCTCTCCAGTGGCCTCTCACACTGCGAAGGAATCACTACACAGACATTATTTACTGACAGCATAGCTCTGTGGTTTGCCAAAGAGCTTTGAAGGATCCTGTACTACCCAGGGGGCATAACTTGAAGTTAGGATTGCCTGAGGGCACTCTCAGGCTACTTATTATAATGTATAGAGACTCCCCTACATCAGCGGGGCTATTCTGAAGTAAAAATATTGTGAACAGCAGCTTAATGATTATGGAAATCAAATACTTGTTCCTAAACTATGTACATGCTTGTTCACACATTCTCAGTTAGGGGGTGGAATTCAGAGTTTTCACCCTGCAATAACTGTTGACTTATAGGGAAAATAGATACATATTTATAGAGAACACTGTTTATGTTTAAAATAAAATTATTTGAATATCAAAATTTCTCTATGTACTTGGGTGGGGGGGGGTGAGCGGGAGAAGGAGGGAGGGAAGTCCTGTTGCAAGTGGAAATCCTGGCACTGACAGGGTGGTTACTTAGCACTGTATTGGATACAAGCCAGTTGCTATAATTGAAAAAGAAATAGACCTTACCACTTTGAGGAAGACTGTGACTAGGTCACTCAGTCTGCTTCAAGCCCCTGCTGTCCCTCCCTTTAACTCAGACTTGGACATGGCAGCCCTTAAACAGAGGACTGTCCTCTGTGAAGTAGGACATGTGGCCACCCTAATAGCATGCTCAGAAAAATACAGATTGCATTATCAAAGTCAAATCAGCATCTAGACTACATTTTGAAATGGGATACTTACTGCACCAACTATTTTGTGATTGGATTTCATGGGAAAGTCTTCCGTTGACTGCTATGAGCTGGTAAACACTGTAGGCCTTGCCGCAAGCTCCTCCTGTATATGCTGTCCTTCCGGATAAAAAATGGTGCGTACAATTATTGAAGCATTGATCTGTTCAGCAGGAATTAACCTTTGATATAAGAGAGATAAGTTATGCCCCAAATAGGCATACAAGTCTTTCGGTTATAAGATTTAAAAAAAATATATAAATGTAATCCTTAGTTTTAACCAAGCAGAGTTAGAAGTCAAATACTCTTTGCCTCTTAAAGAATTACAAACAGCATTATAGTATTATAAATATTTAGCATCTAAAGTTTCTGACCTGCCTCAAACTTTCTCTTCCTTTTTCAGCAGCAGAGGGTAGATTTTCATAAGCTCGGCTGAGTTTGTGAAAGCAAATCCTTTTAAAGAGACAGTCTCTAACAATGAGTGCAGTTAGTGATACCAAGTGTCATTGATCTCTCTCTCTCTCTCTCTCTCTCTCTCTCTCTCACACACACACACACACACACACACACAGCAGCTTAATGATTTTGAAAATCAAATACTTGTTCCTAAATTATGTAAATGTCTGTTCACATACTCTCAGTTGGGGGAGGGGGTCCAGAGTTTTCATCCTGCAGTAACTGTTGACTTATAGGGAAAATAAATACATATTTCTAGAGAACACCATTAATGTTTAAAATAAAATGATTTAAATATGAAAAAATATATGTACTTGGAGGGGGGAAAGCGGGGGACATATGTGTGTGTGTGCATGCACACATTTTTTGGTTAAGAAAAACTGTAAAACTTCATCTGACAGCAAAATCCTTAGGTGATGCAATGAACCTGTACTTGGAAAAAATAAATAAAAATTACAGTTTGAGAAATTCAAAGAGTTAATCAATTGTGGAACAGTTATCTGTAACAGGTTCCAGTAATGAGAGATTAATGGTGCACATAGAGTTGGGGGGGAAAACCTTGCTTAAGTCCTTTCTTCTCTGCACAGATCTTGAGCTTTCAAATTAAGATTATCAAGTGGCATACTTTCCTGGGTCATTGATTTTTCCACTCTATGTGGTTTTAGCATCAGTACTGTATCTCAGCAGACTTGGTACTGGACTCCCCACCCCAACACTTACCATCACCACTCTACAAAAAATTATTTGCCTGCTGTGACAGCTGGATGAAATGATTGCAGATTTAATTACTTTTGCTCACTTTTGAAACATGTGAAGTTCAACTGTTAGCCTGAGCTGAATGTGGTTCATGTATTAAAGACAAAACATCCACTTTTCAGAGGCCTAAGGAACAGATACCATTTACATCACCATTTGCAAAGGATGTGTTAAACAAGACTATTTAATACTGTACAGGTTGTTGCTGGTGTGTTCAGAAGACTGAACACATTTTTAAACAGCAGAAGTTGATACAATAAGTTTATCGCTTTCTTTCTGTCTCCAAGGTTGCAAACTGTAGATCTTACTTGAAAACAGTAGTGTAATTGAAATCATTGTTACTTAGAGTATATTTTGCATTCTGATCCTAAAACATTAATTAGAAGTAATACCTGAAGATTTAAATCGGTTTTACTTTCAGGTTAAGCACAATTAAGGCCAGTTTTTTCTTCCTTTCCACATACACATACTTCGGAAGTTCTGCTGAAATTTCTAGGCTCTATTTCCAAGGATATGTGTTTAGGGGAAAGTGTCTCTTGTAATGTTTGAAGGGATGTATATGGTTGTTAGGCAGTTTATGACATACAGCAGCTGCCCATCTCTGTACCTGTGATGCACGGGTCATATTCTGCCATTGTTCTGGCAGTTTTTCTATAGAGACTGATCTCCATGAATGAAAATGTGATCTATGAAGTTACATAGCATCTTTACTTGCAGAACCTACATAAACTACATCCCTGCTAGTTGTGCATTCATATTCTTACTATTATGTTCCACCCAGTTTGCAAAAAATGTACATGTGTCTTATAAGAGGATCATCGTTCTTGCAGTTTGCACTTTTTTGAAAATCCACGTATATAAAAATTCAGATATTTCTTTAAAAAAAACAACTGGAGAAAGAAAGCTGGATTCAGATCAGAAAAGGGCTGACATCATATGCATGCGAAAAATGAGAAGTACTATTATTCACTATATTTGAATTCCAAAGAAACAAAGATCCATATGTAATCCATACATCTTCATTATTTGTTGCTATTATAATAATGCATCCCATATGTGCCAGGAATTACAATATAGTGTACAGATCTCCTTTGAAATTTTGTTTCCCATTTGTTGTAATAACTGATTTGATGTGCTTACACGTTTTTGAAAGAAGAATGAAATGGTAGAACATTGAGCAAATGCTTGATTCTTAGTAGTTTGCTAAGGCTGCAATATTGTGCACACGTAACTGAAATGAGTTTGAGTTAACATGCATTGGATTGCTCTGTAAATGCAGTTTGTTTATTGAACTGGGTGTTTTTCTCTTTGATCCCATGCCACTGGTCATCTCAAGCACTTCAACTGCTGCTCTGTGACTCCCATTCATTTCAATAGGACTTCCTTTTGTTTCTTGGGAATACATTCCTCTGCTAACTGCAGCGGACACCACTCTGGCAAGAGGGACACATATTACGTTCCTGTGCAGAGGCAGAGAAATGGCAGAGAAATGCAATTCAGTTCACATTTAAAGATGAACCTAATTCACTCTTTCTGAAACAATATGCAAACTGAAACACAGCTATCATCTGAAACTTGTACTTATCCAAATTTTGCAGTGCGATTTCTGAGCCAAGAAATGTGTGCAGAAAACACATAAGTAAGGTGTCATAAAATGTATATATTAGTGGAAACAACATGCAAAATGTATTATATTAGGGGAAATTGTTTTGCATAAAAGTATGTATTAGGCATAACTGCATATTAAAAATATGCATATTAGGAGAAACACACGCTGAAATGCTGAATAATTTTCACATGGGCTTCTTTGCTAAAAAATTGCAAACTGTGGGAAAGTAGAAAACTGAACCTAAGATTGGAAAAATGAGAAACCCTATACTGTGCAGGCGGCTGTCATCACATTATGCATCTCCATGATACTGCCTGTGGCCTCTGGGAACCTGAAATGTTAGCTTGGAGACTTTCACAATATAATAGTAGCCATCTATGCTGAAAGATCTTCCATACATTACAATTGGCATCTGGGTAGCTCATCATGGGAAGCTATTTTCAGTGGCATTCCTCTAGCCAAAGTAATGCATAAGCATATGAAGTGGTCTAATGTTGAGTCAGATTACTGGTCCACGAAGCACAGTACAGTGTCTGGTCTGACTGATAGTACTTCTCCATGCTTTGGGGCAAAAGCCTTTTCTTGTGCTACAGGAATTGCGGTGCAAAGCACTATCATTGAGCCATATGTTCCAGAAATCTAGTATGGGATAATATCCACCTAAAAAAGATTCAGCCTGTAAATAGTTTTCCTTAAGATCTGCAATATATCCTTGCAGGTATACCTAAAGAACTGACCTTTTAACTACTGAGTTATAAGTATTTAATAGATACAGGTTTGGCTTAGTTCAGTGCCACTTCTTAAATGACACTTAAACACACATATATACTGCCTGTTCTGTAACACACATCCAAGTAGTGTGCAAAATGCAAATACAATATATTTTTAAAATATATATAATAAATTTAAACCAAAAGCTTAAAATCACTGGCATTATGAGCCACCAAACACCAAGGTGAATAAGTTGGTTTTCAGCATGTACCTCAACTGCAGATTCAGCACATGCTTGGTTTCAGGGTGAGGGGGTTGGGAAAGGCTATTCCAGAGTGTGGGTACCACCACAGAAAATACCTTCTTCCTGGCTGGTTGTTGCCGGATGCATGTCCTTGGCTATGGTACACCTGCACACACCAGGAAACTTATTGGAAAAGGTCTCCTAGCCTTGGCCAACTTGGGCAATATGGGTCAGGTTAAGCACAATTACTTGTTTCATTCTTCTAAATCAGTGTGGTATGAAGATCATCCTGCAAGGAAAGGGACAAAAGTAAAGAGAGGGACAGCATGCAGTAGCTTAGGACATTCTGATTCCAAATGGAAAAGGACTCTTGAAGATGCCAGGAAGCAGGGGATGGAAATAATGAGTCTATAGAATGAGGAAGGCTATTTAAACAAAGGCCAGTGCACAGAGGTGATAATCCCGTCATGTAGTGTCCTAGAGATACTAGGCTGTTCCTTTGAAATTTGCCGTTCTGTTCTACCAAGACAAAAGGTGGCATGTTCCACATGCCAAGCCTTAAACCTTGGCTGGGTTTGAAAGAATGCAAGGACAGATAACAGTTTGCATAATTTAAATAAATATTTTCTGTATTGAATTTTATCTAGGCAGGCATACCAATTGTATTTTGCCTATTCAGTCCTGTTGATTCTTCCTTCCTCCACGCCTACTTAGAAGAGGTATTAACATCATATTATGGGGAAAGCCACTGTTAAATGTTCTAAGGTGAACAAAAGACTGCGTTCTTGGCTCAGGTTCAACTGTAGTGTAATTCAATGTTATCTTTGGTTCAGAACAATTACACCAGATATAGAGACACTTGACTTTGGACATGAGTGTGTTCAAAGGCAATGCTGAAGTAATCCACATGGCATGTTACATGTGTTGTTCAAAAATTTGGAACCTATAGAGAAATTATATACTACACAGCTGCAAACCCCGCAAAAGAGATGCTAATGCAACATGTTTTATATTTTTCACCACAGCAGTTCCCACTGCCAAAGTGAGAAAGGACTGAACAGCAGCTTCACTTGTTAGTCAAAGTTGCTGTAGCAAAAGGAATCAAGCACAGTTCTGGTGTGCACACACACTGCTTTTTGGATTATGGCCGCATGTGGATTTTTCTGAACTAAAAAAAAACTACAACTTTTGTTGTCTGCACTGCTGCTCAGCAACAGATATTTGAGAACTGCACATTCTGATGATTGCCATTGAAAGCTAGACTTTCAAAGTGAACATCTATCTCCACATCACAAAGGGTTAAGACAATGCCAGCTACTGGCAAAATGCCTATATTTGAAAAGAAGACTATTGTATAGGAGTGCTTTCCCCTGTGTGGCAATGCTGCCCGTCCTGTTGCCACTGTGAGAATGTGCATTGACAACCCACACTGCAAGAATTTGAGTAATGTTTACAATCCACAGCGAAAACAGAAAAGAAGATGAAGATAAAGCGTTAGCATTGTGTGCTATTCTTGGCTGGCTCGCTAACAGAAGGACAGAGGAGCATGGGGAATATCAGAAAAATTAACCAATGCAAAATTTAAAAAGGGGGAGAAGTAAGTTCATAAAATAATATGAGAAACCATAATGTAGGCAAAGACTACTGATTTGCTGAGCAATTTTTTTATGCTAAACCGTAGAGCATGATGCCCTGGGACACCATGACAGCCTCAAACAGCTGCCTTGGTGCCCATTGCTTGGTGCTCATCTTCCTTGCTGTATTATACTGTATTGATTAATTAGTGTTTTTATGGAGCAGTCAAGTAATTTCGTTGTCCCCGAAGGGGGCAATGACAATAAAGATATTATTATTATTATTATTATTATTATTATTATTATTATTATGACACCTGTCCCTCCCATTTTTTTTATTTAAGTTGGCTTCTGTTGTTGTTAGGGTAGGGGTTGTTTATTTTTTCTCTGTTTTATTTGCTGTGGGGTATATATAGGTGATTAGTCATTGGCAATTTCTGAACATCAGCTGTTTATCTTCTGTGGGTATTTTGGAGCCAATGAGTTTGTCAGATTTCCAAATGTGCCCATAGGCACAAAATGTTAGTGAACTCCTACTCTAGAGAATGCAGAATAGTGGTAGATACTGAGGGTTTCAGATCAAATGACACTTTTGGACTGTCAGTTTGGGTCTTATCCTGTCTAGTAAATTGTTCTCAACAGCAAAGACCCCATTACTGAGCAGAGAGAGCTCACTGGGTGGCATTCAACTAAGTTTTACTTAGAGCAGACTCTCTGAAATGACTAATTTAGGGCCATTAATTTCAATAGGTCTACTCTGAGTAAAACCTTGTTGAATCCCTCACACTGTATTTAATTCATTCAGTATCACAAATGTGAGGCACTGTGGAAAGGGGTAATAAAATTTATGTTACCATGTAGCCAGACAAGCTTTCTTTGAGGTTGCAGTTTCCCTGCAATGAGTTTAAAAGCAGCTATGGCTTAACAGATCACCATCTGTATGTCCTCGGAGAACAAGGAAGGAGGGAAAAGTTTTATTACTGGTCTCATCCTTCCTTGCTGAAATGGCTGTCTTCTGAAATTGCCATGAATATTTCAATGGTAGTTGGCACAATTATTGAGGGGGAAAAGGTAAGGGCTTGATGGATGAGACTTTTAGGAGTATGGCTAACAGTCTATCTCACTCTTCAGTCTATTTTGATCTGAAGTAGATTGGCCTGTCATAAAAAATAGATGGTAAATAGAGTGTGCATATTACAAAAACAAACAACCCACCACAGATTGAGGGCACTTACGTAATTCTCTGTACCTAGCCACGTTCATCTTCAGGCCCTCAAAATAAAAGGCTGTGAATGCTTGCTTTCTGTAAAAGTAATCTGTCACTAAGTGGTTGTCCTTATATATAGCAGGTACTGTTTATTTACTGCAGTGTACACAGTATTCCGGCAGTCCTTTTCAGAGGGGCAAAGTTAAACTGTGTGGATAAAGAATGCATGTTATTTGTCACTCATAACTCTGTTTTTAGAACATAAAGCCTTTAATTAGTACCCTGGATTGGACATTTTCTTTTCTTTGCAAGACTAAGATCACTTCAAAGGGACCCAGAGTATCCTGATGTAAAAAAAAATGCTCCAAAACCCTGATTTAGAAGGTTTTAAACTTTCTTTATTTAGAAGTAATATTTGTTCTTTTTATTGGGATTTACTTTCAAGTGAAAAATGATTAGGACTGTAGCCCAAGAAATGGCAAGTTGTCATTTTCCTTTCTCATCCTCACAGTCATGCTTACAGATGGCTGAGTGCACATGCTCACCTTGCCAATGAAGTGTGTACCTCCTTCACCTGATGTCCTGCTCCCTCTGAGCATTGAGGGAAGGTGAAAGGTGGTTCCAGTTCCTGATAGTTTTGTGGCAAAGCCCTCCCTTGCCTCACCGTGACCCTCACCTGCCCTAGGTGTACTGCTTGCTGGGCCATTCGTTGCTGGGTGAAAATAGGTAGGCTGCAGCCCTTTAAAGAGCCCCTCTACACTTTGCTCTCTCCACATATGGATGGAACATGAGAACGGCCTCATCCTCAATGCATTCTATGGGTCTGCCAAAGCAGTAACTGGTCTTGGGTGTATTTCCTGCCTTTGAAAGACTTTCTTTCATGCAGAATAAGTATTGCAGATACTGAGGCTCAGTGCCAGTTTCTGTATAGGATGTTCTTCAGTGTCCACCCCCACTCCCCCACCATGCCCTCCTTTATCCTCACAAGTAGTCATCCACTTGCCCAATTGGTACCAACTCCCCATCCCAAGGGGGGGGAAGGGGGGGACTTCCGGCCCTTGCTCTTCTCACTGCTTGCTTGCTTGCTTGGACTGTGCAGGTGAATGGGCAGGTAACAGCAAGGAGATTCAGCAGCAGGGTCAGGAGGGTTGGCTGTGGGCCCCTTGCTGGGGTGTTGGCCTTGATCATAGCAATATTTGATGCCAGCTCTACGGAAAGAGATTGCCATTATTACCCAGGTCTGCATTTATGACTGCAGAACTGTCCCACCCTGGTGGGATGCTACTGTGTGTAGTGTAGTGTTTTGTTTTACTTGCCTGGCATTAAGATTCTCTTTGGGTTGTCTGGTTAAATGTATGAGCCTTGGCTCTCCCTGGCCTGCTCTTCACTTCACTCAGGTTGGACTACATGAGTATAAAGCCCAGAAGCTTCAAGTCAATTGAGAGAGGGCCAGGAACATTGAGAGAGGGCCAGGAATACCACTATTCTTGGCAAAATACAAAGGAGATGGGAGGACAGGGGAAAGAACAGGCTCCACCTCCAGGTATTCCATGAAGAAAAGTGACTACCTTCACTGTCATGGGTGTATACATTTTTCTTTCTATCTGAGTACAAAATGTAAAATGAAAAGCAGGTCTCTGATAACATCCCCGTTTCTGAGTGCCTTACAATGCAAAACATTGTTTAAAAATCTGCTGACACTGAAGCAATGCTGTTTAACTCTGTTGATGCTGTTTCATTATGTTTTTTAACTTTGCGTGGGAAATAGGAAAATAGCATGCGCAAATTATCACTGTACAATCTTTCTCCTTCTGTAGCACCCTGCTTGTGGTTAACGCTTAGCTGGAATGAAATATTCAACGCAGCAATAGAGAAATTAAAATAATAATTTATTTGTCAGACAAATAAATGAGAGACACAGTGGTATATGGATACCAAAGCTCTGCCCACTCCAGCCCTGATGGCCAGCACTTATATTTCCTCAGCCCAGCCCCCTTGCTCCTCCTTTGGCTACTTCTGTCCAATCAGCCTGGTTGAAATTCCTATTGGCTGTTTGCTAGAACCAATCATAAAAGATACACCCATTTCCTATTACCTTTTATGGGAGACAAAGAGCTATATTTCCTTCTATCCATAAATGGCAGACAAGTAGCCATATATCTTACATTTGCCTCGACAAGGCACCTTAATTATCAGATCATCTTTGCCCTATTGCCCTATTGCCCTATTCACTCCAAAACAGATGGCTAATGGTTTTAATTTTTATCTTAAACAGAGATCTTGGGTTCACCTTCTCACACACCATCAATGAAATAAGAATCTAACATTTCTTACTTTCTAAATCCTTTGCATAATTACATTTAAGCCAATATATTTCATACATTAACATAGATAGATTTTTAGAAGGAAAGGCCTTTTCAAAGTAAAAAGAACTTAGTAAAAACAGTTTCCAAAAGCAACCCCTTAAATTTACACCCCCCCCCTTTCAAGCCAACTGCTGTTTCTATTAGCTCTTGCCCTTTAACCTTAGGAAGATGTGGCTCGAGTCTAATGGGAGGCACATGGGATTAATTTTCTGTTAAACAATAAATTTCACTATTTACCAACTCTTAATTAGTGTTTTTGCAGCTTGATTGTATTCTGTAATTTGTATGGTCAGTGTGACCTTTTGCTCCCAGCCTGTAATTTCCTTTTACAACCCTGAAGTACTGCTATAAATCAGAGGGGCCCTGTTTAGGAAGATAAACATCTGCCAAAGCACCCAGCCAGCTGCTTTATGCCTGGCATAAAACATACAAACATTTGCAAATATATTTTTTAAGCTCATTTTAAAATGCAGGCCTTGATCTGATGCCTCACTTCCTCTGTTGAACTCTTGTTATTTGCAAATAAACAAGACTTTCACTGATCCTAGCATGGCCCCTCAAGAGATATTTTGAATGAGCTGCCTGTACATCTGTTTTGATCTGGCCAATAGGGAAAGGGGAGAACAACCATTCAAGTTCCCACTTGTCCCTTGACAAGTGAGAGGCAATGGAGCCTGAGCCTGCCAAAGAGCAGTTTAAAAGAGTTGTAGTGGCATAATGGGTGATGCAAGACAGCTTGAAAAGGACCAAAGGGCCGAACCAATTGGAAGTGTCCTTTTTTGATACTCTCCTTTGTCAAATGATGGAGCATGTGAAGGGTGTGTATGTGGCTAATAAATAACTCTTTGGCAATATTCTCAGAAAGCTTTTCAACAGCCCCTGCGGATACAGATCTACAAGACAGAACCTGAGTGGTCTATCCAGGAACTGAAGTAGAACTGCCATCCCTGAGGTCAATGCAAATCTGATGTTTCACCCTAAATGAGCTCCTGTTGAGGCTTGCTGATCTTGTGCACTTCTCCTGAAGCACTGTTGCTAGAGACTCCTGCATAGAATCCTCTGCTTTGCCATTCACCGAAGTTAGCAGCAATAGCTTCTGACAACTTTAGTTTAGGAATTTAACTTAAGGATATGGGAGCAGTTTTGCCTATGTATGTGAACCAGGTCTCTGATGTATTCAGTATGGTCTACCTTCCACACTAAATGTCATGCGACATTGACTTCATGACAATGCCAGTGTGCCCTTTTTAAACAAGTTTCAAAGCCTCATGATTGTTATGGAGAACAAATATTGCAGGGCTGGAGACCAAAGAGGCATTTGTTGTGTGTCTCAGGAGACGGGACTTCAGCATCCTGCACATCTGACCCTCCATAGAACACCAGATTCCCAATCTAGTGTTTCCACAAGCACATTCCTGTCATCCTTTCTCCAGCCCCTTCTTTGCCAAAATGTTTAATATTCCACAAAAACAAAATGCAGATATTGTAATCAGAACAAACAGTTTGAGTTCCTCCGTAAATGACTATGAGATTTTAGCTCTGCCTGCTGTGCATGATATGTAGAGGCAAGACTTAGCTGTGTGAAATCTGAAAAGCTGAACTCCGTGAGCTATTAATGTCTCCACAGAGTACAGTGCCTGAGTGAAGCAATCCACATACCAATACATTGCCAGTTTTTCTTATCAAAATCTCACGACTATTTTTATTCCCTTCGTTGTGTAAAAGTGTGGACTTACTGTAATAACATTACGGATGTTTTAAATGCCACCTGGAGGGATAAAATTTCTTTCCTATCAAGTCTAGGTGACTTATTAAACAAATAAAATGTACCTGCACACATGAAGCAATGGGAGACGGTTGTTTTTAAGCCATTTTTAGAACTGAATAGTGTAATTGTTGGTGAAACTTGCTTAGATACTGGAATAGGAATTTGCAGGATCAAAGTAGCAGTTAAGATGCCCGGGAACTCATTCAAAAGTTTGCATAGCTGATATTCTCTAGGGAATACTGGGCTTCTTTGTACATGGGAACTTCTGGTTCCAAGCAATTTGAAACCTAAACTGTCACAGATTTAGGACCAAATTCTTCAAAGTCCTGAGGGGATGCTGCTGAGAAGAGTATCTCTAACTATGCTGCCTTTAAACCATGTTGCCAGCACACAGGTGTCAGAGCGCGCTTTACATGCAGACTGTACACACAGTGAATGCTTAATAGATTCTGGTCCTAATTCCAATTGGAGGGAGGTGGATGGGAAAGAAAGGCAAATAGTCAGAGGAACTAGTTCTCTACATTTTGACATCTGGCTCTAAATTTCTGAAGCGGGCTCCTCCAATAGAAGAAGCTGTACCTGCCAACCTTTTCCTGTCAATATTATATTAACAGTAACAGCACAGAAGCTCCCTTCTTCTGGAAGAAGTTGGCAACTCAGTTGTGCACATTTTTTTACGGAGTAAATTACTTTGTCTATGTCAGGGGTGGGGGAACATTTCAGCCTTGAGGCCACATTACGATTTGGGTAACCTTCCAGGGGCCACATTCCTGTGGTGAGCAGGGCCAAAGGCGAAAGTGGGCAGAGCAATGGATGTGAATTTTACCTTTTGTACAGTAAGCTGGTTTCTATACACACTCGCACATCCCTCTTTAAACTTCCATTCAGACAAGTCAGAAGCATTTTCATTGTTTGAGGGGACATTCTAGGCAGGCAAAAGTACTCAAGGAAGGTGCAGAGCAAGGCTTCTGAGTTGTGGCCCTGTGGAGAGTCCTGAGGGTTAGATAATGAGCCTTGAAGGGCTGCTTTTGGCTCCTTGGACCTGAGGTTCCCCATCCTTCATCCACATAAACAGCCACATTTCTTCAGGGTTAGCTCTCTCACCCTGGGGAGATTAGTCATCAGTTTATCATGAATGGAAGAGGCTACAGCTGTGTGGTGCTGGTTAAGTGCTAATTTGTAACTAACCTAAGTCTTGCTCTCCATGAAAATATAATAACAACAATAATGTATTTCTTATATACCCCCCTCATGTGAGTGGGTTGCCCCAGCCACGCTGGCTGGCTTCCAAGAAAAGTAATATGATTGCTTATCTCTTTGACATCCAGCAGAAGGGTGTTTCACAGGGCAGGCACAACTACTGAGAAGGTCCTCTGCCTGGTTCCCTGTGGCTTCACTTCTCTAAATGAGGGAACTGCCAGAAGGCCCTCAGAGCTGGGCCTCAGTGTCTAGGCTGAGCAGTGCGGGTGGAAACGCAATGTATCTTGTTGGGACGACAAGAACAAATTTTAATGTTGCGCACCAAGGAATAGTAGACTAGAATGTGTTGTCCTTCTGTTTTGTACTCCATGCCAATTTAAAAGTAATGGAAAAATATGGATTTGGTGAGTCACATCTGGAATAAGGAACAACAGTAAAAAAAAAAAATTGATGTTTTCCCGACACACCATAAACTAAAAGGCTTCAAAGTTTTATAATGCATTGTGTGTAGAAATTAATGGGAAATATATATCTGTTTTTATAAGAATTACTATGAAATTGCCAATGTTGACTTGGTTTGTGCCTTTTCATGGGGGAGTTTGGCTCTAAATAAAATACAAGTAATTTTATAGACTTAACACTGACAATTTGCCATGTTAGTCTAAGCGTGTTTTAAAATTTTACTGATACGTTCAAAGGAACGTCGGAGCGGGTGAAAAGTGCATGCATATTGAAAAGGAACATTCCTAGGGCTGATATTTAGCAAACTCAGGCTTTAATTATACATCTATTTTTCAAAAAACCAAAATGTAGAGGTATTTTAATTTTATGTGTGATAATGGCCAGGGGTGGTGCTATTCAATGGCAGTCCTACTCAGAGCAAGCCCATTGAAGTTAATGGATAAACCTATCATTTCTTAATGAATTTTTGGAATTCACTACCACAAGATGAGATTACCACTGGTTTAGATGGCTATAAAACTGGATTAGGAAAATTCACAGAGGATATGACTCTGAGTGGATATTTTCCACGATAGATAAAAGGAAATGTCATGTTCAGAGACACTTTGTCTCTAAATACAAGCTGCTGGTCCAACACAGAGTAGCGGAGGGCTATTGCCTTTGTGCTTTTCTTGTGAACTTCCTGGAAGTTCCTGGAAGACAAACCCATGTGTCTGTGTGCATCTAGTGTAGGTAAGGGAACCGCAGGCCCAGGGCTGAATGTGGTCCTCCAGGCCTCTCTGTCTGGCCCTCAGAGCTCTCCCCAGCCACACCCCTCTTTGCCCTCTCTTGGAGTGTGTTTGCCTGAATTGAATATGTCCCTAAACTCTGATAATGCTTCTCTGGATGGAGATCTAAGAGGGGTGTGTGAATGAATAAAAACTAGCCTAATGTACAAAGACAAAACCTACTTTTGTTGCTCTGCCCACTTTTGCGTCCCCCACCCCAAAAGTTGCCCAGAAGGGAATGCAGTTCCCAGGCTGAAAAAGGTTCCCCTGTCCCGTTCTAGTGGGTGCAGTTCTATGAATCGGGCACACAGTGCAGAAGCAAAACCCTTTCATTTTAGTGGGCACAATTCCACAATATGTTTTTGGTTAAGCCTGAATACATGAAATACTAGATGAGTAGAAATGAGTGAATCTTTTTTTTTTTTTTTACATCCTACTTGGCTCTCGCGCAGCTGGAAAATTACTGAGGGAGGGATATGGTTGATTAACTGATATGAAGTTTAAAGATTCAAATAAGCATTGCCACATTTAGCATTCTCTTTCCACGGGCCAGAAAACCATCTAATCCTCTACATTAAACGAGAAAGAAACACTCAGTAGACTACTGCAGATCACATAATGCAAACCAGTGCTTTGCCCTCTGTCTCGCCAGTTTACAAGAGAGAAACAAAAAATAAAACGCTTATAGCAACTTTGACATAAAGCTGCCTTTTTTGTAACTTTCTCAGGAAATCTGTAGCAGAGCAGAGAACTTAAAACAGGCTGTGGCAACAGGTTTATTTATTTATTTTACTTTGGCAAATTTTCTGTCATAAGGATAAAACTAGATTAAATGGGAGGAAACTACGGGCTGGCATTTTGATGCAAACAATGACAAAAATTTCCATGCAGGAACAGCACCAATCCCACAATAAACAAGAGTTTGGAAGTGCTCAAGAGTCTTGAGGCATGGGTTAAACCTTTTGTAACCAAGCCAAGCGATGACTGCAGCTTTCATTTTAACATTTGGGGGAAAGCTATTTCCTCATTAAATGTAACACAGGTAAATGTTTTCTAGGTTATCTAACCAAACTTCTGCAAAACCACACTGCGTATGCCTGTGATGGTGATCGCTTGAGTCTGCAGTGTCCTCGACATTCAACAATAAGTGTCCAATCTGCATATTACGGGCAAGCTTACCAGTTGTGTAGTGAACAACATCCAGAAGCCACGATGAAAGAGCCCATAAACTGTGTGGCATCTACTACTTTGCAGGTATTACATATTGTAGTATTTTTATTCTTGTTTTTTTTAATAAAAAAACAGCCTTTCAGAATGATTCAGTGATATAAATTGTATTTATTAAAATGCAAGGTAAAGGCAACATTAATTGACTGATGTTCAGAGTGTAACTTTTATAATAGAATAGTTGTTATTGTGGGAGGAAGGATGGTTCAGTTGTGCATATGACTAAGTTTTAGTGTTTCTGGAGGTCTAATGAATATGCAGACCATTATCAGGACCCCTCCTCAAAGAAAATCTATCCACCCCTTTGCTCCTGAAAAATATGCAATGCTAATTAATCCTGACACTTAAGAATGTGTTTGGCTACTTTTGAAATTCATATTTTATTGTCACTTCTTAATTTTTGAATAGCAACAATTTAAAGTAAATTTTAAAATCAATATCTGACTACATACCGTATTGGCTTGAATATAAGCTGCACTTCTTTCCCAGATTCTGATCGTGAAAAGTGCGGCTTATATTCATGATCTTATGCCGCGAAAACAGCGCAGCTCCCTCCCCCCAGGAAGCAGCCCGGGAGCGCAGGGCCACAGCGCCTGTCCCGTCCGCGGCTCCCAAGCCGATTTTTAAAGGTGTGCCTTATTTCCGGGTGGGGGCCAATACAGTAAATGAAACTGGTTGCAATTTGTTTGCAACTCGATACAATGGCACAAATCTTCCCAAACAGTTCTGAGTGGTGACTTAGCCAGCCATGCATGATCTATAGATCTGTGGTGCAAGCCTCACAGGACCTGTTCATCACAAGCAAACTGAAATCCAGTTTGGGGGATTGGGTGGCTGGCCACACACTCAGTAGTTGTATGGGCTGTCTGACATCTCTTGCCAAGCAGACTGGGACAAAAGAGCCGTGAACAATGAGAATGTCCATTAAGATTAACACCCAATGGTCCAACTTAATTTGTCTGTGCCAGATTGATGGAATTGTTTTGGCACTGAGTTTATGTCAATGGATTTTCCTGGGAGAAATCTAGATTGCCAATTAGTTCTGGCTCCAATTTCTGGTAGACAGCAGTAGAATCTACAGCCTAATTTTGATTAGGATTATTGAAGATTACCTCTGAATCACTGGCTTGCCATTGTATCAAATGCCCCAATGATTAATAATATATTTGAGACCTGTGCTTCATCTCTGTTCCCTTGCCACATACACTGTTCTGATAGTCTTACTGTAGACACATAAGAACAGTTATATAGACATAGAGGCAAGCGTTTAGTCCTGAATCATGGTTATTCCCTGCCTCAGAAGTCAAGGCAATCATGTTCCTCATGTTAGACAAACCAGTAATATTTAAATTTCCCTCACATGGGAAAAATGCTAACACAGTCATGTCCTGTTGTGACAAATTGGTCATTATTTTGTAGGTTTAGAGGAATTTTTAAAAACTGATATACAAAATATGCAAAGATCATTTCCTAAACATAATTAAGATCTGATGATGCAGTCGGGTTCCTGACCTCATGGGAATCCTAAACTGTAGCATCCTTAATCCTGTTATTTGACACCATGTACAGAGCAATGCTGTGCAATTTCTACTTAGAAGTAAGAGCTGCTGTGTTCAGAGTGGCTTATTCCCATGCACGTGTGTTTAGGATTGTAGCCTGAGGCAGGAATCCTATACAGACTTACCTTGGATGTCTACTTTTGAGAGCACATCCATAGGATTACTCTGTACATTTAAAGCTAATGAGCCTGAACTGGCAAGCAAAGGTTATTTCCTGAGGAGCTACTAAGGATGATTCTTGTATTTTGTTATTTTACATGGCATCATTATTTTTCTTTTTCATGAGAGTGGGTATTCACTTTTCACTATCTTTGATAGAAAGATGGTATGTTTGTATGGTTTAGGATCCACTGGTGGCCTAATTCACAACCACAGTTTTCTCCTTAAGAAGATATATAGGCAGACATACAGTAGACATTAACAGTGCAATCCTATGTGTGCTTACTTGGAGGTAAGATTCATTATGTTATGTTAAATGGACTTGCATTATACACTAAAGATAATTTCCAGACATTTCTATAAAGTGGTGATTTTCCAAGCAGTTGGCTAATACTGTCAGGTATATTTCTATGCCTTTAGCAGGTACATAACCACAGTGCAAAAGTTTTACTACTTATTCAGGGACCTAGTGTTTGTAGAAACATTTTAAAAATCAGTGTCATTAAAGAAGGGATAGGCAAATTGTTGCCATTCAGATGTTGTAGGATTTACACAGGTCCCTGCTCTGTCCCTCTATAAAGAAGTTAAATGTTATTGTTTAGTGTAATACCCTGTTTTTTTAAATGAATATTGCTTGGAATAGTGGTTTTATAAGCATGGCTTGTATGTGCTTTAATGGCTGAAAAATGATCTTTGGTTCAAGCTGTCCTCATGAAAATGGGAGTGTCACCCCTTCTCCTTTGTGTCATTAACTAGCATGGCACCAAGACTATTTTGAGTCCTTTGAATCTTTGGGGATTTAAGCTAGGCTTGCACAGAAAGATTATTTGAAGCCATCACACATCCCAGCTGCACATAGATAGAATGATAGAATGTTTTACAGATAGGTTCACATAGCACTCAAATGCAAGATACATGTCTGGCTTTGTCTTCTCTCAAATCTCAGACACCTACAGTAAACCAAATTGTTGGAAGCAAATCTGCATGATCTCATCCTACCTATTCTCTCTGGAATGGAGAGATAATCTAAGCATAGTATTATTTTACTGAAAGAACAAAGAATGCTATACAGGAATCTTTCACTGAAGGGCTGAAAGAAAAATTAAATCCCTCCTAATCTGTGACTGTTCTGACCATATATTAGTTTTGAACATATTAGTGGCCAGATCTTGTTGCACAGCAAATTCAACACCGGCAATGTTATCCTATACATGTCTGCTCAGAAGTAAGTTCCATTGAATTCAATAGGGTAAGTGATTAGGATTGCAGTTTTAAGCTTACATCTCTTATAAAACACAGGGTAAAACATGAAGAGATTTTTTTTTATAGACAATGATTCTGGCTAGCATAACTAGAAGTAAAGATCACTAGAATATAGTAGCAATGCTTTATTGGCTGCTTTTGAGCATTGGAGATCAGATTTTTTTCTCCTCTTGGATGCTAGTTAAAAGGCTTTTTATTGTTTACTTGTGTTCTAAAAATAGTCTATGAGTTTTTTTGTTTTTTGTTTTAAAGGATATTGGCACTTTTCTCAATCTATTTTGAACTACTCTTTCTCTATAAAACTTTTACTGCTTTGTGGGCAAATTGTAATAGCCTGCCAACTTTTCAAATCTGGAACTGCTGCTTCCAGGAATTTGAGGACAATTGCTAAAAACAAGATGTTTCTTAGTGCTAATAGTAGCAGCAGGCCCATGATGAATCCAATAAACCTCTCATATTGGTTGATTCATTTATGACAGTTAACAATACGGCAATGTAGCATTTTGCTCCGTGTAAACAAAAATTTTGTTCTGTGTAAACTTCAGTGATTAACACCTTTCAAGGCATCAGTTATATGCAGTGTGATAAATTGGTTTTTCATTTACTGGTAGTTCATGTGGGGTGAAAATTTGTAACAAAGCAGCAGCCACTATCAAAAAATTTCAAGAGTGAAAATAAGTCCCTATCTCCTATTTTCAAAGGTTACATGAATTCTTTATATAAATATTGCTTCACAGATGACAAATTCTGGAATGCCAGCTTGTCATAACAAAATCTATAGTGTCCTATTTCCCCAACTTATCTGCCACCTTGCAATACATCAAACAGCTCTTAAGGGGGATTTCAAAATAGGTTCGTCGCATCCAAACTTGAATGGTAAAACAAAGGAATTTTGGGGAACTCAGATCATCCCATAATTTCACAACTCGGTTTGTCTTGGAAATCATTGTATTGGCATTGTATAGATTGTTATGCCTATTTTTCTGGTAACCAGTGGGCAACAGCTTATCACATATAGATTTTAAAATGTCAGGGTCTGAACTGTTATATAGTTTGAATCTGTTTTTCAAGACTATGCTTTTTTGCTCATTGTTTTAGAAAGTACTGGATGAATGCCAGGATCTGAGAGCCTGCCAACTCCTTGTCAATAGTCGGGTTTTTGGACCTGATCTATGTCCAGGAATCACTAAATACCTTCTAGTCTCCTTTAAATGCAAACCTAGTAAGTAATTTGTAGAACAGGCAAGTGTCATTTTTGTACTTGTTTTGCTTTTTGTTTTGACTGCAGTGCCGGCACAGACATCTTTGCATGAATCTATGCGAAGCTCTGAAGTGGATTCACCCAGTCCTTGTACCAAAGTTTGTGGGTTTTGATAAGCATGTTATTCACCACTTTTCATAAAAGTTTATGTCCATGTGCAAGTGAGTTATATCTGGCAATGTGCACAGAGGTCCGACAGAACCAAAACACTACCCTGCAGCTATTTTTCAGAAGTGACATAGTATCTCTATCAGCATTGTCAGAGAATGTATGGAAATGACCCTTCACACATGCACATCCATCATAAAAGAGCATAACCCATCTAGGGAATAAAATTTGCTGTACATATTAGTTTCTGCTGTAGATTGTTGGGGGTCTTTAAAAAAATTCATTACAAGATGGGACATAAATCATTAAGGTGAATGGGGATAAGTGCAGGTGCCTTTCTAGAAAGGTGGAAACTTCACAGTGCAATCTATGCATGTCTACAGAAGTAAGTCCCATTGATTATAGGATAGAGACTAGTGTGCCTATATATTTTATTTACTTCTCATTATTTCTATTTTGTTTTTTTACCAATGTAATCAAAATGGCTTATTAATATAAAAGAGCAATAAGATACTAACCGCTGCCCCCCTGCAGATCTCAAACCGTAGGTTGTCAGGTATGGGGGAGTTGAGTTTTTTAGGGCTTTGTACAGGAGTACCAAATATTGGATTGGGCCCAGTAATACACAGGCAGCCGGGACTGATGATTTGTTTTCCCATCTTACTGTCACATTTAACAACCTGGAAGCAGCATTCTGCACCAGATATATGATCTAATCTTCAAAGTTAGCTCCATGTAGAGTGTATTGCAGTAGTCTAATCACTACTTGCAGTAGTCAAAGTCTTTGGTGCAGAAAATTCAAATAACAAACTTTGGGAGCCCAACATAGAAAAAAGCTCATTCCATTAAGGGCAATGTGACTTAATTTCTACTTCATGAAGATAGTAATGGCTGGCTTTCTTTCACTAGATTCTGTCACTGTTTTTTAAAAAACAGCAACACAGAAAACCTAAATGCCAGTGTATTTTATTTAGCAGACTTCTGTCTTTTGAATGACCTGAAGAAAGTGTTTTGGTGAGTGACTAATACGGTCAAGCTAATGCTATGAATTTAATCAGGTTGCACTGCATTTGATTTAGATACAGCTAGATTTGCAAGCCAACTGGCTGCACATTTCTCAGAAGTTAGTGCTACCGAGTTCAGTGGGATGTACTCACAACACAAATAAGTGTGCATAGGGTTTTAGACCTAACAACATTCATTTTGTTGGTCAAAGCCTTACATTTCAGAGTTGGCCTCATTGGAAACCTAGCTGGTAGTAGCCGGTACTTGTGAGTGGGATAGGGATACATATTGTGAAAGTAGGAAGTCACATCCTCATGCATACCCTGCAGTACAAATGGTGATTGCATTGGATGCTTTGCATCCAGAGATACATCACAGAATATGCAGATGCATATTCTCCATATTCAATCTCTGTGTGGTTCCCAGTTCAGGAAGGGATTCTGTGTATAGATATACGTTTCTCCTTGGAGATTTCTCTTGCTGGATCAGTGTGTAGATATCAGTCTTCACCTAATCAAAGCTGGTTGTGACAAAGCCCCAGTAAAACTAACAAAACAAATATGACTAATATGAGTCCCCTTGCTCTTGATGGAGCTTAGTTTTTCTGTGCTTATAAATAGACCGAGGGAGGGGGGACGCGCTTCTTCAATCATTTGCTTAATTTCACTTATTCACTTTAAATCCAAGTAGTTACTGTTATTTTTGAGAATAATCTCTTGTTATCTTATATTGCATTAGCCTCATTCTTTTATGTTACCCTTTAGGACCAGAAAACATGTGGATTCTTTGTCTGCTGGGCAGCATATGTAGGGTTCAGGCTGCACAAATAATAGGCAGTCATGAGGGAAATGCCAAGGACTTTTGAATGACGTTGTTTCCTGCTGTTGATAAAATGTACTTAAAGTTTTTCACAAATAAACAAAGCCCTTTAGACTGTTACATTTCACATTAAATAATAATAATAATAATAATAATAATAATAATAATAATTTATTATTTGTACCCCGCCCATCTGGCTGGGTTTCCCCAGCCACTATGGGTGGCTTCCATAGAAACAAAAAATACACTAAAATATCACAGATTAAAAAACTTCCCTGAACAGGGCTGCCTTAATATGTCTTCTGAATGACAGGTAGTTATTTATCGCTTTGACATCTGATGGGAGGGCGTTCCACAGAACGGGCGTCACTACTGAGAAGGCCCTCTGCCTGGTTCCCTGTAGCTTTGCTTCTCACAATGAGGGAACCGCCAGAAGGCCCTCGGCGCTGGACCTCAGCGTCCAGGCAGGACGATGGGGGTGGAGACGCTCCTTCAGGTATACTGGGCCGAGGCCGTTTAGGGCTTTAAAGGTCAACACCAGCACTTTGAATTGTGCTCGGAAACGTACTGGGAGCCAATGTAGGTCTTTCAAGACCGGTGTTATGTGGTCTCGGTGGCCGCCCCCAGTCACCAGTCTAGCTGCCACATTCTGGATTAGTTGTAGTTTCTGAGTCACCTTCAAAGGTAGCCCCACGTAGAGCGCATTGCAGTAGTCCAAGCGGGAGATAACTAGAGCATGCACCACTCTGGCGAGACAGTCCGCGGGCAGGTAGGGTCTCAGCCTGCGTACCAGGTGGAGTTGGTAGACAGCTGCCCTGGATACAGAATTGACCTGCGCCTCCATGGACAGCTGTGAGTCCAAAATGACTCCCAGGCTGCACACCTGGTCCTTCAGGGGCACAGTTACCCTATTCAGGACCAGGGAGTCCTCCACACCAGCCCGCCCCCTGTCCCCCAAAAACAGTACTTCTGTCTTGTCAGGATTCAACTTCAATCCATTAGCCGCCATCCATCCTCCAACCGCCTCCAGGCACTCACACAGGACCTTCACCGCCTTCACTGGTTCTGATTTGAAAGAGAGGTAGAGCTGGGTATCATCTGCATATTGATGGACACCCAGTCCAAACCCCTGATGATCTCTCCCAGCGGCTTCATATAGATGTTAAAATGCATGGGGGAGAGGATGGAACCCTGAGGCACCCCACAAGTGAGGGCCCAGGGGTCTGAACACTCATCCCCCACCACCACTTTCTGAACACGGCCCAGGAGGAAGGAGCGAAACCACTGTATAACAGTGCCCCCAGCTCCCAGTCCCTCTAGACGGTCCAGAAGGATGTTATGGTCGATTGTATCAAAGGCCGCTGAGAGATCCAGCAGAACTAGGAAACAACTCTCACCTTTGTCCCTAGCTCGCCGGAGATCATCAACCAGCGCGACCAAGGCAGTTTCAGTCCCATGATGAGGCCTGAATCCCGATTGGAAGGGATCCAAATGGTCCGCATCCTCCAGGCGTGCCTGGAGTTGTTCAGCAACCACGCGCTCAATCACCTTGCCCAAGAATGGAAGATTTGAGACTGGGCGATAGTTGGCCATACTGGCCGGGTCTAAAGATGGTTTTTGAAGAAGCGGTTTAATGACCGCCTCTTTCAGCGGATCTGGGAATGTTCCCTCACAGAGGGAAGCATTCACCACCCCACAGAGCCCATCGCCCAGCCCTTCCCGGCTTGCTTTTATTAGCCAGGATGGGCAAGGATCAAGGAGACAGGTGGTTGGTTTCACGCGTCCAAGCAGCCTGTCCACATCCTAGGGGGTAACAGATTGAAATTGATTCCATGCAACTTGACCAGACAGAGCTCTAGCACTCTCCCGCCCCAGCCCTGCTCCCACGGTGGTGTCTAGCTCCTTCCGAATATGAGTGATTTTATCTGCAAAAAACTTTGCAAAATCGTTGCAGGAGATCTTGGGGTCTTTACAAGGCCCCGGTGGTAAAGGTGGTTCCGTTAAATTGCGAACCACCTGAAAGAGTCTCCTGCTACTATTTTCTGCAGATGCAATAGAGGCGGTGAAGAAAGTCTTCTTCGCCGTCGCTATCGCCACTTGGTAGGCTCAACGTTGAGCTCTAACCTGTGTCCGGTCAGATTCGGAGTGAGTTTTCTGCCACCGACGCTCTAGCCGTCTCAGCGATTGTTTCATCGCCCTCAGCTCCAAAGAAAACCACGGGGCTGTCCGGGCTCCATGCAATCGGAGAGGGCGCTTCGGAGCCAGACAGTCGATAGCCCTGGTTAACTCCGCATTCCAGCGGGCCACCAGGGAATCAGCTGAAAGGCCATCAACATGGGATAAAGCATCCCCTACCACTCTCTGGAAACCATTTGGATCCATTAAGTGGCGGGGCGGACCATCCGGATTGGTCCCACCTCCCTGCAGAGGGAAGGGTCGCGGAGAAGTCCAGTTGCACCAGGAAGTGATCTGACCATGGCACTTCTTTTGTTTCACTTTTACTTAGTGTCAGATCACCCACGTCACTAGAGGTGAACACCAGGTCTAAGGCATGTCCATGACTATGAGTTGGGCCAAACTTATTCAGGGACAGCCCCATGGAGGCCATGCTTTCCACGAAGTCCCGAGCAGCCCCTTGTAAGGTCGTGTCGGCATGGATGTTAAAATCCCCTAGGACAACCAAACTAGGTGTCTCCAGGAGAAAATCCGCCACGACCTGAAGCAGCTCGGACAGGGAATCCTTGGTGCAGCGGGGAGGTCAGTACACCAAAAGGAATCATGTACTATTGTACTATTGCCCAACTTCCAGAACATGCACTCAGAAAACTGGATCTTCCCAGCAGGACACCTGGTGCAAGCTAGTGACTTCCTAAAAATCACTGCAACCCCCTCTCCCCGCCCACATGACCTGGGTTGCTGTGCGTAAGAGAAACCTGGTGGGCAAGCAGCGGCAAGGACAGGCCCATCTGCTTCCTCCAACCAGGTCTCTGTCACACATGCCAGGTCAAATCCTCCATCCACAATCAGGTAGTGGATGGCAGTGGTTTTATTCATCATTGACCTGGCATTACACAGCAACACCTTCAGGTCATGTGGGTTTCCCCTGTTGATTCCAGTATCCATCCGGTCAAGGCCAGACCCGGAGGCAGGGATAGTCTTCAAACAACAACTAAACCTGCCTCCTCGGTAATGACATGGTCTGGTCTTAGCGTAACTCCGCCTCCTGCCCATGATCACCGAGATCGGATGTCCCAGTGCTTCCCCCCCTGTGGAACTTGTCCCAGCGATCGTGTTGGCTGCGGCCCCACCCCTTAAAACAAAACACAAACTATACAGAACCAATAAAACAACAACAACAAAAAGAACAGAACAATTATACTAAAATTAATCCCCAACCAAATATCCATCCCACCCACCCACCCCCAACAAAGGAAAAAAGGAAAAAAAGAAATAAAAATTTAAATTGCCACCGACTGCTTGAGGACATTTTAAAGCACATTAACCACCTGGAACAGGGAAGCAATGGCAGAATAACTGATTTTTACATCTCTGGAAAACGGTTCTTAAAAACATTGACTTGAAACTAAATCCCTTTGGTTTCCATAGAATTTGCTTTCAGGTGGATGTGTTTGGGATAGTGTCTTTTCACCAGTTTCATCTTAATACTTATCACCTATATCCTGTGATATGGCCAAAGGTTAAACTCCATATCTGCCTCCATACTCATAGCTCTTCCAGATGAACAAATTCCTTGGCAAGATTACCACTGCAGCGGAAAGTTTTTTTGTGCAGGAAGAAAGCAGAGTTGTCCTCCAAAAGGACATTGAGTCTAATACACCAACCCCTCCCCATCTTTACTCTTAGCTGCTCCATACAAGAACTTTCGAAGAGCAGGGATCATCAGATGAGGAGGTAGAAAGGGAGAAGGACCATCCAAATCCTATAATTTGAGAGTGTCTCTTACAAAACCTTGTCTTGTCCCAATAAGATTCTTCCCCCACCCCCAGCCTCTCAAAAGTAGATTGATTTCTAAATGAGGGCCAAAAGAATTATCTCCATAAGGAGATTAGCCATAAAGCTGCTATGTTCAGGTGTTATTTAATCCTGGATACCTCTAAGATTTAGGCACAATGAACATTATTTAGGGAGCCTGGTTATATTATTAGAATTCAGTTCTATCCCAAGTGCATTTTCTGACATTCCTTTGAACCACCCTTACCTTTATTATTAAGACATAAAATTTATCTAACTAAATATTTAAGTTAGATTCAGGATAATATATGTTAAGAATGTAAGAAGAGCCTTGCTGGAGCGGACAGGTTGTCTATCTTGTCTAGCACCCTGTTTCCAACAGTGCACAGATAGATGCCTCTGAGAAGCCTAAAAGCAGGACATAAAGACAACAGTCTCCCCACATCTTATATCACCAGCACCACTCATAGATTTCTCTTCCCCAACCTGGTGTCCTTGAGATGTTTAGGATTGCAACTCCCATCAGCCACAACTGCAATACCTCAAGGATCACCCCTCCCCATATAAACTGATTTGGCCCTGTGATCATCATCTGAGCCCCTTTTTTGTGTGCCTTGTCCACAAGAGGTCTGGAGAGTGGCAACATGAGAAGAGGCCTTTTCTGTGGTTGCTCCTCATCTGTAGAATGTTCTCCTCAGGGAGGCTTGCCTGGCGCCTTCATTACACATATTTAGGTGCCAGGTGAAAACATTTCTCCTTAACCAGGCCTTTTGGCGATTAACATTCTATGTCCTTTTAAATGTGTTTGTAAGAAGGGGGTTAGTGGTTTGTTCTTGTACTTGTTTTTATTATGTATTTTGTGTTCTAATTTTGTATTTCTATGTTGTGAACTGCCCTGCGATCTTCAGATGAAGGGCGGTATATAAAATTAGTGAATATTATTATTATTACTATCCGGCTGGCAACTGTAGCCCAAAACATCTGGAGGGCACAAGGAGAAGGAAGGCTGGTCATCTCCTTTTCTGCATAGTTTTATATGCATTTTTGGCAAAGCTGCACATTTTTGTAAGCAATTTTTTCCAAGATAATGTGTTTTTCTATGTTGCTTTCACAAATAAATTCATTTTTATACACACTTTCCCCTAATATATGCGGTTTTGTGAATGTCATTTGGAAAACCGAATGACAAAACTTGGATAAGTGCTCATTTTGAAGGATGCCTGTGTTTCGGTACTCGTTGTTTTGGAAAGTGTGGGCTTGATCAATTCTGCTTTAAATGCAAAGAATAGAATTTCTTCCCCATCCCTAACCGTAAGAACTTCATCTCAAAGGTGGCTATACAGATATATCTGGAAATGAACTCCATTGGTGGGGGAAATGAAGTTTACTTCTGAGTAGACATATATAGGATTGCACTGTAAATTTCTTAAGCAAGTCATGTTCTTTAGCTTCAGAGGCCATAAATAAATAAATAAATGGTTTGACAAACTGTTGAGGCACCTATGGCTGAGGTGGTCAGCTCTGCCCAATTTGCTAGTTTGTTTGGTTGTTTATGTCAGGGGTAAGGAACCTTTGCCTCTCCAGATGTTGTTGGACCCCAGCTGAGATCAGCCTTCAGCCAGGCTGGACAGTAGTCAGTGATGATTGGAGTTGGGCTCGACCAACATTTGAAGGGCCACAGGTCCCCTATCCCTAGCTTCTGTTTTTATTCTCCCACACTGGAGGTAGGATTCCCCCCCCCCCCAGCCAGCTTACAAAAATGCAACAAAAATAACAAAATATAAAACAATAAAAGAACATACAATAAAACATTGTATAAAAGTAGCCACACAAAACACAGAAATCAAATGCATAACACAATGGACAATAGCGTCATAGTAAACAACAAAGAATTCTAGCAGCATTTGACAGCCATGGCATCCAGTTACATTTTGTGGGGCGGGGCAGGTTTTCACTGCATGCTCAAAGTAAGCACTGACTGAGCTTGGCTGGGTTCTTTTGGGAGGTTATGCCATAATCACCACCTCTCAACTGAAAAGGCTTTTTGTGGATCCACCTCAGGTCAAATGACTTAGGAAGTATGTGAGCATATTAAACAAGTAAATTGAGATATTATGGGGAGTGGGCAGCAGGGAACATCACAAAAAGATTGCACTTTCAGCAGTGATCGTAGGTTGTTTTTGTAAATGGACCAGACTAACAACCAGACTAACTCCCCACCAATAAGCAGTGTTTTTCTCTTTCCTTTGCAGCTGAATATAAAACCAGATTAGTGTGTGAGAATGAAGAACTGAAACTCCACTGTAAAGAGTCGAAATTCCTTAACATCTATTCTGCCTCATATGGCAGGGCTGCACACAAGGAGGACACCTGTGCTACAGAAACGGGCCGCTTCCCTCAGTTTGGTAGGTTGACAAAAGAGTATCTGTGTTAGGTCAGATTCACTGGCAATGACCACTGGCATCCCCCAACCTGATGGCCTCCGTATATTTTGAACTACACTCCCACCAGTCCAGCAAAGCTGACTGGAGTTGCATTCTAAAACATCTGGATGGGGAAGGCTGGAATAGTGGGTTAAACCACAGAGCCTAGGACTTGCCGATCAGAAGGTTGGTGGTTCGAATCCCTGCGACGGGGTGAGCTCCTGTTGCTCGTCCCGACTCCTGCCAACCTAGCAGTTCAAAAGCACATCAAAGTGCAAGTAGATAAATAGGTACCACTCTGGCAGGAAGGTAAATGGTGTTTCCGCGCACTGCTCTGGTTCGCCAGAAGCAGCTTAGTCATGCTGGTCACATGACCCGGAAGCTGTACACCGGCTCCCTTGGCCAATAAAGCGAGATGAGCGCTGCAACCCCAGAGTTGGTCACGACTGGACCTAATGGTCAGGGGTCCTTTACATTTACCTTTACAGCTAAGCTGTATGAATGTATGCTTGCGAACACCATTACCCTGATTTTTGGACAGGAACTATAGACATGGAAAATAATTATTTTAAAGGCAACCTAGCTAAAGTTCTAACACTTTTGTTTAGCATGCCAGGGCACTGTCTTGGAAAACTATGGTAAAAAAAATGCAGGATTCAGTTCTTAGTTAATATTTAACTGTTTAACAGGATTCAGGATTTCAGCCAGAGTGCTGCTTGTTTATGCCTTAGTTCCAAGTATGTGGCATGGATGCATTTAGTCCTATTTTCAGCATATTACGAGACCAAAATATACACACAGCTTGTTCAAAACCATCTGGGTTTTGATGACAACAAAAACCCATGTGGGAATTACTGATGACATAGGCCTAGTTCCCAGGGCCAAATCAGGCCACAGAGGCCCCCTGATCAGATTTCCTGCTGTCTCTTTACATTTTGGAAAAAGCTTGAAGGTTATGTCTGCATGCAGAAAGTTGTTCTGTGAAGCATCTCCATGTTCCTGCTTTTGCCTAATATAGAGGTTGAGAAGGAACCCCTTATTTTTTCTCCCCTCTTTTAGAAAATGGCTGGCTGTCAGAGGAATTTGGGGCAGAGATACATAATGCCTGAAGTTGTGTTAAAGGAAGTCTGTGCCCATGTGGTATTAGTAATAACAATGATCAATTCGTTTTCAAACAGGAGAAGGGGGATGAAATGATGAGATCCAAAAAAGAATGTGTATGAAAGGAACGCAAGCTTTTTTCTTGAGGGTACGATGACGTCACAAAAACATAAGGGAATTATTCTCCAGATATCTGGGGCGGTTGCTCCTGCTGCCTGAACATTATTTTGACAAAATATGCCATGTATAATATTTATAAGTAGGTCCCTCATGCATCTGCTTACACAGCAAAACTTTAACTACAGTTGTACCTTGGTTTTCAAATTTAATCCATTCCAGGAGGCCGTTCGAAAACCAAGGTGCTGCATCCTGCAGCCAATCAGAAGCTGCACCAAACGTTCGACTTCCGAAAATTGTTCGAAAACCAGAACATCACTTCTGGATTTCGATCGTTTGGGAGCTGAAACGTTCAAGTTCAAAGGCATTCTTCGGCTTCCGAGGTTCCACTGTACTTGAGTGAAGCCGAGATGAACATGAACGTTTGTATGTTACTTTCACCACATTTGCTTGCTATAGGCTCGGCTGCACCAGCTCATGCACCAAGTGGACAGCTACATCTGTCTATCAAGGTTTCCGTTTCCTTTTGCTGCCCCAGCCTAGCATTTGGCTGGATAGCCATCGATATGTGCTCATTGGCAAGGCCGCTCCAGATCTTTCATGGATTATTTTCTCTCTATGGACTATAAGGACCATACTTGCCTAGCCCATAAGAAGATTGTAAGGCTCAGTGCATGAAATGAATACCTTGGAGAACCAGGCAAGCTGGCACATGTGCATATTAACGTATTGCTTATAAAAGTGAAGGGGGAAAATGGAATTCTATGTTAACAGGAAGCAGGGTAATAAAAAATCAAGGCTTGGTTACTTTGACTTCATGGTCTACACAAATTACCTCCTCTCTACGCCAAACATTATAGCCTGCCAACTGTTCTAAACTTGGCTTGGCCAAGTTCTTGTCTCTTGTGTTCATCACCCTGCTTTCAAACCAATCATTTTCCCAATAAGGCACAAGATTTAAAAGACAATTTATTGGCCAGCGAAAATGAAATACGATGCCAAGCTGAGAGAATGGGAAAAGTTTTAGGTTCCCATATGTTCCTGAAGCTATAAATTGTTCTGGTTAATATTACAAATGCTTGAAGGAAAGGTTATGCAAAAGACAATATAACCTGTGAAAAGGATCATGTTCAGGGGCCAAACTAGACCTGATGTTAAAAAAGCATGATTGCATTTAACAAGTATTATTTTATCCTTTCAAATGCCTCAAACATTATATCCCACTATTTGAAGTGTTGTTGTTTTTCCATATTTGATTTGCTTCTTAAAGCTCCCAGGTCCCAAGTATGGTGAGCCCACGAATATGCAAGCTTTTATTTTTATTTTCTAGGAAATTTCTAGCACCAAGATTTAGTCTTAGAGAAACATTTTTTAAACGGATCAACAAGCAGCAAGGGAAACAGTTTAAATCACATGAATATTGTTTGTTCTGTTTAGTAACACGGCTATTTGGGATGAACTTCTTTTTAATTATATCCTTCTTTCCAGCATCACACAGTTGTCACTGCATGATATGCAGTGCACACATGTGAATGTGTGGAGTGCCCAATCTTTGCTGTACAGTTGGCTCTGGCTAGTCCATTGAATTGAAAGCTTTTGTGCACTACAGAACAGAAAGAGAAGTCTACCAGTGTTTGAAATGGGAGAGGCTTTCAGAATCGAAGAGAAGGATTGCCAGTCTCATTAAACTCTACACAATTTATGGCTCCAGCAGCTCTGAATAATTTGCATGTCAAAACGTGTCTAAAATAAAGCCAATTAGTACCTGAAAAGAACTTTCCTTCAGAAACAACAGACTCCAATCTGTTCAATAGCAGCTCAAGTCAGAGCTGATATTTTACAGCCATGTTTTGGAAATGCTTTTATGACCTCGTCTTTTCAGTGTCAGATGGATTCATGTCCACTACATAAAAAAACACCAGCATTGCTTGGCACCCTTGTGGTTAGTAACCACTGATCACAGAAGCAAGGCAGCAGATTAAAAGAGGTTAGACAATGGACTGTGCTCTCACTCCTGCAGTGATCACAGAAGTCAATATGTTCCTACCATTATTGTGTGTGTGTTGCCGTCTCCCTTCATTTTGGCATTGAAATAACGACTCTCTGAAACTTACCCTGTGAATTTCTGAGCCCTAATCCTAGTCAAATCACTTGACTTCATAGATTTCCTCGGCCAAATCTACGATCAAAGATAGATATACACTCTATATCTATCAAAGATAGATATACACTCATATACAACACCGTCGGATCAGACAGGACAGGGGTAGCCAATGTGGTGGCCTTTAGATGCTGCTGACTAAAACTCCCACCATCCCTGGTCAGTGGCCGTGCTGGCAAGGCCTGATGGGAGAACATCTGGAGGCCACCATGTTGACTTCCCCTGAAATAGCAAGATGCAATGCATAAAAAGGGCATGTGTTGCTGAGTCCTGGTGTGTTTGTAGTCTGCCTCCCAAATTCTCAGAGCTGCATTAGGGTTGCCCACCTGCACCTGTCCAAACTTGAGGCGTCATTCTCCTGTTCTGGAAGATCTGCTTATCTCAAGAGACTAAAGAGAAGGAAGTAAGAAGGAGAAGACGGGGGAAAGTTGGCATTACTCCAGATCTTCCAGTAATTTGGGTTTGTTTTTTGGTTTGCTTGTTGCACGGGTGTGTGCAGGGGGGTGGGGAGGCAAAATTTGATGCCTCTCTCAGCTCTCACACTGCCTTCCCGAGCTGGCTAAGTGAAGTGCTGGGCTTTGGGAAGGTGTGAGGCACTGGCAGGGTCCTGGGGCCCTCCCACATCCTTCCGAAAGCTGGGAAACTGCTAACTAGGCTTTGGGAAGGAGGAGCGAAGACTCTTGGACCCTGTCACAGCCTTCACATTGAGCCAAGCTATTACTGCAATGAGTAGGTTTCTTGAGTTAGCACTGTGTTTGTAACAGCAAGTATATATTTCCAAGCACACTTGTATATAATAGCTCCTTTCTTTGAACAAGTCATTGGTATCTATATTTGTATGACAGTTTTTTTAAAATTTCTCCCACATTTCAGATTGCTTTTCCTACTCAGCTTTAGCAGTATTATCTAAAATGTGTTACGGGAAACAGAGGTGCAAAATCTTTGCTAACAACCATAACTTTGGAAGACCATGCCTGCCTGGTGTGAAAAAATATCTCAACGTCAGCTATGCATGTGGTAAGAAAAATTACATTACAATTTTTTTTACATTATAAAATCTGGATTTTATAATGCCAGATTGAGAAATCCACATGTATATAAAGAGGCATTTGTTTCTAAATCTGGGCTTCAGCTTACACCTGTGATCTGTATCATTCCCATCTTTTAACACCAGAGTTGGGTACATTCATACAGTTACAGATTTATAGTACCCAGTTACTATTAATAAAACCTTGAAAAGAATAAAAGATGAAAGTAAATGTATTAGCAAAAATATTGCCCACCCGCAAAATGTTGTTCAGTGACAATTAGTGTGAATGTATGCGTGTGAGGGTTCCAAGGGAGGAGATTGCAGCTGCAGCCCTTCCATCCCATCTTCCTCCTGCTACTCTGCCATGAGCTAAGGCAAGGCTTGTCTTGCTCCAAGCAAACCACAAGCTGCAAATCACTCTTGGTTATACATCTTGGCTGGTCAGAAGTAAGACATACCATGAACCTGGTTTCAGATGATACACCAAGTCAAACTATAGCTTAGCTCACAGCAGCGTTTATAATGTTTGAGGTATTTTGTGTTTAAATATCTTATGGTAGCTGCTCGGAGTGGTTGGGGTAACCTAGTCAGATGGGTGGCTCATCATCAACATCATCATCATCATCAATTCAGTCCAAAGTGTTCAATTTGTTGACCAGAGGACAATAAGTGTATGTTAAGGGAAAGAGCAGGACGCGGGTGGCGCTGTGGGTTAAACCACAGAGCCTAGGACTTGCCAGTCAGGTTGGTGGTTCGAATCCGCGCGATGGGGTGAGCTCCCGTTGCTCGGTCCCTGCTCCTGCCAACCTAGCAGTTCGAAAGCACGTTAAAGTGCAAGTAGATAAATAGGTAGGAAGGTAAACAGCATTTCCGTGCGCTGCTCTGGTTCGCCAGAAGCGGCTTAGTCATGCTGGCCACATGACCCGGAAGCTGTACGCCGGCTCCCTCGGCCAATAAAGCGAGATGAGCGCTGCAACCCCAGAGTCGGTCACGACTGGACCTAGTGGTCAGGGGTCCCTTTACCTTTACTTTTAAGGGAAAGAGCATGTATTCTGCAGTGTATTGATTTTGCAATCACACACACACACACACACACACACACACACAGAAACTATCAATCACATTTCTCTTTCTCTCTCTCTCACTTGATTAATTTCAAATATGTTTCCTGCCATGATAATTTGATGCAGCCTGGAGCATTTGCAAATGATTTGATGCTTTAACTGTTTTCCACATGGCCTAATGGCTTTGGGTAAGGCAGAGTTTTGGAATGTGTGAGATGCCACACACACCAGTGGGGGCTTGTGTTGACAGACTTCCAGGGAATGAATGCAATAATTACTGTAAGCAAGTCTGTTCATAGACGTTTCTGATCATAGCATTAAGTTCGCTTTTCCTTTGTTGGTGTCTGCAGATGAAGATTAATGCATAGCAAGTGGCAAGGTCAAGTTCTTTTGTCTCTAGAGTCAGGAGAGAGAAAATACTGAAAGCACTTTGGACTAAAAAGAGCAACGCATTTAAGTATCAGTGCTGTTTATTTTTAGGTTTCTTTTCAGAGTGTTATTTATTGTCTAGCAGCCAATTTTCTTCTTCGGTTTTTGAAGCCCTGTTTTAACTTACCCACCTTTATATGTAATTTTTAAAGGGATAAATAGATCCATTCATCCCATCTTAAGAACTGCAGATTCCAGTGGGTGGGCTGCATCAAAACTGGGTGTGCCGCTCAAATGGACTGTAAAACAGATTATGCAGGGCTGCTGATTGGGCTGAGCCACCTGGAACAGCTATGGGGCGGAGGTGGGTAATACGGGCTTCACTATCTACACACACTATAGGCACGATAGATGTCTGCTGAAGGTGTTGAGTCAAGTATAGTTGACATAAACTCTCAAATGGGAATGGGAGGGAATGTTTTCTTTCTAAATTCCACGACTCATAGCCTTAACCTATGCCAGCAGCTCACCTTTTTAATTACTACAGCTTAGAGCATAGATTCCAGAACTGTGTTTTGCACGCCGGTGTGTCATGAGAGGTGCTGGAATGTGCCCTGAAAACTTAATCCAGCACATTGAATGCATTGACTGTTCTGTGGCCTGTGGAGCAAGGAGGTCCCATAGTGAAGCTTTGATCCTCCTCCTTTCCACCAAAATATGAACTGTGAGTCACCAAATCCCAAGGAAGGGGTGCAGCTGATAGGTATGGGTGAATTCTAGCACCATCCAGAAAACTCTGTCCTCCCAACCTTGAGCCCTGATGGATTAACTAAAGGGTGGGAGACAAGAGGCTATATTAACTGGACTATATTAACTGGACCCTGAAATTCCAAGGAGAAGACCTGCCTATTGTTTTGGGAGCCGATTAAACATATGTGCAATGTATATGTAAAATTTAGACATATCTGTAAAATTTAAGCACATATTAAATGTACTTCTGGTTTTAGTCCAAAAAGGTGAATCCCACATATCAAAAGTGTGAAAAACCCTGCTCTAAAGACATTGCGCTATTCCACACGATATTCAAAAGCCAAGCCAAAACAAGAGGGGATTTGCAACAGAATGTTGCCGTGTGTAGTGGGGGGCTGCTATTATTGCACATGCTGGACTTCCATTGAGCCTGTAATTGCTCTCTTGTGTCTGGGTGGTGCTGTTTTTGTTGCATAAGGAAAGGCACTCAGGTAATTGAGTTGACTATTAATATTATAGGATCACTCACACATTTTAAAAGCACTTTAGCAATCATTCAGAAATCTTTGCCCAAGGCATTTTATGTACATTACCACCATTGACAAGTTATGGTTTCCCCATTTTACTCCCTCCATCTAGTGTGAATGAAGGCACTCTCCACACCTGACTTCCTACCCCAGATGCTAGTCCAGACTGCCCTGCAATAAAACTAGGACTCAGTTCAATAAAACAACAAAACAACAATTGGAAGTCAAACCAGAATTAGCTTAATTAAATATATTTCAAGACAACAATTTGGATTTACATAATAAAGAACTAATAAGTCATTTATTACAAGCATTGAAATGCAATATAACCAGAGACTGGAAATACCTTTTGGGCACAACAGACAATTGGTATAGACCAGTTTGAGAAACTGCCCTCCTTGAAAGATTATCCAATAAACTACTGTTGACACATGGACAAATTAAGAAAGATGGCTTTATACCAGTGTGGATTAATTTCAGAAAATGAACAATCCCCCATCAGCATTTTGCTCAATCTGGTTGATCTAAATTTAAACTTAAACATACATTATTATATTCACTTTGAATCCCTCCCCCCGTTCATCAATATAGCAACACTTTATGTTGCTTCACTGGTAACATAAGAGGAAAAATGGTCATTACTCATACTTAATCTAAGCAAAACCACAAGGGCTCCTGATTAGGCATTTAGCTGCTGTGTGATGTTGACTGTTATCTGTTAACTTTGCTCTATCCTGTTTCCCCCTTTGTTTTTGTTTAAACCAATTAACAAAACAATAACTTATACATTGAACCATATGTTATAGATATTACTGCAAATTTATTATGCTATGTTTGTGATATACCAGTGGCAAGAGAAGACTTGGTCTATTTATTTGTATCATATATTATTCCTATGATCCTTGTTTACAGAACCTGATTGAAAATTATTATTATTTTATATATAAAAAACACCTAGGATGTAATTCTGTTATAATGTAATTTGTGACTGGATGGCAGTGATAACCTTCAGCTTTATTTGACCATCTCCGACACTCCTTCATTCCTCTCCTCTCCCTTCTGATATTTTTCTTCAGGATTGTATGCCACTTTTTCTAATCACTTTATTGCTCTTTTTTGATGAGAAAGCTGCATTTAGTATTACAATCATATACAAGCAAGGGAAATAATTTAGCTTGGAAAAGAGTGCATGTAACCTAGAGAGTCTGTGTGCATTGTCAAAATGTCAAAACAACTATGATAAAAGATAATGCCTGACTTCCAAGCAGTGTGGGAAAAAATCTGACACCTGAAGAGCTAGTCATATACATGATATGTGCACCCTTTTTAATCTTTGTTGGAAGAATGTGAAATATTTCCAAATTAACATCCCAAAAATGCATTGGGGCAGACATGGATTGAAGAAAAATGTTCACTGTCTGCTTGGACTGATAGCTATTCCACTTTGGAGTTATAATTGCCTAAGGGTGTGTGTATGAATAGCGGGGAGAGGGCCCTGCCGATTGTTAAGTGCCAAACTACATGTTGCAATGGAGAAGAGAAGATGTAGAATTAAACAGCAGCTAGCTGAAATGCATGAGTCCATTTCTTTATGAGTCTCAGGCCTAGTCATTTTATCCATGGCACTGCAGACCAGATGTCGTTTTCTTGTCTTTGTGGCCTAATCCACATGGTAAGCCGTGAACAGTGTGCTTATTTGGTGAAAGCCACCATGTGGACCAATGGCACCTGTAAGGGTCATGTGCTCACGACGTAGATCCTAAAATGAAGTTGGGCTTCATGCTAAATATACACACCTAGATGGCACCACTGAAAACAGTTAGACTTACTTCTAAGGAGACATGCATTTCACTGTTACAGTCTTGATGTTTCAGAGTCTTTAGTATTTGTGGCACCACATTTTTATTCTATTACAGCGTCTTCGGGGACTAAAATAATCCGTCTCAGAGCCACAGGTCACATCATAATAGAGGTGTCACAGCCATTCTAAAAGCATCCTCAATGTGTTTAGCCAAACTAATTACAACTCTTCATGATCAAGTTTGGAGGAAACATTTTGTCAATTTGAAGAGGAAGCCAGCTGACTGGTGTAGCACTGTCTAGCCCAGTCTTCCCCAACCAGGTGCTCTCCAGATGTTTTGTTCCTATCAGCTCGGGGAAGGCTGGGCTAGGCTATCTGATGCCACCAGGAACTCCTGCTTCGCTGCATCAGAGTACATTTCCCCATTTTTAAAAAGCCGCCCCACCAAAAAAAAGACAAATTAATTGATAAACACATGTTGTGCTCCCCCCTCCACAAAGCATGGGAGTTGGGAGAGGGAAGGACTGATTTGCAGACACCTGTCTCTTCGGCTGCAAAGCTGGGAGAAAGCCAGGCTAGTCTGGTGGGTGAGGGATGCGTTATGTTATGAGCTCTCTCTTCATACGATGCCTGTCTTGACCCTAACAGGAACTCTCGGACTATTCACAGCACAGCTTGTGTTGGAGACAATGGATACAGAGAATTACTAATAGAGCATGACTTCCCTATTGATGGTGCGCTGAAGATGTGGCTCTTGAAACAAAGGCAGACTCATGTGGTGGCACCTTATAATGAAATGTTTCTGAGCTTGTTTCTGTCTCAGTTCGGCAAGGGAGATGTGTGCACAGAAGTGCTGCATGCCTCGTAAGCTGTGTCAGATCAGTGCTGTTTTTGCTAGACTGAGCACCTATTTGGAGAGTGGGGCTGCTCTATTTAGTGTCCTTCTCCTTCCCCCTCCCCAGCAGTTGAATGGTGCTGTTACACACCATCTCTTTCCTTGGGAGACAGATTTGTGTGCAGAGCCTTATGAACAGCCTACAGCTTCAGGCTGGGATTTGTGAATCTGAAGGATAAGAACTTTTCAGAATTGACACCCATCCCTGGGGAAAATAAGCAGCCAGTGTCCTTGGCATATCTAGACCTATTTCGTTGCCTAATATGGAGAATGGTATCTTGACGGGACTATTCAGGGTGGGGAGTGAAATGTGGTATCTGGCAGTTAATGATGGTTTGGGGTTTTTTGTCTTACCTAAAGTTGATTAACCGTTTTGCCTCACCCAATGAATAATGCTTCTGTTGATGTCAAGTGCTTTAAAATATTAGCGTATAATATCTTTTCTTTTCTTAAAATTTGCAGTTCCCAAATTCATATTTGCAGCAGTTGATCCAATGGTTAATCTAAACCCTTCTTGGAAGCCAAAAGAAGGTGAATATGGTCATTTTTATGGATCGCTACCAGCATTTGTCTTTTAAGTAAGACCCTACAATGGTTTGATCATATAACATGTAAAAAATAGAATATACTACCAACCAAGTGAAATGAGACCTTAGCAGGCATTTCAAATCTAGGCGGCAGAAAACACCAGGTTCAGTTACTAACATTGCCAGATAAAATGGTATCAGGACAAACACATTTTTTCCTAGAGTTAGGCCTCTTGAATTAAATGATTCATTAACATCTCTAGGATAAAGTTACTTTTTAAAAAAGAACTCGTATTTGACTTGAGATCACAGAGAATCATGGGGATTTTAAAATTAAGAGCTCCTTTTGGGCAGGATATAAAAAAATCATTTGGTTAACTTACACACACATTTTCTAACAATTTTTAAAGTACTTTGCTGGCCCTCAGCTGTGATCTAATCTAACAAACCTCTCATTTGTTTTTATCAGGTATAAGTTTTGACCCAAAAGAATCAAGATTTCCAAAGAAAGAAGGAATTATAGTTAGCAACAGTTTGGCTATGTTTGCTTACATTAAAGGTAGAAATTGTGTGTTCTTCTTGCCATTCTTCTCTGCATTCTTCTTACCAGTAATCCTGTTGAGTATAATTATACTGTTCCAGTACAGAAAATTAAATCCATGTATAGACCATGGCTGCAGTCTATAGAGTCTGCTGTAGAGTCTGCACATTTAGAAGGACATCAGATGGACACTTTTTGATATGTAGGGATGGGGGAGAAATTCAGTTCCTACCAAATGCACATTTTTTGAAACAAAGCACAGCCATTTTTCGAAATTCTGAACTGCCAACTGCTGAAAAGAACTGTCCTGGTCTTAGTTTTTGTAAACTTAAAAGAGTTGTGCTTGTTCAAAAGCCTCTCTCCCTCTTTTACTCATACGCCTAGGACTTGCCGATCGCATGGTTGGCAGTTCGAATCCCCGCGGCAGGGTGAGCTCTCGTCGTTCGGTCCCAGCTCCTGCCCACCTAACAGTTTGAAAGCACCCTTAAGTGCAAGTAGATAAATAGGTATCGCTTTATAGCGGGAAGGTAAACGGCGTTTCCGTGTGCTGCTCTGGTGCTGGTTCGCTGGAGCAGCTTCGTCACGCTGGCCACGTGACCCGGAAGTGTCTGCGGACAGTGCTGGCTCCCGGCCTCTAGAGTGAGATGAGCGCACAACCCTAGAGTCTGTCAAGACTGGCCCGTACGGGCAGGGGTACCTTTACCTTTACAGGTCCCTTGCTGTGGTGCTGTAGTGCTAAAGGATTTTGACACACCCACCCATCCAAGACTCCCAAACTTTTGACATTTTGTCTACACCCATTTTGATAAGCAGCCCTTGGGTCAATGTTGCCCTTGCCCTGTACCCAATGTTGCCCTTAGCCACCCCGTTTTAGTGAACTTTGGTTGATTTCTTTTCATTGCTGTTCGGATGTTTTTATCTTTCTGGTTTCTGCTGCTCTGTTCTTTCTTTTAAAATGTTTGTTTGTTTATCACCATATTTATATCCCACCTTTCTTCTAAGGAGCTGAAGGTGGCATACACACATCTCCCCTTCCCCATGGTACCCTTACAATGACCCGGCAAGGTAGGTTAGACTAGGAGATGGGAACTGGCCTAAGATCTTTCAGGGAGCTTCAGTACTGAGTGGGCATTTGGATCCTGGTCTCTAAGGTCTCACATTACCTTTAGTGTTTTATTGTATTTTAAACCAATGTATTGTATTTCTGCCCTCCTAACCTGACCCGGAAGCCTCCTTTAACTATTTTGAATGGCAAGAAATAAACCCGGAATGGGGGACCTGTGGCCTTCCAGACATTGCTCTAAACTCCCTTCCCCTTTGACCAACTATGGGAGTTGACATCCAGAGGGATACAGGCCCACTATCCCTCATATAAATGTTTTAAATAAATAAATAGAATCTTCCTAGGCCCATAGAATCTGACAGCTGCTCATTTCAGATCGTTCTATGGAGATTTGCAATCACATCTTAAAGTAATTTGGATGCAATTTATCTAGAGCTGCCTTATGTAACATTAATGCTGTTTTCTATGAACCTGCTTGGTTCTGGCTCCGTCTGCATTGACCAGAATGCCACACATTAATAGACCAATGTGCTATACAGATGACAGATACATTGTTGTGCTGCTTTCTTAGCATGCTATGGGTGTGGGTCGGGGGGGGGGGGGCAATAACGTGGTTATCCCTAATGGCGGGTTAAAAGTGCTTGCTTTGAAGAGGTAAAATGCACTTTTAGGATTAAGTGCTTTGGGATGATCATTAGAACTGTACAGGTAGGATTTAGAACAGAGATACTCAGATATTGTTGCATGGTCTTTGAAGCCAAATAGTACAAATGCCAAAAGTAAAGAACTAACAATAGCTGGCGAACTTTTCCAGAAATAGGCAGCTCTGAGGCAGATACAAACAGCTTTTCAGCGGCAAAGCTTCCCCTCTGCTTTACCGCTAGAGCAGCCAGCTTCCTAGTGAGTCACACATTTGGCTGAAGTATGGTACCGCCTACACCAGGAGAGAAGCACTTGAAGATCTAGCCTCAGGCTTTAAGGATTATGGTGCCCACACTTAGACGGCTCAGCTGTCTCCCTGTGCCATGGTGCTTTGTGGTCAAGCAGGCAGGATCAGCTAGCCAGAGACAAGTTAGCAGGGCCTGGTGAACCTTGTAGGCTTGGACTGGCACAATAGGACAGGGCCTTTTCAGAAATGAAGACCTTTCATCACTACCCCCTTGTCTGGCCCTCCCTTTATAACCCTTTAGTCTGGGATTTTGTTTCTAATTTCAGATCACCCTGAAAGAGCTGCTCTCTTGTTTGTGTCTAGTGTTTGTGTTGGCCTCGTGCTCACACTCTGTGCTCTGGTGGTCCATGTGTCATGCTCTAATGACCTGGAAAAACTGTGGAGGGTCAGAAAGCGCTTGATACCAGAGGACAAAAAGGCTGATGAAAACGGTGAAGAGGAGGAGGAGGAGGAAGAAGATGACGAGGAGGAGCAGGAAGAGGAAAGAGAGGAGTCTTCCAGTTCTGATTTTCCCGATGAACTAGCAGGGTTCTGCAGGACTTCCTATTCAGCTTATTGTTCAATGGACCCAGCTGAACTTGCTGAAAGGATAGAGCGGAGAGAACAGATCATCCAGGAAATCTGGATGAGCAGTGGGTTGGATGCATCTCCTACTCGAAGCCTCAGTCCATTTTATACCAATGAACAGCAATGCATTTGTTTTGGATGAAAAATGCTATTTTTGCAATAAAAAAGAAGAAAATAAAGGGGGAGAAATGTACTTTCTGTGAAGGGACATTTGCAACTCCTAGAAATAATTATTTGCAAAGTTATATTATTAATAATTATAATAATTAAATGCTTTAAAATATGTGTGTGTTGCATATACTGACTTTATGCCTCTGATTAATTGTACATTATCATTCTACCTAAACCATTTCTGTTTGAAAATGAATGACCGTATTAAAAACCAGCACAACACACATTTCCACTAAGGAAATTACATTTCTGAAAGGTACTGAAGATAAAAAGAGAGGCCACTGCAGAACTAAATGGGTCACTTTGCAGACTTCTTTTCAAAATAACCTTTAGAAAAATCCCGTATGGTTTAGGCCAATCAAATCTAAAGTTAAATCAGAAATTTATTCCTTTAGAGAAGAATGTCTCCCACATTTAGTCACAATCTGTAGGGAACTAGAAGAACAAAAGGAGGAAAAATGTCACTTCCTACTTGTGATACTTAGGAGTTGTCCGTTCTTTCCCTATGCAGAACTCACACGTTAATGTAGTAGCATAAGATATACTGGGGTGGAGTGGACTTTGGCTTTTAATTTCCTATTGTTTTAAAGGAAAATTGGAGCTTGGGAAAAATTAATAAAAGGGAACATTTCCCAATTACTAATTAGTGAGCTCATACTGAATCAGAAAACCTTCAGCCTGATTCATTTCCTAGTAAGTCAGGAAGCTAATAAACTTGCCAAGAAGTCCTTAAAAAAAATAGAAGAATCAAAGAATTGGAAAGGCCAGAAAAGCAGACTATTGCAAGGCCAGAAAATGCATTCATAACCCCCACCCACAATGGACTGATCCAGACTGCATGACACCAGCAGGGCAGGCACACAGTGAGAAGGTGCTTACTGAGCAATAGCTGGGGGGGGGGAGGGGAGGATCATGCAAATTTATCCAACAAAGACACAGTTCAAACACTTACTAAGCAAGTGTTATAACTAGCCAAACCAAGAGGCAGATAAAGACATATAAGATCTGCTCCTCTTTCTGGTCCTTCCTCCAACCAATAGGATCTGGGTTGGCCTGCCAACTTGTCCTTTGGTGCCGCTGTTTTGACCCCAGGTCAGTCATCTGTCACCTATGAGGGAACTGACCTGTTGTTCTACTGAAATCTTAGTGGATGAGCAGAGGCCAGGGTGCACACCACATCTCCACCACATGAGAAGTGCTGCCTCTGGAGGTGCCTAAACTGGCTAAATCAAATGATGCAAATCTAACCCACAGTGTAAGCGACACAAGCTAGAAAAGTAACACATCTCAGAAATAAAAGGGTATGTCAGTCTCTTTGCTTGCTATTTTGCTTAAACATATATTGCTCTACCACTATATACATTTTAAGAGTGTACTCTTATGTCGGTAGCATTAGTTTTTGCAGCCCAGGATATTATCATTAGATTTACTGGCAAAATCGGTTAGCTGGAATTTAGGCTTAATATTATGCTTACCAGTGGTGGGGCTGGGGAGGCCATAGCCCTGGGCATGCTTTTTTGAGGGGGCGTGACCAGGCACCCCCACAAGAGGATCCTGGAGGTGGAGAGAGGCTGCAACGTGCGAGGTGCCCGGTCCCTGACACCCTCAGGGGCGCAGCCCTGAGCGTAGTTAGCTTAGACTCCACCACTGATGCTTGGAGCTATTCTGCTCCAAAATGTCTAGTTCTGAAACTGAAACCTGGAATTCTTTCAATAAATCTGCCTCATGTAAAATTGAGTTTCAGAACTTTCCCAGCATTGCCAAAGTTCATTAATTAGTAGCATGTAGACTTACAAGCTTATCCTGTGTAAGAATGGTTGCATTTTCACTGCCTGGCAAAATCCGGATTCCCTGGCATATATGTACCCTGATGAGTGGAGGCTGGTTTATTAGGGAAAATGGGGCACTGCCCCACCAACCTCAAGTCTGACACCAGTCAACGCCTACCTGCTTGTCTTCTTACTTACCTGTTCAAGAGGTGGCACTGTCTTCTTCTTGCTTAGTCTCAGTGCCACCTCTTGTAGAAGACAGCAGGGAGGATGGGGACAAGTATAACTCATTGGCTGTATCTATTGGCTCTGGCTCTAGCTCCACCTACAGTTGGTCTCCCTACTTTCCACCCTACCAGAGCCCCAATGGGCACCAGTCACCCTTATTATGCACGTGGTTTGTAGTGTGTACACATTACATTTTCTGGCATAAAGATCAATGGTTTTGAGTATACTTTTTAAAATGCAATTTGTAAAGAAGTCCCTAGAAGCATTCTAAATTAAACAGTAAATAAAGGGGAGAGGAGCTGGGGTAGAGGGGGAAAGAATAACTTTTATGAAATGTCCTGAAAAATTCTCAACTTGCAGAAAACGAGAAGCCTGTTTGGAAAGTCCTGCTTTGAATTTTGTTGTTGTTGTTACTGTTTTAGCTTTGAGGAAGAAATCTGTGGTAGTTGGATATCAGCAGGATGCAAATACTGAAATAACAAGAATGATAAAGTTGCCAGTATCTTAAAAATAAAAAGCAAATCTAAAATCAAAGGATACAGTTGCACAAGGGGGCACACAGTGTCACTCTAAAGGTAAGGACTTCCAAAGATAACAAGAAAGAAGAGGCTTAGCAGTGCGTTTTGTATGCTCAAATACAGTGGCATTGCTTAAGAAACAAATACTATAAACAGGGATTGCAAGTTACGTGTGTGTCCCCTAAAAGCATCTACCTATTAGGGTCATCTTACACCTTCTTACTTTATGTTTAATGACACTACATTCTGTTACAACAAATAACTTTTAGTATTTGTGGTTCAATGTAAACCTTTAATGGAGATCAGTTCTTTTAAAAATTATACCATTTGCCCCTTTGAATAGCTAGGCCACCTAGGAATCAAATGTTTCCTATTGGGACTGCCCATTCTAAGGATGAAAAAGAAGTTGAAAATTAATCCTTTTTGAAACCCAAGCCTTTTATCCAAACTCATTCAGCTGTTGCATGTACAACATTTCTCTGAGGCCCAAAGCATGCAGCTGCACCTCGGAGGTTTTTCAGGACGCTATTGTGATCAGCCAGCCAAGGCACTGCTGTTTGAAAGGTGTGGTAAAGATGACAATGGGAAAGGTGTGGCATCACATTAAAGCAACCTTGAGGTTTCCTTTCACTCGAGCGAGGACCTGAAACAGTTGGAAAAATATAAAATGGGGGTGTCAAGGAGGGAGGTGGATTGGAAACGGAAATGCCTTCGAAGCCAGTCAACTGGCTTGACTCAAGCACTGTGAAGTGCCTTGTAACACAATCTATTCTACTGTAACATAGCTGAGCACCATAGACAAACTTGGATGCTTTCATTCCAAGTAACACAATGAAAGCCGTTTGGTAACTGAAAGGACTTGCTCCAAAGCGCCATTGACATTGAAAGGATGGAATGACTTTGATGGTGGTGTTTGTTTTGTTTTTAAGATTAGATTCCTTCTATGACTCAGAGTTGTTTTTAATGTGTGGTTATTTAAAAAAAAGTTCACTGAAAGTTTTTACTGGTTCTGCTCCACAGAGAATCCTCTCTCAAACTGAAAGAATGTACAGCTCTTAAAGGAACACTGAATTAAGCTGCATAATGGAATCAATTAGAAATGGTGGATAGGAATGGAGGAGAAATTCGATTCAGTTGGTATTTAAAGCTGAATCTATTAAATTCACACTTTCTAGAACAATATACAAACCAAAATACAGCTATTCTTTGAAATTCACTCTTACCCAAATTTTGCAATACAGTTCTCCAAACAAGCAATGTTTACAAAAATGAATATATTAGGGGAAAGTGTGCATACAAATGAAGGTATCGGTGAAAGTAGCATACAAAAGTGCCTTATATTTGAAAAATGTGCTTGCAAAAATGTGTACATTAGTCAAAACTGCATATGAAATGTGTTTGGAGAAATTTGTACAAAATGCTGATGAATCCTCAAAAGCTTTTTCTTTAAATGCAAATTGCTGCAAAATGTGGAGAACTGAAGTTAGGATTGGAAAACGAAGGAACTGAGATCTTTCCATACCTAATGATGGATATGTTGATCGCCCACACAGTAACTTAGTTCTATAGCAGATGGTAGTGGTGATGAGGCAGGACTGCGGATTAGCTCTTTGAGTTAGTGGTACTGTACATCCACTGAAATTAATGGCACTAATTTAATTTCAGTGGGTCTACCCAGAGTAAAACTTAGTTGAATGCCATCTATTGCTCCTATCTGCAGATGGATGATATCCCACTTTCCTGGCCCCACAAGAACCTCCATTTTCTTCTCATATAGGGTACACTGTATTAGTATCAGCATAGGCAGACAAAGAATAATTCATCCAAATTTCAATCTCACAAAATATCCTATGTACCTATAGCATTGAAGGGAGAGTGGAATACATTACTAATACCCAAAGTCCCCTCCTCCCTAACATTCAGATGACCACAGGCAAGTTGTTAAAATCAGGAAATGCCCACATGGATTTCTCAGTAAAATACTACTGTACTGAAAAGTTATAAATGGGGAACTTTTTTAAGGAGTTAATTGAACTTCAATTTATTATTTATGTTTCCTTGTAAGTTCTCTCCCTCCCACATTATAATCTTGGGATAAGAAATTAAAAGTGTGCTTTTTTTCCTTGTGAGGGAAGTGCCAAGTTTCCTCATTTCTCTGTAAACTTCCTCATTCCAAGTGCCCAAAATTTATTGCAGTACAGCATGTACTTGTTGGTGTACAATGAAAGGCAAGTCATGTCCTTGAAGCTGACAAGCAGCATTTGTATTGTAAAGTATGTACTAATTCTGTCATGAATGTTTGTTTTTGCTTCATCTCAGCTATGCTTTTTAACAGTATGCTTTTGTCCATAGTATTGTATGGCAGAGAGAGACAGAAAGTACATCAAGAATTAATCTCTAGCTCACTTTGCATTTATCTTCAAGGGTTTCTAATTCCCTTCTAAATTAGGCTACTTAAATGAAGAACGTAGGGTGTATGCAGAGACCAGGAATGACTTTTTGAGTGACAGACTTGGGAGCTGTGCTCAGACACTGTAAACAAAGTTAGAATCCCTGCTCTGTAATAACATCAGCTGGCTGGAGCTGATGGGAGTTGTAGTCCAAAACGTCTGGAAGGCACCAGGTTGGAAAAGGCTGTTCTAGACCTTCCATCTAGTAACAGCAACTTCCTGTAGCCATCTTACCTCTTGAACACCCTCCCTGGCAATCCGATCTCCTCCTCAGTCAACCTCCATCCTCTCCTTAAGTGTTGTGCCATTTCTTCAGTCTTCTTTCATCCCGGTTCCCTAATTCAAGTTGCCTGCTACTCCTCCAGGTTTTATTTTCTTAGCCCAATCCTTCCACTAGCTTCCTTGCCTCCACCTGTTTGTCCCTTAAATTCCCTACATACCTGGACCTCTTTTCACTCCTCAACCTGCCTGTGTGAGGTTTAATCCTAGCCAACCTGACTTTTCCTTGCTTTCCAGAGAGCACTATAAACTGCTTAATTCCCTCAGCGACTGAACATTCTTTATCACTAGGTGACCCATGCCAGGATCTGGAGGTTTCACCAACACAAGAATAAATGCAATACAGATGGAGCAGAGGACAGAAATTCATGGACACAGACATTGCTTCATGGCACTTTTCCTGCTTCTAAAAGTGATTGATAAGCGCTATTTCAAAAACACAGTTACTAGTTTTGCCTTTGGGTCTTTATTAAACAAATCACACACATCTGTTATGGTTGTGCACCAGCCTGGACATGGATGTCTTGTTACCTACAGTGACATAAACTCCTAAGTAGTATTGCTCAAGCTCAGCAGTTAGATTCTGTATATGCTATTTTAGAGTATCAGATCTTCCACCCCTCTGCAGTGTGGACACAAAAAACATTCAGACTGAACATAGGCAGTGTGCAGGCAATGTTGTTAGCACTATTAAACTGAAAACTGATCCTTTTAAATTGAGTTCAGTTTGCTAGTATAATCATTTGAGCTTCTGCCCAGCAAAACGTAAAACCAAAGCTGAGAAGAGTAATGCTGCTGTGAAGCCTGATAATTGTTCTGTGCAACTGCTGTAATTTTAAAGTGTCTCTACAGCACAATGTAGCAAGGGTGGCTATAAAAGTATGCATCTCTCTCTCTCCCTGTGTGTGTACCACAAGCTCATTGCTTTTGCTCACCGCCAATCCCAAAATAATAGAGTTAAGGACATGCTCCCTATGTCCCTAGGAGTAATGAGCCTTACCTTGGGCAGCAGTTCTGGCTCAGACTTAGATGTATGTGGCGGGTCCAGCTAGATTAGAAAGACCAGAAGCAAAAATCACAGAATAGCATTCTTACCAAAGATACCAATCTTCACACCCCACTTTCCATTTATTTTTTTAAAAGGAAATAAATTCATTTGTTACTCTGATACCAGATCTCGTTGAGAAGTTTTATTCAGATTACAGAGAGACTTCCTGGTGTTGCCTTTAAGATACAATGTTATTTAAAAAGAACAAATTATAATAAATATCATTTTTTAAAAAAATAAAAAGAACAAATTATCTTTGAGTTCATGGAACTCATCGTTCTTTTAAAAATATCAGTTGACTTTCTATTTCAGCTCAAGTCTACAGTATGGTTGACTGCAAGGTTTTCTGGCAGGATAGCTATTTACATCCTAGCAATTATTTATTATGCAATATTTATTTCCTGCCTTTCCTGCAAGGAGCTCAAGGAGGCATATAGAGTATCCTTCCCATTTTATCTTCACAACAATCCTGCAAAGCAATTAACCCAAGATATTAAAAAAGCACTGATCAAATTGTCCTTGCTGTGGCTGCTCAGATGACCAGGTTCCATGAACTGATACGTATTTTAAAAAATATTTTACACCGCCCTTCAAGGCAACAGGGCTAGATCATGTCTGATAAATCCACGCTTCTTTCAACAATAATTTAAATAATGCCTAATGATTATGTATGGCAGGAGTGTAAAAATGACCTAATTCTCCACATGGTTGGAGCTATAATGGGGAAATAGTTGTTTATCCATTTATCTCTAAAATGGGTAAAATAGGAATAAACAGTGATACCCCAGATTGTGATGAGTTCTCCATTAATGTTTGAATCACACAGTTGCAAACATGGGTCCGGAACCAGAATTCAACTTCTGCAGATGAAAAGGCTCCTTCTGTCCATTGAATGCTTTGATTCAACAGAGGGATCCCATTGGTAGGGAGGAGGAAAGGACTTTTGGCTATTCCTCTCTGGAACAGTGTGGTAATGCTGGAGGCTGCATAGGGAGGGAGAAATTGGCACTGGCAGGAGTGAAGTCTGGATCCAACAAATGGTCTACACATTAAAAAAAGTGTTGCCTTCTAAAGTAGCTTACATCATTTTGAACACCTTAATTACAATGGACAAACAGAAACAAGACAGCTGTAGAATGACGACAACCAGTTTAATAATATGACAGCCATGCTGGTGAACTAGTTTAAAATATAAACATCCAATTTGTAAGTCTACTGTAGTGGATTCACAAAATAAGCTTTAGTTTTTTATTTCTAAAAGGCAAGTGTGTCAAAGAGGCTGAATATATTTTGCAATCAATCATAACAATAGATCACTTCTACAAAACTAGAAGCTAATATTTCACAATAATTATAATGCACATTTTATCATCCATGTTATTTGTAAACCTCAGTGGATTAAATTATCTTGTAAAAAGGAAAAAAAACTGCATACATAGCTTCATTTGGGTCTCCACTTAATGTCCTTTACACCATGAAAATGTCTTTTCAAGGCATGACTGTCAGCCCATTCAGAATCTAAAAATGAATCATCATCATTTTCTTCCAATTTCTGTTGGGGAAATAGCAAAGAAAATGTGTTTAAAACTGCAAAAATGTTTACCTGCATTGTTTTCAACAGCATAAATACCACAATAAACCCTAGATACCTTGAGTTCCTCTTGCCTTCTGTGATAAAAAAGGATCATCTGTTTGTGTTCTTCACCACTTATGACAGGCTCACGGGCTGGAGCTCCTTGTCCTTTCTGGAAAAATAAAGCAAGTTTGTACTCACTGGCACTTTTAACTATTCTGTGACATAATAAACCATGGTTTAAGTCACTGCCTGCCAATTACCTGTGAACCTGTTGTGAAAAGATCCCTGTCCCCCATGACAGCTAGGGCCTAAATGACATTTCACAGGAGGGCACAACTATGTTTGCAGAGGAACTTATGGTCCTTGCCTTCATACATACATCATCTATTATAATGATAAGGATTTTGCCATTATGAAATATAGAATTGAAGAAGCACAAGCAGCAGGAGAAAAAATAATTTCAATTGGGTTTTAAGGGTGGGTGTACAAGCAACAAGCATAGCAGTATAGGAGAACTGCTGCACAAAATAAGTTATTCAGGTGCTTATTGATAAACAAAAGCCTATACGTTTATTCCAGGTCTTTCCTTACAGCAGAGACTGGGAACTGTGACCCTCTAAATCAGCAGTTCTCAACCTGTGGGTCCCCAGATGTTGTTGGACTACAACTCCCATCATCCCTGAACTCTAGCCTTGCTAGCTAGGGGTGATGGGAGTTGTAGTTCAACAACATCTGGAGACCCAAGGTTGAGAGAGGCTGCTCTAAATATTTGTTAGACACCAGCTCCCATCATCAATACTGGCTTGGGCTGATGGGAGCTGAAGTCCAACAACATCTGGAAGGCCACAAATGCCATATACGTTCCTTATAGTCATCCTTGGATTCACTCAAAAAGGCTTCCTATACTTCAAAAACAACTTGAGATCAAGTAGCACATCTCTAATACCCCCTTGTCATGTGTGCCTCAAGGGGTGCTGTATAATATAATAAAAATTATTTCTTACACTGCACCCAGGTTAGAAAAATAGCTATTCTTGGCCCAATGAGTATGGTGTCATGGTTTGTTCCAAGACACCAAAAGAGAAATGAAATGCACTGAAATGTATCAAGAGTTTCACTTACTTTCTGTATCTTCACAATAATTTTGGTTTTCTCATTTTTGCCCACATAGTCAGAAAGCTGCTTTGTTCTCTTCAGTTCTTTTGCTGCCCACCACAGTTGTGCCTCTGGTTCCTCAATAACCTCAAGTGCAGCCTATGACAAATTAAGTCATGAAATGCTTAGTGGTTTCAACAAATATACCAGCCTGATCTCCAGATGTTTTGGACTACAACTTCCATCAGCCCCAGTCAGCACAGAATTACAGTCCAAAACATCTGGAGGACACCAGGAAGCTTAAAATACACAGATTGCAGATTAAACTTTTTCATAGCAGTGGGAACAACTTGTCTAACAGACAGATATCCATTTCATCACTAAAAAATAAACAAATATAATGACTAAGACAAACTTTGCAGTGTAGGAAACTGTCCCTCCGTCCTTTAAAAAAATAATAAACAGGTACAAAATCCATTGCTGATGATGGAAAGTAAACACTCTCAAAGAATGCACATATTCAATTATTGGTGAAGTACTACTATGCAGAGGATATAGCCTTACTTACTATTTTTTAAGTGAACCATGAACTAAAACAGGCAGCCTTAAGTACAACATCATCACTGATTTTTGTTTATCAAGTGATTGATTCTGTGAGATGACATGTACTGGGATCTAAGGGTACACAGATTTCATTGTGACAGGAAATCAGTTCTAATTAATTCATTGTTTTCTTGCTCAATTTTTATTTATGTGTGATGTGGTATCGGTTTCATCAATGCAGACTTCAGCATTTATGTTCCAATTTCAAATCCATTTTTAAGATGGATCTTAAATAAACAAATAAACTGTGTTATCCTAGAAAAAAAGCTAAATGGTAATTAAAGGGAATTTCATGATTTCTAACAAATGTTTATTAACTCACCAAATTTTCACAAACCTGAAATCATTATAATATAATACTACCTCTCCCTGCTGCCTTTCAAAAAATAAGTCTGCAGAAATGGTTACTTGCCCTGCAGTATACAGGGAAGGGAAAGGACACTTTGGTCCCAGTCTCTAACCAGAAGAACAACTGCAGCAAGAGGAAAAGCCATTTTTAATTCAAAACATATTAAGCTGTACAAGTCACTTAGTGCACTTAGTAACCTTTGGGATGGAGCAGAATATAAATCAAATAATTACACGAATAACACACAAATGACTACATGTTCTGCAAAAGCACAGACTTTTTAATTCCAGGAAGGGCAATATTTTTAAAATTAGAAACCATGTAACCCAAGTAAATCATTACATGAGTTCCTGACAGATCTTCTTTATCTTCAAACTCCATTCTAATTGGATCATATGGAGGGAGTCCCATTGGGTAAACAATCATTACAGCTCCTCGGAGCTGGTCCAGTGCATCTTTCACCATATCCTTATTAACACACACATTGGCTTGCACTTGTTTCTGAAATACAGACAGAAGACATTTAATTTAACAAACCAACAAAGCACAGAGGAAAGAATGTTATCCTTGCAGTTCACAATGTGACTCAGCATGACATTTGAGGAAAGCCAAGTAACAAAGAAAGCCACACTTAGCTTTTCTGCCTGATACATAAAGGATCAAATGTTTGTTTTACTGTACACAATATTGGCTAAGATAAAAATGAAATCTCTTGTCAAAATTCTATTGAAAAGATCTGTGGCAGATATGTATAAGACCCAGACTTGCTGTCAATGCAAAATTGGATGCAGAATCACCTCTTTTATGCAGTGTTTACCATTTTTTCCAAAGTGATAAAAGTTTCTGGAGCAAGCCAGCAGCATGGTTTACTCAGAGGACAATAAAAGGTTCACTGACCACTAAGGGGGAAAATTGAGCATTTGCTCCACTTTCCCACTAAAATCAATAGAATGTATAGATTTACATTATATATTTTAATGGACTTTTAATTCACAACTCCACCCTCAAAAGGAAATGTGAAGCTAGGAGAAGAGAGACTCCTTGTGGACAATACCTTTATTTCTACTCCATGAGATATTTTTGATTGGAAAGAAGGGGCGGGGATTAAACATCTACAAACTGCTTTTTCTGTACAAGTATTCAAAAGAAACTTAAAATATACAACAGTCAATAAGGTCAAATATTCTACAAAGCTACTGGTATTTCTAATCCACACCGCCAAGCCATGGGGTGATATTGTTGATTGGCTTGCAATGTGACACTGCCACAGCTACACTGGAGTGGCAAAATGTTGCTGATTTTGGTCATACAGAGATCTTTATGACCTTTGAATAGGTACGTTAACATGAGCTGTTTGATAAAATTAAGTCCAAATTTTAAAATGTTAATTAATTGCCTCAAATGCCATACAAAAATATAGAAGTATCTTACCTTAGATATTAGTGCCTTGGCTTCTTCTACTGTTGCTTTTAAAACCTGTTTCATTTTTTCATTTGGAGCTTAAAATAAGAAATCTGCATTTAATATGATATGGTATTATATGCAGGCTGACTATATAAAAAGCAATATTTTTACATAAAATGTTGCCGCTGTAAATGTCTCTCTTAAGCCAGGCATCATTAAACCTCATATTCTTATTCATTCCGAGCACACCCATTGATATTGTTGGCATTTTTTAATTTTTAAAAATATAATATATACATTTAGTAAGTATAAAGACTGCCTTGTATGTTAAATTTTGCACCTATTTATTGGCACAAAATAATCTGAATGATGTCATTTCTGAATGGTGCAGACAGAGAATTGGTTCTAAAGAAGTGCAAATGATATTCTACTCATACAGCAGTGCTTTCCTGATTTCAGCCACTCTGCAGCCTCTGGAAGACCCTTTGAAATGGGGTGAAATGGTGGAAAAGGGGTGTGAACAAATGGAAGTGACTTTTAGCTGCAAAGAGAACTTCTGAATCCAAATCATGAAATGCGCAGCTTTTGTTAGAGGAATTCAGGCTCATCTGATGCTAAAAGATTGAAGAGCTCCTTCCCTTTCCTAGCAGTACTGCTTCATTTTAGGCAACCAATTTAAGTTACTTTATAACAGCTCACTTATCCAGAACATAATAGCTACATTGTCCCACTGTCTATTATAGTATGTATCTTGCTACTGACGTTGAACTGGGGCTTGCCAGAATATAGCGCTAAGCATAAAAAACAGGCACACTTTTTGGATTCAATAGAAAGGTCCTGAGAATGGTTTTTATATACCGTTGCAAATATGTTAAGTCTGATAACGCAAATAACATAACTAGCATTATTTACATAACCTACAGTCATTTTTCAACATGAAAAGGTATGCAGTATCAAAATACTAAATAAATTTCTTATAGAATCCTCTCTTGGCTAATTATATACAAAAAAGTCATGTATGCTTAAGGTACATTTATTTACCATGCCCATTTCTTCGTCCAATTTCATCTTTTTTAAAGACGCTTCCACCACTTGGAATACATTTTTCTGCCCATTCATCCTTCAGCTTCAGCTCTTCTATTTGCTCATCTGTCAGACCTTGCATGTTAGGAGGTAAGAAAATACCATGTTCTGCCAGTGTTTCTATTTCTATAAAAAAAACCCCAGAGAATGGGATAAGATGATAAAATTATGTCAATTACCCTTTATTTATTTAAATTATTTAAGAAAAATCATATACCTCTTGATTTTAATAAAAAGTTCAAAGCAGTTTACAAAAAACCCAACATTACAATTATCAATAAAAACAGTTAAAAACAGGTACAGTCTTACCTTGGAAGTCGAACAGTTTAGTTCCCGAACATTTTGGCTCCTGAACATTGCAAACACAGAAGTGACTGTTCCGGTTTGCAAACTATTTTTGGAAGCCGAACGTCCGATGTGGCTTCCTATTGCCTGCAGGACCTTCCTGCTGCCAATCAGAAGCTGCACTTTGGTTTTGAACATTTTGGAAGTTGAACGGACTTCCGGAACGGATTCCATTCGATTTCCAAAGTACGACTGTATTTTTAAAAATTCAAAACTAAAACCAACAATAAACTAAAAAGAGATAAAAGCACACATAATTTCTTCATGTCTGGCTAGGCATGCTTAAGCAGAAATGTTTTAAGCAGGCACCTTTGGCTCTCTTATTTGGCAGAGATTGCTAAATATCTGAAAAACAAAAATTGGGCTGTTGTAGAATTAGAATATTAGCTTAAAGTATATCCTACAGACATGATTTAAGAAGTCTATTGTTCCTTCATCTATGAATCCTATGTGGGTAATTCAAAGAACCATTAAAAGGCTTTTATTTTATTTTCTTAAAGATAGCAATTCCTAACAGAAAAAAACACCAAACTGTCAGCAAATTTACGCAGCTCGTCAGTGCCATCAAAAACACTAACCCTTGCATGGCATAAGTAACCCATAGGGATTAGGAAGGAAGCATTGCCATAGAAAATGCTCATTTTCCACAAGAAAGTTGGGGTGGGTAGGAAGGCAAATGGATACATTTCACACCTGCACAAACACGATGAACTTTGAGCCTTCCATTGTAAATCTTGGTCACTTCCTGTGTTAAATCTTCAATGGAAATGCTGCCTGTTGTCTCCAGCAGAAATTGGCTCTCATCACCATTCTTCACATGGAGCAAAACCATTTCTGCAAAAGCAGAGAAACAGAGACAAATACTAAAGAAAATGTGTCACCATTTATCCGACAAGAACAGGAAAAAGGTGTCAAGAACCTTGCAAATAAACATTTTGAGAAACTGACTATGAGAGCCAAACACTATAGACAGGAAATTTGTCCGATACCAAGTTTACAGTTGCACAGTTTCAAAGCAACATAAAAGGAAATAAAGTCCCCTAGCCTCCAAAACAGGACCAGAATGTCAAAGGTTCATTGCGAGGCTTGAGAATAAATAAGAGTAAGCAAGCATAGCAGTAATTAATAGGTAAGAACTTCAGAGTTTGGGGAAAATAATTTTGTTTTTCCTTTCTTTCCTTCCTAAGAATGTGCCCAACCACAAGGTTTCAGATCTGTTTCAAAAATAAACAGAACCTCTACTATGGGGCACATAGTTCACTTTAGTCTTGGTTGCAGGGATGCTCAGAATCCTATCCCTCCCTGGAATTCCACACTAAAAGTCCTAAAATGCCAAACCCTACCCTAGTCACCTAGGAGGATGAGGATGTGGAAACTGTTGTATAATTATTTATTGTATTTAAAAATCCTACAGCTAAGTGTGGTATAGAGACCATTCCATAAAACGGCACAGACTCCGCCCTATTTTGTAGGTTAAGGGTTGTTATTGTTTTTAAATCAAAGTTATTGTTACATTGCATGAAGCTGTGATATTCTGAGATGACTTTTAATACAAGATTCCTTTTATAATAAGGGTATATGTAGCTCTTAATTTAAGCCAATAGTCATTCTCCAAAGCTATGAACTCTGCCTTAGAGCCTAGTTTCACTAAAAGTTCCATAGCATGAAACATGGAAAGTAAACAGTGCCTCTGAGCATATACAGTTTCCAAGTTTCACTTCTTAATTTGCACCTACTAAACCTTGACATCCATTCTACATTTATGCCAAACCAGGTGGTAAGGCTTCTTCCCCAATGGTGCATATTGTTTTTGTCAAAAAAAAGTTCAACAACTTTGGGGGTTGTCAAAAAAAGTTTTGGGATCTTCCTAAAAAAACCTTAGCAACTTTTGGGGTGTCCTGGTTTTTACTTTTTGGCAACCCTATTTTAAGGAACTATAATTTCTCTAGACTCAGCAGCCAAACATTACTTTCCCCGATTTTCCTTCTAGAATCTGTAAACCTTACCCATCTTCCCTAACTCCCAAAAAACTGCTTGCAAAAAAAAAAAAAAGTCTTTTAAAAGTGTAAATTGGGCTCTTACTTGAAAGTGACTCATTTGCTCATTCCAGTTTACAAAATGTAACCTCTGCTGGCTTTTCTCAGATGCTGCAAAGGATGTAAAATGGCATGTGAGGTTGCTACAGAAAAGTTCCAGCTTCTGGTCTTTTACAACCAAGGTCTAGCCTTGTGCTTTTTACGCAGCAGGTACCTGTGAGTTGGAGGAACACAACTAGTGACAAATTACGCGCATTAATATATATGGGGAAAGCAGAAGAGTGGGTCTTCCAGTATATTCTGTGGCCACATTGGTGCGAGGCTGGGTTAAGGGATTGCAACTGAGCTGCTGTGAGGTGGCCACCTTTCCTTTCCTGACAAGATGTAGCTTCCTTCCTTTTCTTTTCTGGAAATCAGCCCACGAGTCAGCAGCTGTCCCTTCCCCATCCTGGAGGAGGCAAAGCTTCCTGATCTAGAAGCCCTTTATAAAAGGCCCAATAATTCTCAAAGGTCTTACAGGGCTCTTGAGCCTTTTAAACAGTTTCTTAAGAAAAGCGAAGCAGGAAAACCGAGAGTGCACAAGGGAGGTGGGAAACCGGGAAATCTAGGAACCGGGAACCAACTTCAAGCTTTGGAAATAAGCGGCCGGGTTGAAAAAAGCTCTTCCTGAAACAACTGCCGGTAGAAAGATGGAAGGGGGGGGGGAGGCGGCTCGTCCACGCAGCGGCTCCGCCCCTTCAACGGTTCCTTTCGTTTCTATGGAAACCAACCGACGCACGCAAAGCAGCGCGCGCGACCGGCTCCTTCGGCTTTCCGTCTTCCGCAGCGGCCCCCCAAGCTCCCAAGCCCCACTCACCTGAGTCGCCGCGTAGAAAAAGCCCCTCAAGCCAACTTCCCGCTCTCCGTTCGCCGCCGCCGCCAGGGCTCAACTCGGTGCTCTATACTAGCAACTTCGGCGACCCAGGAAGTGTTCCTCACCCGACCAATCGCGCAACGCGAAGGCTCGAGGCTTCTCTGTCACTCAGCACTAGCCCCGCCCGCCCCCAGGGAGGGGGCGTCGAGAACGGGGCCGTTTTTAAAGGGCCCGCGTCCTCCTTAAGGCGCGCTTTGCTAGCGGGTGGAGGACGTCGAGGTTTGGCTGGAGCGCTCAGCAGCACTTGGCTCGGGGGAAGCGTGGCCGCGGAGCGAGGACGATGAGCGCACCTGTGCTTATTTGCCAAAATGGGGAGAAGCAGGTAGGTGTGTGAAAATCAGTGGCGTAGCGTGGGTTGTCAGCACCCGGGGCAAGGCAAGTAATTTGCGCCCCCTAACCCCCAGATGTTGCGCCCGGCCCCCCCTGCACCCCCACGCTACGCCACTGGTGAAAATGAACTACAGCAGGGCTGGGTTGGGGGGGGGTGGAGAGAAAAGGATCCATGGGCATTTCATGCGCGCAGGGTGGTGTTGATCAACACCAACAACTGGGTCACACTGGCCTGCGAGTGCTCCAGTTGGAGAACAGCCTTTACCAAAGGTGTCATGGGCTTTGGAAACACTCAAACTCAGGACACAAGGGAGAAACGTGCTAAGAGGAAGGCACGCTTGGCAAACCCTCACCGTGATCAACTCCCGCCCGGAAACCAATGTCCCCACTGTGGAAGGATATGTGGATCCAGAATTGGCCTCCACATAAACACTGTTAAAACTGTGTTTATGAAGACAATCTTACTCGGCTACGCGTGATCGCCAAGGAAGAAAAAGAAGATAGATGATCAACCAACTCTGGAAAGGGTTGTGCGTTCCGGCTTAAGGGACAAGGTGCGCTGCCTGGGAGAGCTATTCACTTTTCTCTCAGGAAGCCTAGGAGGCATGTTTGTGTTGACGTCCACCCCTTCCTGGCCAGAGGTAGCCTAGCCAATATTATCTACACTCTGGTGTCTTTTGAGGTTGGCAGTGCACTTTGTTGCATGGGGCTTCCCTTGAAGACAGTTCAGGAAATGCAGCTGCTCCAGAACACTGCAGTTCAGTTGCTTTACTTGCCAACAGGAATCACGGAAGAGATCTTACCCTTGCCTGTATTGAAACAACCACAGTGGGTCCCAGTGAGTTTCTAAGCTCCATTCACAGGGCTGGTCTTAATCCATATACAGCTTAAGACTGACCCAGGTAGCTGCCATACCTAGGCCTCTGTCCACCAGTCCAAAGATGTGTGAATAGAATAAGAATACCTCATGACAATAAAAGGTTGCCCTCTCTCCCCGGCACCTCTGTTATTTGCTCTGCAACTGAGCATGGTGCAGTCACCCTAGATGTGAGCATCTGAATTTTTTTAAAAAACCAACCAACTAAGCTTTTCTTTGCAGGAGAAATCTATGTCCCTTCCTAAAGGGGCAAGTTGGCTGCACATTTGAGAATGTCAGGCCACAAGAGAAAACCAAATCTTGACACAGTCAATTAATGGATATTATATTCTGAAAGATCGATATATTTATTTAATTAATGCAACACCACATTTCACAGGATATGTATGGAATATTGTAGACCACTGAGTTAATACTGTCATTTTGCACTGGATATAGTCAAATATTGTGTACCACAAGCAATAATTTGTTACACATTAACAAAGCAACTTGCCACAGGGAACACACTCCATGAAAGATATAGCTTTTTTTTTTTTACATAGTTTGTAAATTTGACGCCACTAGTAAATTACTTTTAGCAATATATTATGATTAACTATTTATCCTATACTTTTAGATACTTTGTTGCAATTTTGGTGGTACTTTGCTGCCAGATTCTGTAATCTATTGAAGGTGTATGGGGGCTTGTATTTTAAATATGTTATAGAAAAACTGTAATAATTGAAAATAAAAATCTAAACAAGGTCTACATATCACTGAACTGTAATTTGCACTAACTTTCCAGAACACAGTTGTTTTGCTAACATAAGATTATTCCAAAGCACTATCACACAGATGTTAATAATCAGAGTTTTAACGAGTTAAATCACATACTGAAGCACAAAGGTTATAGTACCACTGATGTTTTAAGATGTACAAGTACTTTTAAATGAACTTCACTGTAAAAGCACAATACAGAAGTCACTGTATTTACTTATCTATCCAACTGTAGATAATGGTTATGCACTGCTAGCTGGGATGATTTATAGAAATATGCTGGGATAGTAGTAAATAATTTAGAAATGTAGTTTTATTTTTGCTGCTCCATGGAAAGCTGTGCTTCACTTAGATGCTACCAAAAGGCAGAGACTTTGCTAACAGTCAACAGAAGAACAGACAGGTTTGGCGAGGCCCTTCTCAAAAAAGATTTTTCACAAGCTTTTAAAAAAGCAATCAATATAAATAGCTGTGACAATATGTATAAGAGAATCTATAGCTTGCCTAATGACGTATCATTGAAAACACTACTGTTTCCTTCATGACACCAAAATACTACAAATGACATTTGTTGCAAAAACCATGGGGGACAGGACCATTTGCAAGTTTACAAAGCATTGTGCAAACAGGAACAGATTTAGCCTCCATAAATATCACATGTGGCATTGACAGCTTCTGTCTGTGGGGAGAACAGTGATGCATCTAAAAAGCTTTACAGAACAGTACAAAAACTATCTGTTGAAGCCCAATTTAAGACACAAGCACTTCTATACATAGTAAGGGAGGATGCAAACAAAACTGAAATGCATGGACCACATAGCAGATTACTTCAGATTTTTGTATCAAAACTGACTATATTGTATTGAGTCATGAAATTCTGCTCTTCAAGTTAAAAAGCAAATATTCATATTTTTCTGAAATGAAAGTTCCTTAATAGTAGTATCCAAAGCAAAAGTTGAATAACTGGATTATAAGTGACCACAATATTTCCCATGTGTGCAAAACAATAGTACATATGCAGTTGCAGGTAAAATATATTACTATATGCTGTGTACTTTTAAAAAAATCTTTCGACTCTTTGTGGAATTCACCATTACAAATCTTCATAAACCTCTGGTATATAACATTTCCCCAACATTACCCTTAAACAGTCATTAATTAAACTTTGGCAGTTCTTTGGTAAATACTTATAAATATACCAGTTTTCGGCTACTGGAAGTGACTCTAAGTTCTACCAGTCAGGAGGGTATTTAAAATAGTATTTAAAATATTTTGTAATAAATAAATTTATGTGCACTAAAAGGATAAAACGGTGCTCATGTTTTGTATTTAAATTAATTGGTGGGAACTTCTAATTTTGAACTTGAGTCCTGTGGGTTAAAATGGGATTTAAATATGCATAAACTTCCCTGCATTGTGCCCTATTAGTAGTGGCATAATAAAATCACATGTGGAATTAGCTTTGTGAAATACCATATATACACACGCACCTTTAAATTTTGTACATAGTGACATATTTAAAGTTCAGTGCATCTGCCAAAACTATTGCACACAGAATTACATCAATGCCCAATTCTAGGAGATAATACTCTTAGCAAACAAGTTTAAAGAATTTATCTTTCAGTAAAATCTTGTGTTGATAAAACCTTAGGTACCTGGGAAGGGCCTGCAGTTGATTTAGTGCTATTGGACCTGGGCGGTACAGGAGGTGCAGGTGGGGGTCTTGCTGGCAAAGGACAGAAAGAATCAGAGCTTCTGTTCCAGTCATTGTAAATGGCAGAACCTGAGCCAAATATATTTTGTTCAGTGCCCAGTGAACTTGGAAAAGAAGTTGCTTTCATGGAACTTGCTCTTTTTAACTCAGTGTGATTGTCCGGTGACTTTAACTTCATCACACAACCCTCTTCATCAAATGTTACCCATCCTCTTGGTTTTACATTGTTCGCTATAGAAGATGTGTTTTGCAAACTGAAATTGTCTTCAAATGCATTAACATAAAATGAGGCCTTGCTTTTATGAAGAGGTGGGAAAGGATAAGCAGCAGGTCCTTCTGTTGAACAATGTGAAGTAGCTCCAGATTCTTGGGTTTCTGTTCTAAATGGATTTCCAGCAGTAATAGTTTCTTCGGTGAATGGATTTGTGCTGTTTAGTCTGGGAGCAAATGGATTTGGAGAATTGCACATACGTTCTTCATGTTTACTATATGTTGGAATAAGTGGCATTGCTGGCATGCAATTTATGTTACTTAAAGTATTAAAACTGTCTGTTGCAGAAGGCAACTTTGTCAGCTTCTTTTGGTTTAAAGGTACAACCGGTGACATTCGGACTGATGACTGAATCTTGGATGCAGAAAGCAGCTGAAAGGACAGATCTTCAAAAGGATCATTGTTTAGCTGTGTTTCAAGCTGAATGGCATGAACTCCATTTGCTCTAATCTGAAAAGTAAATAAAGTGCTCAAACATGTCACTTGGCTGTGAAACAGCATTTCTTCATTGTCCATGACATAAACAGTGGATCTTGCATTTCCTAATTTACTTTATGCTTGCTTTCTTATTTTAAAGGTCCTGTTGGATTTATTTTATAATCAAAATTTTTTAAAACCCCCACTACCCTTTCATTGGCAAAATAGACACATGTAGACCTACAAAGCATTTTATTTATCTCCCTATTAACTGATACAATTGTAATGTTTCAGATTTCTGAACACAAAAGAACAGTACATCTCTACTGGAAAAACCATTATGCTTTATTACTTGAAGAACTAAAATAGTATATAAATAATTAAATGTAGTCACTTTCACGTGCAAAAATGGATGATGTTATTATGAAGTTTTATCACAATGAAAATGTTAGTAACATTCTATGTTTTAAAATGGCTCCCCAATTTCTATGCACTAGTTTCTTTAAATACTATAAATTGTCTTTTTTTTTACTGGGCCAAAATAGAAAATTTTGGGAGAAATTCAACATTGCGCTAAGGCCATCATTCTGTCAGGGCAAGTATTTTGCCTTGGCAGACTCAATGATCCCCCTTCTCCTTCCCGTGTGCTATTCTGGGGATTCTCTCGATACCCTCCCCAAGCCAAAAGGGGAGCATGCCAGGAGGAAAGCCCCATTACACAAGAAAGTCCGTGCACAGGGTTTCTGCTGGCAGGTCTCATTAATTGAATCCTGCCCTTCATTGAACTTCCAGATAAATTTTAAGCACAAGGCAGAGGTGTTTTATTCTCCCAGGCATTTGGACAGTGCTAATGGCCCAGCTTTTGGTCATTTATTTTTGGCGGTTCTTTCTTATGTGGGTGTTGTGGTTATTTTATGTAATCGGGTAATTTTTATAGATGAACACTTAGTATGTTTGTTTTGTTTTAATGAATTTTTATTGCTTATTGTCCATGTAAATTGGTTCAAAACTCATTTGCCAGTGGACTGGAGGACATTCAGTGAATAAATTGACTTCTCCCACTCAACTGGATGGGCAGGGCCTTTCAAGTCTTTTTCCTCCTCTGACAGGGAGAGAAGCCATCCCGCCTTCCAGTTCTGGCCTGCCTCTGTTCAGGGCAATCCAGTCAGATGGGCAGGGTACACATAATAAATTTATTGTTGTTAGGATGGATGGGTCTTTTTCTCCTCTGGGAAGAATCTCAGTATTTTAGCTAATATGCACTCAATGTCTTCCAGTTGACTCTTCACCAGAAATTCCTAAGACTAATATCTGGTTATTTGTGGGAAATGTTACATAAACTTAATAAATCTAATCAAAAGTATTTCTCACCATTTTAAACTGAAATAGAACTTATCAAGAATGGAGACAAAAGAACAGGCCTCAGTCCTAATAGAGAGACTTGAGGATGTCCCCTCACACACACACCCAAGTTAATATCACGACATGACATCCACCTGAGGGGTTTGGCAAGTTCAGTACCCAACCCAGAATGCTGCCATGTTGAATCAAATTCCACCAACCTGGCTCCCTCACCCAGCATGGGGATGAAAAGAAGGCTTCCCAACTGCAGGGGGTACCCTTATACATAGCATCAAAATTCTCCTCATATTTAAGACACATTCTACATTTTCATTTCTTCCAGTAATTAAGATCATAATCCTAAACACACCTAAGAGTAAGCTCCAATGAACTGACTTCTGAGTGACAATGCCTATTCTAGTGTAAGAGTAAATTTCCATGTTTTTACATATATTAGACATACGCCAATCCTATATCGTTTTATATTCAACAATTCGAAATACAAAGTTTTAAATCTGAAGATCCATTTTATACTTACCTAAACAGCCTGCTTAAAATAATAATAAATCAATTTTGTCAATGTCCAAGTATAACCATGTTTAACTACAGAATAAATGTACATCAAATGCAATTTTGCATATGGCACATGGCATGCTATGTTTATGGTGTAATTTAAAAATACCAAGACCCAAAAGAGCATCACCACTGCTTTGTAGGTTTTAATTGAATGTGCTTAGTAAGTTGCATTGATCTCAGAAGCAAACCGATTTAAAACTAGCTTCATATTAAAACTAGAAATAGATATATTTTATTCTAAAAGGGCAGCTTTTTTTCATGAACTTTTGAGTGTGAGAGAGCTGAAACCAATGTTACACTTTTTGCCGCAATATTCATTTTGTTTCATAAAGTAGTCTTGTTATCAGGGTTGAGTAGTGTTTAAAAGTTTCAGAAAATGGGACCAAATTAAGTACTTCCCATAGCAGTGGTTCTCAAAGTGTGAGGCAGACCTCTTGGTGAGGTGCAAGTGAGGTTTCCAACTTCATCATAAGGCATTTTTTGTGGATTTTTAGCTATTTTAGTGTCCTGTATTAGGACCCTCCCCTCTGATTTTTGAAAGCTGGCAACAGTCAGACATTTATTTTAAAAACTTCTTTATGCTGTTTTCTTCATTTAAGGAGAGGCTTACTTGGCACAGTTTGAGAACCCTTACTCTACAAGGCCATAGCATACCAAGCTAAATAAGGTGCTTTATGTCAATAATATGCTACAGAAAGCAAGAATGAAACTATGGCATGTCTGCCTGTATATGCAGGCAGGTGATTTCAATGCAAGTGCAGATGTATGAAGCAAAATTGTTCATACATCTTTTTTGCTACAACTCATGGAGAACAAATAATGGATGGAAATAACAAAATACTAGTAAAGAGTCAGGTACCTTTTACCCTGATGGTTGATCCTGCTTGTGAGAAAGAGACAGACATCAAAGGGAAAATATTAGGAAGAAATCCACGGTAAAATGCTTCAAAAGTGACCTAGCATTATGTCTGTCCAATTATTTGAGTGTTAGATGTTACTTTGATAACACATACATGCAGAAACACTCTACTGTACTAATTGGATTTGCTATGATATAAAGCAGGGAAACTAATCTTGTTCAGGCTGAGGGCCACGTTGACCCACAGTCAACTCTCCGGGGGCTGCTTGTCAAACTGGGGGCAGCCAAAGTGTAAAATGCTTTCCCGTCTGTTATTTTGCATTAATTTTAAAGCTTTTATTATTCATTACTAAATTATTCTTTTATAAAATGGACAACTTTGCGGGAGGCAAAGCACATCATCATAGTGGGCGACATATGAGAGCAGTTGTTAAAAAGCTAAAAGCTGTCAATATGAGAGCAGTCAATAAAAAGTAAAAACTGTTGACCTTGAGGGGGTGCAAATTTGGAGGTCTTGTGGGTACAAAAAACCTGTAGGGTAGCCACCCCTGATATCAATAGTCCTTCACTTTGGCTTTGATTTTACAAAGAAAGCTGCCTCAACTGGCAAGCTATGTTTGAGTCAATGATACCCAACAAGCATTTTGCATATTTAAAATATATTGCCTTTGGGCAGTATTCTAGTAACTCATCCCGTCAGCACAAGGATTACTTCTAGTGCAACAGAACTACGCCCTCTCCTGTGTGTGCATTGCCATGCCCTCTCCTAATCTGCTCTAGACGGTTGGGGAACCCCTAGAACAGATTTGGGCGGTTCACAGGGTGAGGAGGTGGGACGTTCAGCTGCGCAAGGATTTCCTTGTACTGAAGGAACTACTTAGTGCTATACTGAATACAACCCTTAGTGATCAAGTGACTATTCATATGACTGGGGCGGCTGCATTGTTGAGAGATTTATTGCGGCCATTGGCCCATATCAAAAACAATACATCAGAATTTATCCATAAACAATACAATTTAAACAGTTCCAAGTTAAAACACCCTTATAAAACCGATTTTACTTTAGTTTAGTAAACACTATACACAATAAGCTCCCTCTATGTAAACCGCAATTCCGATCCATCAGATTTTGGGGGGTATACGTCTTAGTTCTGGCACTTATTGATGGTTCTTAAGTTTAGCTAAGCTGTCAGAAACATACAGTGATCCATTTCTCCTCTTTTGAAATAAAACATTAATCAGGTATCTAGCGACTGCAAGGGATCTACTTGTATCTTCGTCGTTTAATAAGTATATTATTTGGGCTTCCTGAGGACTGTCAGCAATTCTCGATAAATATGGGGCCAGAAACTTGGACCGTGAAGCCGAATGTAATGGACAACAGAAGATTATATGATATAACGATTCTATAGATCCGCTTTTACAGTCACAGAGGAGTGAGATCTGTCCGTTGGAGAGTCTGTTACCCAACACGTTTGATGGGAAAGCATTGAATCTAGCCATTATAAAGGCATACCTGTGCGTCACCACAGATAAGGTAGTTAAGTAAGATGGAAGTTTCGTTGGTGGTGTTAAGCCAAGGTTTATCGGCGAACAGGTGCCACCACCTGTCGCAATATTAAATTGTAAATCCATCTCCTCTAATTTGTGAGTTATAATTCTTTTGGCCGAAATTAAATCCAATTTTAATAGTTCAGATGGAGATAGTCCTAGGGACACAAGTTTCCCATGTATTATTTTTGCCCAGGGGCTAGGAAGTCATCTCTCCAGAGGCACTGTATCAAGTGGAGATTTGGAAGTTTATGCCATAAAGCCAACCAATAACAGAGGATGCATTTCCATAATGTGGTTTCTAGAGATGTAACATTTAGTTCCAGTCGTATAGCAGTATTGCTTACACACCTGGGTAATTTTAACAACCTTCTTAAAAGCTGGTTTTGGATTACCTCCAAATGGGTTAGATTAGCAAAGGACCCCCATAATGGGACTGCATATGCTATTGTTGCAATCACCTTTGCCTTGAAAACTTTTAACACTGATGGAATATGGAAAGCCCCATCTGAAAAGAAACAACGCAATAGCGCATAGGACAGGGCTTTAGCTCTGTTTAATACATATGCAACATGGACCTTCCAGCCCATGTTGTGTTGGAGAAAGACTCCCAAGTACTGAAATTTAAAGACTTGGTCAATAGCTTTTCCGTCTATTCTCCAATTATAGGTTTTTCGACTCTTGGTGAAAATTAGGACTTTGGACTTAACATGGTTAATTGTAAGAAAATTTGATTTGCAGTAAACATCGAAGATTTTTAATGCCCTCCTAAGGCCGACTCTTGAAAAGGATAGGATCACTGCGTCGTCTGCGTAGAGTAGAAGGGGGCAACGATATTGGGCAAGACGAGGGGCGTGGATCGTTTCTTGAGCCTCTATCAGAGGCGCCCTCATATCACTTATAAATAGATTAAAAAGGGTCGGAGCAAGGATACATCCTTGGCGAACACCTCTATTGATAACTACTGAGTTTGAGAGGTCGCCTGCCGGAGTGATTCTCACCCTAGCGGCCGATCCGTCATGCAATTTAGTTATTAGCCACAAAAGTCTTTTGTCTATTCCCCATCGGGCTAATTTTCCCCAAAGCAATCCTCTGGGGATGCTGTCAAAAGCGGCCTTTAAATCAATAAAGGAGCGGCTGCATTTTAAACCCGCTCCAGATGACATTTAGTCATGCTGCTATGTGAGAGCAAGATAATCATATAAGTGACTAGCATGTTCAAAGGACTGCATGGATTGGTTTTTGATTTTACAGATTTAAAAGCAGGTTGAGGACATTAGGCTGTACTGGCTTCAAAGACTCAAAAGCTCTCTTTCTGAAGCAAATCATTACTAAGAGATTGCATTTTGACACATTCTGTTAAACTTTTCTATGTCTGATTGCCAGTGGATAAACTAGTAATACTGTTCTAGCACTGCTCTAAATACCTCTTATATATTCATACCAGGTTATTTGGGGAAAGTGTATAGAGGACTGTGTTTAACTGCTTTCTAACTTCACCAAGAAAATGGATGCTCAGTATTAGACATCTTTTCTAATATTTTGCAGGGTTTTTTGACCCAATTTATAAAACTTAGAAGCAGCAACAGTGGAAAGGATAGTTACCAACTTACCAACAGTGGAAAGGATAGTTAAGTCAGTTTGAATATAAGTGTGACCATATTAATATATTGTTAGTAAGCTAGTCCAGTTGAAACTTGGCCATAATACATGTTAAACTCTACCCATGTCTTAAGACATCTGTTTACCACCTAGGCTGCGATATAGCAGCTGCCTACAAGAATAATATCCATCTCAGCCATGTCTTGTCACTTATGGAGTGGCCTCCCAGAGGTTTGCCTGGCACCTACTTTAATGTCTTTTAGACAATCCCCAACCACAGCTCTGCTAACTGGAGTGTGTTAGGATGGGGTGGAAGTGCCTCTTTGCCAGCAGAGGTGGGGGTAATTTTGGGCTAGTGGCACCTAGAAACTCTATGGGCCTATGATTAGGGATGTTCCAAGGGCAGGTTTGAGCTGGTCTAGAATCTGCTGGCTCTGTTCTCCCCAATGGTCCCAGGACCTAAGTGAACTTGTACTGTCTATGCCTTCTAATTATTTGAGCTCTGCAATTTGTTCATTTCTTAGATTATGAGTATTTATGACTCATCAACCAAAAGCTATACAAATTTACTTCCTATGTCATGAAACACACACACGACTGTGCCCAATAACTATCAGTCCTTTGTTCTGGGAAGTTCTGGATACTTATAGTCGTTTACATGCTGACATTAGAAAGTAAGAACCTTTAAGTTCAGTAGCCTATGCTCCCAAGTATGTCCTAGTCATCAAGGAAGACCTTGCATGGGTACAGATGCAAAGAAAAACACTTTCATTTTGCACTTGTCTCCTCCCATTTCAATTCTAACCAGATATATAATTGTGTAGTGCAACAGACATGTGGACTGCATGACAACAAGCCTTTCAATTATTCTCCTAAGGAACATAAAAGCCTTCTTTAGCTGCTAATCAACATGTTTTGTTACAGGAACCAAATAGTTTGTTCATAAAAAACGTAAATAAAAAATGGGAAACATGATTTAAACCAGTTTCTCTATATGATGAATCTATTCCTATTTAATTGTGTTTTTTATGAAACTAAGTTTGTAAATCCTATGCAGACATGCTTAGGAGTAAGCCTCACTGTACAGTAGGATTTGTTACTGAGTATGTATAGAACTGTGCTGGCTGAGATTCCTTAACACACTAACTTGCATGTAAGTCCCAATAAATTCAGTAGGACTTAATTTCAAAAATATCATAAAATCGTTGAATTGGAAGGTATCTCCCAGGGTTATCTAGTCCAACCCCCCTGCAATGCAGGAATCTCAACACACAGTTCCCCATCCCCATACTAGACCCTGCTTAGCTTTGTAAATGTGCTAGCAGTTTTATTGCTGCACCAATATAAACAGATCTGCAAGTGCCTCAAAGTAAAAGCGTATCACACTAACTAGACCCCCACCTTCAAATTTCAAATTTCAAACACCTGTATGAATTTTAACAACCACAAAGAGGAAAGCTAAAATTCACAGCACTGTTTTTTAATAGTTGGTTTAATATGTTTCATTTGTGTTTTCTTCTCCATAGTTTCTAATAGCTCTATAAAGTTGACTCACATCTAACACGGGGATTATGTTCTGGGGATGGCGCATAAATCTGAACTCGTGTATAGTCAAACTGCTTCCACATGAACAATTTTACATTCCAGAGCCGGCACACCAAACAGGTCTTGCCCCACAAGCAAGACAGAGAGCTTACCAAGCTTAGGGAGACTCTTGCAATATTTTGCTTACTGGGCTCAGGGATTTGTGTACCAAGCTCAGGGAGGCTCTCACGAGATTTCATGGGAACTCGGAGGACACTATGAGATCTTGCAAGAGCCTTCCAGAACCTGGTGAGCAAGTCTGAGAGCTTAAAAGCGCTTTCTGTGCCAAGAAAACAAAAGGAGCTTTTAAGCTCTCCACCTTCTGTGTGTTTAATTTATGTGATTTCAACTGGACAGCACATGTAAAACGTGTTTAGGTTGTGAGTCGACTGCACTATATATTTAAATGTAAAAGTTATCAGCATGTGAATGCTGCTGTTGAGTAAGCCTGTTAAAGTGTACTTGTGCACTAAAAATAAAGTATTAAAAAGAATTGCATACATACTTGTTTCTGTGAAGGGACGGGTTCAGAAGGCAAGCTTTGGGATGATTTGCTACGAGGGGGAGGCTGCGGTGGTGCTTCCAGGTTTTGTGGAGAAGCTGTCTGAGATGTTACTGTCATAGGTACAAGAGGTTCCTGCATCTTTAGGACAGGGGGCTGCTGAGTGGTGGAATGAACAGGAATGGCAGCCTGTGGCTTAAGTGGTTCAGGAAGCAGAGGGGATCCTGCAAAGACACAGAAAGTGTTTTTTAATGGAATTAGATTTTCTCAGTTAACACAAAGTTCTCTTGACAGTGGTCAGCGTCTCAACCCTTGGATGGCATCCCATAGGAAAAATGATTATCTGTATATATGGAACTGCACATACCAAAACATGTAAGAGTAACCCCAGTTCAGGAAAACTGCCAGGGGCCTGGATTAAAGAGCTGCTCATTCAAGAACTTACACTAATTTGGATCTTTGCCCCCTTTGAACAGCCAGGCCCTCTGATATCACAATCTGCTTTTGAAATTCGCATCAGTTTCAAAAGCAGTTTGTCATGAAGGGAACTGCTCTTTGAGAACATCAGATCTAAAGTCTCATTGGGCTCACAGAACTCATGTCACAGCTATTTAGGTTCTGAGCAGAGATAAAGTCTTCACACATTAAGGAAGTAGGAGGTGCATACATTTGAATACAGCATATATATCTGGTATTTCCCATGAGGTTAAGAACCATTCATGTCTTTGATCACACACTATGTAGCCATGCCACAGCAGGGGTGAGAACTACTATCTTTAGCTGTAATAAACATCTCCAAAGTAGTTAGCAACAAATTTTCCTGAGGTTGCTCATTAATCTAGTTCATTCTCTTTATTTCATTCTATACCTCTGAAATACTTGTGTACCCATGGGTAAAGGATCTGTAATTATTTCCATTCATATGGATAAGCAGATTCTCTTGCAGTATTTTAAAAACAGAAGTACTGCCCAGAAGTGGCTACAAAAATTCTAAAATCTTCTCTGCATAGCAGACCTATAGTTTAAGTGCATGACTGAGACTTTATTCCATTAGCAACCTTGAACCACCTATGTTATGTGCTGGTAAGAAACTCACATTAATTCTGAAAGAGATGTGAACAGGACACTGTCACAGAACCAATTCTGGGAAAGTGGGAAGAGTAGACTGTAATATATAGGTCTCGCCACTAAACTGCACGATAACTACATTAAAGCAAAAACAAACAATTTACCTCTTGGTGATTCTGCTGGCTTGGGTTGGACTTCAGGTGTTTGTCTCCCCACAGGGGGACGGGCGTGGCTTAGTGGTGCACTAATGACTCCAGCTCGGGGAGGAATAGTCTGAAATGCATTAGGTGCAGAGATTCAATATGGTTACAATTTGGAAACCCTAACAATTGCCTGTGAATGGAAGTTCAGTTCACTTCAGATTGCAATGATTGTGCAATCAAGGTCAAATATTTTAATAGCTTAATATTTAGAGAAATGGGAAAAGCTAAATCCTGAAATTTTAGTGCTGGGATTCAAATTAAATAACACAGATCCTAGAAGTCTTATAGGGAAAATGAGGATTCCTTGGCTAGTATCACTAAATACGAACAATTATTTCAAAAGATTGCACGATAAAGTTTCATCACATTCTCTTCTACAAACTTTGAAGTTAATAAACCCAAACACAGGATCACAATATCACAACCACATCAGAAACTCTGATTGCCTACCGGTCTACATGTACTGTATCCAGAAGTTCCTATGCTTGTAGGTCCAGCTGGAGATGGTGAATGACTCTGAGCTGCAGAAACAGTATGAAATCACTAATTTAGAATATATTTCAAAATCCAGATTCTCTGTAATTAAGTATTTAACCTCAATATATAGTACCTATGTCTCTTCTTTGTGGCCCAGGGCTTTTTTGAGCTTTGACATAAGAACAAAAATAAACAAATCAGTTTATACTAGTGAATATTTAGGTTTACATATATGTGATTTTATATTTAGAGGAGAAAGTCGCAGACATCCTAATTCAAATGTTTATATTACTGTATCTATCTGTATTTTTAACATTATGTTTTGATAGTCTTTAATGGCATAACAATTTCATGCTTTATTCCCTCAGCATAGCATGATGCTGGGAGAATGAAATGCTCCTAATTGTTAGGAATCCTCTATGAATGATCACCTTAGATGCAATGTGAATATGATAATTGATTTACAGAATTGTTTATCAAGGGTTCCAGTAAAATGCAAATTGGCTCCAAATTAGGCTGAATATCTCCAGTCCTTACAAGGAGACTAATCTGACAGTTCAATGCTTAATCTAAACCATAGTTATGTGGTTTTCACTTTCTCAACAAAAACTAGTACATTTTCAGAAGAAACATGCCTAAAGCATATTCACATTTGCCTGACTATTGACTCAATAGAAGTTTTGATCTCACACAATTTAGCAATTTTGCAATTTAGCGCAATTTTGCAATTTAGCGCTTTCTTTTAAAAAACCCCAAATTTGACGTCATTTGTCATAACTGAATTATTATCTCAATAAGTTAACACTGAAAATTATAAAGCACAAATAGGAACCCTCAGGCAAGAAACTCAGGACAACTGTGCATGAATATTTGCATATAAAGTTGACAGGAGGAAAATTCATTACCTTCTTCTCTCCTGGCTACACCAGGACTGGGAGGAGCACCAAGACCTTATCAGAGAAAAGCAGAAAAGCAGCATATCGGCCATGCAGCAGGGCAAGGAAATGTAAGAAAAAACAGAATTGCAAGGCTTTTGTTCTGAATAAAGTGATCAACTCAAACAGTATATTGCTGCGATTTGAGGGGGAAATAAGCAAGTATGAAGTTCACATTTAGAAAGATTAAAGAGCTTTCATTTTATTTTTCACTGATAGGATCATATTTAAATCATAAACAAGATAAAAATACAGGTTTAAGAACTTATGTTTCTTTGTCAGGACCCTAACTGTGAACTAAATTTCAGTATGCCTTTCCCCACTTTCCACAGGGATGTGAACCTGGCACCATATGTTACTAGGCACCAGGCAAAAACTATTTTTTTCACCCAGGCTTTTGGAACAAACCAGTGTACCTCCTCCTGTCCTCCACACATAATCTCAGTTACAGGTTTGTTCACATTTGCAATTCATATTTAATCAGGCATATTACTACGGTTTTAGCACGATCTTTAACATTTCAAAGTCATAGGTAACTTTACTACTTTTAGGAAAATAAAAGCATTCTAAAACTAAAACTGTGTCATAAAGCCTTTGTTAAAAACAAAGAATGATATCCAACTCACTCTTACTCAGAGTAGCCCCATTTCAAGTTCAATGATTTAAATGGAGCTTCTGTGAATATGAATGACTAAGACTGGATATCAACAAAAGTGTTAACAAAGAAATATATTATAAATTAACACAAAATATTTTGCCCACTATTTAAGTCATATTTGAACAAACATTACCTCCAAATTCTTTTCTAGCAGGGGCAGGACTTTTACCTCCTTAAGGGTAAGAAGCAGATGCAGCAATAAATAAAAAGTATGAATTGAAAGAGAAGCATGAGACAAAGGAAATCAAGAATCAGGAACAATAAATGCACTGTTGGTAATTATATAGTCTTCGAGACCTTCATACTCAAAGTTATAGACAGAGAGCTAGAAAAGCATCAATAGATAGGGTAGCAGTGGCTGTATTCAGCAGGCTAAAGCATAGTTTAACATGATAAGAACAAATGTAGATGAGCCTTGGGGTCATGCACTCCCCCCTTCCTTCCTCCAGTGTGGTGACAAGGAAAGAAACAAGTTTGGAAGTTTTTGCTTCTGTTTTTCCTTAAGTGCAGGCTATTGTGCCATCCAAACTGGCAAAGCTGTGTTAATGGTAACTGGTTTGTTTGAAACCATGGGTTATAAAGTTATTTCAAACAAACCATAGTTACCATTAACCATGGTTTCGTCAGTTCAGAAGGCACAGCAAGCCGTGGTTATGTACAAACAGAAGACAAAGCTCCCCAAACCCTCTACACAGTCACAACGAAGGTATTATTAATTTAAGCTAATTTACCACCAACAATAGAAGAACTTTCTTCAGGTATTACCGTATTTTTTGCACAATAACACTCACTTTTTTCCTCCTAGAAAGTAAGGGGAAATGTCTGTGCGTGTTATGGAGGGAATGCCTACGGGTGGCATGCCTACGGATTTTCCTCCTCTAAAAACTATGTGCGTGTTATGGTCGGGTGCGTGTTATAGAGCGAAAAATACGGTATTTTCACATTTTACCGGCTTACCTGCTGGTGGAGGTGGTCTCTGTGGTGGAGCAGGGCGAGCAGGAGGTGCTCCGGGGCGAGGTGGAGGCAGGCGTTTGGGTTCCAAACTTTGGGTAGATTCTTTTTGTTGGGCAATTGGTTGAAAATCTATTGGAGAACCTGGCAACAGTAATTTATATACAGAGGTATTTAAAAAAATAAAACATTCTTACGCCTAGTTATATAACTATTTTTTCACATTACATTATTCAATCCTGCACACAAATCCTGTTATTTCTTTCAGGAAAGCAAGTACCATCTCCTCAGGCAAGTACTGTATAAAGCTCACACTTCTTTGTATGTAAAACTTGTTTTCAGTAGTACTGTTAATACCTGTAGTATTTAATATAAATTGCTAAAAAGCATTTCCTTGAAGTTTGCACACTCTGTATGACTGTAATATGGAATATTACATCATTATATTAGTGTTGTTTATTTCAGCCAAAAATAATCTCCCAGAGCAGGTTACCATAGCAATAAGATGGTTATTGCCCTCAGGCTTACAAAGTTCTTGAAGACCTTTGTTTCAACAATCTTTGGTACTTTGTATTAGAATATCCATATACATGCATCTAACTGAATGTACAAATAAGTACACACACATATGGACAGGATATTGGTAAGATGTGGCAATACCTTGAGATGATGTAGGTGGTCCAGGAGTCTTGTTAGGTGCTCTGCTTGGTCTTGATGGAAGAGCTGGAGGTGGCCCATCTGATAATGTAGGCGACTGACAAGGGCTTGAACGAGGGGAAGAGGCAGGTGAGGCTCCAAGACCAGAACCTCCTGCTAGTTGTAGATGCTGTGGAAGAATTTCTTCTACTTCAGCACTATAATCATCAACATCACCTTGAAGCAAAGTAAAATATTATTAAGTAAACAGAACTACAAATCTGTCAAGTTGTATTGCAATAAATATAGCAAATAGAGCTTTAAAAAAAAATCTACTAGAGCTGCTACCACTTTCCTACAAAATATCAATATTCAAACTTTTATAATGTAAGATTATGCATAATGGATGAAACCTAGTTAGAGTATAGATTTAAGTTTGAGTTCGACGAACCTTCCATATCATCATAGTCTGCTGAAACCTCCACATCTTCACAAAGTAAAGTGGAACTTGTTGATGAAGGCAAGGCAATATTCACTCTCTCCAGACTCATCTCTTCTTCCAAGCTCTTAATCCAATCTGGGTTTTTCAAATTAATATTGATTGTCCTCCCAAGCAGCTGTATTTCAAACAAATCAGAGAATAATTAATATAATTATTGATTATGGTTTGTGCAACTACTTTAAAAAACTACAAATATAAGTCATAATTCTAATTCTAACAGTGAAAACAGAAGTAAGATTCTTCCTCATGATATAATGGGAGGCTGAATTTGCTCAACCTGAAACTCATCCACAGGTGAAGTTTGTGCATTAAATAATTAACAACAGAACAGCCCTGTGAGAATGTGTTGAATGTTAAAAGGCATATAGTTAAGAAAATGTTTTATAAAATCTTGTTTCTGAAAAGTTTTGCATTGACTGCCAAAGATGTAACTTGCTTGACAGCAACTTTTTATGGAGGACACATAACATGCTGCTGCTCAAGCATACCTATGTAAAAAAACATGTTTTTCAATCCTCTGTTGACAGCTCTCACTTCAATCCAGGGTGGGGGGGGGGAATCTATGGTCTAAAGGATCAGGAAGTTGGTCAGACAATGAGTCAAGTAATTTAATCTATGGTGTGTCCATTAAAAACAGGTATCAGTTGGAAACACACACACAAAAGGAAATTGGAGAAAGATGGGAGGGAATTAGCTGACCTGTTGGAGGTGAGCATTAGGAGGGAGGGGAGTCATGAAGGTACAAACATTCTCCTCCATGCAAACTATATTTTCCCACTTCAGCTATATAGAAATAAAGCACTGTGTTTCAAAGCTGAAAGTCCTGAACTTGAGGCTTCTAGCACTATGTAACACAGCAGAGTGGGAAAGAAAATGATTGTCCTCTGCAAGCTCCACAAAGCACTACAAATGCTTTTGCTTCAGGTTGCCTGATTATTATTATTTTTTAAAAATATATTAGCCAGACAGTTTACTGATTATTTGTATTGTTTTAATGATATTTTATGTTTCAGCATTGTACACCACCCTAATATTTTATGATATGGTGATACAGAATTCCTTTTATAAATATATATATATTGGGGGGGGGGGAATAAGTAAAAGATCACAATATGCATAAAACACTGCAACATAGCAGAATACACATAAAAATGCTTATTACCTCAATGCCATTCATGTTAAGAACATTTAAAGCAGAGCTCCCTTCCAAGAATGTCACCCACATTTTGTCTTCTACAAATCTGTGAAATATAGCCAATGTTAAAATGACAAATCATAAAGCAAACATTTATACTCCTGTCACTGAGCACCCACCTTGCCTCCAAGTTTCTATTGTGGTCTCAAAGACAAAGATTGGTAAGAGCTGATTATCTAGTACAGGGTGCCTTTGCAGGACTGCTCACCATACCCTACTGACATGCACAAAACTGTATCATGGTCCTGTGTGTCTTGGGCTAAGAAGTTTGCTAATCAAAATCTCAAGTTCATTTATCCTGATACAATCAGGGTAACATTTTGCTGTTCTTGAAGGTCCTGACCCTCCAACTAGCACAAAAAAACCCCAACTAGAGTCAAGTAACCCTTTATTCAAAAAGTCACCATTGCCTTCCCTTTGGTTCACTTACAAATCCTCCTTACATTAACCATGCTGCTTCTATCCCCCCCACCCCCCGCTAAGACTACAACTCTTCTTGGGATGTCTGAATGGAACATTATTCACTTGTCATGAATGTTCCTTTTGGTTTGGGTGCAGGAAGTATCTAGTATGGCTTAACACCTGGTATTCCCCAGGACAGGCAAGGATCACGTTACCTAACTTTGTAGACTAGGCCTCATTCAGAGGCTCCTCCTCAGTTCTGGCCAGTGGCCAAGCTGAAGAATAGAGTATACCTAAGAGTCTGACCTTATGAGACGGCAAAAAGGGAAAGTGGTATCCGCTAGCACATGTTGGAGCACAGTTGGGCTATGGCCAAAATGAGTACCAGAGTCAGGTTAGGTTAGGTGAGGACTGAATGCCTCCTACAAACACCAGAAGGAACTTGCATTGCAAGTGACCAACATTCTCTTCCCTGTTTGTTGTGAAGGAGACAACGAGGATAGGACATACCCAAGCTGTCCTCTACAAAAATGTCCTTGATATGAAGTTGCTCTAACCTTATGAGTATAACTTCACCGTAAGTTGCAAACTTTTGAAGAAGTTCATCAATCAAGCCATCATCAAAATAATTCTCTTCTGTTGAAGACCCTTTGATAGAGACCATTATAGTACCATCAGGTGGTCCCTGCACTGCAATCACTTCCTTGTAAATTTTGTGTCGTTCCTCTGCATCAACCTCAAAGATATCTATATCAATCAACCCAACAACAGGCCTGCAAAAACATAAATAAAGGATGCACATCAATGGCTGAGGAGCATCAAAAAATAGATTTTTAAAATATTAGAAGGTATTACAAAAGGCCAACTTCAAACCTATGATCAGATGTTTTCAGCTCTGCCCTTCCATAATACAACAAAGTTCCAGGACTCCATGTGTAAATATGTTTACTTTCATCGTGAAAACTGGAATTAAGAAGATCCATGTCTTCCGCTGCAAAAGTCATATAAGAAATTATATGAATATGCTATAATATTCAGAATATAAAGAAACAAAGGGGAGAAGAAGCCTGTGAGAAGGAGAGATTTATATTTCATTTTATACTCAAAGAAAGGTCACCTCTTCAAATGAGAAGAAAATCTGTATGTTTCCCTTAACTGCTTGCTGGGAGAATATTGGGCCTTTGTTTTTGCTTCTTTAAGAAAGACTGCACAAGTCTACACATGGGCTGCAGCAAGTGTGAAGAGTGAATATATGAAAAGTGAATAATTTGTACTTCAGACTTGGCATTTATATAGCTCGTTTCAAGTGTTCAAAGTACTTTATATACCTTTCATTAATTTGGGCAAGCATATCCATGTACAAAAGGGTGAAATGGCCATGAATTCTGCAGAAAATCAGTATTTTGTGAATGGCTAACTACTATAGCCGATATCCTAATAAATGAACAACTTAATTATTTCAGTATTAAATAAAAACTTGAATGTTTAAAAATCATACTACTGTTCTATCAAAAGTTGTTTTGTCACTTTGCACTGGTTAATATTCAATACTATTATCTGACCTGATCGGTCAAAAGGCCATTTTCTTCTCCTCCACAGCACACGATCTGTCCAGGCTGGTGTACGGCATTTTTCACTGGTATCATAGTCATCCGAAAATAAGTCATATTTGTATGTAGGAGCAAAGGCTATTTTTCCCTCTAGAAAGCCTCTAAATATCTGTAGGAAATTTAATAAAACTTTAGCTGATATACAGCTTGTAAGGAACACATATGGTAAGTCTGCAGCAACTTTATAATATGGCCCCAACAACTAAAGCTTCTAACAAGTCAGTCAAAAGACCACACACAGAGAACACATTACAGCAGAACAATATGATGGCTATATAGATCCACTACAATTGATCTCAGCTTTCCTGGTGAAATACACTCTAGTCCACTTTTACAACATGGACCCCCAATATTGTGACTAATCCAGAAGCAAAACAGTGCTACAAAATGTTGTGTAACTAGGGAGACTGCAACCTATGAATTAAAGCTGTTCCTACAAACCTCATCTTCTCTTCATTCACAGCCCTAGCTCTGAATGAACTGTCTGGGCTGTACCTGATTGGGACTTACAAGACAATGTTTTTCCCTACCAAAAAAAAATTCCCTCCAAAGAACAAGCATGGCAGAGAGAAGAGTTGTGACCTAGCCTTTTCAATGATCTGCTACGTGTTCTATGCACATGAGATTACTATGAACGAAACTAGACATGGCAGGGCAGTCAGATGTGCCACTCTACATACGGAGCAGAGTGGTGGTAGTGATGTGTGAGTGCATGAATGCACTTCAAAGAGGTAATGGAAGCGCAACCTGCCTCCAGCCAGGAACCATACCAAAATGAAGGTTGTCAAGATCTATATGAGGTTCTACATCAGAACAAACACCTCACTAAAGGAAACCTGAGATGTTACCTGTCCAGCATTTTTCTGATTAACAAGTTGATCGCCTGCAATGAGAGCATCCCAATTTTGTTGCCGAATTAGTTCCTTTACTTCCTCATTAGGAAGATCTATACGGTAATTGAAATCACCACACCAGAATACATAGTCATGGGAAAACAGCATTCTTCCCTGAAAAAGGAAAAAAAAGAACTCCAACTAAATATAATTATGAACCCAAGTGCTACCCCTAGTTGAATAAAATGACATCTGTATTTACAGCTTTGTAAAAATAAATAAAATCCATATTTTGTCAGTCTTTACTTAAAAAGCCATAGTTGCTATTGTTATTTACGTTTTAATACCCCCTAAGAGCTCATCATAATCCCATCATTTCTCCTCAGTATAAACCTTTGAGACAAGCAGGCTGAAAGAGACTGACATGCAGTATTGTCCTGTTACACAGTGCCTTTTATGAAGGGGAGCATTAATAAGAATGTTCATTCTTTAGTAAAGTTATTATGTGATGACTCGGACTGCCTCATCAAGTTGTAAGGATGAGTGCAATCATGGGCTGCAAACACACTACACACAAAAATGAGTTAGAAATTTATCAAATTCATGTGAAGAGTTTATACTATAGACTTGCATCTGGAAATTTAAAATGTTATCTCTATCATAATGCCGTCACCATAAAGATGAAGTATATTGTGCTAACGTCATAAAAATGATGAATCTTAACTGTTGATCTCACAGAGGTAACAACATAGAGGTAAAACATAATGGAACTATTTCCATACAACTATGGAAAAGAAGTGGATAAAGGTACATATTGGGAGTAAGTATGTTTTTTAGGTATAGGCTCCCTTCCAACTCTACAATTCTATCTAAAATGAGAGACTGAATTATTCCTTACCATTGGGAAGCTCAGTTTTCGACATATTTCCATGAAATCCTCATTTCTCTCTTTGACTTGTGACTGTCCTGCAGCAAAGTGACTGCATACAAAGCAAAGGCTGGAAGTATGAAACAGCATTCGAATTGCTACTGCACCCTTATTACCAGTAGCTCCTCCCATGCCAGTCTTTACAGTATCAACGGCAACATCCCTAAGAATGAAATGTAAAATAAGTTCATTTGAGTTTTCAAAATCTTGGCAAGAGCTTCTACCAGCTTCAATTATATTTAAAACAATTTAATTTTTGAAGATTAAATTATGCTGCTTTGCCTGCACGTGCCTATGTTTGTTATTTGTGGCAGCTGGAAGAAAGCAAATTATTACCCATTTTTCAGAAGTTCTCCTGCCAAATCACTTATGCATAATTCTTATTTTTCAGACAGGAAGTTGGTGAACTGGCATGGAAACAAATGAGCATAATTCAACAGTCGTGCAGTGTACTATCAAGGGATACTGGCACTGAAGTCTTCTGCCAATTTACCATGGCAATCTGGCAAGTTTAGACTTCTGCAACTGCAAAGATTAACCAGGTTCCTACTTCAGCTTCAAACCCCATATGCTTCAATTAATTCCTGCCAGGATCTTTTGCAATGGAACCAGAATAGCAAAGGGCATGTCTCTATCTGTAACACCAGCCATTGTTTATTAGGGTTTTCAGATTATAGTCAAACAAGACAGTGCTTCTCCTGCCGCTAGCAAATGACTTCTGTTATTTTAAAGCAGATATTAAACATGAACAAATCCATTCTCAAAGAAACATTTGCTTTTGACTATTATTAATTACTACTACTACTACTATTAATGTCTATACTGCTTTATATTTTAAAGAAAATATAGTTTCTTATGTTCCTAAGTCAGACGGTTGGTCCATCTAGCCTAGTACGGTCTGCAGTGACTGGCAGCAGTTCTACAAGGTTTTAGGTTAACATCACTTGTTTCACTTTAAATGACCTGAAATATGTTTCAGCATGTCAATTTACTGACCTGATAAATGGTGCATGTTGAGGTCTGATGAATACAAAAAGGCAAACACCCACCAACTGTTCTGAAGCCAGCAGAACATATTTGCAATCCCTGGAGATGGTCTTTTGCAATTCAGCAGCCCATAATTTTTGATTTGTTGTACTGCCAGTGTGGGAAAAAGAAAAGTTTTTACAGCATGCAAGTGCTCACAAACTTTGCCAAAGAGAACAAAGAGACTGCTCTTGTGTGTGTGCTACAATGAATACCAGATAATGTTAAAACAAAAACAAAAAATAAAAACTATATAGCAAGGGCAACTTGCAAGAACATTTTATCCAAATTGGAAATGAAACTGAGATTCAGCAGAGGGGGAGACTTGAAGAATTTTTTTTTTTTTAAAATGCTGTTCTCATTTCCTGCTGAGCAATAGAAGGAACAGGAACACACATGGAAACCTCCCACACTCAAGCTAGAATCACATTGTAACACCAATTCCTTGGATAGCTCAGTTGGTAGAGCATGAGATTCAGTTGGTAGAGCAGGGTTGTGGGTTCAAGCCCCGCACTGCATTGCATGGGGACGGGACTCTAAATCTATCAGAGTACAAGCTTTGCACTGGAAAATGCTCACTCATGCCTCTGCAGCCTTATAGTACAGTAGGAATAAATATATTCCTTTTAAAAATACTTTTAAAAAGGAGGGCTGCTTAGTTGAAGTCTGGTTCACAAAATAACCTTTTCTCATTTGACTTACTACTTTGGAGCCAGCACAAACCAATGTAGGGCTGCAATTCATAAGAAAGCATTCATAATGCTACATTAAACATTGCTTTTTAAAATAGTTTTGTGTCTCTCCCCCTCCCCAGGCCCCATCCCCACTTGGTATACTGCAAAATGTTCTGTGATGCTATTGGCAGTTTAAAAACTAGCTTGTGGTATGTTGCGTATGGGCTGCCAGTAGCAAAAAAGATTAAAGCCTTGCTAGACACCCAGACAAATCCTGTGTTCAAGCTTTGATGATTAGGTTTTGAAGTATTTAGTACTGCAGTAAACTTTCACATAAATTTTGAAAGTTTGACAAAATCTGATTAATTTGCTTCTGTAGTTTCCATAACAGTGACACTTACCTTGCACTCACAATGTTTCCTGCATTTAGCTCTACCATTTCCTCAAATCCTATAGCAAAGATGTCAATCGGCTTACTCCGTCGATCTGAATTAACATATGAGGTTTAGGTAATTACTTCAGAAGGACAAAAATCAGAATGGCTAAAAATCCAACCCAAATTGATTAACATGGTAAGGACTCTCACCTTGGAATTCACTGATGCCAGCTACCTTTGGTGCATCTAAAAGCCAGTCAGTGAGAGTCTGGTTTCTAAAGGCAATGCTTCGAAACTGCTTTCCGCCATTGACGTTCCATGTTCCAACACAAATGCGAATTTTTTTTGGCTTTGAATACTTATAAAAATTCTCACACATGCTCTTCAGTATTTTTGCTGATGCTACAAAAGGAATATTAAGACTGATTTGCTTACACAGAAGTCAGCAAGTGACAGATAAGATTGTAAGCTTTACATTTTAAAAAGTTACTGATCAGGATAGCAATTTATTGAAAAGACATGCACTGCTCAGTTGACATAGTTCCATTTGTTTTTAAATGATAGTTCTCCTGATTATCCAATATTAAGTTTTGTGTATTTTGTGTATATATATATATATATATTGTATTTTTTTGCTGTAAATTGTTCTGCGATCTTCAGATGAAGGGCAGTATCTAAATTTAATAAATAATATGTTCTTCAAAACATTTAAAATTGGAATCCTTTTTATATTTCAGTTAGTTCTGTATAACAATAATCAATTCCCAACATGCTTTGCTCCATGTCTGAATTATTCTTTGAATAGATAGTATCAAATGGAGTAAATTTATTTTAACAGTAAGTTTTCAAATTAAGTTATCCATTGTATGTAATTAAACAGCCTATTAATCCAACTGTAATTATTTTAGGTTAAAATTGCTTGCACATGTACTGTGCTTCAAACATGCACTTCATCATTTATCAAAGTAATGTTATTGGGACAGTTCTCCTCCCACTTTCTTGAGGTGCAAATTGTGCCTTAACTTGTTTTTGAACTCTTAAGGGTTTACTTCAAGTATATATTGTATGAACCAAGTCTTCTAACAAACTGTAGAACACTGATGAGGAAACAGGTGGCAGCAGGGCTCTTTTAGCTTAAAAATGATCAAACAGCTACTCTCTCTAGATTAATCCGTTCAAGTTACATTGGTAGAAACTACTATTGGTTGAATCCAGAGGAATGCATGCATAGCTAGGCTGGTAAAATATGGCTTTCCTTTCCCCTCCTCATCCCAATAGTCTTTCCAACCCCCTGCGAAGGTGCTCCCAAGAGTGCTTGCTAAATGGGAAGGAGTTTTCATGCGTGGATGCGGTGCCTCTGCCTGATATTCAGATATTCTGCCCCTTTCCCCTCATTCCCCTTCACCGCAACCCACACCATTCAGCAGACTCCCTCTAGGAGTGACAGCTTCCTAGTCCCTTGCGCAGGCTTTTCTCTGGATCAAACCCCAAATGTTTTCTCCATCTGCAGCCCATAAACCAGAATAAAGCCAAACTTCATAAATCAAGAAGCTAAAGCAAATCAGGAAAAAATACCAATAGAAGCAGCATGAACATCAGCTAGGTAGTTAACTCTGAATGCAGTAAGCTGGATCTTTGAGTTTTCTACTATGTCTATAAGTTTATCCCTTCTCTAATACAGAAAAACACATCAAGTCATTTCAGCGGTTTAATATTAACAAGAATGTTCATAGAAATAAAGCTAACATATAGGCAAAGAGGATATTGTCAATAAGTTCTTACACTGAACTGCTTCTCAGAGAGACTTCAGCTATTAAAATTGACAATGTTTTAGGGATAAGGCAGTATTTTTATTATAGCATGTAAAACTACTATGGTGTATTTTAGTAAACACAAGTTAACAGAATATGCAATAACCAGATCCCTTTTAAGGCATTTGAAAATTTTGCAATTATGTTTCTTTAAAAAACAGCACACCACTTTCTGTTGTTCATGCCCTTTGGCTGTACAATATAGTTATTCTGTTAGTAGGATGAATATGCATACGTGTATTTCAGTCAATTGGGCATAGTTTATTCTATTTGAAATTCATTTGCCTAAGGGAAATCCTCCCCCTACAATTTTTTCTTTGAAATGTAGTCTTGGTCAACAGCACTCAAGTTGTAATGGAAAAATAGGGCATTTCAGAGTTTCAAATATTATGCCAACTTGTTCAATTTTAAAATTTACTAGTGATCTTGTGGCCCTATGAGAAAGCTAGAAAGACCAACTATATGCCTGAGTGCAATAGCTCAAGGAATCTTTTGAATACTGGCAACTCCGTTTTTTCATGGGTTAAAGACATACCACAGAAGTTACTTTTCAAAAATTCATACCCACAATAATGTATTTTTTATTTATTTCATCAAATCTATATACCACTGATTGCAAGAAAAAAACTCAAAGCGGTTTACAAAATGAATAAAGCAATAAAATTATCAATGGAAAGTTAAAACTAGTTACTCAAAACAGACATTCAAAGCCAGCCTATGATTTGTTAAGTATCTGTGTAATACTGAGAGTAAGTTTTTCAATCCATAACTGATTATGGTCTAACCTGCAGGTGATGTGGCACTCCAGATGATGTTGAGACTCCAACTCCCATCAGATCAAGCTGGAATTGCCAGCGGTTAGGGCTGATGGGACTTTTAGTCCAACAATATCTAGAACACCACAGGTTAGCCCCCACCCCCTTCCATTACATTAGATCATGGTGCCTGGTGGTCTAAAAATACTGTAATGTAAAGAAGCAAACTTCTAGACATCAATCTGTGCTGCCTCCACTCCTCTCAAGGGGGTGCGGGGAATAATGTGCCCAAAGCGTCTGCAGAGCATGCCTCTCATCTTTATTGATTTCAGACATGCTGGCAGGGAAGATGTATGGGGAAGGACCATAGTTTTATGATAGGCATATGCTTTGCATGCAAAAGGTCCCTGGTTCAATCCCCAGCATCTCCAGTTAGGAATGGTGTCCTGGCTCACACCCTCAGATGAACTTTCAAGCTCAGGAAACCCCAAAAGTTTTTTTTCAAAAGAATTCTGAACACAACTTCTGCATCAGTATGGGAGGTAGGTTACAAAGCTCAAAAGGCACCTTGGCAGAAACTAGAATACATGGCTAGGCAGAAAGCAAAGACATCCCAATGCCACTTCCACTCTATTTTTAAAGTAGTGGGACCTGTCACTCATACAGTTCCCATCCCAGGTCAACATTTCTACTGTTCATGCCTGTGCTGACAAACCACACCTGGTCAAGTGTGTCCTTCACCCACCTCCCACGCCCTCCAACCAGATTCTTTGGATCTGTGTTGGAAAGCAACATACAAAGGAACATGCAAGGGACTTGTCTTCACTTGCAAGCAACCATTTCTCAATGTCTTGCAACCCAATATTTCAAAGCTTTTTTCCTGTGTTGCGAAAGGTCCCCTGTTCAAGCCTCAGCATCTGCATGTAGATGGGAAATACTCCTGTCCAAATATCTAAGATGCCACTGCCAATCAGTAAAGACAATACGGAGCTAGACCACCCAATGATTTAACTCAGGTGGAATCTGCACCCATGTTTAGGGGTAGGCATACCCCTGCATCCCCCCCCCCCCCAGAAAAAAAGCACTGTGCAGGACCATATGAAAACAGGAGGACCCTATTCTCTTTCTTCCTCCTCAAGGCTTGCAGAGAGGTCTGACCTGCCAGCAAACCACTCTATGAGTGCATAAGATGAAGAAGTGGCCTGCCACTTTTCATTTGAAGTGGCTTGTAGTGCATCTCACTGCCAACCAAATACATAAAAAAGATTCTCCTGTATGCATGTATTTCAGAATGAGAAAAAAAATAGAGAAAGTTAACATGATAACATTTCATCCCAAATGGGTGCTATACTATACCTGATTGCAATGATTGCTCTGAAACTATGAATGCATTTGGAGAAAAGAAAAGAAATTAGTTGAGGTGTTATATGTTAACCAAGCAACAGTTTAAGTTTCCAGGACACTTTAGGCACCCTTTTGTGTGTCAACTTTGAACAGTTAGATCACGTTGCTGCGGAATTACACCACTCACTCTTAAACATCTAGACACTATGAAGCAGTTCCTAACTTTAGCTTCTCACGTATTATTCCATTACTTCACAATGACTTTGTAATGCCACACGCCCCTGAAAAGAACTGCAAAATTTTGTTTACCGAGCTTTGCAAGTACCATTGAGACTTCCAAATCAGATTATCTAGATGCTCAAGCCTTAAAGTATAAGCATTTATTGTTATACATGTTCTTAAGATATTTAACAATGAATGCATAAAGTAATGCATATTATCTAATAAATCTGATTAGGAAAGTATTCATTCCTTTATCCTACTAGATTCTTCAATAGTAATAATCCAAAATTGTTAGTTTAAAAAGAGCAGACTATTTATAAACAGATTGCTATTAAGATGACATTAATAATAGTTTTACTTGAACACAGAATGTATCAGGATGGATCCAAAAACTGCAAGAAGAAAGAAAATGGATGCTAGTGATGGCCCACAAGTGCTAGCAGAATAAATTGTGCAGTGATGGAACAAGGAGGCTCTAAAGAAGTTCTCACCCTTCTGCAAGAGCCTGCGCAAAGGGAAGAAAGTCTTTGCATTTAGATGCAGTTTTCTTACACAATGCAGCAGCACAAGATGTAAAACAACTCTGCAAGTGCAGAAGGGCAGCTTTGGATCCAACCACAGCATTATTAGTACTAATTGTTGCCATATAAATTAAGAACCTAGAAACACATACCACGTAAACTGCCGGTGGTTAAGAGAGCCCGTGCTTTGTCTGCTAAATCACTATTTAGGGTATTTCCCAACAACAAAACGTCAATAGCTTCCTGCTTTGAGCTATCAAAAAAATTATTTTGAATTGTTCTGGTCACTGAACGTGCACCATCCTTCAGCTTTCCAGCCTGTTAGGGAGGAATATGTATAAATATTTTATCAAGTTACTTACAGAACACTGGCAAATAGCATAGAGTTTTAGGCTGCAATCTATTAATAACAAGCTGGTATTAAACCAATTTCATTTCTGTTTATGCTGCAGTAGAATTTTTTTTTTGCAGGATGAGAATATAAACACAACCCAAGGAATTTTGCAGAGAATGGGAGGCGGACATAAGTCACACAGAGCAGCCATGCAATACTTTGCCTTTACCCAAAATAGTGAGGTGTGTACAAGCACTGGACACACACAAGGTATGTATATATTGCATGCAAATATATTTTAGAAATGTGCTTTAAAAATATCCAGTCCTTTTAAATGCTATATTTTTACAGGAATTGTCACTTCTGCTATGGAATGAGTAACAATCAAAGCACATATTGAGTGGCAATATACAGAGCTTTATTGACACATTAATGTGTATGGAAATACTATACACAAATCAATATGCTATGATAATATGTATATTATATGCATGTGTACTGGTACATATCCATATGCACAAAATAAAAATATACTAGCTGAATAAATTGAAATTGCATTTCTATCTACCCAATCATTACGTTTTAGAAATCAGGCTAGCTATGCTGTATGCTCAAAAATCTACTTTTGGCTGCTGTCTATTTTGCTGCTGATTTATATGTTACAAGTGCTGCATGTATATTTTGAAACTGAAGACTTCCAGCTCATGAGGACTGCTGCCTGCAATGAACGGGATTTGGGCTTGGGTTTTTCAAACAGTCCGTCATGCCAAAGGACTTTTGCCACTGAAAGGAAATTTCAAAACCAGTTTGTGATATGGCATGGGGATATGTTCAATGTCAAATACTCTACTGAGCATGACAAGCCCTTAATCCTGTTTGAACTAGTTCTTTAGTTCACAGGCAGTATTTTTAAAAGAAAACCCACACATATAATAACAAATTAACTCTATTTAAAAATGTCATTAGGTTCAGTATAGGAGAATCTAGTCATTAAAACCAAATCTTTAGCATTTTGTACCTTCAATAATTTGGGTCGCGATACATATTTAAACACTTACAATGTTCAACATTTAGCAGTATTCGGGAATTACACTCACCAATTACATATCAGGTAAATAATTGAAATGAACCAAAAGGAAAGCAAAAGAAAAGTTAGTTAAGATGTTAAATAGTAACATAGTACTTAAAATTTGAAATAATCACTGTTAAACACACATTTCAAGTTAGTTGTAGTTTGAAAAGGTGAATACAATTAAGATTAAACTGCAGAGGTTTCACCCAGTTGAATCACTGCATGCACGTAACAAGTTCTGTGTGTGCAGTGGAACTTCCTTTCCCAGTCTTACTCTTGCACCGCTCCCAAATCTGCTCTGGATAGTTGTGGGGGGGGGGGGGGACCAAAACAGTTCTGGGAAGTGCATGGAGAGGAGAGGGAAGGGAAGCTCTGCTGCACTTGCAGATTCAGTCTATGGACACAATGAGTTAGTTGGATACAACCCATAAGAAACCACCATTCCCACATGCAAAGTACTAACAGACAAAAACCGGCAATGAAAATATTGTAAAACTGCTGTTTAACACTTGTGCCCGGGAAAGATACAATTCTTCAAGGCCACAAGCAAAATACATCGAAAACCATAGCTAAGAATACTGTATCAAATTCTGTTGTGTGATATAACACACAACCTAGGCTGAGTGATATCTAGTTTTCAACATTGTGATATGTCACCGGCTAAATATCACAATATATTGATATATCACAATGTCTGAAATAAGGATGGAACTATGTAGAAGCGAACAGTAGGACTTGGTGATAGCTGGTTTTCAATCTCATGATATATCACCAGCTAAACATGGTGATATAGCAATATATCACGATGTCTGAAATAAGGATGGAGCTCTGTAGAGGCATTGGCTGGCTTCACGGGTTTTCCTGCATTGTGATATTCACCGGTGCCTGCTCTTGTGATTTGCTGCCTCCTGCATGAGGCAGGGGAGAGCCGAGCTGGTTGAGTTAACAGGGGCTGAAGGAATTGAAAGAAGAATTGGCTGGCTTCACGGTTTTCCCCACATCGTGATTTTTGCATAGCACACGTGCACACACACATCATGATTCACGATATATTGCCAGGTCAAAAATTATGGAACTGATATCACAATACAGACTTCAAACTGGTTTTGGATGATATATCGATACATCACTCAGCCCTAATACACACGCTACCCAACTAAAGGCAACTTGCATGGAACTCTAGGTTTGAGTACTGGCAACTACCAGCTACTGGTGCCTGTGTCAGCATCACTATTGCTTTTTGTATCAGCAGAAAATTTTTTGGCACTTGAACTTGAATGAAATAACTCTAAAATAATAATATCAGGACTAATAAGTTACTGTGGGGTTCAAGGTAATAGCTTCATCTACAAAACCTAGGAATAAACCTTAATTTTGGATCAGACATTTTAGATGAACTTTGGATAAATGAGTAAAGTTAAATAAAGCACTGCAGGGAATGAAGTGAGTGAAGTTTTTAGTTGAAACATGAAGATTCAAGACTAGTAGATAAAAACAGAGCCCACTTCAACATTCAGTAGAAAACAGTGAGAAATAATGGAAAACTCATACCCAGACACTTAAAAGATTGGAAAATAACAGTTGTAAACAAGAACACTATTTGGCCCTTGAGAATTACAATATTCAAATTTTACTACTAAAAACATTACTTACCTTCGCTTTTCCTTCAAGAGCTCCAGTTCCAGCATATATTTTACTGACTGAGTCACCATTAACAGACCACATGGAGCGAAAAACTTCCTGGAATCGAGTAACCAATTGAGGCTTTTCAGCTAAACCTAAAACTTCTAGCTGTTTTGACAGCATCTGCAAAAATGTGGAAGGCAAAACCAAAGGTAAATACAAATCTGTATTAAAACATTTTATTTTTGAAAGCTTTCATTTGGTTTGGTTTTCCCTTTTATCTGGTTAAGAAACTATAGATTATACAATTTAAATTGATATAAAGCTATCAGTGGACAAGGCACTTTACAGAATAATATAAGAAATAATTATGATAGTATCCAACACTGCTGTTCTGCTTGTGCAACCAACTTCCTCTTGTGCAATAAAAATTCCCCTACTCTTGCCAGCAGCCCCTTGTGTACTCTCAAAATCTGTTGCAGAGGGTTGGGGGACCTTCTGAAGCAGATTTTGAGGATATGCAGGAAGAGAAGAGGAAGAAGAAATCCCATAGTGTGAGAGTAGCACAGGTCAAGCAACACCTGAACAGTATGTGAACTTTTCAAATGTCAACATTAAAACACTTCTAAAATATAATACCTTTATATTCTTACCTCTAAGCCAACAAATGCTTGCACAGAATTTGTTCTATCCAGACAATCCAAGCAGTTTGTTCTTATAGTACCACTTTGAGTTCTGTGCCAAGTATACAACAAACACACAATTTTAAAATTGCACACAACACACAAAACTTTAAACATAACTTTAACCAACGTACTAAACAGAAGTATGATCATTAGCCAAATACCTATCAACACAAGCTTTACCCACTATTTTACCCACTAGGTTTTTGGAGTTAAAAAAATTAAAAAAGCCATGCCATAGCACATTCAGATTTATTCATTTATTTTAATAAATGAATAATTTTGAATAATGTTCTACTTTTTTAAAAAGAATGGTATTTTGAAAAAACAACAATGATTAAATGACTTCATAAGAACTCAACTTAAAGGCCAAAAAACACACTGTCAGATTTCACTCCACGTCCCCCACTGCAATCAATGAATTTTAGAAACAGTACAGTGCCAAAAGACTCTAATTTCCACTACCCCCTTTTAACTGGCTCTATGGAAATTCAAAATAAATACAAAATAATTCTGGCTTGGTAGTAAAAAATGTAGCTTTTGCTTTTTGCTTGAAGGCTTTATGAAAATGTATCAGACCATTCCTAAAGCTCAGCACTTTGGTTTTAAGGCTAGGGTGATCACAGGCACACACCCCCATATGAATAGCTCCTTTACTTGGTTTTAACACCTGTTTAACATTACTGCACTAAGATTAACCACGTATTAATCAGAACTTTCTTCAAACCCTGGTTAAATTTGGTGCAGGTGCCACACCAAACTGATTAAAGCAAACAAGTGAAGGGAAGACAGAATTTTCATTGTGGATATGTGTTACAGCTGCAGCATGTTCAGTCATTTTCCTCATAAATAAGTAGTCTCAACTTTTTTTATTAAAAAAAGTAGTTCCCCTTTTCTGACTCTTCTTTCATTTCCAAAAGTGCTAAACCAGCTGTATCTGGTAACAGAAGACAAGTATCCAAACCTTTGAACTTCGTTTCCATCGAAGTAAAAAAATCCACACTCTAAGAATTTCTGGATCTGTGGTTTAAGAACGCTATGTAGTTTTTCTGCCTTTCCACCCTTGACCATTTGATGATAGTCAAAGTTCACCATTTTGATGTCATCAGCATGTTCAGAAGCTTTCAAATGGCTCTGAGGAAGTTGGTGGAAGAAAGGAGAAACAAATATATTAGCAACAAATGGGATATAGATGTCATGGAACAAGATTTTGGTAGTAGCAAAAAATGTGATACTGCCAATTGGTTTTAACAGCTATTCTGGTTTTAACATCTATTCTGTTATTACAATATTTGTAATATATTAATTTCTAGACAGAGCTATGCTTGAAGAAAATTACATTTGAAGTGGTCCTTAATCAGCTTTTGATTTACAAAATCACATTCTTTTTATTAAAAGTCAAATAACACAACATTAATGAAATTACTTATATACTGAAACTGAGATAATTATTTGCCATTTATGAGACAATATTTTCCTTTACAAAATAGGTCTAGATCATATTTTACCTGAAAGGCTTTGCTGAGCATATGCTCCCCTTCTTTTGAGCCAAGAAGATTCACAATTATTTGCTTGCCATATAGATTTTTAAGGGTATGAAAGTGCCTACAAGGTGGGGGGAAATCTATTATTATTGGATCTAGTAAATAGCATCTTTAAATCAATGAATGGAATACACACATCATATTTAACCACTTATATTGAAAAGGCAAAAGAGCAGCTAAAAGGATGAATGAAATTATGAAATCAGCCACAAGAGAAAACCCAAAACCAGTATAAGAATTGTGACAACTTACATACAATGTAGAATTCACTCCTAACACAGATGAATCCCACTCAACAGAAAATGGAAATATGGCTTTTAAGTTCATAAGAATCTCATTTTAAACCTTTCATTTGTTACTTTAGTTTAACAATGTACATGCTAACCTTTAGTTACTGGTATTATTTCATCCCGTTCCCAGTGGGTCACTCATGCATTTAAGAACTTCGTGGAAATATTGCCTACTAGAGTACTCAAAATGAATAGCTCCTGCTGGAAGGAAGAAAGGACTTTTACCTGTCAAACGCTGGTGCATTTGCTTCAAATCCTCTTGACATTCTGACACGATGAGATCCAACCTGAGACGAAAGAATGTTGTTTTTTAAAAAATTGCATGCATTATTGTTCCACAAACCTTTTGGATGTAATCAAATTTTATTAATAAAGCCCTCAAATTATTACACTGTGCAGTAATTTTAAAAGACACAAGAGCATAGTGCTTCTGATTTTTTTAATTTTTCTTTCCTCACTTCTATTATAACACAGTGGTACCTCAGTTTTTGAACGTCTCCGCTGACAAATGTTTCAGAACTTGAACGACGTAAACCCAGAAGTAAATGCTTCGGTTTTCGAACGCGCCTCTGAAGTTGAACCGGAAACGTGGCTTCCGTACTGAGTTTTCCATATTGAGATTTCCATTTTGAGTTTTTGATTTTCGAACGTTTCAGAACTCGAATGGTCTTCCGGAACGGATTAAGTTCAAAAACTGAGGTACCACTGTACTTACAATCCAATCCTACCACTACCACTCCCTGCTCCAAACGTTGATAGCTGGGGGAGTTAGGATGGTGAACATCTGTCTCCCTGCTGGCCTTCAACAGTGGGCCCTGCGACTAAAGATGCCCAAACTTTTTGGGGCAGAGACCACGACTCAAAGTGCCATGGATCTTTGGGTCCCTCAGCTGTGCAGCACCCCCCACTCCAAGAAACTGTCCTCCCAACACACCCTGCCTCTCCCAGGGTTTCAGGTGCAGTGGTGGATCAACTGCTCCCAGCCAGGGTTTTGGATTGCTCTGTCAGGTACATTTCTGATCAATAAAAATAAAGAAAATCATATAAATCTAAGAGCCGACATAGTTTAAGGTCACTTGAGGCAAACAGGAATAGGCTTGAAGCCACTTTCACTCCTGCTGACCAAACAGTTGCAATTTAAACAATGTTTTCCTACTATGTCCTACATGACACTGATTTGTATGTATAACATGTTCTCCTTAAATTACTGAGCTTTGATTCTTGAAAAAGGTGGTAGAAGACTTCAACTAATACGGGGAAATGCAATTTGAGAAAAGATATAGTCCTCATACTTGTAAGCCAGGTTGCTCCCAAAATAATGGAACAGATCCACGAATTTGTATAAAGGATGACACACATTCATCTAGAAATATCACCTGTTGGAGAAATAAAATTTATTGTATTAGTTGTCTTAAGCAATTAGTTACCTTATGCAGAAACTTTGTTCAAATTATTCCATGCCATTTGCCCACACATTAAAACTTATTCTGACCCAACATCATCTAAGGCCAAAAAAAAAGAAATTTGAAAGCTTTGCACCAAGGTTGCTCCAATACAAAGTGATTTTAATGAAAAAAATGAGATCATTTTCTAGCTACATAATCTATGTATTAATCCATATGAAATAGGCAACTGTGGAAATAATATATTGTGATAAATGATGGCTTACAGTATACAGGCAATTAGTGTACTACTTAATCTGTTCTGTTGGATCTCAGTGACAGCAGCAGAATATTTTATATTTTATGCTCTTCTTTATGTTATGTTTTGATTTTATGAAACCCCTGTTGTACATTGCTTCAAAATGTTTAAATGTTAAACAATTAATACATTTTGTAAATATATAAAAGCTGAGGCTGCTGAACAGACTTTTGGGTTGGGGTGTTATTTAGGGTTTTTGTTGGCACAGGGAGTGTTGTCACTGATTTTTGTATATTTTGATTTTTTTATATCTTTATTTTATACTTTATTATGATTTAATAATAATAACAACAATAATACAACAATTGTATGATTTGATTGTGTCCTTTTGCATGTTTTATTGCTTATGACTACTTTTGTTATGTTTGTAATTATGTATTTTTTCATGCTGTAAGCCACATTGAGCATGATTTTATCTATGGAAAGGTGGCTTACAAACAACATTATGTATGTATGTATGTATGTATGTATAAATAAATAAATAATGTATATTTTCTATACCATGGCTTAGTGAATGCTGCAGAAAAAAACTGGGGAAGAGCAAAGCAGCCACCCCCACATCCCTGAGAACCTGTGTAGCCAGGCATCCATGCTAAACCATGGCTTGGATTAGCATGTCATGGAAAATGTGCTGATGTCTACTATTAAGATTGGAAGGATGAGATACGCACATCTGTCTCAACAATGGTTTTTTAATTTTAACAAAGGGGTAGATCTGAATTGTGGAAACAGTCCTCATTTTCACCAACTGAGCATTACCATTTCATAACATGGTTATGATACAAGAAGTGCAACCTGTCTACCACAAATGTAGGTTTGGTAGCCAATGTGTTCAAGACTATTATATACAAAATAACTGCAGTTGGCAGCAGGTAGAAATCAAGTTGGAATAGCCTTATGTGCTAAATATGTAAACTAGATGTCACGCCTTGTACCAAGCAATGCATAACCACAATTTGTATAGTTTAGTGAGAATAATACAAAGCAGTAATATAGTGCACAGGTCATACCTGTTCAGTTTCAACAAAATTTGCCACATGACCATCGTCATTTGTTCCTCTAACATTAAATCTGGTCCCAGCTCGTTCACAGCTTAACCGTGAAATGATGCAAGCCTTTGCTTGCTTGTGAGCTGCATAAATTGTTCTGATCTCTACTCCTCCACACATGAGACGCAACAACCATTCATCACAGTTGACTCCATAATGTTTAAGATGAAGGTGCAGTGATTGATTCCTATTGAAGAAGTGATTCAGATTAACATTAGCTGGAGGAATTTCAATATAAAATATGAAGCATCGAAGACTAAAATATCATTGTAAACATAACGGCATGCATATATAAGCAAGTATGCTTAAGTGGAACACAGAGCCATTTAAAACAATTCTAAATTATGCAAGTCTTCTGTAATGATTTTCAAAGCAATAAACATAGTCCAGGAAAGATTAAGGGAAAAGGTAAAAACAAACATTCAGCAAATTACATTTCAGAAAGTCCAGTTTCACTAGGCTGGCTAACCTGCACATTCTAGTAGCAAAGTGGCAGCATAAAGAGACAGCATAAATTAGAATTTCTCACAGTGCAAGCTTCCAGTTTCAGAGAAGATACTGGTTATTGAACTACAGAGAGTTTTTTTGGGGGGTGGGGTTAGCGTAAATCATGTAAATCTGAAACAATCAGGTACATTTCACATGAGTAAAATCACCTCCAGTTGAAAAAGGATTTCCCCCTCGATGCCTGCATCTGACAGTTTCATGTGTGGATGGTACAGAAACTAAATGTCACAGCCCTGGGCAGCAATCCACACCCATCTCAGATAAATATGCTGATCCAGATATTGAACAGTGTTCCTGATGTTACCAAGAGACCACAGCATTCCCAAAGCAGTACTAAACCCCAGTTCAGAATGTGTCTTTTGGGGAGGCGATCCTTTTAAAAGTGTCTGGGACACTCCAAAAATAGTCAAAGGGCCCACTGGTGTTTCTCTATAGAAGCAATCCTGGTACTCAAACTACCAGGTGATCACAGTTCAAATAAAAGCAGGGGTTTTTGGTGGGGTCAGTGAACCCCACTTTTAAGCACAATCTCCACTATCTTTGCCAGCTTAGATAGATCTAGTGTCATTAGTATATTAGAAGCAGCTTGGACAGTTAGAGACGATTCACTGAGGTAAGTGAACAGCTTCTTGGGGCTCTGCATGTTTCATGAATGTATCATGCAAGTAGAAGAAATTTGTATTCTGTGCAGAACGTTGAATTCTGAAAATGTTTTAGCTACAAAGGCTACTTACTTTGTATTCTGCTTCTTCTAATCACAGGAAGAAACATGGAGTCATGTAGGACTAGAATGTTACTTGGGTTTAAAAACTGGAGGAGTTATCATTGCTTTCTTTATCTTTTCCTTAGGAACTTGCTTTCTAAAAGTACTGAAATTCTTATCCTGTATAATTAATTTCACCAAATTTCAAATTCTATCCTGCTAAACTTGTACAGAATTCGCTAAATATACACAACCTTGAATATTAGACAAGGCATCTAATAGTTTACACTATTATAACAACAATGACCATTCTATAAAAAGAAACAGAATTCTCTGTGTATATCTCAACAAGCACAAAACAAATATTTTTAAGTTACTAGTATCTGTGACTGTAATCATTTGAACTTAATGCAAATACTGGATTTTCACTTCTCCTTTTAACACTTGTAAAGTATTTCCCAGAACAGCTAAGCATGAGTTTGCAAAATGGTTCATTCTGTGTATATACTGTATTTGTGTGTGATTTGCCCATATTAATACTCATAAAAACATTAAAAACCATTTTATATGAAGAAGTACTATTTCAAAAAGGTAGAACTGTAAGCAGTATTTTAACACGTGCAATGACAAGAAATTCAACAACTCAAAATACGAAGGCACACGGTATCAGACTCCTAAAACTTATAAACTCACCAGAAGAACCTGTTATCAGTGCTTTGTTCTTGCATGCTACGGTGGGCATTAAGACTAAGATCTAAACTGACCCCAGAAGAAGACCATGCAAAATAAAAGTTTCCTGAATTCAAAACTTTGCGGACTTCAGAGATGCGTTCTTCATCAGATGGGTCAATTCGTAATGATATTAAATCAGTGGAAGTAACACGAAAAACTTCAGATTCTTGGATTTTTCCTACAGACATACATCCTGTGACAAGAACTAGATAATGTAACAATGTGTCTCCTGTAAGAAACAAACATAAATGAACAATCAATGTATTTTAAACTTTTGCAAGGCACACTTTTGCATTTCCCTGTTTTAAGTATTAAACTTTTAAAGAGAGGTAACTGCATAATTCTAAAGTTTACTTTTGCACATAAGACTTTCCAGAAATTGATTTTGCATGAACAGTAAAACAGCAGTTTTTAAATAAGTGCTGGTCTGCAACCATGTCAACTTTTAGGATGAGTATGCTTATTGTTTTGTTTTATAATTACTGATAGGGTATGTGTAAACTGAAATGTTAGAAACCTCGATTCCAATGGCATATTTTAAATTTCACAGAAAAAAATGAACTTCATATCTTAAGGAAAAATATACCACCATGCCTCATATGCTTGAAAGGAACACCACTGAAGAGACAATGTAATTTACTACAAGCCCAACAATTATTTAATGGCCAGAGTCTCATGTATGCCATCAGAACTTTCAGCTTCTGATCCCCAAGGCAATCCAATCCTCTCGTCATGTTACATATGCCATGTCATACACATCTAATTGACTCTGAGACACCAAAGTTTTGAAAATGATTTGCTGTTTGGTGTTGGAGAACAGGAGAGGCTATTTAGAAAACTCAGCAAGCATCACCAAGGGGAAAAAAGGGGGGAGGGATTCCCGCTGCACATACAAAACTAATCATCAATTTATCTGGAGTGTGGTGATCACATACCAGCAACTGTACCGGCAGCAAGATGGCATGAGCAATCTTTTAACTGTTACTGTTTTCATATGAAAAGAAAGGGCACTCCCAAAATGAGATTTACTCACCAAGATTTAATCTCAAAACACCTAGCAGTCCATATGCATCCATCACCTTGGAGTACATGTTCTTGATTGCCTCTTTCTCTGCAGATGCTGTTTATAAAATGTGAAGGATTCAAATTATGGCAAAAGAACTATACATATGAAAGACTCTTCCACTTCATATTTTATATATATATATAATGTTTTTAGTTCATTCATGCATATCCCACATGGTACTTCCATTGTCATGGTGAGATCTGAGGTTCAGCTTTTCCCCAGAAATACTGAGTTGGACAGAATACCATTTTGAGTAACTTTCTGTCTGACTTGGAAGCTTTTTGTATTTTCATCCATCTGCCTATGGACAGGAAGCCATTAAGAGTACTGCAGCATCCTGTTTTAGCTCCTGTTTTAACAGGTCTTTGCACAATTTCTGGCCATTACAAAGGATTGTATTAAACAAGTTATTCGGAAAATTCCACTTCAGTGAAATTCAAAGAAATAAAGTACTGCAAAAACAGCCTGCAGTTATTCTCCTGCTGCCTGTATCAGCGGCTTATATGTATAGTACAAAGATTCTAGAAATGTCATAAAACTGAAGCTCAGTTTGTAGGTGTACATATAGATAAGAGACAGGGGGAAAGGACTTACTCTTCTCCAGCTGAGATTAGAATCCAACTACAGATTACAAATTGACAAAACTCATATTTCTGAAGAACAAATACAGATACAAATTTTAGTAATCACTAACTCTTAAGGTTCCAAGGGATGTGGGGAAGAAAAAGAATATATCCTTGCCCACGACCTTCTACTCAAATATAACATTCTTCTAACCCTTATTACTGCTGTGCTAAGCCAAGATTTTGCAGCCATGATAAACTGATAGCAACAGTGAAAATCCACTTCAGTAGCAGTAGACTCACTTGTACACAATGAAGAAGTAGACCTGTGACATCATAATCACACAAATTAATGAGGGGTGTCTCTCTCTGGGATTGAAATTTCAAACCAAATTTAAAGCATTTTTAATGGTAATTCTTGTTCCTCTAAATCAGGGGTGGAGCTCCATATGCTGCTGAACTACAGCTTCCAGAGTTGCAGATGCTGGTCATGATTAGGCAGTCTTAAGAAGAAGGGAAAGATGCCAGTTAAGCTCCATACAGAGCACTTTGATGAACTGAGACATAAAAGGGCATATATAGGAGACTGAAAAAGGTATATGTAACCAGGGATGTTTACAACAGTGCACCCCAAACTGTACGAACAGGAAGGATAAGACAAGAATGAGCTGCAAGGAAATGGCAGGTCTGCTGCTTAGACAAGACAGTAAGTATAAACAAGTGATACAGTGAAAGAAGAACTACTCAAACTCATATTTTGCCTCAATCTTCTACCACAAAACATACTGTGTTCTACCTGAGAAGAGAATGACAAATGATATAAGGAGAGGCTTGAACCCCAAGAGATAGAGAATCCTTAGCAACTGTAAACATGTTCAAGTCTCCAAGGCCAAATGAATTACACTCCATGGTGCTAAATGAGTTTGCAGGTATTTTCTCAAAACCACTGACTAATCTTATGAGAGCTCTTGGAGAATGAGTCAAGTCTCAAAACACTGGAGATAGGAACATCTGAGATGGGGACACAGGGAATCTGGAAAACTACAGGCCAGGCACCCCAACACAAAACAAAGAAAGGTTATTAAGCATTTGGTCTATAAGCATCTAAAAACATTGCATCAATTTCTATGAGCCAGCATGGGTTGCAAAAATAAGGAATGTCAGATCAACCTTGTGTTCTTTTTGCTAAGAGCTACTAGCCTAGTATGTAATCATGGGAGTGTCACATATACCGTATATCTTGATTTCAGCAAAGCATGTGACAGGGTCTCCCATGGTTGCCTTGATGACAAAATGGTAAGTGAACTGGGCAGTACTATAGCTAAGAGGCAGTCACAGCTGGTTGAGCACTTTTACCCAGTGAGCGCTCATTAATAGCTCTGTATCAAACTGGAGGAAAGTCTTGAGCATAATATCATAGGGCTCAGTCCCACGCACTGTGTTCAGTATTTTCTTAAAGACTTGAATGAGGGAAAAGCTTGTAAGATTTGCAAATGAGAAAGTTGGGAGGAATACACAGAAGACAGTATCAAGAGCCAAAAGAAAAAGATATCCTAACATTCTGCAACACTAGGCTGCAACAACAGGTGAAATTCAACAGAGATAAATGTAAAATCCAGCATGTAAGTGCAAAAAAGAAAAAGAAAATCAAAGGCAGAATATGCTATTAAAAGCTAATGCAGACTCAGGCTGCATTAACATAGTACCTGTATAGTGTTCAGATCACAGGTAGTAAACATTGCATTCTATCTAGTACTGATGAGAATGCATCCGAAATACTGTGTCCGGTACTTGATGCCACATTTTAAGAGAGGCCGTGCTAAAACTGCTTGTGTGTGTCCAAGGAAAGACAACGAGGGTGGTGAAGGCTCTGAAAAAGTCCTATGAGGAACAGCTGGAAGAGCTAGACATGGTTAGCCTGGAGAAAATGGGGCATAACAAGATAGGGGCCTTCAAACATCTGATGGGCTGTCATACAGGCCTGATCTTTGTTGTTCCAGAGGGAAGGACTAGAACCAATGGGTAGAAATAGGATTGAAGCAGATTTCAGCTGAACAGAAACCTTCTAACAGTAAAAGCAGTTCAACAGAGGGAAAGATTGTCTCAGGAGGGGTGAGCACTCATCCACTAGAGGTGCTTAAGCAAAGTCTGGATGGCCATCTATTAGAGATGCTGTAACTGCATCCTACATTGTGGGGGGCTTGCCAAACTAATCTGCAAGGACCCTTCCAACTCTGCAAGTCAGGTTTTTCCCCTTTTATATTTATTCACACAATGTAACTGACATAAGACATGAATCTCCCATTCCTTCTACTCAATTGCCTCCCCTTCCCAGATTCTGCTTATAGCGGAGTGACTGATCAACTTTAAATATGATTGTGTTCTTTAAGCAAACATGTATCAATACACTTGCAGGAAATAGATCTACCATGGTATCAATAATAAATCAAAGCTCAGGTTTATACCAGAAATTTGTGAGCAAAACAACATGCATCTGTAGAGTACTGCCCAGCTATCTAAACATGACTCAACTGGACATTCTGTAAAACCCAATACACAGTATCTTGGTATCAGAATATCTAATCTTAAAGGATGAAGAAAAACAGAGGCCTGATCAGTAGTTATAAAAGTGGAAAATTGGAAGTCCTTTAAATGACAAGTGATCTATGCTTGCCTTCCTAATAAGGCAAGGTCAATTTTGTCTTTATACATTAAGACAGAATCTGATAAGTTTGCCTCCCACCCAAAGAGTAGGAGCTACTAAAGTCTAACAACTGCTCCCTATCTATCTATATTCTCATTCTATTAAAATGTTCTAAAGCTGCAATCCTTGCATAATTACTTGAGAATAAGCCCCACTGAACTAAGTGCTGCTCAGTTCTGAGTAAACATACATGAGAGTGCACTACAAAGATTGAGATATTAAATACCTACCCTACATGCATGTAAATATACCCTCTTTTGCTGTGTTAATGCATGCAGGCACTTGAACACTTCCATCCCTAGAGATTTTATTCTTTCACTTAGCTACATCCATAATTTAAATCCCCTGATGGTAGATTAGATGGTGTGTGTTAACAGAAGTGCTCAATATACATTTTAAATCTAAGTTCCTATTAAGAGCTGCCAGCTGTTTGTGCAGCTGTGGCAAAAGCAGAAGTTCATGCTATAGTTCATGCTACAACATCTTAGAACATCTGCATCCTTTACTGGATATGTTGTTCAGCAAAGAAAAAGTTATCTATCCAGCTCATTAACACATGAAACTGTACCTTACATGCTTATGCATAGAATAACAACTTTGGGGATCTTTAATATAGAGAAAATTGTGTGACACTGAGGTTAGTGCACTATGTTATACCCAAATAATCATAATAATATCTTGCTTTCTTGGAGGAATTAAGTAATAATAATAATAATAATAATAATAATTTATTATTTGTACCCCGCCCATCTGGCTGGGTTTCCCCAGCTACTCTGGGCGGCTTCCAACAAAGATGAAAAATACACTAAAATGTCACATATTAAAAACTTCCCTGAACTGTTCAGGGAAGAATGTTGTAAGAAACAACATATGTTGCTATAAATTTAAATAAAATGTTATTTTACACAGAATTGTGGGAAATGAATAAAATGGTTTTGGAGCTTAAAGTGTCAAGAAAGACATGCAGAATAGTAAATTGGTTAGTTGTTAAAAGTTACACAGGCTACCCAAGTTCTGGACCATAAGCTCAAACAGTTCCAGTTACACAGACAGATGGAGGGAGCAGAGCTCATCTTACATGGAACAAATGTGGGTGCTAAGGAGCCAGGAAAGTGGCGTTTTGAACAATTACATGGACTAAGAGATAGTGAGGTTGCAGAAAAGAGAAAGGTAGAGATGTTTTGCTCCACAGTGTCAGAACAGGGTGGGGAGCAGTCTCCAAGGCAAAATAAGCACCGTTAAATCGCCCTGAGTTAAAAACTATAGTTAAGGCAGCTGCAAGATGTCCAGTTGCAGGAAAGAAGCTTCCCGACAAGAATTAGCTCTAGAGCAAAGAGTTATTATCTTAATGAGGATGCTGGATGGAAAAGGTAACTGAATGCTAATTAACTCAAGCATCAAGTAGGTTACCAGACATCAACACAAATTTCCTCACGGCAGAGTGGCACAGGGGTCATGAAGAGCCTCTGGCCAGTCATAACTTAAACCCATTTGAATTCTCTCATGGGAAAAGGCAGCAATATTTTCCTAAGAAATGCAAGTTTAGGCTTAAACCAATTACTGGTGGAAATTGCTTGTTCGAGGAAGCCCCCATTAGATATAGCAACGATTCTGGATACTAATTAGGCTTGCACTTACATTGCAGTAATTGCAAAAGTTTGTTTCTATGCATGGTTGCTATTATGGGAGAATATACTATTTAAACCAATGTTGTCTTCTCTTATATTGCAACGGCACCACACTAACTGCAGAGAGGAATGCCAAAAGAGACACCATTCAGGGGCATGTGTAGCTTTCCAGTTGAATTGAGCTTCTAGGTTACAGGTTTGAACACAATGCTGAACTGCCTAGCTAAAAACAGATGTGAAAAGTTCTGATGTTCCTGCAGGCACACTGGAGGGTACCAGAGGAAAGATGAGCCCAAGGCTCATACTCAAAAATGCTAAACAGCCACAGTTTACCTTTACGTCTGCTTATGTTACAAATAGGATAAGTAGACTTTTAAGGCAAGTTTCAAGAAATAGCAATAAATTCAAAAATGTATTACTCTGAAAAATATAGTAGGGCAAAACACCTTTAAGCAAAAAAGACCAGGAAATATTCAAAGGACATTTAGATCACTGACACAACAGATATGGTGACTCAACATTTCTTCATCTGTTTTCATTTTTTAGCATTAGGAGTTTTTTAATTAAGTTAGCCATCTGCTTGTATTTGCAGAGTTTTGCTACTTACAGAGAACAGCCACAGCACCAGACTCGAACATGAGACATTCTTCCTTGTTTCTAGCTTCTACTATCACACTGAATGGCGGTGGGTCTAGCTTATGATAGATGCGATAACCTTTACTGAATGCCATTTTTCCTTTATCAGAGGCAGAACTGTGTAACAAAGTACAAAAAAAGTGTTAGTGAAAGTTTCTCAACATTCAGAGACATCATTTCTAAAGCAGTGTGAAACTAACCTATCCACAAGGCACAGCTGCATTAATTTCTACTAGTGGGAACCCAAGAACTCTGCTGGAATGTGTTTTTAATATGCCTACCTTCTAGCATCCTTCCCATGTTGCAAGAACTACATCAGGATTAGTTAACAGAATCAACTTCAGTTGAATAACAGATATATACTACAGGTAAATTGTGATAAATGTTTGCATGAAATATAAAAAGTTATGTAATGCAACTGGCTACAGTCACTCGTGCCCTATTCACTTCCAGGCTGCCTCATAGTGAGCTGCCTTCAAAGACAATTAAGGGCTTTTCTGATTTGACTAGAATGCAACTGCCTGGCTACTGACTGTAACATGACGGATCCATGTCGCTCTTGGAACATAAATGGCTACCTTACATAGAATCAGACCATTGGTTGATCTAGCTCAGTATTTTTCACTCAGACTGGTAGCAACTCTCTATGGTTTTAGATAGATGACCTTACAAGTACTACCTAGAGATGCTGGGTATTGAACCGGGAACTTTCTGAATGTGAAGCAAATGCTCTGCTAATGAGCTACAGCCCTTTTCTGATTGTATATTACCTGCATTGATTACCAATTGTTTCTGGGCTCAATTCAAAGTGTAGTTATAACCTTTTAAACCTTAGCATCTTTGAACCAATGCATTTTAAGAATCTCCTTCACCCATCATAGCAATATGCCAAACCTTTGAACAGTCTACCACCCTGCTCCATTATGTGCTACCATGGTACATGGGGGGGGCATGAGGAGGAAGTCACCAATGGAATACCCTACCAAAGAAAGTATGTTTGGTCCCATCATTAGCCACCTTTTAATCAACAACAACATGCCCCCTTTAATGTCTCTTTTGGTCGTTGCTTTTTTAAAAAAACTACTTCACTGGGTACTGTTCTCAAACTGGCTTATTTTTATTGTTTAGTCTAATTTTGTAATTATTTCAATTCATGCATCTGGACAGCGCATATTGTCTGGGTTATTTATTTTTAATACTCATCCATAGTAAGTGGCTGGGGTGTTGTTGCTGTTTTGGGGGGTAATTTTTGAGGAAGAATACTTTTAGTATATTTGTTTTGTTTTAATGGATTTTATTGCGTACTGCATGCTGTTCACATAAATAGCTTCACTTTGGGATTTCTTGTGTGAGAAGCAGTACATAAATTGAATTAATCTAATATTTTACAACATTATTTGTCATCTTGATAGAATGTTACTGCTTCATGAGAAAAATACAGTTCTCATACAAGCAAGTTCTTGGAATGGATTAATATACCGGTATCTAAATATTCATCAGATTCTTAATTGCCACAGTGCAACCTAAATGTGCATCTGCATCAGCTGCTTTCTGAGAATATATCCCAAGAGACTCAAGAAAAGTGAGTGTAGTCCATATCTTATGACATTCCTAATTACAGTTGCATATCATATTTTGTAGGAGGATCAGCACCATGCAAAACACATACTAATGTCTCCATAATTTTACAATGGATAAACAGGCATTAAAGAAACATTATTCTTGACAAGCTTGCTACATTTCTTTAAAAATGCTTACTCATGAGGTGATCCACTAAAGGCACACACTCCAATTTGCCACTATCTTATCAATTTTCAAGCACAATTCACAAGTGCTACAACCTGTCACTGTAATCAGCATGCTGCCTTGCCTCCTCCCAAGGATATCTACTTGCAAGAAGGCATCTCAAACCATATCAAGTGCAGGCTAGACATCTAACAAGTTTTCCTGTGCCTCTTCTTGGATCATATGAGCTGCAAACACCAAAAGACCATTTCCCAGAAGAAAGCTCACAGCAGTGAAGTACAAGCAGAAAAAAATAAACAGAAATAAAACCCAAAGGTTATGATGGTCTATGAACCAAATGAGACAAATAAGGTCATGAGGTATAAATAGGCAAAACTTATTTTATTTTGCACTTTCCAGAAACAATTGAAGGCATTTTGTTCTGATAGACTTTATGGCTTGGATAAATGTCAGCATTGTATGTTTTCTGTCTTATTTTAAATGCATTTGTTGGTTTTCTGTCATTAACTGTTATAAATTATTTTCAGTGTATATTGCCTTGATGGTTGTTTAAAAGGCAATTAATTAATCAATGATGTTAAAAAACAATAAGAGTAACAATAACAATACCTTAAGAGTCAGATTAGGTTTGTTTTTAAGTGTAGCAAGCTTAAAAACACAAATTAAGGGTTTAATATTTCATTACAATTGTGCATTCCACATATAATCAAACTGCTCAGTCAGGGCTTAACCTAAGCTAAGGATCATCAGGGCTCAGTTCTAGAAAATGATACTATATTTGCTTCAGTATGTTCTGCTACAGGATAGTTAACAAACACCTATTCTACATCCATACCCAGACAGATCAGACTTCCTGGCCTCTATCAGCAGCACACCAGGAGCACATAACACATAATTTGGCACTTGATGTCAATATTCAGCTATGAAACTAGAAGCAACCAATTTATCACCCTATTTCCTTTTATGAATTACATCCCATGTGTATTTTATTTATTCTGTACAAGAAAGTATACCAGCAAGCAGCCTCAACCGCTCCCTCTCCATTGCTGCTTATGCATACATATTCATAAACCCCTAACGATTTCTTTTTAATTGTATCCAAAACATCTTTGTTATAAGAAGAGCGCCAAGCAGTGATTTTGCTCCTAGCATTTCAATGTTTATTCCCTTGTCATCTGTTATCACGGAAACACCGCATCACCGAGTACGGTAATCGGTTGCTCAATAGAACACAACCGAGAGAAAAATGATTAGTAATCATAGCAGTAAGGGGTGGGTGGGAAGCAGCGTATTTTATTTTTTTTAAGCGATTGTCTCGAGCAGTGAAAGCAACACTTCGGGGATGCTACATAAAAAAATACGAAGTAGTGCAGAGACGCTTCCCGCAGCCACCTGCCTTGGCAGTTCCTTTCTCCCCACCTCCCACCTTGGCCCCGCACCCGCTTGAGAGGAAAAGCGACCCCCTCGCTTCCCCAGGACCGGGGAGGGGGAGTGGCAGCCCAGCGAAGCTCGACCCCCGCTTCGCCCCGGAGGAAGAGCGCCTGCTGCCACCACAACATGCCCGGCCTCCGTTTCTACAAGGCTAGAGGGGTTCTTTCCCCCGCTTCCAGGGGGGAAAAGAAAAAGCGGGGCGGGGCGGGGGCAAAAAGGGGAAAGCGAAGCAACCGGAAAAGGTTCGCGGTCTGCAGACAGTTCTGAGGGAGCGAGACAGACGGCTCGGCTCCCTCGACAGGCACTCTGCTGCAGTAGGTGGGTGGGAAAGCGGGCACCCGCGAAGGGAGAATAATAATGATAATGATAATGATAATAATAGGAGCCGAACCCGCGTCGCCCTCCCCGTGACAGACCGAGGAAGAGCCGTGTGGGTGTCGGCGCGGCTCAAGAAGCGTCCATCTTGTGCCGAGGGAGCCGCTTCCCTTCTCCCCTCGCCAGCCCCGCCAAGGTGGCTCCGGCTTCCTACGCACCGCGGGGACTTAGGCTTGTCTACACGGAGGCAGGAGAAAGCGGGAAGTGGTGTGAGGATTTGGGGGGGGGGAGGAGAGAGAGAGAAATATATACTGACGTCTCGCCTGCTCTCCTGCTCAGCTCAGCTTCCCTTACCGGCTCCTCCGCCACCTCCAGGGGCGCTTCTTCGTGCCGCTGCCTGAGGCGGCTGCCTCACTTCCTCTCTGGCAGGGCCACCGCTTCCGCATTGCACCGCCCCCCCTACACCCACACCGGAAGTAGTGCGGAGGTAGGGGAGGGGGAGCGGAGGGCAGCGCGAGCGCCGAAAGGGCGGGCGGGTTTCGTGCCAGCCGTTCGCCAAGGCGGCGGCGCGTCTTTGGCGCCTTACATAAGCGCCCCCTTTTCGCCCCTGAGGCCGCGGCTTGAGGGACGCTCTCTTGAGAGTAACCACTGAACTCAGTAGGGCTTACCTCCGAGTAGAAACGTCCCTCATTCAGCAGCGGGTTTTCACCCTCATCTCTTTCTGTTACCTGTCGTATGACAGGCTGCGGCGCTTGTGCCGAGCCTTGTTGTCCTGTTGACAGAAGGCACGACGAACGTTAAAATGACTAACCATCATCATAATAAAAGCACTCCTCCTCCCCGGTGCCTTTGCTGGGAGCAGGTTCTTACTCTTTAGTTAGGTTGGCTGCTGATGAATCACACCCACGGCCGGTTTTCAGACACACTCGGTCAAATACAAGGGGCAATTGCCTCGTTTCCCAAGGGGCCTTCCTGAATGGTACTAGACGTGTAAACATAGCATTTCAGACTACCCTTTGCAATGTGTTTGTTTTTTTTTTTGCTGTTGTTGAAATATTTACCTCCTGAGAATGTTTGATCTGGCTGTCAAGGCTATATTACTACTAGAATCCTAAATGCTAAGCCTTTTCTATTGCAGTGTTTTAAAGCGACACTGGACTGCTCAGCCAAAATTATTTTTTTGCTGTGACCCCTGAATACCGTAACTATTTGAGCTTAATAACCGTTAATAGTTGTAGACTACGGTCCGTTAGCGCCTTGCCTAGGAGTGGGCCCCACTGAACTCTTTCTTCACAGTAGACGTACATAGGGGTTAAAAAATATTTCAAGGTAAAATCCATTCCTACTGTTTTTGAAAGGCAGGCTACAAATGTTGCAAATAACTGTCTATCATTGCAGTCTAGCTTTTTTTTTTCTGCCTCCCCTTGCCTTCAACCTTCTTATTGCGAAAGGCTTTAGGAAAGTCTTGCTCTATTTTTGGATGACACAAGTTACTTAACACTGTGAAGGTTAGATACAGTGCCAGAATTAGATTTTCCCAGCTGTCTGTATGCAGTTCCCAGTTAAGCTAGACTGTTGATTATGTTTTCAGCAGTGTGCATACGCTTGCAGCAAATTTAATAAATATATAAATGTGCAGCAAGCATATGCACACTGCTGAAATTTGAAGCACTTTACTTCTTCCCCCACTGTTGCTATGCTGCTGGGTGTTGGGGGGGTAACCATGGTCTGGATTAATATTACATCCATCCAACAAGACTAGTAATCAACTACTTTGGGGGTTTTTTTTGGGGGGGGAAACGACATGATCCTAGATTTAGTGCACTGCTACACCAGATCACGACTTGTTTGTTGTTAGCAGGGTGGTGGAAGGTGTACCATTAAACCATAGTTTACTGTAACTGCAGTTTAAAAAGGCTGTAGTATTAATACTATTGTCTGAGAATTTGATGTTGGTTGGCCTTATAACTGAAAATAATCAATGAAATAAATTCATAAAATGATTCAGTGTTCAAAAAGCAGACTGTACATTTAATATTTTCTTTACATCACATGACAGGAGCATCATCAAGTACAATGATCCAAAGTTATTTAATATTTCAATTTCTACTTTTCTCAAGTATAATATACTACACTTGAAGATAAGCAGACTATCTACAACAGTGACAATATTCTTCAGAATTCAAACTAATCTCAGTAGTAGCAAGCCATGACTCAAAAATAAAAGGATTTATTCTTTAAATATGCAACATTTTGGAATAGTCAATATTGTGACCATAGGATATAAACAAATATGTGGACATGGGGGAGGGTTAATAATCTGAATTATTAAATTGTGAGAAAATATATTGCCAGTAAGAGTTAAAGGGATAAAAAAAATTATACAATGAAGTGTCTTGAGTTTTAATTGTGACCATAATATTACCTAAATGCAGCTGTGAAATTTCAGCTATTTTTGTCACCAGTACATACACTTCAAACAACACTGTTACAATTTTGGACACTTCTTTACTCTTACCCAGGTCATACTATATTCACATATTTATGACCAATTTTATTACCAAATTACTGAATATCTTACTTTGAAATAAACCATTATTTCAAACATATAACTATGGGAATATAAATATTTGCAGATCAGTTAAATGAATTTTACAGTGTAGAATTTCCTATTAACTAATGGGCAGTTTAGTGACTAGATGGCCACCATGTAGTATAAAAATTCTGTAAACAAGATGCAGTTTTCCTGGCTTCTTTTTCACTTTGAAGACATCAATACTCTTACAGATGCTGTATATAAGAATGCACTTTGTATTAAAAACAATCGTTTACAATATAAGAAAACTTTACATATGTACAAAATTACACCTCAGGAATGATTTTTAAAGCCCAGAATTAACAAAGTTTTATTTCCCTTCACTTAAATTTTTTAACTCTTTCACATTATGATCATTTGCAACTGTTGCAGCATGGTCCAGTGCTCGAATACTTGATAGAAGTTTTATTATCTGTTTTATATTCTCCCTAGGAAGAGAGGGAAGAACTTTAGTTAGTGCTTTTTGCAACTTACCATCTGTACTTTTCAGAAACAATTGAAGATACTGTTTTGACAAACTTTTCCACCTGGATTTTTATTTTTATTTTTTAAAAAAAATATTATAGCACCCAACTGTAAATAAAACCTCTAAGCAGTTTATGAAAAGGTCTCTGCCTTAGGTGTTCATTCTGTATTGTTTTTAATGTACCTTTAGGACATATTTTGGTACTGTTTACCTGTTTTATAGTTTATTTGTAAATCGTCTTAAAACATGTAAAAGGAGATTAATAAATAATCTGCAGTAAAACTCAACTGTCTGATATGCAAAGATGAGGTACTGAATAAACCAGGATGCTGTACTGGTACACACAAACAGTAGGAAGACTCTTATGTTTTGTGTATCAAGCTGTTTGTGATTTTTAAATTAAATATACTATACACATGCTAATTTTCATTACAATAATATTTGTTAAGATCCAAAAAGTCTCATGTACCAATCTAAAATACTCTCATACTTAAAAGGATTCTTCAGATTCCCCACCCCCCACCCCTGCAGTCATCCTAAACCAACCCCCTCAACTTAACAACAGTTTATGGGATGTATGGGGAAAGACTCCTGCAAAGCTTAGTTTATGGCTTTTTGAATCCTGATTATATTTTATAAAGCCATCTTGAAATTTGTGATAAAATTAACAAACGGTAAATAAATACCTAAAATAATACAATAAAAACAATCACTACTTTTTAAACTGAAACAGTGTTAAAGTTAGGTTACCTTGCATTTCTTTTTTCTACATCAGAGCTTCCAATGCTATTTCTGTATACTGTATCAGCAAGATGAACAAGATATCTACAGAGGTTTTCTAGATGTGATATTGTCTTACTTCCTTTAAGATTAGTGAACCACTGTTTAGGGAAACAACTGATTACCTATAGAATTGAGAAGAAAAGAGTGGCTTAGAGTATAAGGTTGAAGCAGCAATTACTGAGTCTGTTGTTTTTGACTTTGCTGTTTTTGTGTTTTAGTTGCTGGTTTGCTGAATTTCATCTGTGCTATAGGAATCTGCCTTTAAAGAGCTTACTCTGAAAGGCAATATATATGTGAACCTCTACCATTTTGGCTGGTTTCATTATCATGATTTTTATCATTGTTTATTATTATTCATAAAAGCACCTAATATGCATTCATATTGTACAAAAATATTAACAAGTCCTTGGCCAGATTCACGATTTAATTAAAATATTTCATATCACCTTTCAGCAACTGTCAATAAAAAACTTTGATATCCTTTGATATCAATTTATTTATTTTACCCAAAACATGGACAAACCCAAAGTCTTATGATTGTCAAGTGATCTCTGTGTAAGTGATAATATAAGAAAACATTAACATAAAAAAATTAGAAATAAAACCTGGCAGTTTCTGTGGCTGGCTGGTGTGGTAAGCTTTTTGCTGTACTATCCTTTCACTAAGTCAAGAAAGCAGGATATGTGGAGTTCTCTAATTTTTTTTGCAAAACAGTGCTATGTAAATATTTCAGAAAAGATAGTGACTTGGCTTAGGTCACTAAAGCAGGCTTCAGGGCTGAACCGAGATTTCAGTGTGGACTGTTGTTCACTTTTATACCCAACTTTCTAGCCATTACACAGCACAGCATCATAATACATTTGCAGTATACCGGCCTGGTTCACACATCATATGTAAACAAACTATGGTTTAATGCGATCAAATATTGTTCTAGTGCACATTGCTGTAAAGCTCCAGAAAAGCTCCTCCCTGCTTCTGCCATATCACAGCTGGTTTGTTGTGCTGTCTGAACTATGACTCAGGCAACTGGGAAAAACAAACCACAGGTGGTCAGCCAAGAACAAACCATGGGTAATGTTTATGCTTTATATGGATAAAAACAAACGATGAGTCTGGCTTCAGGTGACATGACAGAACGGATTTCGGCTTCTTTTGTTTGTGACACAGCAGCAACAAGACTGCATGAACTTTTGAGCAGTGTGTACTAGGATGCTGATCCTTCATGTTAAGTCACAGTTTACTTTAAATCATGATTTCATGTGAACATGCAAATCAGGTCACTTAAAAAGGATGCTTAGCAATATAAATGAACGATTAAAAGTTACACTTTTACTTACACTTTGAGCTTTCTTAATGCTATCATCTCCATACTCAGAATTCTGGAAAGCCATAAGAATGTATCTATTTAGCAATCCATCTATTGATAACTCTTGTAAGGTTTTGTTGGAAAGGATTCCATGCCACTGCAGAAAGTTTCCTAATAACTGAACACAGATAATAAAAAGTTGAATATAAAAAGCAGAACTATTAAAATATACATCTTTTACATATGCAGATAATTATCAATGAATGAAAACATTTCCATTTTAAATACGGAATTTAAATCTGAATTATATGAGCCATAAGTATCCATATTTTCTGCAAAGGGGTATGGTGTGTTATTAAAGAGGACTGCTAGCTCTCTTACTGGAGCAGGAATTTGTTCTAGCCTGAAGGGACAAATAACCAAACCTAACATTTCTGTAGTACAAATCAGTCAAAATTAAGCCTGGATACTACTGATTTCCATTAGAAAAAGTTACGCATTCTTCTTTTCTCAAGCGATATGTACTTTTATGGGAACCTATAAACCACAAAACATGAAATATTAAGTACTGCTGCCATCAGAAAAGTGGCCAAAATTCTCTATGTGGCAGCCACAATGACTGACCAGCTACAGAAATAAATTTGATTCCAGAGTGAGAATACATGCTATAATAATTCAGGACTTTGAATTAGGCCTGGAAACTAACTGGCAGCCACTGGAGTCGGGTCAGGATTGGTATTATATGCTCAACCCATCTTGCCCCAGTAAGCAACCTGGCCACTGAATTCTACACCAGCTGAAGTTTCTGAACCATCTTCAGAGGCAGCCCCATGTATAGCATTGCAGTAATCTAACATAGAGGTTATCAGAGCAGAGACGATTAGGCTATCCCTGCCAGATAGGGGCACAGCTGGGCCACCAACTGAAGTTGATGGAAGGCGAGACTTCCGGGGGAGGCGCCTCCGGTAATGGCAGAATTCCTCTGACCGGGAGGAATCTGCTCTGTGGAAATCTGGGTCTGGCCACCACGGCGAAGGCGGAGACCCGTTAAAATCACAGGCGGGAGAAGCCTGTGAACGTGGGATTCGGTGGGCACCTTTTGCGCCTCCCCCACTCACGGGGAACCCCGGTTTTCGGGGCTCCGGAGTGACATGGGGTGAGCGGCGCGGTACATCGAATCATCTGCTTCTTCCACGGAGCGAAGCCGCATAGCTGTTGCCGGAGAGCGCTGACCTTTTCCTGTGGACAATTTGACTTTAAAGTAATTACCCGTGAGTAGAGCTGAAATGGAAGAATTGGATTTCTAAAAGTTTAATTTGGTATCGTAACGGGGAGGTTCAAAACAGGAAGTCCGCCTTCCCTTTTTGTAAATAGACTGAGGCAATGAAGTTGCAAGCTGGAGTCTTGAAAGGTCTTTTGTAAAAGATCAAATTTCCAACGGTAAAGAACATTAAACCCCCTCTTGGAGGCAGGAGAAGAGAGGGGGAAGTTGCGGACTGAGTATGCCTGCGGGAGAGAGCGAAGAGGCTTAAAACACCGCCGCTCTGACCCTGGAAACGGGCTGCTAGTAAAACTGACGTTTTTTGGAATGTTCATTGACAGCGCTTAGAACGTTCATTGACAGCTAGCTAAATAAGAGAAATACATTGTTTCTACTGTTTCCGGCTGCTTTAAAAAGGAGTAAAAGTAACTGAAAATTGAAACTAATTTGAAACTAACTTTGGATTGTTTAAAAGAGGATACTATTGACTTTTACAAATAGAAACTGTTTCCCCCTAGTGGAAGCCTTTGAAACTGGTTGATTTACAAGAGTTGGACTAGGGGAATTTCCAGCTGCAAGTTAAAAACCGTGAGACTCTGGGACTGACCTTGAATCTTTCAAATGTTATGGTAAATGGAAGAGGAAAAACAGACCAGTCAACTGTTGATAAAACATTAAGGTCTGGGAGGACTTGGTAACAATCCAGGAGAGGTCTATTATTATGCCCTCCTGTTCTTTTTGTTGCTGTCTCTGTACTAGTATATTTGAAACTAAGAGGAATGTCGACAGAAGAGGCTTTGGTGGCAGCATTATATAAGATAAATGACTCATTGGATCAGCTTCACAGGAAAATGGACATGATAAATGCGAAGGTGGATGTTTCAATTGTTGAGGTTGACTTGAATGCAGGGAGTATGGACAATACCAATACAGAAACCACCCAGAAATTGATACAAGAACCTATTTTGATATGGCAAGCTGTGGAGGAAGTCAAGGAAAAAGCTGTTGCTGTTGAAGGTACAGAAACACAACTGGAGAGAAAGAGAAAGAGAGCCCCAGCCCTACAGAGGCAATTTGATGAACATAAGTTGACGTTCGCTATGACTGAATTTAAGGAAAAACAGACGAATTTGAGGATTAGAGTTCACCTTTGGTGGACATGCCCAAGGATTAAGACACTCTGGGAGATGATTCATAACGAAATGAAAAAGGTATTTAAATATACCCTTTTGAAGAAACCAGAGGCCTTTCTCCTGGGCATGGTCGGTCAATTGGTGTTAAAGAAGGATAGAATTTGTCTCATGTATGCAACAATAGCAGCAAGAATACTCATTGTGAAGTACTGGAAGACACAAGATTTATCTATCCGGGAAGAATGGCAGATGAAGTTGATGGACTATATGGAATTGACGGAAACGACTGGCAGAAATCTGAGACCAAGGAGAAGAGTCGGTGGAAGAAAACTGGAAAAAGTTTAAGACTATGTATAGAAATATTGTAAAAATAATGAATGTTAGAAAAATGTTGGAATGAAGTTATATGGCTTTAGTAGAAATGTTATAAGGAATTACCGTATTTTTCGCTCTATAAGATGCACCAGACCATAAGAGGCACCTAGTTTTGGGAGGAGGAAAACAAGAAAAAAAATATTCTGAATCTCAGAAGCCAGAACAAGAGGGATCGCTGCACAGCGAAAGCAGCGATCCCTCTTGCTGTTCTGGCTTCTGGGATAGCTGCGCAGCCTGCATTCACTCCATAAGACGCACACACGTTACCCCTTACTTTTTAGGAGGGAAAAAGTGAGTCTTATAGAGCAAAAAATACGGTAAGTATAAATAGAAATAGAGTATTAAAGGGAAAAATAAGATTAGAATATGTTAAGATAATTATAGGATAGAAAACAGAGGAAGATGGAAAGGAATTGCTGAAACAATTAATAGAAGTGGAATACAGAAAGGGAGGCGTGAGGAGGTCGTGGAAATAAGGGAATGAAAGTTAAGATAGTGAAATTGTTTTGTGTTTTAAATGGTTTGCGTCTTGTTTTGTTAATCTTATGTTTTTTCTCTTTTTTTCTTTGCTTTTTCGTTTTTTCTGTTTTATTGTGTTCAAATGTTTGGAAAATCAATAAATATTATTTTTTTAAAAAAATGAAGTTGATGGAAGGCATTCTGCACCACCAAGGCCACCTGAGCCTCAAACGACAGCAATAGATCCAGAAGTAAAGCTAAAAAAAAAGTAAGACCTAGAAGTACTCCCAAGCCCAAGTACCTGCTCTTTCAGAGGGAGTGTAACCCCATCAAGAGGACAGAACCTCCCATTCATCCAGTCTAAGGAATCACCCACTAAAAGTGCCTCAATCTTAGCCGGACTGAGCTTCATTTGATTGGCTTTCATCCAGTCCATTATTGAGGCAAGACAACAGTCCAGCACATCCACTCCCACACTTGCAGGTTTAAAGGAATAGAGCTGTCTGTGGTATTGCTGACAATGTACTCCAAAACTCCAGATGTCCCCACTCAGTGGTTTCATGTAGATGTTAAACAGCATGGGGAATAAAACTGAACCCCGAGGAACCCAACATGGAAGGCTCATGGGGCTGAAAAGCGCTCCTCAAGCATCACTCTCTGGAAACCATCATCCAAGTAGGACTGAAACCACCACAAAGCGGTGCCACCTACCCTCAACTCAGCCAGCCACTTCAGGATACCAGGGTCAATGGTATCAAAAACCACTGAGAGGTCAAGGAAAATTAACAAGGACACATTTCCCCTAACATAGGTAATCATACAGGACAAAGCAGTTTCTGTGCCAAAACTGGGCCTCAACCCTGATGAAAATGGATCTAGGAAATTTAGTAACAAACAGTTCCCTGGATTTTTATGCCTCATGAATTTCAAATTTCTTATTATAAACGGTTATTGATGTTTCAGATTCAGAACACTCAAAAATTTATTTCCTTTAACTGTATAAATAATTCATAGTTAAAAACTACATGTAACATTAGCACTTTCAAAAATGCACTTGTGCTACCACGTATATACAGTAACTTTAAATATACAACAGGGATGGAGTATGTGTGGCCCTCCAGATGTTGGACTTCAACTCCCATAAGCCCAAGTCAGCATGGTCAATGATCAGGGATGATGGAAGCTACAATAAGCATGGGGCGGGGGGGGGGGGGGATGACGACACCTTTTATGCCAAAGGGCTGCATTCTGTTACAGGTAACCTTGCAGGTGCTGTTTATCAGTAGTGGATGGGGACAGGTACAAAAGTGAGCAGCACAATGGGTGAGACTCTTACCTTTATACAGTAGGTCACAATCCACCCACACAAATGTCAGAACTTACACACACACACACACCCCACACACTCCTCTCCATCTTCCTTCCAGACAAGCAAGAGACATCATGACAGTTCAAGGACACATACTAGACCGGCAAAGGCACTTGCGGATGTGGCCTGTGGGAGGCTGTGTGGTCTAAGGAGTTTTGAGAGCACAGGCTTTAGAGAATAGTGCGTATGTGGTCTTCCATACACACAGCCTTTGGAATCCAACATATGCAACGAGACAGCCATGCACCATGATAATCTAAGACAAGTGTCCAAAACAGGACCCATGAGCACACATATGCCCTCCCCAAAGTTAGATTTAAAATAATTCTACTATACGCAGAACAGGTTGTGGTGTATACATGGTTGCAGGTGTGTGCGCTGCCCACAATTTTGCTGGTTTGAAATGTGCTCGGGGGCCCAAAAAGGTTGGTGACCCTGAGCTAAGGTCACAAATGCAGCAATGCTGGGTTTGGAGTCAGAATGCCTACTTTCTTCCACAAGCAAATTCACTTCACACTCAGAGTCAGTTACCAGTTATCAAAAGTAAACTTCAGTAGCGCTCCTAAGTCTAAAACTTCATCTGTTTGCTAGCTCACCTTCACTGAAGACCAAAACTGCCGCTGGAAAAACAAATAAGGACCAGAGTTCTTGTTTTCTAAGACACTGAAAAATAAAAGTTTTATTTAAACTTCAGTAGTATAGATGATGTGAACTGTTGATGTGATTTTGTCATAATACTAAAAGATTCTGCAAACCAATAATCTTACCTTTTGGGATAAAGTGGCATGAATACATCATCATCTAATGTTCTCCTCATTCTAAGCAAGAGACCTTTTAGTAATGTCTGAAAGAGTTAAAATTTAACGTAAGTGTGAAATATTTTTTAAATTTCTTTTTAGCACAAATCTAACCAAATATCCCAGTAGATACTAGTGCTAGAGAAGTCTGTCATGATACCAGATTATTTTTATCAACTTTATATTTTCCATTAATTTGAATTATGCAAGTTAGCAGAAATGGGAGACACTAAATTATGAAAAAAATGGGAGGCACTGAATTAGTGTATGCAAAACAGGGTCTTCAGGTGGTCCCTGAAGATCTTTTCTACAAGGACAGGATTTGTTTTCAGCATGTCCTAGAAACAAGTTCCATAAAAGTCACTAAAAACAGTGGTCTGGATGCAATTGACTGCGAGAGGATTTTGTTCATCTAATTGTGCTTCTCTGCCTCTTGCTGCAGCCTCCTGGAGACAACAGATTTTCAGTTAAAAGAGGGGATAAATAAGTTTTTAGTTTTCTTTAAAAGCAGACTCATCTATTCAAATCTGGAATATGACTGGCAATTTCTAAGCTACGTTTGATTAGGTGTTTCTGAAGAAGGAGTAGCAGATATTTTGGAAATGATCACAATTCAGAGAGTTTAACTTAGTGGGCAGCATTAAGCCATGGGCACAGTAGTGATATAAATATAACCTCTCCTGGTGTTATATGAAATATTCCATCAGGGACCTTTGTAAACTCTCTTAGGAGTTCTGCAACTCTCATTTGCAGTCTGCTATCTTCATCATTCCAATAAAGCAATGAACAGAGTAGTGATACAATGACTACTGCAATCAACACAAGATAATATTACCAAGGTAACTATCTGTAAACAAACAATAAACGTCCATGAAAATGGCAAAAGTAGTTTATTTCCAAAATAGGTTTTATCTTAAACAATTGCAAATGCAGTAAATGAAGAGTTCACTTTTAAAATGCCAGTGGTTCAGTGCTTGGACGTTGTTCTGATAATCCGGCATTTCAACACTAAAGAGCGTAGTCATTGAGCTTTGTAGTAAATAATACAGTAGCACCTCTGGTAACGTAAACTTCAGGTTGCAAAAGTGGCAAACCCGGAAGTGTTTCACAGAGCACACATGCGCAGAAGCTGTCTACTGCACTGCGCACATGCGCAGAAGCGGTCTACCATTTCTGTACATGCACAGAAGCGGTCTGCTGCCGCATGTGCAGAAGCGGTCCCTCCAGTTGCGGAAACCTTGGGATCCGACCGGAGCTCCGGAACGGATCCTGTCCGCAACCGGAGGTACCACTGTATACAAGAGTGTATACAGTAAGAGTGTATACAGAGTGTATTTAAGTAAACGACTTAAAGCAGGGGTATATCTGTCCCCATCTGCATGTTTCCATCGGGAGGAGCATAAAGAGAGGACGATGGACAGAAACTACTTTTGCCATTTTTATGGACATTTATTGTTTGTTTACAGATTTTCATCATTCCAGCAACACATATTACTGTGACACACCAATCCCTAAATAGTTACCAGTTACATAACACAAGGGAACTACAATTATTTCTATTTTAAAATTAATTTAACATGAGCAAATGTCTTAACAGTAGCAACCAGACATAGCAGTCCAGTCCTACAAAAAGATAAAAGAATATTTTTTACCTGTGTGTTTTTGTTTTCTGCATGTACCACTGATGGATAACCATTTACTAGTTTCTGGGTAATGGCTACCATCCTAGATGTCTGTGTTGTAGAAAAAGGGTCCCATACATTTTCAGCAAGTACTAACAACAACAAAAAAGAATTATTACTTCTCAGAACTAAGTGTTAAGATGATGTTGCTAAAAAATTAGAAACTGTTGTGCTTTTAAAATGACTGTATGTTTATAAAGTACCTGTTAATTTAGGCAGAACCACTCTTTCCACAATAGTAGGCAATAGTGAAACATCAGCATCATCTTTCTCTTGGTCATATTCTTCACATCCATAAAATAGCAAAGATTCAAACCACAGCATACTCTCAAAGTCTTGGCACTTATCCTATTAAAATAAAACATTGCCACTATAAATATGGTTTTTAAAACAAAATACTAATCAAGTGTGAACACTCTATCAATATGTTAGTACAAACATTTAGGCTAGGTGCCTCCTTTTCAGAATGTCCTTGTAGTGCCAGGAGCACATCATATTTTCTGAGGCTGCACTGGCACTGATGTCAGCATGTTTTTTTCAGTCACCTATTTGCAAACTACTGCGTCAAGGCTGATCAAGTTGTAGAAGCCACTGTTCTGCACTGCAATGCCATCAATATAGTGTCGCAGCAGGCTGACAAAGCAGCTAGTTTCTGTAGTTCAGGCCCACCATTTGGACATTTATGACCCAAGGTGGCTTCCAACACATATAAAAACATAATAAAACATTAAACTTTAAAAACTGCTGATACAGGGCTGCATTCAGATGTTTTCTAAAAGTTGTATAGTTATTTAACTTCTTGATATCTAACAGGAGGCCGTTCCACAGGGATGGCCCCACTGCCGAGAAGACCCTCTGTCTGGCTCCTTGTAACTCCTCGCAGTAAGGCCCTCAGATCCCAGGCTTCTAATCACTTCTATGTAACCATTTTACCTTAACAAACAGAACACAGTGAGCATGTTTCAACATTCTCTCACCTCCAAAGGGTTCCAGGTAAGTAACTGAAGTCTTATTAAAGGATTTAATAGCTTAGGTAAACAAAGGCCAATATAAGCATCATTGTAAGAAGACGAATACTTGAAACGCCATGCTTCAAACTGCGACTTAATGGCGTCAATGGATGAAAAGTTTTCTACCACATCTTCAAAAACTTTGCTGGACTCCTTCAAAATGCGATCTAGGATAACAGTATTTTAAACAGCATAAATTAATCTCCTGCTTTATATCTGCAATGCAGTTTCAGGCAAACTTTCAAGCAAATATACTAGAAAGAAATTGTTAATATCTATACCGCTTTGGTCAGATACAGAGCTGAATGTGCACAAAGAGCCAACCTTCTTACCCTTCCTTCCTCATAGCAGTCTCCTATGTCCTCTGCAAATACTCTCACTGAGGGGCTTGGGACCCTGCTAAATGGTGGTGGATTATGGTGGTGGCTGAGTGGAAATGGGGAGGTAGCCTTTTCCTAATTTCTAGGGCTCCCTCCCTTTCCCCCTTTTTCAACAGGATCTAGACCCTTAGCAGAGGGTGCTGGAGCAGGGAACTACCAGGGGAGGAAGGGACAAAGTCAGCTTCTGCCATCCCTGTGACACAGTTCACTCTGAATCTAGCCCTTTCTATTGTTTGTATTCTGCCTTTTTATAGCAATGGCATAACAAAGTTATTTTTTCGAAAGAAGTTGGTTTTACAACTACTGTACAGTGTTTACCTCAATGTATGAAAGTACATGACTTAATTCGAAAGTGTGCCCGTGGTGATAATCACTTGAAAGCACAGCATCATGGAAGTAGTTCCATGCGGCAAAAAACCCCTGTGAATAGTTCCACTTCAAAGGAAATACATGTAATTATGAAACTTACACCCTGTCTTTTGTCTGTAACACATCCTGAAGGAGGCTTACAATGAAATTCCTGATCCTGACTATTCAGAGAAAAGCAGCAGTCAAAAGAGAATAAAGAGGAACATGGTATGAGCCAAGAAGCCTGACTTCTGCAAAGTGAGTGTGTGTGTTTTACAGCAGGAGGTTCTCCTTGCTAGTAAGATAAGGGTTAGACTAGGGCTGGAATTCCTTCTCCAGCTGCCTGAAATGAATGGCTGATGATGGCAGGGAGCAGCATTGGCCTCTGTCATTCTACAGATGAGGTAATAATTCCACATTTAAAGCTGCTTAGAGCATGGTTTAAAGTGTCATACAATCTAATCAAATGAAATTTTCTCTACAGAATACTGGGATTTAGATATTACTTTGACTTCTGACATTAAGATAAATAATCTGACCTCGTTCCATATTGAAGTTTGTAGTATCTGTTGAAGTTTCTTCGTCATCACTAGAAAGGCCTTCAAGGTGATCAGCCATCTTCCCAGATTGCTCTCTGGCAAGTCTACGACGAGCCCTATTAAAATGAACAGAACACCATGTTGCACTGAAGTTAGAAAACCAAGCTTTTCCCAAACAAAGGGTACTTGTTATTTTAAGGAGGGATGCATCTTTCCTGCTCTCCCTTATTTCAAGAGGAAATGAAGCAGAGTTGGAGCCATCTGACATGTTACAGGACATGTGTTATTCGATGACTACTACCTCAGCCCTGAATATTTTGCTACTTTCCCCTTCGCCTTAGTTTGGGATTTGTCATATATCTAGCAGTCAGCCTCTACCTCCACTGTGCCACACTATGTAAGACTCAAGAAATGTTATACCTGCAAGGCGAGTGGCCCATCATTTATCTGCAAGCACTTGAATATGCAGGCTGTATACTACATAGAGACAGCAATCATACAGAACATGCATTCCAGTAAATATAGATGTAACCTAAATACTGTTGTACCTTCTTGCTTCTCTTTCTGCAGTCCGCCTTTTAACATGTTCTTGGTACAGTGTTCTGTCTCGTCCAAAAGAATCAAGGTTTGGTGCCATCAGTGCTTTACCTGTGAGAGTACAAACACTGAAATTAGAACACCCACCCTCCAGTTACAGGAAGCACAATAATGACAGTGTTTTTAGCGGGGATTTTTCTCAGTGGGTCCCTATAAATCTGAAATACATCTATAAGTTTGTCAATTATACCCCCCCACACCGCACAGATAAAGTGGTGGTGGCTGAATTATCTTCTGAAGCGATTACCAATTGGGTAAAATATTTGAGTGCCTTCATCATTATGTGCAAAAAAAAGAGTCACAATTAACTTATCACTCAGAACTCTTCAGTAACAGTAAACACTTAAAAAAATTACAACATAAAAAAACTGTTTGTATTGTTTAAAAAAACATTAGTGTTCAACATTTATATGGAGTCAGACCATTGTTCTATCTAACTCAATATTGTATGTAGTGACTGGCAGCAGCTATCCAGGGATTCAAGCAGGGGACATTTTTAGTTCTCCCTAGAGATGCCAGTGATGGAACCTGGGACTTCTGCATGCAAAGTAGATGCTCTGTCACTGAGCTACAGTCCTTCCCCTCTCCATACAAAAAATAAAGAAAAATAGTCCTTTAGTACATCTAAAACAGTTCAAATTTCTATTCTTGGTGAACAATACTGAAGAGTATCAGGAACTGACAAGATTTTCAGTTGGTATTAAGACAATTAGTACTGTTGTAGGCTACAATCTGATATCTGATTGTTGTCATATACTGAACATTTGAAAACAAAAACTAGAGAATTTTTGAATGAATTTTCCTATTATCTACCAGCTTGGTATCAAAGAGGGAATAAGATTTCACTATAAGTACTCACTTTTGCATAATTTATTTTACAAATTTGTCCTAGCAAAATTGTCTAATACATATAAGACAGGAATGTTAGCACAAGTATTATTTGGTCTAATGTTAGAAGTAATGAAGGCATGCATGGCAAACTGTACCTAGATTGTGTTGGGTGGGTGGGGGGCTTTTTGTAAGCTGCAGAAATAAATATTATTCAAAAGCTAAACTTTGATAAGAATCGCCTACATGTTTTTTTAGGTTTAGAGAACATTCTAAAAAATACTTTCAGGAAGTGAGGAAAAGACAACATACAGTTACACACACATCTAACGTGTAAAAAGGGATCGAAGCAAGATGCTATAGCTTTCAATCACTGAGACAGAGAACAAGAAAGGCACTGTATAGAGTCTGAGCTAAGATTCTTTAATCTGATTTTTTTTCTACCAGATTTAAACCAGACATGCTTTCTGGTTTCACTTTAAATTAAAACTGCACTATGTAAGCAAGGTTGTTTAATGAATAATAAAAACCTTCAAGATGGACTGACTTGAATGGCTTGAAAACTCCGAAGATTCATCTTTAATATCATCTTGTCGTCTTTGGACAAGGCGGGAAGCTCGCTGTTTGTACAGCTGATGCATTGCTGATTCAAGTTCGTTAATCAGGAGCACCTGTAAAAATATAATACTCCGTAATAAAAAAGTCTTCAAGTTTTAACTGTATGGGATGCCACCCTATTCCAAGATATACAGCTACACATTTAGCTGCATCGCTTTCTTTTTACTGTTTTAACAACTGACTGCTATTTAACTCAAGAAAAGTGCATAGAAAAGAATGACAACAAGCTACCTCACGGAAAGCATAAGAACAAGCCTGCAAAGAAGTCCACAAAAGTTACTAGTCTGTAAGAACATTTACAAGGTTACCCTACAATATATATTCAATAGAAAATTATTTCACTTGGGAGTAGGCCAAAAGAAAAAAGGGAAACTCAAAGCTTCTTTACTTGATCACTTGAGGGCAATTTGGACTTGCCATAGACTATTAGACATGTGTTTACTTATAAGCCAAAGAACAAATATACAGTGCTGAATCAAGAGTTAAGCACAAGAATTACCAAGTTAACTTCCCCATTCCCTCCTCCCCATGTCAGCCCTTAAGCACCCCAAAATGCTCCACATAGTGTTGGGCAACTCTGCTGAATGGGGTGGGCTATAGTGCAGAAACTAGGGAAACCCCCCAAACCTGACAGAAGCAACTTCTTTTGTATTTTAAAAATATTTTATACCGTTTTACGAATTATTTTAAATTGTTGTAAGCAGTTCACAGTAATATACAGTCACTAAATAAGATTGGATTAATAATTATGTAAAAAAGAAGGTGCCTTCACCTGATTTTAAGGCATTCCCCACCTTCCCCTTCAGCATAACTCCTAGTCACCTGGATTTGCAGGAATACTGCACAGGCTAAAACGTGCATTCAGAAAATCACTACACATAGCTCCCCATTTGAAGCAAGCAATCACTGTGGAGTTGGGTTTCAAGCTGCTATGGCCCACCTGCTTGTTCATCTGAATCTATCCTTAATTAATTCTTTCCTCTACTAGTAGTCCAAGTAATTCCAAATTTGTTTTAACTGTTACTTAATAAAAACTGTTCTAGCAGGGACTTTGCAATGACCTCAGTATTTCATGAGATCACTTGATGAAATATTAATGCACAATAAAAAAAACTTTCTTTACAAATTGAGAAAGAAAAGACAGAACATTTCAAGGAAAAAGTGAATTTGCATACAGGAAATATCGCTCTTGGAGGTGATATAATGAAAAAAATATTAAATATTGGACAGAAAGCACAACTTCTTCTTTTTAGTCAACATTTTCTTAAAAAATAAAGGGCAATTTTTAAAAATCAGTCTTGTAACCCAATGACTGAATGTATTTTCAATAAAGTTTATTAAGGAACTGGAAAGATTTACTTACATTCACAAAAGTCCAAAAGCAGTTACAAACATGAGCGTTCATGCTAGACACAAGGTTGTTGTTTTTTAACCTATTTTAGTTATTTTACTCTTGACATTTTTCCACCAGCAACTGAGGCTGAGTGCCTGCAAGCACTACCACATCTACACAATGCATCCTGCCATGAACTTCACAATTTCTCCATGAGTAAAGCAGAATCCTCCTCAAAAATTCAAGTCTATTCAAGCTTTGATATTCTTTACCAAAATATTCAATTCAACTTTGCCAACTCAGGGGAAGAAGGAAAGAGGCAGAAGCAAACATGAGACAAGTGCATAGCCAAAGAAGACTGTTGTTTCACAAGCAGGAGCATCCTATGTGAACAAGCAGGGCAAAGCTATCTTGCTCTGCCTCACATGCTCATCACAATCCATTATACACAACCACACTAGTGTAAAGTGAATAGGACTCTTCTTGCATTAGTTAAGAATTCATTACTAAAATGAAGCAAAGCCCACAAATATTCAGAGTGCTAGCTACAACAAGTTCATAGTGCAATTTTCAGCTACGTTTAACGAGTTTCCTACCCACCCTACTGAGATCTGAAAACTAGGTTACTGCGACACATTTTCTGCTTCACTAGTCTTTCCTTGTCTGTCTTCCTATTTAGTGTAAAGAATCTAAGTTTTAGACAAAAGTTTTTTCATCCATACTGAAGAGTCGTTCCAAACCCATAATCATACAGTCTATGCTCATAATTTTACTAGCAGAAATCTGGATTCAGATCACCATACTGGAGAAATGGAGTAACCTGATCAAGACCTACTGATGCATTCTTTGAAATCATTTTGCTCATTTGCAACAGAATCCCAAGCACGTTTACTCAGACATAAGTCCCATTGTATTCAATGAGATTTACTACCTAGTGCCCAAGTTTACCATTGCAGGCTTAATTTATATTTTAACTGTTATACTTCTGCACTTGAATAGAACTACTAGTTTTCAAAAATACAGGATTGAATCCTACTTTCTATTCACAGGATAGGATATTCCAACCTTCCATTTCCTTCTACATCCCATGAAAGTCTCCTTATAAGACTGGGGGAACCTCTGGGACAGTATGGCTTATGATGCTGAGTGTTGAAGTAGGGAGGATGGAAATCCTGAAAAACCAGGGGCTGACCAGGGGCATGAGCCTTTGATTTTCACAACTATACCTTTAGATCCAAGCCTAAGCAACTAACTACATTTTTTAAAAAAACTTTCCAGGGAGATACAGGGAAATGCAAGGGTAAGGGAAAGACTGGCTGATTGTTGTATACTGCATATCAAATATCCGATTCGCCTCCCTCTTGGTGTCCAAACCTACTGCTTCATGATTTAACTGAAGGTTTACTGGCTCAATTAGTGGGACCAATCTGTTACAGGAATACAGAATAAAAATGGAAATAAAACTTCTAATAAGCATTAAAATAAGTTATCTGAAGTTTACACTTCCACCAACAACTCCAAAACCATTGCAGCTTACATTTCTACCAAAATCTAAAAACAAAACAAAACATTCTGAGACTTTGATACTTGTTTATTTAAATGGATTGCTTTCTCCTGCTCTGGGGGCTAGGGCCCTATTCAAGTTACAAGACAGCAGATTATGACTGAACATCAATATCTTAATAAAAGTAAGAGCTGTTTGACTATGGAACCAACTCCATAGTCATAGTTAAGCAGAGGTTGAATGGCCATCTGTTTTCCTGATTATAATGAACTTGCTTATGTTGTAACTGCACAATATTTTCCAAGCCTTGGATTTTCTTCTGGTACTTTACCTTCAGATTACTGAGTTTCCAAATTATTTGCACCAGGAGGTTTATTATTTACAGATTAACACAGATACTGAACTTATTTTTTTATATGGTGCCACCAATGTCCATGGCACGTTACAGTGCACAAGTGGTCTCGTCCCTTACTAGATAGCTTACAATATGACATAATCAATAGCAAATTATCTCCACAGGAAAGTTTAAAAGAAATCTAATTCATTTATGTTTAGTTTTTTAAAGATGAAACAGTAGAAACAGGAAATTCATCCTAAACTTGGTGCAAACTGATGCCAAGTTAATCAGTCCTATGGAATTCCAGGAGGCTTACTCCAGGTTGAATGTGCATGGGATTGAAGCTCAATCCCAACAATTTTTTAAAATGTATTTTTTAAATACATCCTTCCAGTTCTAGGAAAGGCAAGTTGCAGTACAGATTAGTAAAGAACTGCCTGAAATCCAATTTAAAAGTACAACACTTTGTAACGAAAGGGTACCTGGCACTTGACACTTATCAGCAAGATAAACTGCTTTTTTCAAACCTTGCTTTAAAAACAGTATATTCTTCCTATGAAACTGGCCTGGGTTTCCAATATGCCATGGGGAAACCTGGGCTTTAAGTGTCCTTCCTTAACCAAACCTGGCTGCGAAGAAACTGGTCTGTAGAATCCTTATGTAGGTCTCAAGTGTTGTTGGGTTCTTATGCTGGGAACCGGGAAATGCAAATTAAACAACCAGAATCTGAGTCATCATTGAGAACTACAATGGTTTTCAGAAATAAAATGCTTCTAAGAATGAGAAAGGTGGCATCACAACCTGAATGCCAACGCTGTTGTATTCCAACAATGACTTACATTGTTTTCACCACATTTAAAACCAAACCTTCAAACATGTGCCGAGTGTTTCATTGGCATGTACAAGAGAACTGAGCACATACTAAACTTCGTTACTGAAAAAGATGAATATATTTTGCATTCTTACCTTTTCATTGAAACACTCAAGCAAGTCTTGGACATACCCTCGCATTTCTTGCAGAAATTTATACCGTTCACCAACACCCCCAGAAGACCCTTCCAATCTTTCGATTGCCTTGGTAGACTCATCACGTCTTTGCAGATGCTTCTCATGTTGCTGCTGATTTGCTTTGTGAAATTCTCTCATTGAGTCCAACCTAAATGTCAATGGATGCACGTTTACATCCCAAAGCATACTGTAACCTACAGTATACATGCAATATTTTTCTTATAGTAAAGAAAACTACAAGAAACAACATTTAAAGCTGTATTGACAGCTTTAAAGAGATGAGGAAACTGTGGCCTTCTAGGTGTTATTGGTCATCTCTACTGACCTCTGCCCATACACAGGCTGGTGGTCCAAGGAGGTCAGTTTCTCCATCCTCACACTACCCCACCCCAGAAATCTGTGCTTTTCCAACCCTCCCCAACATTCATAAACCCAAAGCTTTCCACCTAGTAGGAGAGTGCATTACATCTTTCTCTACTCCAAAAGCACCCTGCACACTCACTACATATGCTACTTTTATTTCTTCTTCCAGCTAATGCATAGTATACCCAGGGATCCTTGGTGTACCCTCTACCAACCACACACAAAAGTGGCTGTTTCTTTAGTCAGTTTTACCTCATTTCTGAATTGTGTTTGAATCCTATGTACATATTATGTACATAAAGCACCCCGGTTTATATGGCTCCTTATGCTATATACAGGGTATTTATTATATAACCACATTTCCCTCTGCATACTCAGTATCCTGAATCCCAGTTGCTCTCAACAGAAATGGGAAGCGCACAACAATTTCTCTGACCTTAACATTAAGAACTTGCTAACTCAAATACTTAACCTTAGATTAAAGGTGTCATTATTTATCTATTAATCTGACTCACCTTCAAGCCATTACGATACATGCTTATAGTAAGAAGCACATGCAACTGCTCAGTTAATCCACGTTATTTCCAATTTTCAGTAAATGTTACAGCATTTAAAACTTCTAAAAACGTAATGTTAAGCCTTTGTCTAAAATGTCTACCTATTCAGAAAAGAATGATTTATACTTCCCATAAAAATATAATGTGGTAAGCTAAGTATTACTGTTCTTTCAATCCCTTGGCTACAAAATTAGTTTTCAGTGTCCATTCTTTTCATGTACCAATCTTCAACATGATCAAATGGTCATTTCCAGAGAAGTAATCCAAGCAGCCTTTTGAACAGTTTGTTTTCTTCCTTTTTTAATGAGGATGTATGGGCTTCCATTGATGAAATTCTGCATCTGCCCCCCAGACTGAACCTAGAGGACAGGTCTTAAATTTTAAGAAGTTGGTGTGCCCTACCTGTCTTTAAGCTGTTTCTTTACCAAATCAATAGTAACAGGAGTCATCTCATTACTGGGAGTTTTGAAAGGTACTGTATTATCTGTTTTGTGAGATTTTGTCTCCGATGATCCATAAGCAGCATATGTGTAAGGAATGCCGTAAGATGAACCATAAGGCATTGTATGGTAAGTATTCTGGTAGTACAGGTTATTCACTTCAGCAGGTTGACTTGCTTGAACCTATAGGAACAAAATATGTGTAAACCTTATTACAAAAGCAAGGTCACAAAGCTAATTCAGTCCAACAGGCAATTTTTAGAAATTATATCTTAAATTCTACCTGTCCATGTATATGTTTCATTTGCACACAAGTGCTTATCAAGGAAAGAAACACCTCAAAACATTCATTACTCAATGATAAAACAGGGAAGATTTGCTTGGATAATTCATCCTTTCAGCTATGCTTACATTTCTGGTATGCAAATTGTTTTACTGAAGGGGCACTTTTATGATGGGAGGAGGAGAATGGAGGTCCCTTCTTCTATTCTTTAAAGTGCACTGCCAACCAGTCCTATTGCCACAACTGTCAGATCCTCTATTTACCTCTCACCTCTCAGTTGTGGTCCTGACCTGTTTAAGGCTTTATAGGTCAAAACTAGCACTCTGAATTGGACCTGGAAACTAATTTGCATCCAGATTAGGATTGGTATTATATGGACAAACTGTTTTGCCCAGGTGAGCAACCTGGCCGCAAAATTCTGCACCATTTGAAGTCTCCAAACCTTCTTCTGAAGCAGTGCCATGTATAACACACTCCAGTAATATAACCTAGATGTTAGATTAGATCTAACCCATGTTTCATCAAACCCTGGTCATGTACCAGTAGGCCTGTTCAAGTAGTAAAGAATAATGGGTCAGGACAAGGTCAGCCCCAGAACTTAGCTGTCAAATCTCTATGTCACAGGTATCTACACCTCTTTTCTCCCCTCTAGCACTGGCAGTTGGGGGTAAGATGACAAATCAGGAGCTTTATTTAGCCAAAGGGTCAACATTTGCTACTACAATTTTAGAATTGCTTTAATACATGCCTGAGGTATATTAATGCCTTTACGTATCTGTTCTTGCTCCCATCGACTGAGTTCTTCATCCTGTTCCCCAGCAATCAGGGCTTCGTCATCACTTCCTTCGATACCTGAGCACAAAAACATAACAATCAGTAGGAATAGCACACACTAAATAATGGCATATTGAATACTGTATTTGAGTTTTCTAAAGCTTCCATGCCTTTAATGAAAAAAGCAAACATGTAGCCCTGTTTCTGAGGGAATCTCAATATGGGGGCATGTGCCCCTACTTCATATTCTGTTGAGTGAACTGCGGTGTACCTAAGTATGTTTGAGGAAAGAAGATTTTTGCAAATTCCTGTACAAAATACAGTGGTGCCTCGCAAGACGAAATTAATCCGTTCCGCGAGAGTCTTCGTCTAGCGGTTTTTCGTCTTGCGAAGCAACCCTATTAGCGGCTTAACGGATTAGCGCTATTAGCGGTTTAGCGGCTATTAAAGGCTTAAAGGCTTATGGGATTAGCTGCTAAAAGGCTATTAAAGGCTATTAAAGGCTTAGCAGATTAGATAAAGGGGGGGGGAAAGCGAAAAAAAAATCTCTAGACTCGCAAGACATTTTCGTCTTGCGAAGCAAGCCCATAGGGAAATTCGTCCTGCGAAGCAACTCAAAAACGGAAAACCCTTTCGTCTAGCGGGTTTTCCGTCTTGCGAGGCATTCGTCTTGCGGGGCACCACTGTAACCGGCTCTGCACCCTGTGCACTAATGAGAAGACTGGAACTCAGCTATCAGCCAGATTTTGCACTTCTCTTAAAGTTGTGGCAGAGTTCACAGTAGTTTAAACTTATCAAAATATGAATGAAAATACATGTTTTTGTATTTCTTAAAATCACAGATTAATGCAGAAGAACAACAAAATTGTGGATAAACACTTGCAACAGTGACATATATCAGAAACAGGTATTTTGTCATTTTTAGTTGTACTATGATTGACCACAGGCTCCTCCTCATTCTCATTCATACTCCGATATGCAGCTACAATGACCGAAAGTACACTGTATAACTGGAAAGGCACTTCCATTTGTGCATGATGATTTCCCCAAATCCATCTCCACTCCTGATGCATTCCCCATGCCATATGCTAGACAATACCTGAGCCTCAGCAATGTTTTTGGAGGTTGCAGGGAGCTTCAGCAAGGAGGCAGAGGGAAAGCCTAACTGTGCAACTGGATTTTCATTCAAGCTTTAGATCCAAGCCAAACTGTTTACTATAACTACCAATGAATTTATAACATGCAACCTCACTATTACATTATACTATTAAGCCACTGAAAATACAGTTTTTGAAAACAATTTACGCCAAACACTTTTAATAGCAACAGCAGAGCATTTGGAACTTATTGCAACTTTTCATCATTTTACCTATTTCCTCTGCAATTTTTTGCCTTTGGGACTTCTCTTTCACAGAAAAGACTATTCTTCGCTTCTCGTCATCATCTTCATCGTCACTGGCATCATTTTCATCTTCTCTAACAAGGCGCCCTTTCCCTGGATCACTGTCAAGTGGCAAAAAGTCCCCAAGCTCACGAGCCATTTGGCGCTTTTTCCTAGCAGCATGAATAAAAGCAGCATCTGGAATTTCTCCTAGAAAAAAAATGAATGTGCTTTTAAAAAGCCATCAGTTATATTCAATCGTGTGTTCACATGCTACAGTTCCACCTGCGTTCCAACTGGCTGCAACAGAGGCACAGGCAAGACATCATGACCTACTCCCTCAACCAGGCTGGGATAATCTGCTATCCAGCTCTCCTCCAAATATTTCTTCCCTGCAGCCATCCCACCTGGCTTTATTGAAGAGAGAGTTGATGCAGCAAGGCTTGCTGCAGCAGTACTTTCAACTCCGTGGTTATGTAGAAGTATAACAATATCTGAATATTGTACGAGTAGCCACATTGCTGAGATTAGTGCTTTATCAGATAAAGACAAAATAAGAAAAAGAAAATGTAAAGCTTTCAACATGCTTAGACAGAACAAGATCTCCAAGAAAAGGCACATCACATCCACCACAGGCTGCTAATTTCCTGTGATCGGAAGAAAATGCAATTAAGTAGAATCTGAAGTAGTAAATAAGACCAACAGAATCAAATTTACTAAGCCAGAATTAGTTCTAAATAATTCATGAAACAGAAGTCGACAAGAAAAATTTGTCAAAGAAGATTAAGATGGACTATGACTTTTAAATAGATATTCAAAGATGGAAGCCGATCAATTACATAAACTAAATCAAATCTAAATATTCTGTTAAGGTATTAATAAAAAGTGATCTAATTAAGATAATGAATTGGTTTCCCTTTCCCCTAATTTCAACTTAAAAGGCCAGCTAAAAATACCTGGTCTCTGAAGTAGAAAGGAGCAACAGCTCCAAAAAGCCCCCCATGCTGTGAAGATAACGGAACTGGAACTGTGATGGGGTGTCATCCAACTACACTGATTGACACAGCCCTGCCTATGGAATGAGAAAGGCAAAGAATTCATCTCAGGATAGCCTCCTCCTGAGAAAAAATACACTAACCTGGACGCAGAACATTCAGAGAAGACAAAGTACTTGAAAATGCTCCTACAGCTTTTGGCTTTTCTTCTTCTTTCTCACTTTCAACTTCCATCTCCTCTTCTCCTTGTTCACTGTTTGCAGCCCCATCTTCTTGAATTGCATCTTTAATCTGTCCTGTCTTGTCAGCAGACTGTTCAGCTGCAAAAAAAAAAGTGTGCTCTTGAAGTATTGTTTTGGAAAAATTATTTTAACTGTTTTTTTAGAAACTCACATGATATACACCTGAGATAATAGCCCTGTGCAGTTCACAGATGTGACCAAAACTAATGAATTTTGGAACTAGAAAGTACAGTGAAATAATTGACAAATATGAAATATTAATTTGATTTCAACTGTTCCTTAAAAGGTTGGGGAAAGCACGTGTAGGAAAAGCTGAACTAAAACGTGAAGCTTAATAAGAAACGTTATTTAGGTTATTAACATACCTTAAATTAGGTTAAGAACTCTGCATCTTAGAGCTGATGAAATTTTGATTAATCTGAACCGTACTTTATTTGAACATCTACATATTTAATTGGTACTTGGTACTCTGGTTGCTTATTGCCAGTGCTTTTTTTCTAAAAAAATGTTTAGGGGTACTCTCATTTTCCTACTCATATTGAAATACTGTCCCTCAATGAGGCCAAACTTAGATTCACAAAATGTTTAGGGGTATGCATACCCGTGTCCCCCCAGAAAAAAAGCACTGCTTATTGATCCTATATTATTTGAAACTTAAATTTAGTTCCTACCATTATCAACTACCCCTGTACTTTTTATTCATTTTTAAAGTTAGTTCTCTGTTGAAATCCCTTCCCAGGAAACTTTGCCTAGCACCAACACTGATTTCTTTTCAGCACCAAGAAACAACTGTTTTATTTTCCCTAGCTTTTAAAGTATTTTAGGCATTAGACAATATTGTTCAACTACTCTGTTTTCATCCATCAGTTGTTTTTACTATGTAGTTTACTATAGCTACATATTTTCACTTTGTAAACCACACTCAACTAGTTGAAAGCTGGCATATAAATATTTAAGCATAACATTTCCTTTTCAGCTATAATTTCAAGATAAAGATTACCATCGGCTAAAGAATTGGTTTCTGGTTTTGTCTTCGATTTTTCAAGGTCTTCTTTGTATTCTTTCTTAAGAAGCTTTACTATCTTCTTGCTATAACTTGATTTCTTCACTTTAAAAACTTCTTCTGCTTCTTTAGGAGAAAAAAATAAGCATAAATGAGAGAAATTACAAATCGGCAAAACAGTGACTGTCTCTTCAGCTATATAAAAGGTGTTATATAGTGCATTAAAATATATTAAATCCATCATTTTAACTTGACTAAATCAACAAACCCAGTTTGTTTTTCACAACAGCTAATCCTTACAATGGGAAAACCCAACCCACAGCTCCTGTGCTATCCCAATACCACAAGTCCTAATTTGTTGCAAGAATGAATTCCAAGAGGTCCAATAGCAAAACAATACCCATAGCACCTGAGGTGCAATATATATATATACACTTTTAATGTAATTCTTTTAAACTCTTTGTTGGATGCTCTTCTTAAAGGCTACATGCTCATAATTAAAAGGCACTTTTAATAACTAAATTTTATTATTTACAATTCTTCATAAAGAATCTTAAACCAAATCATAGAAAACAGAACACCAGAATACAAAATAGGTAAATATAATTTTAAGTTCCAAAATTGGACACCTGCAGATTAATAAGCCGTTTTGTTCACTACATGTAAGGGTAGGGTGTATTGACATGTCCTAGAGCAACGTTCTTCTTTGAAATTAAACATTCTTCTTTGAAATTAAATTTACAGGGCTCCCCCCCGCCCCGTCAAGGCAATCCTTAAGTCAACACATACTTTTGCAAATGAATACTTTTGCTTTCCTAACCCACACATTACCATTTCTTAATTCTATTTACCCACAGGCCTCTAGACAAGGGCTGTGCTTGTTTCCATAGGAGTACTCTTTACAATAGTCTTTCAGTCGAGTACAGAAACATGCATACAAAACCAATGCATGTAATGTCACTTATGAAGGATGTATATAAATAGCAAGCTATCCTTTAAAATATATTTAAGTTGTAACTGAGAACCATATTTGTATATCTTTTATTAGAGGGAAATATACACTTGGCTGCATCCTTCATAATTGATGTGTTCTTAAAGATTAATTCCCAAGTGTAAAACATCATTTTCAAAAAAAGTCATTAAGGAGGTCCAGCAAAACACACATTTGAAAACTTCTATGTAGATAAACCAAATCAATGTCAAATTGTCCAAAGTTCATGTCTGGCTTTTAGCATAGTAACTTGAGTACTACATAAGTTATCACACAAGTTTGTTTCAGTTCAGTGTCCTACCTACAATATCACTGTTTATTTTGGAGCTCTGATGAATACATTTGTTCCCAACAGTACGAAAGATTTGACTGGTTACCTCCAAAATGTTATATTAAAGGAAGACTAAGAACTTTCTGTTCTAACAGCTTTTAGTTTTTGAAATCTCTGTTATAACCTGCATTTCCTGAAATTCTGATATTTTAGCTGCTGCTTCTGGTGTTTTACTTTTTTTATTTATCCAACCGTTTTTCTTTATGTTGTGAGTGACTCTGAATGTTTTTTATGACAAAAACATAGGATATAAGCCATTGAAAAATATAAAGTACACTCTCCACCTGCCTAATTTCCAGAGGGGAGGAAACTCAAAGAAAAAGATGTCATATACCATATTGGGCTATATAGGCAGCTTCCTACTATAAAGCTATTCTTGAGTATTTATCAAACAAAGATGTTTCATTTTTATTAGAGGAAAACAAACTGCTCTAGTTTGCCCCGGCAACTATCAAAACTTGCTTCAACATTTCACAGGGTGGCCAGATGAAATTCCACTACAGGAATTCCATATCCTCTTTTCATAGACATTTAATTGTTGGCTACTTTGTTTTTGTGCGGATGGGGTTGGGCCAAGACAGAATATCAAGCAGAAATGAGCAACACTTAAAAGACAAGACAGTGTGCATATTTTTATACTCCAAGGATGGGAAACCTGTGACCCTCTAAATGTTAAATAACATCAAGCTCAGTCACCACAGCCAATGGTCATGGATGATGGAAGCTGTAGTCCAGTAACATCTGGAGGGCCTCAGGTTTCCAATCCCTGCTATATTCCCATGCCAACAGCACAACCCGATGTGCCAACTCAATAGTTAATCCCATTGAATTAAATGAGACTTTCTCAGAGGTAAGTGGTTATAGGATTGCTGCTTGAGTGTTAGCCCCCTACCCACAAATAGCCAGACTTATTACTGACTAGGCTTGTATAGAATCACACTGTTCACAAACTGTCATGAGTACTGGTGTAAGACAGACCCCTACATGGGAATATTTTAAAAACATTCCCTCTCTAGGTAAAAAAAATAGGAACGTATATAATATGTATACAGAAATGCAAAGTTTGGTTATACAAACAAAACAATATCTGTTTGTAAATTAACAAGGTACAGTGGTTGGATTTGCACCACTGTCAATGAAATATATTAAATTATATCAAAGATATCAATAGGAAAATTGATTTACATCCAATAATTTAAATTGACTCCTTTTTTTGCTGATTTAAACTCAATATACCTTGCTATCTTTGCAGTCTCTCAGTGCTCCTCTAACATTAATAAGGAAGCAGTAGCACCAAGTTGGCAGACAAAATTATTCATGCAATTAATTTAGTACAGACTGACAGTGTTGTTCTGGGAACAGGACTTATTGGCTGCAAATTTATTTTGGTCAGAAATAGAACTGCCAGTGATGACTGAAATTTATGACCCGGTTTTCATGCAAGACTATCTCTGCATGTGGCTTTTCCCTCTAACAATGCATGGATCAGTGAAGAATTAGATCCCCACCCACTTCTGTACATGTTTAAAATTAAGAGCTGCAACTGAAACATGTAACTCTTTCATACTATGCACTTACTTTCATCACACCATGGTACAAAATGCCTCATTTCAAAACCTCTCTGAGATATATCTTTGGGGCTTCCCTACAATAACTCAGTAGAACGTATGCATGCTTAATGTATGTTTACAATGAAGCACATGAATGTAATATGACATATGCATATATGTATGTCATGTGTGTGAATGTGGGGGGGGGGAGAGAGAAATGGAGGCCATTCTCAATATCTCCCGCGGCCATTTTACCGATTTCTCCCCAATATTTCATTTTCAAGCCAACATGTGACATCTGTACCCGATCGGAAGCGCACCTATTTTCTACTCCGCTACTGAATAATCTCCATAGTTCTGAGCTGCGACGAATTCCACATATATAGCGTAACGCAGCAAGATGTGCACGCGGTGTAGGCAGTGCAGCCTAAGCGGAAGCGCTTTGCCATATGGCAGGTAGGTTGTAAGCTAGCGAAGGCCGGAGGAAGGCGGGGGACGGGAAAGCCTCCCCGCCTGAAGCAACCGAGTTTCAAATGACTGGGGAGGCAAAGCGGGGTGGAGAAGGCGAACGGCAGCGAGGGTCGGGCAGCGGGAGCAGCTAGGCCTCGGCCGAGGGAGTGGAGACGAGGGCGCCCGCTAGGCTCGCTCACCTTCTTCTTCATCTTGGAAGCTGAGGAGGCTGAGGCTCCCGCGTGGCGGCGGCGGCAGCTCCTCCTTGTTCTTGTTCTTCCGCTCCTTCAGCTTAGAAGCCGCCGGCACCAGCCCGTTGTTCCCGGGGGGCGTCTGTTGCGAAGGGGGTGGCGGGGGAGGGATAAGAACAGGCGGCGGCGGCTGGAGCTGCGGGGCCGTCAAGCCGGCACCGCCGCCCCGGCCGGCCGCTTCAGGGCCGCCGAAACCGAAGCCGCCGCTGCCGCCACCGGGACAAGCTAGGGGGACGCAGCCCGTCGGGAGCGGCAGAAGCGGCGGCTTCGGACCCGGCAGCAGGTCGGCCTCTCCAGAAGGCCCATCCTCTCCTGGCGGCGGCGCCGGCGGCTGTTGCTGCTGAGGCGGCGACTCGTCTCGCTCTTCGTCGTCCTCCTCAGACTCGTTCCGCTTCCGCACGTTCACGCGCCGCGCCTTGCGGAACATTCCGCTTAGGCCCAACCGACACCGGCGCGCGGGAAAGGACCTGCACAGAAAAAAGAGCGACGGACGCAGAGGCGCAACCCCCGCAGCAGCAGCAGCAGCCCGGAGAGAGAGCGCGCGCGCACACACCGCCGCTCGCTCCTCAACTCGCTCTCCGCAACTGCATCATCGAAGCCATAAACCCGGGAGTTGGTCACAGCGCCCTCTGCTGTTCGCCGCCGGCTTGACCCCTCCCTCCTCCCGTCATGGGGAGGAGGCGGGGAAGTGGACGGCTTGCTGCGGCAACCGAACGCTTCCCTTCGTCCACCATAGACGCGGCGGCAAGAGCGGTCGCCAGGGTGGTGGCTGTAGAAACCCGCCATCTTGAGCCTTCAGAAGCGGTGCGGGTGGGGAGAAAGGAAAGGATATTACTGTATGGGATTCTTTCTGCTGGGAACGGCGGTATTATTGTGGGGGGAGGGGCATTAAAAATGCTCCTCTGTCATTTGACTAGTGCTATGCCATGACTGCTGGGCGCCTTTTGCTTCATCTCCTAAATGTGTTTCATAGCACAGAAGGATTATTATGCTTTCAAGTAGGGATAAAAGATCTGTGGTCCGCCAGACGCTGCAGGACTCCCAACTCTCGTCAGCTGTGACCATTGGGCAACAAAGGCGGGCGGGGCGGGCACGGCTTCCCTTCCCTTGCTTCAGGGCTGATTGACAGGTGCGTGTTCCGGCACTTGACGGCTGCATGGAGTCAGGACTTGTACGCGCAAGTGGCGGACCGAACAATTACAAGGGCAGGTTGACTTCAAAACAGGTTCCTGCGCCTATATTTTAACAGAGACTTGGATTTGTATTAATAATTAGCAGGCGACAAGTTGGGCCTCCGGGGGGGGGGGGATGAGAGCCTTCAAAATTCTGAATTCTCAGGCAGGAGGAGGGTGAATTGAAGGCAGGAGGAGGGTGAAGTTGTCGGCTGGGTAAACAAGCCAAATCGGTCCATGGTTTCTGAAAGGGGAAGGAACCCAGCACTGGGGAGTCTTCTCATCCTAGGAGGTACAGATACTAGCTGTTGAAGATGTGGATTATTCGGCTCTTAACTGGCCCTGTTGGCACCTTCAAAGGTCTCCTTTAGGTAGTGACCTGGAGTAAGTGAAGGTGGGCAGGCAGCAGAGCCAGGCACCTCACAGCAAACTCCTCCAGGGCACCTCTGGATTTTTCCTTTGAGCAGGCCAGCCACCTGCTTCTCAGCATCCTCTCTGCTGCCATATTTGTGAGGCTCATATTTAGGGTGACTCTGATGCCCTCCAACTACCAGGAGAGTGGGCAAGGTGTCAGGCTGCTTGCCTCAGACACCCACAACTTTTATGACATCAGGGTTTCATGCAGGTAAATTTCCCAGCCCTATCTGGAGACACCCAATGATTGAACCTCAGACCTTTTGCATGTTCTACCATTTGAGCTACATCCCTGTTTTGCAAGTACTCATGCCTTGGACTCTACTGAAGGGACTTTCTCTGCCTCCAGCTGAGGGGAGAGGTGCATCTCATTATTTAAGGCTGCCTTTTTGAAGGAAAGGGGCAAGTAGGAAAGAACCTGCCAGGCAGCCACAGAAGCACTTCAAGTTCCCCTCATCCCTCCCTTGATCTCTTAGCATAGGGGTGGACAGCCTCAGGTCTGAGGGCCAAATGTTGCCCTCCAGGCTTCTCTGTCTGACCCTTGGAACACTGCCCTGGCCATACCCCTCACTTTCTCTGCTTCCAAATATTTTTGCCTTGTCTGTCTGGAGATAGAGAAGGGTGTGTGTAGAAGCTAGCCTACTATATGTATTATGAATATTCATAATACAGTACAATTTTGTCATTGCTACTGTCTTGCTCACAATTGTAGTTCAATACTTTTTTGTTAGTTGAATATATATTTTTGTTACTAGGGGGCAGCAGACTCTTAAGATATTCACTACTTTCATCTGATTATACTAGGGCTTCATCTACTGTACATAGTAACAATATCAATATATTAAGTTTTATATCAGATTTTGGAATTGTTCCAAATCTTTCCTTCAAGGCTACAGATGTGCACAATTTGTTCTTGGAAATATCTTTTGTCTCACTGAGAAATAATATTTAATGAAATTCAGTCAAAATCTAATGTAGACTGTAACTGCTTAGTGCTTCTGTGAACATGTCTCTACATTTTTCTCACATTTTGATATGAATTAAATGCCAGTACTTTTTACACAGGAGTTGGTGTCTTCGCTAGCAGAACAATCCAAACCCCTCTTACACTGTGTTGAGGTGGGTGGGTTTGGATTAGGTGGAGTTGCCCCTCCAACCAGCTCTCCTGGCTTATCTGAGAGGAAAATCCAAAAATGTGACTTTGCAAGGGAAGGGACAGGGCTGAGCTGGCCCATGAGCCATTGGATCCTGAGCCAGTCTTATGGCTGTCATATGCCAATGTTGGCCAAAATAGCCTTGCTGTAGCTACAACAGTGTTTCTGCTGCTCCACAAAGCCATTATGGCAGAGTGGGAGGGAGTTACAATTGTCCCCGTAATGTGTTAGTTTACTGAGCAATATAGAGTATGGTGTAGTGTGTGTGTGTGTGTGTGTGTGTGTGTGTGTGTGTGTGTGTGTGAAAGAGAGAGAGAGAGAGAGAGAGAGAGAGAGAGGAACCCAGCCTATAGGAGGCATTAACAACATAAGGGGGCTACATGTAAGAAGAAACAGTACCTCTGCCACCCACAGTTGTTGCTGAAGTGGCTAAAGGAGGAATGTACACTGAATTAGGACTCGTGCAAGAAGTCAGTTAGTTGCATTGAAAGTCCCTCAAAGGCATATGTTTTAATATTTCATTGCACACACATTTGCAAGCTGCACAGAAGCTTCGAAATAGAGCGTACTAGAAAATAATATAAAATACTTCAAAACCATCTTTTATTCAGCATAATCTCGTAGCTCAAGCAAAATCACTTGCTAGTTGGCATTAGTAAAAACTGCAAAGAAAATAGCTGTGCTTAGTTAAAACTTGATGTACATGATAACATTTTCATCTGGTAAAACTGGATACATTATTGTTCACACTGTTTACTGAGCTTAGTATTCCAAATACAAACTGCATCTCAAACAACATAACTCATAAGTAATTATTATCAGGTAGTCAAATGCCAAGAGCTATGGTGTTACAAGGAGAAATCCACATCACAGTTAAATAATATGATCATGAATATTGTATAAGAAAGTCCTTTGACATTAAAGTTACGTATATTATTTCCAAAAGTTGCTGATTTGACATTGTGTTTATCTACATTGTTTTTTATCTGGTCAATAAGACATAGTAATAAGTTCAGAATGTTGTTCTTTTGATTTATTTTCTCTGAGGATCACACATACAGTAACAAAACATGTTTTAATCTGCTCATACAGTTGAAAACCCCAGCTACAAGTGCATTTACCTGTATGAGGCACGCAACACTATACAGTTGATGTCCACAATCACTGCATTTTAATGTGTGCATATAAAACATTTAAATGTGTATATTAAATATGTAATATATATAAAGAGGCTTTAAAGCATAAGAATCCAGCACTGCAGAAACACTATAGGAAGTAGAGGAGCCAATTATCTGGAGAGCTTTGTGCTAACCACTTGTGTAGTGCTGAGAAGTACACTGAGGGGTAATGTAATTACCTGGAATGAAGCCATTAATTTGCTTATTTTAATTTACACATACTCAGATTTTGTACTAATAAAATTACAGAATAAAACTTAATTCCTGGAGATCAAGTCACGAAGTACCTAAATCATTGTCTAAGGCAGTTCTTAACCTTACAGATGCGTATGATTCCTACTCCTTCATGGCTCCATTGCCTACTGCTTCAGTAATATTTGAATGAGGGAAGGTGTCAATAACATGGTCATTTCCTGGGCCAATGTCTAAACACTACTACAACTACCATTTGGTTCTTCCCTCCCCTGAACAGTTGTCATTCCAACTGGACGCCCTAAGAACACTTGCATAACTTCATGATGGAAGGGCCAATTGCATGGTTATTTCCCATGCCAGTGGCATCAGCTGCCAGTGAGATCATGGCTGGCATAAGAAGTATTTCTTTTGCCTGATCTTCCATGTTTAAGCATTCAAACAGCTGTTATTTGGCTGCTTCCTTTTCTCCCTGAACACTTGCCATTCCAGCTGGTCACTCTTAAGAACAAGTATGTTAAGTTTAAAAATTAGAACCTGAGTTTGCATGTTTTCGGCTTCCTTCCTGATCCCTTCCCCTTTTGTGTTAGACCGTTCTTGGTTGCAGGATTACAGTCTTGCTTTTTAACATTTGAACAGTGCACAGTACATTTTAGGCACTCTTATAAATGTTTACTAATATAGTGGAGCATCATGGGATGGAACTTCACAGAAGAACAAGCGCCGTAAAGAGCTGGTACTTATCCATATTTAAGGCTGTCGGTACTTAACACTTCAAATCTTGGAAGTGGTTTTTTGGCACTGCTTCATGGGTTCTGGACATTTAAAATATTTTCCTCAATCTGCATTAGTGTTCAGCTTAAGAGCTGAGTCCTATACATGGTTAGATCTCTAGCTCATATTTGATAGGTCTGTAGCATGAAGTGGGCAGCTAATTTGTCCCATCAATTTTTTTTCCATCCAGGAAGCTGGTTTATTATATTTTTATCATAGTGGAATTTAATTATGCATTTCAGGACGTATGAATAATCCAACTACTGCATGAGTTATATTTTGAAGCCTCCTGTTTTCAGGATTTGTACCAGTTATTTCTTTCAACTGAAAGAAGATTAGTCAAGCAAACTCATCACAACTTCCTGAATTATTCCAACTCCCCTTATAACTTGACATATTTTTTCTCTGTCACTGAACATCTACAAGTTGGTTAGGTGCTTGTTTTAATGTAGCTGCTTTTAATTATATGTTATGGCATTATTTTCCAATTTAAAATGTTGGTAAAATTAATCCATATTTGCCAAGCAATATCCTAGGATACCTGATCCTATGGACCCAGTTCAGAGTAATGCTTGGGCACTTTAAGCACAGCATACTTTAAGGGCATACCGTATTTTTTGCACCATAACACTCACTTTTTTCCTCCTAGAAAGTAAGGGGAAATGTCTGTGCGTGTTATGGAGCGAATGCCTATGGATGGCGGGGGGATCTGCTGCAGTCGTGAGCAGAGGATCTATGGTTCCCCTTCCTTCCTTCCTCTGTGGCTCGCTTTGAAACAGCAAAGCGGGAAAAGAGCCGCTGAGTGGGGAGGAGAGAGGGACAGAGCCTGCTTGCTTTAAAGGAGCAAAGCGGGAGAGGAGAGGAGCCGCTTACACGAGTGGCTCCTGTCCGGTTGGCTCCTTTAAAGCAAGCAGGCTCTCTGTCCCTCTCTCCTCCCCACTCAGCTGGCTAAATAGCAGCAAAGTTTTTCAGCGAGCCGGGGAGGAGGGAGAGAAGCAGAGCCTGCTTGCTTTAAAGGAGCAAAGCGGGAGAGGAGAGGAGCCTTCTCCTCTTATACCCCTCTTCTGCATTATTAACAGCATCCTTCTCTACCCACCCCACGCGTGTTCCTTGTCCCTTGAGTGCTTTTCCTTCCCTCTCCACTTAAAACATGGTTACAAAGCACAGATCCACATGGATCCTCAGGATTTTTGCATTGGGCTACCCCAAACTCCCCATCAGATCACATGTCTGTGGCCATAGCATGAACCACAAAAATCATACATCCACTGTTTTGTTTAGAATATTTTTTTTCTTGTTTTCCTCCTCTAAAAACTATGTGCGTGTTATGGTCGGGTGCGTGTTATAGAGCGAAAAATACGGTACTTCATGGTGAATAATGATTGGGAGTTAGTGTTGAATCTATTGAGCTCTGCAAACAATTTTGTTGTTTGAGATAGGACCAAAGAGTCAAGTAGTCAGGTAGCCTATGTTTTGAACATAGCAGGTTGCAGGCAGCTAACAGAGGAGCTCTGAATGAAAATGAACTCCCCCATTGTTTACTCAAATAGAAAATATAGAGCCAGTGCTTATTCGGTTTCATTCTACATTTGTATTTGTGTGTGTGGTTTGAAGCAAAGGTGGGGAATGGAGAGCCAATTTCTAGCCCTCAAAGCTCTTATCAGGCCATGCCCTTCACTGGCCCTACTTCATACCCTGATTGTTTTTGCATGGCTGGCATGGCCCCTCCCATCGTTGGCATGGTTGCCCCAAAGTGAGTGCATCCCTTGGGGATTCCATCTTCTAAAGGAATGCCAGGAGCTCTGTTTCTACAAGATTGTATTTCTGGCAACGGCCTATGGCTGCTCTATAGAAACGGCCAAGCATACTGTGTCAGTATATGAATGTTATAATACAGCTTTTGTTATTTGTGGTGAAGAACGTGTCCAAATATGGCAGATGTGGAAAGTGGTCTGTAATGTTGGAGATGTTTTCCACACTGTATGATTTTAGTGGAGCGTAGCCATTGAAGAGAGAGGTGTCTAAAACAGCAATGTATGTGATCATGTTTCTGTCTCTGCATGGCATCTTTAATTTGCCTTGTGCTTCATTGTCGTGGCTGCTGTAGATAGTTAAGCTTTGTTCTCGTATCTGGCCATTGATCTCACTTTTTATCTGTAGTCTTCGCAGTCCCCAAATGGTCAGATATTTTGCTGACAGCGGAATCGTGCCACATAGTGAGAGCTTCAGGTCATACACAGCTGTAAAGTTCAACAGCATTCTCAACATGGATGTTTCCGTGAACCAAATTGTCAGATTATTGTAGTAGCTTTTGTCTATTGTATAGGGCAAAACAGTCTTGCAATTGCAGATCAGATTTGCCAGACTGTAATCGCAATCATTGTCACTAATATCATCAGGACATGTGCAGTTACGAATCGTGCTTTCCTTGGTGAAAATAAGAGTATTATTCTTTTGGCCTTGTACAAAACTATCCAGACAGAAGCCTAAAAAGCCAACCAAAAAGAGATGGTGTCCATGGACTAATACTGCCATCATTATTACAGTGTTCTTAGCCACAAGGACCTCACTTCATTAAATCAGCAGATCTGATGACTGCAACCTACAGAGAATAAAAGTAAGATGATTATTACCATACAGTACACACCCACAATTTTCCTACCTTGTCTACTTATGGCTGGTTTCCATCAGTCTAAGCAGGCCCAAATTACTGATAGTTGAGGGCAGTAATTACTTTTGGAGAGCATGAAACCCTCTTTGCAGAACAAGTAGAGATTTGTCCCAGGCTGAAATTCCTGCTTCTGTAGGAATTTGGGTTGTCTTGGTACGTTGCTGTCTCTAGCTGTAAAACTGAGAATAATGATGATATAATTCATAGGGTCATTGCAAAGACAAATGAGATGGATTATGAAGTACACTGCACATTGAAACTTTGATAAGAAACAATCATATTTTAATGCTGAACTTTACCGGTCCTTACTTCATAGACTTCAGTTTTAATTCTTTTGCAGTCCTTAATGCAATAACCAAAGATGAGATGTGCCTTGAATCAGTTTTTCATTAACTTCCATAGAATACAGACTGGAGCCTTCCTCTTGGTCTTCTGAGCACTTCCTTTATTCTAGAATAGCTGTGCACAGGCATCAGTCAGGACAACATGCAGCTGATTCAGATTTGCAACAAGTTAAGTAAGTTTTATTGGCTTCATCATACACCATAATAAAACTAAAATACGAGAACAAAATAAAATCCAATAATTCAGAGGATCTGCACTATATTACAATCCATAGCCAGATGACAGCACAGTATGCTCTGTGTTATAGTTGAACTGATGTTCTCTGCATAGGAATCAGAATGATGGCAATGTGACATTTTCCTGCTCGCTCTATTTCTGCTTGGAGGTGTAAACTGTTTGGCAAGCCTTCATTGCAGAAAAAAGTACAGTCCTTGGGCAGTTGCCCAGGTGTGGTCTCCCATAGAGCAGTGTGTAATATAGTAGCAAGTTTTTAATACTGCATTTTCAATTTGTAATCCTGGGACCTCATGGTAAAGGCAAGGTAAGAGATCTAACAAGTAAACCTCTTTAGGCTGCAGAAAGTTGTAGCTGCTTTGCTCAATTTTCCATGAGCTTTTGTGCTAGAAGTCAGTTACTTCCAGGGTTGAATTACAATGTTGTTGATCCATATTCTGAGGTCCAGGCATCTTATGTTGTGCTTTGCTTCTTCTAGAACATGCTCAGCTTTCAGAGAAGCTGTGCATCCATTCACATGACTTCTCAAAGGGCAGGCAGTCTTCCAGACATGGGGATGTATGAAATAAGGTAGCCCAAAACATGTATCAGGGTGCGGGGATATATGAATTTTACTTCCTTATTCAGTCTATTCATGCAGTTCTGTGTATAGGGAACTAGTAGCCAACATCAGCTATGTTTCAAGGTAGTACCCCAGCATACATTTCAAATCTTCTGCGGCACAGAATATTCTGTTCCTCATGATGATCAGGGTATGATATTCAGAAGACATCATAGCCATTTATCCTGCGTTGCCTTGTAAGAAGGAAATATTCTTTCAAAGACAGAATAGGATCAGATGTCCTAAAGCTGTCTCCACTCTACTCTCATATATTCCCCCATCCGAATAAGTGAGAATGGTGTTTTCTACCTTTTAAAACCCAATATTTAGTTCAGACTCTTTGTGGATATCTCTTCAACAGCATACCAGAGATGCCAATAAAATGCAGTTAATACTAAACAAAGGTCAAATTCATCTCACCTGCAACACTTTTGAGGTTAATTGAGTTACCTCAATAATAAATCTGGTCACAAATGTCTATGAGCCCAATCATGCATTAACAAGCAGATCCAATTACAACAGTTTCCTGACAGCGTTTTCTCATTTTTTATCTTGGTTTCTAGGCTTGGGTAAGTCAACTAAATCAAAACATCTACAGTACCACTATTGTGCTATATATAGACTAATATTTTGCTCGCACTTTGTTTAGCTCTGAACTTGTTTATCTATTTGCCAAGTAACATGCTGCAACACAACAGTCCTAGAAAATGTTTTAACAAGTGCAGCATGAACTGCACCACAGTAATTTTTAATGAAGGAGCAGATAGGCATCACTTGTAGGGAATATTGGAGGGGGGGGGTTATATTTCCATAACAAAGTTTGTGGGGTTTTAGCTCTCACTACACTTAATTGTTCCATCTACCAATCGGCAAAAAGGCAATATATTTTGGAACCTGCTGAAGCAGAAAATTCAAATGACACTCCCTCTACAGTGAAAATAAAATGGATTAACTTATTGACCATTCATGGCTTTTACAATGATGCCCCAAATCTGCCACCTAAGGCAGCAGTCTCATTCTGCCTAATGCTATGGCTAGCCCAATTGGGCAGGCAAAAGGAGGCATGCAACTTGTCCCTAGATTTTCTTAAAGTGTGGCAGCGGAGGCTTCTATGGCTGCCACTTGTTTCCGAGTTTGTGTGTATCCTCTCTGGTTGGAGTAAAGGTGATCCTTCATTGTGTGAGGGATGGTATTAAGAAAAAGGGGAGCGAATGTGGCTACTGTTTCTGGTTTATTCTATCCAGGGTTGGTACCTTTGCGATACCACCTGAAGCAGCCCATGTATTTGAGTATCATAATCCGCTGTTATGAATAAATAATATCAGTAAAAATACTATATTTGAGAATCAACTTTCTTATATCCATTTACTCACCTTAGCTTTGCTTTGTTCATATCATGCCTCCAAAACCAGCACCACTTCACATTTGACTTGACTTGCTGTGCTTGAGCAGAGTTATTCCATACAAGCAAGAAGAGTTACTTTTGGAAATGTTTTCTCACCTTTTCTGGCTCTTTCTGCAACACAAACTAGTGTCAGTGAGTCCTGAAGTTTCTCTGTGCTTCAGCAAGTACCACCCTGAGCCACATACTCTTCCTCTGATAATTTTCACCACCCACATTGCACTGATATTTGATCCAAGGGTTACCTACTCAAGACTCCTACTCAAACTACTTTACTGCTTGCATCATTCGGCATTTTGAAAAATAGTTTCCCTGTAGCGGTTGGCAAGCTGCTCTTTATGAGAGTGGAAAATCTGTTTGACTACAATGACAAAGTCTGTTACGATCAATCACTGGCTCCTGTTCTTTAATGCATCTTTTGAAAGGCTATTAGAATGGGGAATAGAGAATACTTGCTGGAACTCAGACATAAAAACCAGCTACTTGCCATTTAAGAAGAATAGTTTTTAACAGAAATTGCTCATTATCTGTAACTTATGTACCTTTGAAGAAGTGCAGGAAGTGACTGCCTTTCTTACACAGCAATGCTAAAGCATCCACAACACCAGAAAAACAGCAATAGCATCTTTTTTTGGATAAATATTCAAAAGATCTGAAGCACTATCAAAAAATTCTCACATCAGCGCTCATAACCAAATGTCAGATAGGTCAGGATTTTGTTTGACTAGTAATAACAAGGCTTGTTATTCTGACATTCATTCACGGATACACATTTAATAATAATAATAATAATAATAATTTTATTTATACGCCCTCCCCAGCCAGGGTCGGGCTCAGGGCGGCTAACAATAAAACGTAATAGAAAAAACAACAACAACAAACAAAGTTAATTAAAATACGTCTTAAGATGCAGCTTAAAATGCAGCCTCATTTTAGTAGTAGGCCATAAATCAAAACCATAAAGGGAGGAAACATCAGATATTCACCCAAGCTAGCTATCCATGCTGGTCCTACATTGAGGCTTTTATTGGCCTGTATCTTCATTTGCAGTTATATTGCTCTCTTTTACCTCCATTTCTTGCTTCAGGTGTTTAGATCCTATTTGAAAACCAGGGGGTATAAAAACTGTCACTATTTACATGTTTGGATAATATTTTTCCTTCAACAACCCCTTGGACTGGTTGGATGCAGAGGAATGGTGGGAGGAACCAGCTGGGGAATCATCAAGGGAAGAAAGTTCAGAGATGGAACGGGGCAGCACAATGATGAGTGATCAGAGAGAAAAGAGGGAGACATCTGGGAGGAGGAGGTTATCGGAAGTTGAAGAGGTGACAGGGCTTAGTGATCTGGGAGAGTCTGTGGCAGAAAAGTCCAGAATCAGAGGCAGAAGCTGAAGCTGAGGATGAGGCCAAGAGGCAAAAATGAGTCAAGCTGGTGAAGAGTCATGGGTATCTTCCCTTTCTGCTGCGATTAACTTCCCTCCACCCGCTTCCCAGAACCAGATGATTTCCTTATGGGACAGCTGCATATTCCTGCATTGCAGGTGGTTGGACTAGATGATCCTCGGAGTCCCTTCCAACTCTACAAGGATATGATTCTATGCTTCTCTATGCATGCCTGACCTGGCCTTAAGAAAATTCCAATTTCATAATATATTGGGGCAAATTTGTGTTGTGTAAACAACACAATTATAAAAAGCCAGATTTAAGTTAATAGCCAACATTTGTCATACTCAGAGTAGACACATTAAAAATATTAGTTACTTCTCCATTTATTTCAGTTTACAATCCAACAGCTAGTTCTATGTAAACACTGTGTATGACTAGCACTGAATATTACCCATATTATTTTACAAACAGAAATGAGCAACAATAATAAGTTTATAACTAATAAGTAGAGGGGAGGGGAAGGAAACAAACAAACAAACAAACTAAAAAAGGGGTCAAAATTTCAACCTTGTAGTTGAAATAAAAAGTAATCTGCTTTCAAAGAGCAGTTTAGTAGAAGTCTTAAAACAGTACTTTCCCAAGTTTAATATACTGTACATTATTTAGGCCTTGTGGTTGGTTCTGTGGTGAAGCATGAAACTTCCTAGATAAGATGGAATTAAATTGGGAGCTTGTTATAAATAACATTCCAGTAGGACTAGATAGTAGTCCCCTGATCCTTAAAAAAAAAATAAAAAAAAAAAAATAGAGGGGAAAACCCAACCACTAGTTTTCTGTAAATAAATTCTAGGACCTGTTTTGCTGTCATGACTGCAAAAGCCTCCAAGATGAGTTTGTGCAGATGTTTTGTCTCATTGTTAATTCCACTAGGCCAATGAACATCCTGTTCAAAAACATAAATCTGTAAGGGCTTTATTTCTGAGAAAATGTTTGTTTTTTAGTATCCCTGGCATCCAAAACCCTTTTGGGGTCTCATTTGACAATATAGTACACAGTGGTTCAGTTTGGATGCTAAGCAAATAATGGTTGGGTACTATGTGAATGAGTTTGTGCACCTCCTCCTCTTCTTGCGCACTCTGTGATTCAGTACGTCCATTCTTGGTTTGCAGCAAACCGTCATTTGTTGTTGCAACCAACCTGGCAAAATAATTTGTGCTTGCTGTGCAAACCAAGATCAAACTTGGATTTGCAATCATGGTTTGCAAGGCAAGATCAAAGCCATAGTTTAGTTTTGTTTTTGCCTCAGATGTAATTACGGACAATGGTTTGCTACAAGTATGGACATGAGGGGAAGATGCAAAGTATGAGGAAGCCTACAAGCCCAAGGCTTATTCCAAGGCTATGGTGGGGTCTTATGTTTTGAACCAATCCAGTGAGAAAGTTGCTTACAAAGTCATGGCAGTTTGTGATGGAACGGTCCTGTGACATCATATTAACAAGCACCCAGAAAGTAAGTGTTGTAACTCTCACTGCTGAATTCACATAGGGGAATTCCTTCTTTGAAAAATGCTTCCCCCAGATCTCCCTGCAAATGGTTCCTTCCTGGTGAAATTTTCTGAGCAAACCACATAAAACAATAGCTCTTGTAGTTCATCATTTAGTTAGCCACATCCTATTGAGTGCAAATAGCACCTTTAGGAACAAATAACAGCATGGGGGCGATTTCTGGTGGGGAACAGAGTAGGGCTGAGAGGGTTAAACCTCCCCTCTCCCCATACCATGTCCCAGTCTGGATCAGGGTATCCCACAGCTGGTTATTCTAAACAAATAGTGTCTAGCTGTAAGCATGCTTTTTAACACATGCTTATTATAATGTGCAGTTTGGCCCTAAATCTATGTGTATTGTTGTTTTACATTTTTAAGCAACATCATTGCCTTTAAAACAAGAAAAGCTATAGAGAAAGAATATTTTTTTAAAATAAGCCTCCCAGGTTTTAGCTCCTGGAATTAGTTTTCTTTTAGATAAACTTGCAGATGCCAGTGGAATGATTGCATTGCCAATGTTTGTTTTACCCAAGCATGTGGTATCATAGCAGCCTGTCACTCCCACTAAATGTTTCTACTGATACTGGAAGAAAGCATTTTCCTAAAGCGGGACTGACAAAGATAGGAATTCAAAATTTTAACGGGAGGCAATTTAAACATGAAAGCAAACATGCAAGGGAAAATATTATCTCCAAAAGAAATAATGATAAACTAAATTTGCCAAGCTGACAACTCTTTTTTGAACTTCCTACATGTTGAAGGAGCACAGTGAGAGTGTAGCCAGGTCTTAAAAACTGTTTGAAATCTGAGGTATTAGAATTACACCACAAGGTTCGTTACTGGCACTGGAGTAACAACAGCACTTTTCACATGCCGCCTTTCACATATTAGTTATATCAAGTTAATCTTGAATACAGTACCCTTTTCCTTCCTGACTTGGGCTGCAGTTAAAGCTTTATGCTTTAACTAAATAGCACAGAAGCCTCTTACAAATAAAACAAATCCTTGAAACATACGGGTAATGTCCTAAGGACAGGTTTAATGATAAAAATGTAATTTGATTTTTGCTCTTACCCCTGTACAGTCAACACAGCTCAGAAAACTAGTCTCTATAAACTTCGAAAGTTTGAAACCAAATGAACTGTTTTTCATTTATTAGCTTCATTGCTTATATAAAGAATGTTATTCAGAAATAATAATAACATGCACACGTAGTGTTCTGCTATTAAGAGTCTCTGTCCTGAGTTTACAAACTTCTTCATAGGAAAAGCTACATGGTACTGAAGTTTGAGATTCAGAAAGAGACTTTCAGGAATGAAGCTTAATGAGAGAGAACGCTGCTGTGGTAGAAAGCGGCTTGTTTCTTGGGCATTAGGAATTACGCTCTGCTCTTTCTATAACAGCAGCACACAATTTTGTTTAGCAACAGAGGAGAGTACAGTACTTACGCTTCTTGTCTGTTGAGTAGTTTGGCGGTGTTGCTCTTCACTTTGCAGATTTTATCTGCGACTGTACTGGTGCTTTGCTTTCATTTGACAGCCTGGTTAATCAACAAGACAGGGTGGAATGTGTGGTCTTGCACTTACTGTTCTTTTATGTTTTCTGGAGGCTCGCAGCCTGAGCTACCATGACAACCAGGAGAGACGCTTGAGGCCTACACCACTTCATTAATAACTCAGTAAAATAATTACCTGGTTTTATTAGCCCCTCTTGCACAGATTGGCAGTTTAAGATTTTGTCTTGGAAATGACAGAAATCATACAGGAAGGCATATGTACAGTTGTAAAACAAAAGAGCCACAATCTGTAAGATGTCTGTGAAAGAAGAACAGGACACTGAGAGTTCTTCTTTATCTTAACACCATAGGAGCCAACTCCTAGGGGCTGGGGGGGAGGGGTGTTTTTGGACCCCACAATAAAATATTTGATGGGGCTGGGCTCCCCCATGTTAATGGGCATTGCCATTCAAATGTTGTGCATGATCGAATATGCGTGCTGGGGCTTTCCTCGCCCCCCCCCCAATATTTTATTTAAGTTACAGGTTAAGTTAATAGTTACAGGTTTGGAACAGGTGACAGCAATCAAGGGGCACAGATTGGTGTGGAAGCTGAGGGGCATATATTCAGACTTAATTTGTGAACAGATTTTAACTGTGTTGCATATGTAAACTCTCCATAGGTACTGAGTTGCTGTGTAGAGTACCAACTTTTTGGTACCTGGACCAGGCAACTTTTTGCATGGAAAATGTGCTGGTTATTGTGTCCAGAATCCCCAGCAATAAGGACACATTTTGATGGAAGAAATTTGGTACACTACTTGCTTTCCATGATTTCTGTGGTCACGTACATATGGATAATAAATGCTATTTCAGAACATGGGATAATATCCAACAAAATAATTCAGTTAGCTGAAGGATTTCTGTCTGTGCAGTGGAACTTCTCCTCCCTCTTCCTTCCCCTTCCTTTGCAGCCCTTGCACCCTCCCCAACCTGCTCTGGGGGTTGAGGGAAATCCAGGAACACAGTTTGCGGAGGGGCAGGAGGAGAGGGAGGGGAAGTTCTGTTGCACAGCTAAGGAACTAACTGGTTGGATAATGCCCACAAGGTTTGTTTCCTTACTTGTGGGACTCATGCTGTGGAGATTAGGGTTTCAAATTGCATGAGAAGCCAGTTTGAGCAGAATAGGCTGTCAGATGCAGGCATTCAGCTCAAATGGGGACTGAAGGGAAGGGCCATGGAGACCACAATCTAGGGGGTGGTGCCAATGAGCATACCCCTGCTCTCTCTCCTCATGTAACTGGAATTACCTGAGGGGGGGGGAAGCTGAGGAATTAGTTGGTATTATTTCTCATGAAACCAAATTAAAGTGCATAACATTAAAATGTTGAACATCACATTGAAAACTCTGTGGCGCTTGAGATCTGCTTCCAGTTTGATACAAAACCAATTAATGAGTCTTTGTTGGGTATGGTTGCTCAACCATCTGTGGACCGACCTGAGTATTTTTATACCACATTTTACCATCTTGTCAACAAGCAGATCATGGGATACCTTGTCAAATGCCTTTTTTCTGAAATCAAAGTGATCCACCGCACTAATAGCTATAAAAAAAAAGATACAGCTGGCCTAGCATGATGCATTGTTGATAAACTCATGATGGATCCTAGAAATCACAACTTTTTTTCTAGATGCTCACCGATGAAAATCACTTAAAAATCTGTTCTATAATTTTGCCCACTTGGGCCAACCTGTTTAGAATTTACCAACATCAGCCTAACTGGTCTGTAGATTCCCTAATCTGCTATATTTCAGTTGTGAGTCTCATCCCACCTAGTCTCAATGTTACCTATCAGATTAAGTGTACAGGAAACTCGGAAGCTTCCAAATTAACCATAGTAAATTAACTACACTATAGGGATAAGAAGATGAGAAGATAAGAAGGTTGGAGAAGAAAAAGTGTATTAATTGCATTTGTTATAGGTGGAAATATGCCACCTAGTGGCTCAGTATTGTTATGATTAAGTGAAATAGATTTGAAAATTATGTACATACATACATACAATCAGTGGACCACATTTTCATATGCATGTGTTATTACTGAAGTAAACAATATACACATTGGGAAGAGATCCGTAATATATCTGGAGAGGAAGTAGATGGTACAATACAAATGCAAGACAGCAAGCAATAGGCAGGAATAATAAAGAAAAAGAGCTGATCAACTTTCAGAAGCTTGAAAATTAATAATATCAAAGGTATCATCAAGGCTGAAGTGTCCAGAAGGTATAAAAAGATCATGAGTACAATCTACTGGAACATTCTCTTGGGCAAGGCCAACTAAAATGAATGAAACTTGCCCTACTTTTGTACAGCTGTTCCCATTCATTTCATGGGAGAACAGGAGATTTTACTTTCCAAAATGCCCACCGAAAGGGAATGTGGTCCGAAGCGGCTCCCAATAGGCATGAAAGAAGGGTGGGGACATAAATGTACTTAATAGGTAAAATAAATATGCTTTTCACTGTCTATCTGGGAATAATTGCACCTCCGTTTTTCTCCATTCCAGCAGGTTTCCAGTACTGCACATTGCTATATTTGTGTTCATGTTAAACATCAAGCAGTCAATTCTTTTTCATCTTAACATGGAGAATCCTGCAATTCTTTTATTTATTTAGTGCATTTATATGCCTCATTTAGTTCATCATGGGATTCCAGGCAGTGTGCATGAGGTTTGTAGGTCATTTCTCATCCAGCCTTCTCTAAAGATAGTTATGCCACATGTCCTTAGACCACACAGATAATGGTGTTGCTCTATACAGGCCTCCATTAAGCTACAATATTTAAGAGGAATGCCTATTCCCACAAAACCAATTTTGGTGGAAATATCAGGCTAGAAAAGTTAAATCCTATGCACCCTTACTATGTGTTCCACAGAAATAAAAGGCATTACTTCTGAGTATACATATGCTGCAGATTTTGCTACTGGGTAGAGCAGGAACAGGCTAATCTGTTTTTCTTAAGGACTTTTAAAAAGAAGAGAATGTCCGGAACTTAAATGCTTTAAATAATGGTTTCTAGATTTCATTTGGCATGGCATCCTGGCATACATCATACTGCTAGGTTGGGTTTCTTTTGTAGTTTTACTGTGAAGTTTTCCCATGCTTTGAAAAACAATTTAGTGTGAAAGAATCCACGTACAATAAGAAAATGATTGAATGATCCTGCAGAACCAGTTAACACTGGCCCTACAGAACAAGCTGCCAAATATGCAAAGTGAGCAGAGAGGAAAAAGAAAACGGAATGTTTATATTTTTCTCTAATTCCTCTCTAGGTACAGAGATCTTCATTTACTGTATACAATCACTGCTTAATCCATACAGTGGCTTAATCCATCTCAAATCCAGGAATAGTTTCTTCACTTGTATCCTTCAATTGAAAATACTTTAGAAAAATCAAATCAAATATAATAATGTATTATGGACAACACTGATTTATCAGGTAGAAAAAGATTACCTTCCCCTCTCAGTTTTCTAATAATGTCTCTCTCAGCCACACCAGCAGATTTGTTCAGGAGAACGCAGGCAGACAAGCAGACTCTCACCACCTTTTCAACATTTTTAATAAAAGAATGGACAGAATGTGGGGTTGGTTACATAGTTAAAATGACTGTCACAATATAAAATGGCTTAGGCCAGTCATTCTGAGATGTGCAGGGATGGAAAACCTCAAAGTAGTGTAATGAGACAAGCATACAGTCTTACTATCATAAATGAAGCGTAAGTTACAATCATATCACATGGAGTTCTGAGCTACAAGTTGGGAACCGAGCCATGAAGGAGATTTTGAGAGAAAAGCAGAAATGGAAGGAAGCCTATGAAAAAAGAGGGAAAAGAGTATGTGAGTGATACTTGTGAGATATTAATGCTAGCTGGCTTGGGGTTCCACAAGGTGGCAGAATTTCTTTCAAAATCTCCTTCACATATTGGTTCCAAAGGTGTAGCTCAGAGCGCCTTGTGATGCAATGACTGTAGTTTACTATGTATGCTAGTATGAGTATGAGTATATAATTAAATTACAAGAAATAGCAGACATGCTGTGTTGTATAGTAAAAGTAGACAGAAGTAACTAAAGCCTTACATAACATAAAGTCTTATGCACACAAACCTGGGATTATGTCCTATTAAACTCAGTGAGGGTTTTTTACTTCTGAGTAGAAATGGATAGGATTGCACTGAAAGTTGTGTGCTATGTCACAGGAAATGTTATTACATATTTCCTTATGTTATTGTTTGCCATGATACAAAGGAGATTCTTTTGAGGGCTGAAGCCTATACCCACTTATTTGACAGTAAGCCCGTGTGAACTGTATCCTGCAGACAAAACATAATAAACAATACAGTCAAGTCACACTTTTGTAGACTAGATAGTTGCTTTGGTCACCTGTAGATACTCTATTATAGTGTGGGAAAGCAATAAGGTTGCTAAATAAATCAGTGACACAACTACCAGTATGTGATATACTTTGCAGGTTGGCTTGAAATAGAAGTATGCTAGAACATTCAAAGAGCAAGTGTTTCCTATCAAATCCTCTTCAAATCAATATGTGAAATAAAGGTGATGTATACTATTTTAAGTAAATAAATTGTGAATCACTGGGCAACGACTGGCTCTTTCTATTTTTGTACAGTGCCTAGCACATATTAGATGGGTCACGCCACAGGTTCAAACAGAAGAGAAGCACCAGATGTTAAAGGCACCTAACAGATGCCATTGAGCAACTGTAGATATGTTCCACCTCTGTCATTCAGGATAAGGTCCCTGGGGTTTAGGGGCACCCTGGGGACAAAGATTTATTTGACCAGATGGAGACAATAGGGAGAATTAATTCATTTGTGTTTGTTGAATAAGGCATATCATTGATCAGTTGTGAGACTCCAGTAGCGTTTAAGACAAAGTTTAGGTTATAGTGCAGTTTCTATGACATTATGCTCTTTGTACAAATTGTCAACACGATGCAATATTACTGTATACCCTTTTTACAAATGTGGTATGTGTATTATTTAACTTGAATTTTTATAATAGACAGCAATCACAA